GGCAGGTGTTTGCCCAAGACCCAGATATCCAACTCAGTACCGCAGAAGAAGCATTTGACACCTGCTTGCTTAACTCTGGTGACTATTAACTGGGTTAGCTCCTCAGACATCAGATGTTGTATTATATATATGTATTAATTGGTCGCTATTACTATGTTGGAGGTTGCAAAGGGTCATCACGGGTCGGACCTTGGATTCCAAAACAAATATTTGAAGAATCCACCCACAACACCCGTTGAACCCTGCAGAACCCAAGCTAACCTTAGCAGCAATCAAGTCTCGCGAGTCCTTGGACATTGGACCTTTATGTGCACTGAGTCTGAGGATTGGCAGGGTCTGGTTGATGAGTTGGTTGTGTGTAGATACGTTGACCAGTCTCCATTGTGAGCCATGTCTTGTGGGTCACTGGTTGACCTTTGATACGATTGATCTCTAGGATACGTGCTCCACGCTCCCACGTACCATATCCTCCATAGCCACTGTGACGTCCAAAGCACATGTCAATGCCCTCGTAGGTGCCACAAAAGTCGTTGCCATGGTTGTGGCCGACCGACATGAACTGGACATCACCAATTGATTTGAACGCGTCAAAGAGGCCACCGTTCTGTGGCTGACAGGCGATCGAGTCGTTGTTCCAGCCGTAGCACACCTCCTCGTTCCAAACGTTCATGTACTCTTGGATGGGGATGTGGAAGAATGCAGCGGCGAATGGCAGCTCAGTCGAGTCGTTGATGTACAGTGCCTTGGCCGTCTCTTCGTACCAGGCCACTTGCTGCTCGGTGATGTACGTGTTGCACCATGGTGCGGGGCCGGGTGGGTAGACGGGTGGGGGACATGCTCCATCGCCCGAGTCCAACACCCAGATGACGACCTCGATGTCATTGGACCACTTGTCATAGATGGGCAGGTAGTAGTTGGTGATGCCTGGCACGTCCTCTGGACCAAACATTGAGTAACTTCCCAGCGAGATGTCATAGTTGAGCAAGTCGACGCGAGTGTCGTTGTATCCGGTGGCCAGATCGTCGTGGTTGCCAAAGGTGATGGCCCAGGGGATGCCCATCTCCAGGACCACTCCAAGTGCCTCCTTCCAATAGTCGGTGGCGTTGTTGACGATGTTGTTGCCAGTGATCAGGTCACCACTGAACAGCACAAAGTCAGGCTTCTCCAGCTCCAAGATAGTCTTCATCACACGTGTAGAGTTGACATCTTGCATTGGTCCCCAAAGTGTATTCTCGCCCTCTCCATAATGTATATCTGTTATCTGTACCAACTTGAAAGTTGATGTATCAGAGTCATCCAGTGAGTGACGCATTGTTAAGCGTCTCGAATCGTCAATGTCATACGCAGCAGCAGATATAGCAACTGCTACAACAACAGTCAACAACAATAATATCAATGTATTATTACTATTCATTATTATATGATATGTATATGTATTGGTCTCAAATGAATGTTTATCAAACTACAACATTATAAGAGTCTTTAGTGTCACTTGGTATCCATCAAGGTAGTGGCTTGAAGGTTGTTGTTCAACCACATTGATTCATTTCCGATCAATTTTGAATGAAGAGTCGAGATCAATCGACATTGACACCCTTTGCAGGACATGATATGATTAGTTAGTTGTACATAAAAGAGATATATATATGGATACAGATCATCGTAGCAGTAGTAGTCGATTGACTACTAATAATAATGATAATAGTTTGGAATTGAAGTTGACTACACTGTCACAATCATTGGACTCTGCTGCAGCCACAGCACAACTTGATAACAATCAAGATCAGATACTTGATAAAGACACAATAGAATCATTCATTCAACAACTGAATGATATAATTATTGATGTTAATAGTATGTAGTATGTGGATGATTGATTGATTGATTGAGTGTTCCCTAACACCTCATCACATATCAAGTTGATGAATACCCTCTAAAGACCAAGGCATTGTTGACATACCTTTATGGAAAGCTTTATAGTTGGTCATCACCATTGACTAATGGTATGCCCAGTAGTGATACACTTGAGAAGGCTGAGAACTATTTGTCAAGAGCATTGAGATTGGATCATACATTGGAAGATGCTTGGAATGAGTTGGGCGAGTGCTACTGGAAGAAGAACTGTTTGAGCTTGGCCATGAGATGCTTCTCACAATGTTTGGAAAGGAATAGTGTAGGTAAGACTGGTCCTCCTGTGTCTTGTTCTCAACTCATTCATTCAATCATTCAATCAATCAATCAATATAATGTAGAAGAACATTGTTTCGCTTCGCAAGCTATCAATTGTATATAGACAGATCAATGAGGATAGTAAGTATATGACCATGGACAGGCAACGATCCCTATCACTCACTCACTCACAACTTAATAGACATACTTAGGAAGAGAACAAACATTGAGAAGAGTGTCAAGCTGGCCAAAGATGCAGTGTCAGTTGACTTCAAGGACAATGAATCATGGTGTAAGATATCTGATCATACTTTGATTGATCGATCAATCACATTGGACTCATCATTCCATTTCCAAAACAGACGTACTTGGCAATGCATATCTTAGTCTATTCTTCATGGATGCATCGGATGATACACAATTGGACAGTGCACTGAAGGCCTATCATTGCTCACTTGAGCAACACAAGAAGCAGCAAGGAGTCTCCAAGAAGAACCCTGATCTATATTATAACAGGGCAATAGTATGTGATCAAGGACCATTGGGCATTCTGGATCTAGTCATACTCATCCATCCATCCATCCATCATTCCCTCATTGATATAGATATACAAGTACCGTGAAGATTATCAACTGGCATTGGATGGATTCAACAAGGCATTGGAGTTGGAGAATGGCAACTGGGACGCACCACAAAAGTACATCCAAGAGATACAATCAAACATCAAACAAATAGATGATGTACTCACCAAGGTAGGTTGGAAACAACTTGAACTCGCCATGAATGTAATGATCATTCACTGACTTACGTTGGGACAAACAACAGACCAAGAAGACCAACAATATGAAGAAGCCAACAGTGAAGAACTTTATCAATTATAGCCCGATATTCAGTCATAGTATACATAATGATAGAACCTGTATGTCAATGGATACACTGCAGACTGGATTGAACAAGGGAGCATACTTTATTGCCAAGGTGAAGAAGGTGGTTTCACCATCAGAGTCAGTGCCCCGTATTGCCGTGTGTTCCGATCGCAACTCACAACTGATGGTCATCTCAATATACAACATAACATCCAACGCCATCAAGAAAGGTGATCTAATCGCTGTTGCCGATCCCTTTGTCAAAGATATACATCTGTCTACAGGTCAACTGGTAAGCATTACATATGTTGGAACCATTACATTCCAGATCTAACACCTTGATACGATGAATCCAGAATGTAAGATATAGGTGCATTCAAACAAAGTCATCAAACATTGAGATACGAGGAAAGAGTGTATCGACCTTGTCCTCAACGCCACAGGTTGTAATTGGAAATAGTTAGTTGATCACAAACATGGTGATTCAACGAGAGAATTGTACATAATACATGGTTTAATCGATCAATCAAGGCGTGTTGACAGATGATACCTCCTCAACAACATTGATGGCAACCGCTGATGGAGGAACAACTAGTACGATGTCGGAGGAGACAGCTCTATTCCTACGTCTCTTGATCAAGTAGATGGAGACACCAGCAATGGATAAAACAAGGACTGAGGCACCGGCGATTGCAATACCAAGGTACATGGGTGACATCATTACTTGATCATTTTGGTATACTCTCATAGATAGCTGAAGTCCATCACTTGATTGATGGATGGTGTAGCGATTACTTGGCTTATCACTGTCAAACACAACACTGACCTTTGCAGAGCCCAGTCCAGGACTGTTCTGTCCCACACTGAACAATGTAAACTCCTTTCCCTCGGCATCACCAGTGACATTACCATTGACTCTGACTTGAATAGTACCCTGGGCATCCCATGAATCAGTGATAGTAACTATAGAATGGCATTGGTGTTAGTTAATGACCTTGGGATGATGTAGATGTGGAAGTAAGAAGTACATACTATGTGAGGCCTCATCTGGATTGATGACCATGTTGATTGTACTATCTGGTGATGACATGACCTTTCCATTGATTGTCAGCTTGGTGACTTGTGACACTGAACCAATGTTACCATTGTTGGAAACAGTTCCAGAGATCTGACCAACACCGGATAGACTACCATCATTATTTATGTGACCAACGATGGAGGCACCATTTAGATGAACATTGTTTGAAGTCTTGATTGGAGTCGTACTTGATATAGTACTGTTGACCAACTCTACACTCTTCATTGTAATTGATCCATTGGCAGTATTAACAATGCTAACATCCTTAAGTGTATGTCCCTCAACTTGAAAGTTGGAGTTACCCTAAATGTATTGATTGTCTCATTAGTATATGAGGGAAAGGCAACATCATCTTTGATAGATTTACATTCAGTTCAAAGGATATTGGTTCATTGGCAGCTGGAGTGTCGGATGGGATGCCATCGTTAAGGTCTGCGGCTAACTTGGAGGGCATGGAATCCCATGGAGACTTGAAGCGATAGTGGATTGTGGAATGATCGTAGAGTTTGATTGTCAATCTTCTAACTGGAAGGATAAGGCCAGAGAATATTACTTTGGCAAAGTCACGTACTACTACTGAACCCTTCATGTTGAATATGGTGTTCTCAAAGTAGAGTGAACTGTTGAAAGAGGCAACAATGTTGGAGTTGGTAGCGCTATCAATCTGACAAAAGTCAACAAAGGATATTCCCTTAGGACTAATAGTATGTAGAGTTCCATTGAAAGAGACTGTTGATCTCCTAGCAATCATGGATGCATCTTGGACAAAACTAAGTGTGCTGAATGACATTCTTGAACTGACTATATTCAGGTTGGCTTGGTCCTTTGATTGTATTATGAGGTTAATATGGTGGATGAAACTATCAATTAATATGATTTGCATACCATTAGATAATATGAATGAGTCTTCAAGGTGGCTTTGTTAAAGGTTAGATTTGAAGTATGAATAGTTGAGGTCAATCCATTGTTCCAAAGATCAAGAGTACCTCCATTGGAATTGAAGGATGATGAGCGTATCCTTGCCACATTCTTAACTTGGCTGGTAGCTCCACTGACTTGGTTAAGTTTACTATTTATCATAGATATGAAGTTGGAGTTGATTACATGTCTTCCCTTATCTAGAAATATAATACAATTAATATGGATTCGTTCCATAAATATATGTGAAGTACTTACGTAGTGATATTGATCCACCATCAGATACTAAGTTGTTACAATTGATGACACCAGATGACATTTGTAACTTTGAGGTGAGTTGGGTCGAGATGTTGGAGGAGAAGGCAGGTGTATTCAATGTGGAGTCAATAAAGAGATTGGCATTGTTTCCAATGATTGATTGAAGTGTTGAAAGACTACCAGTGTTGCTAATGACCATTGTTCCATTGAGGTTGGAGTTGAAGCTCAATGATTTAATAAATGAGAATCCATTACTAAGTGATACAAATGTGTTATTCTTTGTAATAACAACGTCATCATTGTTTGTTGGAACTCTATCCAAGTTCCAATTCAAAGGATTAAAGTAACTGTACTGATTGGTAGCAGTTTGTTTCCAAGACACTTCCTCAGCCGAGGTGATAATAATTGTCAAGGTGATAATGATTAATAATAGTTTAATTAATTGTGTCATTATTATTATTATTTGTTATTTGATAATATTACAAAAGTATGGTACAAGAAGATAATAATAATAATGTTTGAAGATGATGATGGAATTATAAGATTGGAGAATTGATGGTTTAGGATTCGTACGTTAGACAACAACAATATTAATAATAATACTGATACAATCAACACTTAAGGTTATATCAGATTGTACTTTCTGATTACAATCACATATATTAATAGCATTGGATCAACATGGATTTCTCAGCCCAGTGCTAATCTCACTGTACTCTCGCCTCATCTCCTGTTTAATTATCGACGCAAGTTCATTGCCTATCCTCACCACACCCTCACCAACAACCTACCATCAACCAATCAATCAAACACCTGTTTGAATTCGACACCCTTTCCCATGGACTATGGGTGTCAGTTCATCACAACACAAAGAGAAGTGCGTGTGTGTGTGGGTTGATCAATCAATCTGAGTGACTACATTCTTCACAACAAAGGTGCGCGGATCTTGTGGTTATGAGTGTGTGTTGATGTTAAAATTGGCAATGAGGGATCACGTTGTGATCACATCCTCCATCTGCCAAAGGACACCTGCGGAACAGGCATCTATCCACCCGTCCATCAGTCCATCTTGGTGGCCATTGAACGATGCCAGTCTGTCTTGGCAATCAGGCAATCTTATAATGATGATGTTGTTGTAGCGATAGTGCCGAAGGAGCACGGCCCCTTTATTGCCTTCCACTGACTGGCCTTTAAGAAGAAGTGCTACTACCATTGCCATTATCTGTAGCTGCTGGTTGTTGATTGTAACGCTTGATTTGAAGTAAAGAGGTGAGCCTGTTCATGGCCAATGTTGCACGTCGTGGCCTGTTCTTGTTCTGAGCAGCACGCTCCTCACGCTCCTTCTGTCGCTTCTCTATTGAAGTCTTGATCAGCGAGAAGATGTCCAGCTGCTTGGGCAGGTCCTTGAGGTTGATGTTCAACTTCTTGAGGTAGGTCAGGTCAGGCTTCAAAATGGCAAAGTTAATGTTCTTGAGGGCGTTCTTCAGACCCAGTGGATCAAAGTCGCGCACACCACTGCGCACGGCCTCTCTATATGCCGTCAATATTACAACGAAGCGCTCTGATTGCTTGTCAATTGCCTTTTGGCTCAGACCATCACCGTCCACAAAGAAGAACTCTCCAAATGTCTTGACCATTCCATCAATCAAGTCCAACTGCTTCAATGACAATTCAAAGTCACGCTTCTTTGATGGAAATATCATCTCGTCAAGTATCTGTGAAGATGGAGAGAGTGAGTGATCATGTGATTGATTGAGATAGTCCCGCCGGCAGTACATACATTGATAATACCAGCCCATAGTCTCTTGAGTAGTTGCTTGGTCAGGGGGTAGTAGAGGTATTGGGAGAATAGTTGTAACTTGGATGCGATATAGTGAAGGAGTGGAGTGAGTAGGACAGAGATGGGCTCTTCGACTTGTGTGTTGAAGTCAAGGTTCTCGCCAAGCATGTGGAAGAAGTCGACAACAACGTTCTTGGACTTGTCCTCAGGGTCAATGTCGACGATACGATACACCTCGCTGACGAGCACCGGTGCCAGACGGTCATAGATTCTATCGACAAGCTTTCGCACATTGCCATTGATGGCCTGGTATGAATGCTTGGCCATGGCATTGACGATGGACGGTGAAAGTTTGTAGTTGTCCATCATCCTGAGCAGCACGCTGATCAGGTCCTCGGTGTGGCCTAGACACGCCTGGATGTTGTTGAAGCGCAGTGACACTCGCTGCACGGTCTGCACGAGCTCGGGCGAGTACTGATCAGACAGCTTGAAGATGTCGTCCGCAGCCGTGTCCCATGCCTTTAGACTGAGATCCCTGATGACGTTGGTGTAGTAGATGATGGTCTCGGAGAGCACCATGGTGAAGTTGCTGAATATCTCAAACAGGCTGTGCTGGCCCTCGGCATGATGCATCTTTTGCAGGTCCTCCCATCGCAGACTCTTGATCACATCCAATGCGTGGTAGCAACCAACCAACAACTCTCCAACTGATGCCGAGTGAAGTGTATCATCGCTGACTGGGTCCCACTTCTCGTTGGCGCACAGACGATCGACCAAGTCCTTCAACTGACCTGCCGAGTGCAGTATCCATTGAAGTACACATTGTTTAAATAGTATTGGAATTGGAAGTAATACCATCCTGTTTGTTTGATTGATTGATTGATGAGTGATGTTAGTGTGAGTGGAATGGAAGTCCATGATTGATTACCGATCATACTTTGGAAAGATTCCACTGAACTTGCTCATGGTCTCTTTGAGCTTGAAGTAGAGTTCGAGGAACTCGACCAATTCCTGAGGATTACTCGCGCCCTTGCCAGTGAGGTCGTCGATTTCGATTGCGATCAGACTGGTGTAGACCTCTATTGAGATCACTAATATGTTACATTCGCTTGGGAAGTCCTTGCTAAAGTGCTTCTGGTCAATGTCCATGTTGAACATCAGTATGTCACAGACGCGCACCAACAGTGCCGCCTTGCCCGCTGGGTTGGGCAGCTTCTTTATCATCGCATCGGCCATTGACACGGCCGTCTGATATCGTCTCTCGTACAACTCCCTAATCAAGTCAGGGAGGGCTGGTAATGTGTAGAGCTCTGAGCTTCTAAACATGTAATATATCTATTGTTCGCGTGTGTGCGTGCGTGCGTTAGGTTAGATGGCGTGGACATGGACTTGGACGCCACGTTGACACTTACATCGATCAACATCCTAAGTGATCCTGGAGGGGTGTTGAGAGGGAAGACAGAGTGGAAGTTTGAAAGCCACATCTTGAATGTGAGGGCCAGGTTCTCGACTATGGCTTTAAGACTGGCCTCTTCGGCAATGGTCAGTCCAATCTCGCTAAACTTCATCTCGATAACATGCTTGAGAATGCCTCGCAGCTCCACAATACACTCGAGATAAGAGTCACGGATGATCAACTTGGACAGATAGTCCAACATTGCCAGCTTTGTTGTCTGATCCAGTATACCATAGCGATCGGCGTACTCCTTCAACAACATGGTGGACTGTGTCGAGAGCATGGATGTCTTGCTCGCGTCAAGGATCGCTCTCTTCTTCTTTGTTGGTGTAGTTTGCACACTGCTGCTGCCAGGGATTATTGATAATTGGTCGGCGGATGCTACGCCCAACTCTTGTGACATCAATCGCTCGAGTAGTATACGATAGTATACTGTGTGATTGGGGTATGACGCTGTCACCTCTGGGAATGGGAGGTAGTGGAACTGCAATCTAATGTCTCCACTGACCTTTGATCTCGATGATCTCTTCTGCAATGGATACCAACTGACTTCGCGTTTATGGAACTGCATCAACTCCTTTGCAGTGAACTTGTACTTTCCAAAGAAATGGTCCTTCTCCCTGTTGTCCCATAGATTGAACTCCAACTCTGCCGAGTTCATATTGAGCTTGGTGATGTGGCTGATTGATCGATTGAGTGAGTGAGTCGTCCAACACTGTCACCAACCATCGCCAAATTAACTTACAAACAGAAGTGCTCCTTGAACACTGGATTCAATCCGGATGCTTTCTTGGTCCTCTTCTTCTCACCTCCAAATTCAACCTCGACGAATGGACTTGGTTTGCTGTTGCCCTCCTTCTGTATCAGATCTCTCGCCTGTACAACCTTGATGGCGATCACACCAATCGAATCCTTCTCCTTGCTCTTGATACCCCATACCGACTTCATGTAGTCCTCCTGTGGCTGATTCTGCGAGCTTATCTTTGTGAGTGTAGACTCTTCAAACTTGCGCCAACTCTGGAAGTTTGGATCATTCTGGATTGATTGAGTAAGTATTAGTATGTGTGTCCATGAACCCATCAATGACCATCACATGTGACCACTTACCTTGAAGCATGCCCTGCCGTAGAATGGATGGCTTTCGATGTTCATCTTGCGACACTTCATTTGTTGATTGAAGAACTCTTTGGATGCCAATGCCTTGGCACGAAGATATGCAATCTTCTCTTGATAGGCGTCAAGACGCAGTGCCTGGCGAATAATGCCAGATTTCTCATCGGTCTCAACGGCCTCCACCGCCATTGAAAGGATGTGACCAAACTTCTGAGTGCTGTCATTGAATACCTTGCTGTCGTTGTAGTTGTCCTTCTTGAACTGCTCCGTCAGGTGATTGTTGAACTGTCGCTGTAGGTACGTGCAGCTGTACTCTGAGGCATCGCGCAGGTTGGTCAGCGTGTCCTCGATGAAGCGCTCCAGAGCCTGCGCCAGCAGACCAAAGCCCTTGGGGTCCGACTCGGACTCGCGCTGTGCCAATGAGAGATAGAATGCAAACACCTCGTTCAGACTCTGCAGGATCTTCTTGACGCGTGATGGGTTGTCGCGAATCATCTGAACAAAGTATGTATCCTGTGTCTTTACTACATCGCGTCTGTAAGAGCCTGTGGCGAGGAGAGGGTAGAACAAGCAGTGATGCATATTCTCAAACAACTGTAACAAGTCTTCGTTTGATGTTGAGACTGGTGCAGACAGTGCTGTCTTTGTCGCTACAGTACCAGCAGGTATGTCCGATGTCATCTCCAACTTTATCGTCTTGATGAAGCAGAGTGAGTGAATGAGTGTGAGTGAGTGAGTGCGTGTTGGACTGATTGATGTTGACTTACAAGGTCGCCGGGATATAGGATCTTCTTGTCAGCTGTCGATGTCCACATTGAGAAGATACCCTCCTTTGATGCTTTGGTGGTGAAGTCGATCTCCACGCGGTTCTTGACAAGTGGCGTGACGATCAGGTCGATGGTGGGCACGGACAATGGTGTCGTGGACGATGATCCCCCTGTAGAGTTGTTGTTGCCTTGACCTCTCATTGGTGACAATGAACCAGAGTTTGAAGGTGAGTGACTATGTTGTTGTGATGGTGGGACAAGACCACCTCTACTATTATCACTCCTACTGTTGCCATCACCTCTACTGTTATCAATTCGAGATGACATGGCTTGTAATATAACTTAATATATATCTATATATATATGTTTGTTATAACTATATATATTTGATTAATTAATGTGAATGATCATTGATTCATTCATTCAATCATTCGGGAACAGAACAACATCCACTCACACACCTCACCACCTCGCACCACTACAACCCCCAAGTCGCACCATCCGCTCGCGCGACAACCTAAATCATTGATCAAAATGTGATCTGAAAGTCTGTGCCCTGGGCAATCAAACATATCTAATTAACGATGAAATGGTGCAATGATGGGGAGGAATTATAACTATACTTTATTATAACTATAATTATTATTGCAAGGGAGATGTGATTGAATGTTTGAATGAATGAATGATGAGTGGAGTGAGTGGAAGGATGTTGGAGGCACTTCACTTGGCTGATGCTAATGGCTTGGAAGGTAGTTTAACCTTGAGTTGTACCTTTGGCTTGGGTGATGGAGACCTTGGCACCTCCACAACCTTGGCCTTTGCCTTGGCCTGGCCAGCCTTCTTCACTGTCTTTTTTGCTACTTCGCTGTCTGAACTTGACAATGATCTTGATCTTGAACTTGACCTTGACCTGGAACTCGAAGAACTCGATCTTGATCTTGATCTTGACCTCGACCTCGACCTGGACCTGGACCTCGATCTTGACCTTGACCTATCTTCATCCTCTGAATCACTAGATACACCGCCACCACCTCCTCCTCCACTAGTATGCTTGGACGACTTGTTCTGTGAATATATAATATGCTTCCTGACCTGTTCCCTGGTCCTGGTCTTGACATGCTCGGCTAGTCTGGCAATCTTATCATCGTCATCGGCATACAACTTCATTGCCTCCTGCAGACGCACCTCCTCATCCGGTCTCCACACTCCAATGTTGATGCCATCCGGTCTCTTTCGAGGCTTGCGAGTCTTCTTTGGTGATCCACCGCCATTTGTTGTTGTTGTACTCGTCTTCTGTCTCTTCTTTCTGTCTCGATCGTCATCGTCATCATCATCATTATTGTCTTTATCTTTGTATTTATCTTTATCTTTGTTGTTGTTGTGCTTTTTGTTATTGTTGTTGTTGTCATTGTCTGAACCATGTCCTTTTGAAGTTGATACAGAGTCACTATCTTCCATGTCAACATGCTCAGTCTCATCATCATCATCCATTATATCACCTCTAGCCCTCTTACAACTCCTTTATCCTATGCTCTACCACATTCTTTATCTTTGTTACTGTTGCAATGATATCCCTCCAACTCACTATCCAATCTTAGCAAGTCCTTCTCCGTAAATTCCTTCTCTCTATCTCTATCTCTATCTTTCTTTCCCATCTCTATCTATCTAATATATAATATATGTATTAAGTATTAAATGAATGAATGAATGATATGAATATATCTCTTTATGTAATGTGTAGCTGTAACCTTTTGATTGACTTTGTGTCTATTTGTTTGAAAGGATATATATCTAGATGATTGAATGAATGAATGATAGAGTGAATGAATGAAAAAAGAGAGATGGTCTCAATGGTTGTGTAGACTGGGCATCGAGATGCACCTCTCAACTAACACGTTGCGTGGTGTTGCCAGTCGCCGTGGAACTCATTCATTCGTAAAGGTCGCCACTCACTCCCATTCTCATGCGCTGGAACACGCCCGCTTTGGAAGTTGTTGGAAGTTGCATTCCCAAAGGAAAACCAAAAAAAAAATGTGTTGTGCGTGATGGATGGATGGCAAGGGCAAGCAAAGGAAGGAAGCAAGGAAGGATGTGATGGACGCGGTGTGTCGAGCTTATAAATATATATATATCTTTATATAATCATCAGTTGTCTGGAGGTGGAACATCACCTACCTCCTCTTCTCCTTGAGGTCGTTGTTCCTGTTGTGGCTGTTGTTGAGGCTGTTGTTGTGGTTGTTGTCTAGCTCTCTGTTGTTGTTGAGGTTGTTGTTGAGGTTGTTGTCCTCTATTCTCACCTAATATCATCTCTTGTCTACGTAGTACAAGTAATACGAATATTGCCAACAATACGAATATTACCATTGTCTCTAGTTTGGAATAAAGTGAGTCAGATTCAACCTCGTCCAAGTGGATCTTGGACAGGATATCTACGTCGGGACCAAGTGAGCCAGTGTCATCCAACAGTGCCGAGACAGACTTGTCCAACAGCATGCCAGTTGGATCGCCATAGATGAGCGACATGATATACTTGTAGACAAAGTGCATGGCTAGTCCTAGCAGTGCGGCGTACACGGGGATGTAGGCCGTGGGCTGATGTACCAACGCCATCTCATAGTAGCGCTTGGCCAAGTAGAGGTTCTGCGCACAGCCCTGACCATACTGGTTCATGTAGCCAAGGTTGAAAAGGGCCTGCGAGTTCTGAAGGAAGGCTGCAGACTGATATGAGTTGGCCGCCATCTCGATGGAGGCTGGCGAGCCACGGCCATAATAGAAGTAGTCGCCCAGCTTCAAGTAGGCCACAGGGTTCTTTTGCTCTGCCGAGTGCAGATAGTAGCGGAAGGCATGCTTGTCGGAACTCTCGTCGGATGCCAGGTCGTCGATCACACCAAGACGCTGATCGTACATCCACGCGGCGTTGTTCTGGGCCACCTCGATTCCCATCTCGGCAGCCTTCTCAAAGAAGAGCAGCGCGCGCTCCTCGTCGCCTTGCTTCAGAAGCTCGTGTGCCTGCGTAAGCACCATCGACCACAGGCCCTTCTCGGCCACCTTTTTGAAGTAGTAGACGCTGCCCTGGCAGGTCCCCAGGGTGTTGTGCGCTAGGTTGATCTTGGCGAGATAGTACATGCCGGTGGGGCTGCCCTGCTCGGTTGCCAAGTGGAAGAACTGGAATGCGTTGAGGTCCTTGTCCAGAGGCTTCACGCCAGCCATGTACAGCTTGCCAAGATGAATCTGTGCATCAACATCATCATTCTCAAACGCCTCGACGAACAGCTTGAGTGCCTGCGCTTGGTTCTTCTCGACGCCCCAGCCATTGAGATACATCTCGCCCAGGTTCGACATGGCACCATAATGATGTTGTTGAGCGGCCTTCTTGTAGTGCTTGGCTGCAGTGACATTGTTCTGATCGACACCGTAGCCCTTGGAGTACATGAAGCCCAAGCCTGCGACACCAGCCGGATAGTTCATGTCGGCTGCTTGGCGGTAGTAGTCGAATGCCGCACGATAGTCTTGTTCAATGCCAAAGCCGCCTTGGAGATAGATGTTGGCCATCATCACCAGTGAGCTGGCTTCGCCCATCGACGCAGAGTACTTGTAATAGTCGACGATGGACTCCTTGTCCGAGTAGTCTGTGCGTTGGTAGTTGAGCTCGTCAGACAATCGCTCGTCGTCAATGTGGTATCCAAATCCGCGGTTCTCAAAGTCATCGACCATCTGTCGCGCCACCTCCTCGTAGAGCATGGCGGCGACTGGACACGACTTTTGTGTGCCGTAGCCGTGAAGATAGCGATAGCCCAATGAGAGTTTGGCCACCATGTTTCCGGCGGTCGCTGCAAATGTATAAAAGAGCAGTGCCTTGGCCTCGTCGATGGGCACGCCCTTTCCAGTTGCATAGAGGAATCCCAATGCCTGCTGGGCATCAGAGTTGCCAAGGTCTGCTGCTTTGTGATACCATTCAGCTGCCTTTGTGAAGTTGATCAATCCTGTTTCACCGATCTAATGATTTTTTTGATTGATTGAATGAGTGAGTTGATTGATCATTTGAGTGTCCAAGCCTTGAAGGCATTCATTAAACAACATACCTCCTCCATTGTGCCAAGTGTGTACATTGCCTTGTGGTTTCCAAGATCGGCGGCCTGGTTCAAGAGAAGGATTGCGCGATCCAGGTCAAACTCTGAACCAGAGAACTTGAACACCTCCTTTTGCTGGACACTGTGCGTGTCCTCCACGAGAACGTATCCTCTACGACGCTGACCTTGGACAAATATGTCGTGGCCAGGCAACTCGGTGGCCTCTGGCGCAGGGCCATTGCCGGCAAACAGGAAGCGAGGCGGTAGCTTTGCAAATTGGTTCAGCGCCGCTGCCTGTGCAACGTCCTTGTTGTTGAGCAGCTTGAACTGCTGGACCATTGCATCATCATTGACACCCGCAGCCGCTGCGTTGGGTTGGGCTGGCATCTGCTGCTGCACCATCAACTTTCTCTGTTGGTTCACCTTTGCATCGTCGGACGATGCTGGTAAGTCTCGTGTGTCCACCTGGAGCAGGTGGGGGAAGGCCAAGAGGAATGGCTCGAGTTCCTCGTCGTACTCCTCCTCGTCCTCAAACTGGGAGTCATCTTCATCTTCGTTTTCGCCCAAGCTAAGGATACCGCCCTTCTCGAGATACCTAATCAATTCCTGAAGTTGTTGTTGCTGTTGCAGTAGCTGACGTTGTGATTGCTCAACGACTACTGTACGTTGTTGTTGTTGTTGCTCCTGATCCACCTGTTGTTGTTGTTGTTGCTGCTGCTGTTTGCCGTCGTCGTCAATCGGCTTTGTTAGAGTTTGTTTCAACTGTTTGAATAACTGTTCATTATTCTTCTTCTTTTGTTGTTGTTGTTGTTGTTGTTGGCCTTGTGTTTGGCCCTGTGTTTGTTGTTGTTGTTGTTGCTTCTGTTGAGTTTGTGCCTGTACAAATGATGAAGTTGTAGTTGTTGTAGTTGATATCAATACAATTATGAACAATAATGTACATATGACCAAGCATCGAGTATCAGAACCAATTATACTCCTTGCCATGGTTATATAATATATATAAGTATATATCTATATATCTAATATATCTCTGTTTTTGTTGGTTGTTTGTCAATTAATTGAACTGACACTTCATTCATTCTTTCATTCATCCATTCATTCACACACACAACTCTCAATGTCTTCAAACAAAAACACGAGAATGACTCACTTCTTCTTTGGATGACTCGTCACCTTTTGTTGTGGGTGGGTGACGCGGCACCAACTTTGGTCTTCCAAACAGGTCCCCAAGGCCTCCTTCCTGGACCCGCTCAAAGACAACAATCGAACAATCATTCAATCAACCATTCCAACTTCCAATCCAACGACAATAAGTGATTGTGTGGATATTGATGCCATGCATGGCATGTCTGTGTATCGTATCGCGTTCGAACTATGCATGAGATGCCTGGTTTAATTGTCAGAGTCGGATGAGTGTGAGGCAGCCTTGGCAGTGACCTTCTTCTTTGGAGTGGAGACTGGCTTCTTTGGGGTGACTGGCGCATCTGAGGAAGAGTCCTCGTCCTCGGGCTCGTTGCGCTTGGCCTTCTCAGCCTTCTCCTTCTTCTTCTTCTCGGCCTCCAGCTTCTTCTCCTCAGCCTTCTTGGCGGCGTCGGCAGCCTTTTGCTCATCGGACTTCTTCTTTCTGCCTCTCTTCTTTGGCTCGTCGGATGGACTATCTGCTGGTGTCTCTGGTGCCTTTCTCTTCTTGTCTGTGACTGGGGTGGTTGGGGCTACTGCAGCTGGAGCTGGAGTGGCTGGGGCGGTAGCATTGCCATTGGTATCAGTCTTCTTTGTTGCTCTCTTCTTTGTAGGCTTGGCAACAGGTGTCTGTGGTGCAACTGCTGGTGATGGCAAGCTGAAAATCGATGAAAGAGTTGGGACTGACAGACCAGCGCTTGGGCTAATAATGATGATGGTAATGATGATGGATTAGTATTTCATTGTTGTTGTTGTTGTCGTCAAGTTGTCCATACTCTTTCTTAATTTCGCTCACTATTATTGTTTGATGATGGAGATGGTCAGTGTCATTGTTAAGATTTGAATGAATAAAGGTTCATATGAACTTACACATCTGGTTAAAGACAACATGGTAGTAGTTGAAGATCTGACCAGCCTCACCTGCCATCTATATTGTTGATGAATGATGTCATTGATCGAGATGATCACATTATTAGTTAGGGAAATGAAATGAATGTCGTTCGCTCATTCATCTTTAATTAACTTTACTTCATTTAAAGTGTGTGTGAAGTGAAATTAGATAATAATAACTAACCTTGGCATTGAGGGTAAGCATTTGTTGGAGTTGCTCTGATGATATTTGTTGGCTCATTTTACAAACTCGATTGTCGATGGTTCTATACAGATAAATGGGTCAACAACAACAATTGGAAATAAATAAATTATATATATATAAGTATGAATGAAATAGTTTTATAGATTGATCACAAGCTCATTGCCAATGTTGAGTTTTATTGTTGAGCATTTGTTTTGTTGTTGTTGCAATTCAATAACTGTGTGATCAAGTGTAAGCAACTCGACTGAGTGTGATGCTTGGAATGCTCGAAAGAAATTAAAAAAAGTAATGACTGCCGCACAAATCGAGTGAAAAGAGAGGGAGAGCACTGATTATCTCAATTCATTCTTAGTGCAGCTTTGAAAAAATAGAGTGTTGTGAGAGACAACACTAACAAATATCAATAAATTGTGTCCATGAGTACGTACGTGAGTGAGCGCAAACAAACAATGATTCATGAACACCTCTCTTTAATTTGAATAACTTGACAGGTTGAATGCATAAACAAAAACAATGTACAGCAATTAATTAAAATGATTGCATGGTTGGATTGATTGTAATAATAATATATATATACAAGTTGGGTATTGGATTTATTATCCAAGCATTTTATCCTCTATTCTAATGTTGCCATTGAGTGCTCATCAAGATATATAATTGGTTGGTTGAATACTTTGATTGACTAATTGATTGATTGATTGGACATAAATATATATACATCCAACGATGTCGTTGTATGGAGTATTCGGCTATATTTTGTGTCATGACCAAGTGTGCACATACTGATGATGAAGATGATGAAGGTAGTGACATTGTGTATCGATATGTGATGTGATCAGTGCTTAGACTTTGACTTGGACTTTGATGAGCCATTTGATTTGCTTCCAGATGTTTCTTTGGTTGTTGTCGTTTCCTTCTCTTTTGGTGCACCAGACTCTTTGCTCGGTGTTGATTCCTTTGTGGCCGCCTTGTCACTGCCTGATGTCGCAGCAGCAGTGGTAGCAGCAGCATTGGTTGCATCCTTTGATGCGTCCTTCTTCTCTGTCGATGTTGTCGAGGTAGTCGTCGTTGTTGTTGTTGTCGCCGCTGGTTGTTGCTGTTGTTGAGGTGGAATGGTCTCTGCAAAGTAGTCTGGCTTCCTGATGTTGATTCCATAGTCGCGTAGACTCTGTGACAGATCATCCATTGTGAGCACCAGCTGTTTCTCCTTCTTGACCTTCTCACGTGTTGGTGCCTGTTGTCTAATCTTACAGAACTGCATACTATCATTGGCTACATCCGATATGAACTTTTGAGTTGCCAACGATATCATTCTCTTGCTGTTTATATATAGTTTGAGTGTCTGTTAGTCATTCCTGTCACAACATTGACTCATCACAAACAGTGATGTTGATTGATTGATGCCTGTCCTGTTTGCTGTCCTGTTTGCTGTCCTGTCACATTCATTCTACCAATACATACATCTTTTGATCAGAGCACTCAAAGCCTGTCTTGTTCAAGTAGTATGTTATCACTTCATCTGGTATCTAAGTACAACGTTGATGATATTGATTGGGAATGTAAGTCATTCAATCATTCATTGATTTGATTCAGCCTGTCATATGTAATATCTACCGTTGGCACATAGTCCTCCAATGAGTTAATGAACTCCTCATAGTCAACTTGATCCAGATCCATTATCTCTCTACTCTATCTGTATCTGTCGCAATGTATGAATGAACAACAAAGTCAATGTGATTGTTTTGTCAGTTTTTACACACAAATGAAGTGAGAGGGCAAGAGCAAGGGTAAGGGTAAGGGTAAGGGTATGCATTGTTTTATTATAAGTTGTAATGAAGGTCATAATTTGAGTGACGCAGCTCTTGAGTTATTCTCTTTAATGGTTGATCATATTGGAGGAACATTGCAAACATTAACTCGTTGAAGAACAGTCCAAAGTGATCGTCCAGTCTTCTGGCATGAAGTTTGCCATGCCAAGTTGAGAATGTAATGTTGTCGATACCTCTGATATGATTGAGATAGGATCGCTTTGAGTATAGACATGGCTCCATTTCAATTTCCTCATCATTTGATATCTCCCGACCTGGATGTGGATGTGATATGTGCAGCTGGATGAGTGTTGGGGGCAGAGTTATCCGTCCGTCAATCAATTTAAAGTTGTTCATATTGGGGATGGTCAGTGAGGTGACTGACGATGGGATGCACTCTGATGATAGACATTGACTGTAGCGCTCTCCAAAATCAATCATTGTTAAATTGGGTGGTGTTATGACATAATTATCCATGGATAATGGCTGATCAAACGATTTTCCAAACTTGATGGTTGTCACTGAGTTTGGAAACGTGCCGTCCCAGAAGGTGTCGGGCTTTGGATTCCTCAGCATACTTGGAGTCATCTTCACGGGCCGATCGAAGTGAGTACCATATTCGTCTCCAAAGATCAGAGTCTTGACAGAGTCGGGGATTACTCCAGGGTCCAATGTTTCAGAGAACCCATTCCCAAAATCCAATGATGTCACTGTGGCTGGGATCACTCCAATATCAATGATGCCATAAAAGCTGTCTCCAAACTTCAAAGTTGTAACACCAAATGGTATCGAACCTGGCGCCAGGCTATGACAAAAATCATCACCAAGGACCAAAGTAGTAAGCGACGCTGGCAATGACCCAGCTTCTAGATCGCAAGTCAGATTAATATTGAGATCGGTCACTGATGATGGGATTGATGGAGGTGCTTCATCATCAAGTCCACTATAATCCAACTTAAGTGATGTGATTGAGTTTGGAAGTGATGTTTGAGTGATCATGTGTTTGAAATTCGCTCCCAATGTCAGAGTCGTCACCGACGGAGGAATGACTCCTTCCTCCAGTGGTTGTTCAAACTTTGCGTATGGATCATCATCGTCTAAGTCCAAATGCAATGTGGTTACAGAGTTTGGAATGATACCTGGCAAGACTGGCTGGCCAAGTTCATAGAGGCTCAATGTTGTGATAGATGTCGGGAGCATTCCAGGCTCCAATCCATCAGGGTTGGTCAGCTCCAAATGTGTGATTGTTGTTGGAAATGATATTGGTTCAAATAAGTATAACCAAATCATAAGACGAGTTAATGATGGTGGCAACCGGAGTGGATGATCGTATTGACCAGATCGGCCAATACCACCAAACTTTAGTGATGTGATTGAGTCTGGCAACACACCTTGGAGATCATGATTGTATTGTTCACTACCAAGATCCAAAGTATGTACTGATTGAGGTATCGAGCCGACAGGGAGTCGTTGCCTAAAGTCAAGTCCAAATGTCAGGCTAGTCACTGATGGAGGGATTGCACCGACTTTAATTAAGACATGCTCAACTCTCTTTCCAATTATCAATGTCGTCACTGATGATGGGATCATTCCAGGGTCAAGGGTGTGGCCAAATAGTGATCTGAAGTACAGCGTAGTGATTGAAGTGGGTATGTACATGGGTTGTTTCTTGCTGGTACGTGTATCACTTTCGACAACACATGCTTGAAAGTACTGAGGAACATTATCCACTTTCTTCTGATACTGATCATATATGAATCTCGACTTTGATGATAGTGATCCAATGAACTGTTGTTGATAATGAGAGGGCTTGTAGTCCTTGCCATTTGAGATGATGCTGTATAGTACTGCATGATCATGTTCCAATGTTCTTTGTGCATCCACCTCGTCTTGAAGTTCATTATAATCATCACTGTCTCTATCTATATCTTTTCTGATGACTGTCTCCACTCTATCTGGATTGAACAGTAGATACTTGTCTCTGTTCTTGAACAATGAGCTGCATACCAAGCTCTATCAACATTATCATCAATGTATGATACTATCTTATGAACTAATAAATAAGACAATTGATTGATTATTGTTGTCATTATTGTATATTGAATATATATATCTCTCCAACTTGTTGTAAAAATAATAATGATCATTGATCCACTTTGATCAAAAAACATGTTTTACAAATGTTAAGATATTTATTTTATAAAATAAAATAATTAATTTATTAAATATTGGGTAATTTTAATCCCCAACTCTTTAGAATATTCTCTATAATATCCAAACCATTTGAACTTGAATAAATATCATTATTACCTTTATGTTCTAAACTCTAATAATTCCAAGAGAATCCAATGTATTTGTAAATGAACACTTTTGTTGGTTTAGATTCATTGTTTTTGATGAGGGTTGAATGTCTTGATTATCCAAATTTACATACTCCCATTCTGTTCCTATTATCTCATCGTCAGAATCCATTAAATATATATATATTTATTATTATTACTATAATTATTATTATTACTTGATTATTATTAATTAGTTCAAATGAGGAATATTCCATTTTTTGAAGGTCACTGTATCCAAAATTAAATCTATTTATAATAAATCCAAATAGAGATTATTTAAAAACTTTATTTAGAGGTGACTGACCAATATTCCAAACGGTGACAATTTTATATTATCGATCATTTTTTGGTAATTGATTAATGGCTTGAGCAATAGTAGTGAAGCCTCCACTAAGTATATTTTCTCTAAGATAATATTTTATTCATTCGATGTAAATCTGGATGTCCTTGTCAGTTCAATGAATGAATGAATCACTATTTAGTTGTTTTAATTGATTGGTAATAGATGTGATGGAGGTGAATCCACATTCAGTTAAATCCTCATTGTGATAACGGAAGAATGTTGTGTCATTGATTCGCAATAGGTTGACAATCTTTGAGTTGAATGAAAGCTCAAATCGTTGGATTGACGCAGGGAATACCATTAGGAAATCATAGAATTGTCGAGTATAACCAGTGGTCCAAATTAGATGTCTCAATGTTGTTGGCAACACCTTTGGGTCGAGGTCTATGCTGTGCTCGGGTATACTGAGCTTTGTGAGTGACTGAGGTAGATGACCTTGTTCAAATGGATGTCCATAGCCAATCAATGTCAATGATGTGATGCTGTTTGGTAGTAGGCCAGCGCTCAGCTTGAATACACCTTTATGATCAATGGCCACGACCATGCTAGTGAGGTTGGGTGGGAATGATAGAATTTGTAATGTTGATGGCACTCTCATCGCAATGTGCTCGAGACCTGATGGCAAGCACGATAAGTCCATCGAAAGATCATGGTGAATGTTCAATGATTGTCTGTCCCGAGTTGTTTCCAAAATGAGCAATGCTGGGAAATGTTTAGATGTTACGCCCAAGAGGTTATCCAAGACGTCATACACCATAAGCTTGGTGAGGTTGGGATACTTCACATCCGACTTGCACAACACTTTCTGATAGTCGGACCACATACTCAATGATTGCAAGGGTTGGTGATCCACCACATGACTATACACGTTTGGCAACTTGAGGTCTGTGAGGCTTGGTGGCAGATTGGTCAGGGGATGGCTAAACATCATTCCACCAAGTAGATTACCAGTATAGTGTGACTCGAAACGAAGAGATGTAAGTGATTGGGGCAGTACTCCATCGTCAAGTGGCTGATCAAAGCCTGCGCCAATGGTGAGGTGTCTGAGTGCGGGAGGCAGTGTTCCTGGAATGATGGGCATGTTGGAGCAAAAGGACAATGACCTCAGTGTGTTTGGGAATACTCCAGGTTGGAATGTGAAAAGTGTGCCCGACATGATGTCCAATGTCTCTAGATGTGGTGGAAGATCACCTGGTGAGATTGTGTGACCAAAGCATAACCCGAGCATGAGAGTCTTTAGGCCGGTTGGGAAAAGACCATTCAGGGAACTGCCAAAGAAGCCTGCCAATGATATACTGGTCAGTTGACTTGGGAATACGAAAGGCTCGGAAGTGAATGTCTTTAAGGACAACTGAGTGACGCCACGTGATTGCAAACTGGTGAGTAGGTCACCCATCGCAGACCATAACGTCTCATCCAACACATCCTCAGCACAATCCTCAAAGTGAACCGATTCTATATTTGGAACAGCCAACACCTTGTTAAACAGCTCCTCTCTTCTATCATCTTCGTACACTATATCATTACCTGTATGAGATTGATTGATGGGATGGAATGATTCCATTGAGTGAGTGATTGATTGAGTGATTGAGTAATTTGTACATACCAGCGTAGAAGTCCAGATTGGGACTTGAGTGAGAATATGATTCATCAGATGGCTCAGTATGCAAGGTGATTGTATGCCACTTATGTCTAATATCATTGATAATGATATCCTTGTATGATTGTAATATTCTACTACTAGCTAGACGATCAAGTTGTGTAATCTGTCTAAGATGTAATGAATTGAAATGTAGATAACTATTCCTATCATCATACATTCTCTTACATATCAATGATAACATCAACCTATCAACATTACTATCAAGGAATGATATCAAATGTCTCAATATTATAACAGGTAATGCATCCATTCTCTCTCTATCTATGTATATGTATATTAATTATTTGTTGAACATCATTATGTCAATGAATGAAAATGAGTGAAGTTGTGTTGTTTGTCGTCAGGCTTGTTCCGCGAATGCACCCGTTCATCTTGCGTGAACAGTGTGAGTGACGCGAGTCCAACAACTGTGTTTATTGTTTAAGAAGGGAGGGAGAGAGAGAGAGGATTGGATACAAGTGGATATGGACATGGATACCTACATTACATGTTGGAGTAGTTGGGTCCACCACCGCCTTCTGGCACAGTGTAGTCGATGTTTTGCGTTGGATCCTTGATGTCGCAGGTCTTGCAATGTAGACAGTTCTGTGCATTGATTTGTAGCTTCTTCTTGTCTTCCTTGCCCTCGAGCTCAATCCACTCGTAGACACCGGCCGGACAGAAGCGGCCCTCGGGTCCGTCATACTTGTCGCGGTTGACCTTCTCGGCGACGGACATGTTGCGCACCTTGAGATGCGCTGGCTGGTTCTCCTCGTGGTTGGTGCCCGAGCGCATGACGCTGGTCATCAGGTCAAAGGTGTACACGCCGTCTGGCTTTGGATATTGGAGCTTCTTGCAGTCCTTGGCGGGCTTCAGTGTCTCATTGTCGCGTGATGCGTGCTTGAGTGTGATGGGCAGCTTGCCGCGGAAGATGTACATCTCAAGTGCGCCCAGTGCCAGTGCGGGCAAAAGGCCCCAGTGGAACATTGGACGGTAGTTACGTACGGCGTACAGGTCCTCCCAGACCCAGGAGTTCTTGAGCTTGGTGGGGTAGGCCGAGAGCATGAGTGGCTTCTCGGTCTCCTGCTCGGCGGCGCCCTCCTTGGTCAGCTCATCAAAGACGGCCTCGGCGGCGAGCATGCCAGACTTCATGGCGTTGTGGTTGCCCTTGATCTTGGGCACGTTGACAAAGCCGGCTGAACAGCCAATCAACGCTCCACCGGGGAACACCAGCTCGGGGATCGACTGGACGCCGCCCTCATTGATTGTCCTGGCGCCATATTGCACGCAGGTGGCGCCCTCGAGCATGGGCTTGATCAAAGGATGCAACTTCATCTTTTGGAACTCCTGGTATGGGTTGAGGTATGGGTTGCTGTAGTCCAGTCCAACGACCAGTCCAATGGACATCAAGTTGTTCTCCAAATGATAGACGAAGCCACCGCCATAAGTGTTCAAGTCCATTGGGAATCCGATCGTGTGAAGTGTCAATCCTGCCTTATGATTCTCTGGCTTGATCTGCCAGATCTAGTGAATGATTGATCAGAGTTAGTGATTGAGTGGCGACACTCCATGTTTGATGGATGGCGGGACTTCCTTACCTCCTTGATTCCAAGACCGTAGGTCTGGCCCTGGACATCCTTGTCGAGTGCAAACTTCTTGATGAGTGTCTTGGTGAGTGATCCACGACATCCCTCGGCAAAGAGTGTGCAACGTGCTCGCAGCTCCATGCCACGAGTGAAATGTGAGGTTGGCTTTCCATCCTTGCCAATGCCCATGTCGCTGGTGGCAATGCCCTTAACTGTTCCCTTGTCGTCGTACAGAACCTCTGAAGCGGCGAAGCCTGGGTAGATCTCAACGCCCAACTCCTCAGCCTGCTGTCCCATCCACTTCATCAAGTTGCCCAAACTGATGATATAGTTGCCTTCATTGTGCAGATGTAGTGGCGTGGGTAGACGAACCGAGTACTTCTCTGTCAAGAAATAGAACTTGTCTTCTGTTACTGGTGTATTCAATGGTGCCTATGGTGTATGTATGTCGATCGATTGATTGATTGATTAGTATGATTGATAGAGTGAGTCACACCAGTGATTGATCGCTCACTCATACATACACCTCTCTCCTTCCAGTCGGGGATGAGCTCATTGAGTGCTGTGGGTTGAAGGACTGCACCAGAGAGGATGTGCGAGCCGACCTCGGCACCCTTCTCGACGACACAGACACGCAGCTCGGTGTTGGCTGCCTGTGCCAACTGCTTGAGCTTGATGGCAGCGCTCAGACCGGATGGACCAGCGCCGACAATCACAACATCAAACTGGTCAGACTCGCGCTCGCCCAGCTCCTCAGACGTCGATGTCGAGTAGTATCTAAAGATGCTTCTGCTGCGTCCACTATTACTGATGATACCTCCACCGAATGGAGTTGTGTATGCTGCTCTGCGTCCAAACGACACCAACAATGATTGGCTGCTCGACTGATTCTTGCTCGCAATGTTTGTGAATAGTTTCAACATGGTTGGTAAGTTGATACAACTATGTTGTTGTAGTTGTAGTTGTTGTTGTTGTTCTTGATGAGTTACTTCGCGATATGATCACAAGAGTGTGATTGAGTGCGGTGTGATTGATGGTCCTTTCACTTTTAAATTTCCCACACAACACGACAATCTGCAATCCCGAGTCTGATGATCGAAGCGTTTGCTTTATTAAGTAGGTTTGTTGTGTATGTGTTATAATGTACATGAAGTTGTGTATTGGTTCATGCATGATTATGATGATGGCATGCATGTTGGGAGGGAGGGGAGCGGATGGCTGTACAGATGTATGTTCATGTAGGGAAGGTGGGATTAGGCTGGTTAGCCTCTGGTGTCTACTTGTGTTGTCAGGTGATTGGCGTCAAACAGTGGACTGGAGACCATGGTGGTGGTGGTGTTGTTGGTTGGATGGTAGTACGACTGCGTCGATGGTGACTGGTGGTAGATTGGCGAGGAGAGTATGGATAGCTTGGACTGCGACTGCCTAATGTTGGTCAATATGTTCAATAGATTATCAATTCCAAATAGATAACCGTCTTCCTCTTCGGCCTCGGGGTCTTCCAGTGGTATGGCATGTGCAAAGTCGATCATCTTTACGTCGTTCCTGACCGTCTTTGTTGTTGTCTGTCTATTGCTACTACTGCTGCTACTACTGCTTCTGCTGGAAGAGGCTTCTTCCTCATCCGACGAATCAATTTCAGATGATGTCGACAGGCAAGAGTCGGCATCATCACTGTCCTCCATTGATTGATAGCTGCTATCGTCGTCACTGTGTACCGATGAGAAGAAGCTGCTTGGACTATTATGTTGTTGCTTTGGAGATGTGTTGGTGTTGGTGTTGGTAGCTCCCTCGTATATGATCAATAGACTACTGGAGTAGAGTTTGAACGGCAGTCCATTCTTTCTGTCTGATAGTATTACTGTTGTGAGTGATTGATGGGATAGAGTGTTAGGATTGATTGATTGATTGATCAGAGATATCTGTGGATATAACAACATACCTTTCAAATTACGCAGCTTAGTTATGATGCTCTCGATGAGCTCATTCTGTGTTTCCAGGTTGCCGCTGTGGTAGAAAAAGTGATTGAAGGTGTTCTGCAGGGACTGCTCATTGAGCGATCGTCCGTAAAATCGATCATAGATGATGTTGCATCCGATCGTCTCGTTATATATCCTCATGCCACATATCCTGATGCCTAGCGACGTAGATGTGGTCGATGCGCATATGGCACCCTTTTGACGCGTGCCCACCTTGATGTCTACGATGCAGGGGCGCTGGTACTGCTTGGTCAAGTCCTCGAGCAGGATGTACTGCTGTGTGGAGCCGATCGGATGCTTGGGACTCTTAACCTTTTGCTTGCTCTGCTCAATAAACTTTTGCACGGACGGCAGGACGACCAGGATGTTGTGCTCCTGGCCCGGACCGCTTGATACCCCACTCGTCCCGCTGCTGTTACTACTGTTACTGCTACAATCATCGTATGATGAGTTGAAGGAGTCGAGTTGGTGCTGGTGGCTCATGGACGACGCCAGACGCTTGATGTTGATTGGCGAACTGGAGGTGGATGTGACGGTCTCGGTAGAGTCGGGATGGAAGCGATCGACGTCCACCTGTGGATGGACGGGGTCGGCCACCTTGAGGATGTCGACGCTGCCGTGAAAGCCGGCAATGTAGGGCAAGATCTGTGAGTGATGGCCTGCAGCGGCAACATAGAACTTTAGCTCTCTCTGTATCAGTGGCTTGCAGATCATTCCGTTCACCGACAGGATGGCACAATGGCCACCCACCTGGTTAGAGAACTGTGTTACATGGCAGTTGGTACAATCCTCTTCATGTTCATCTTCATAATGACCATCATCATTATTATTAGACCGGCGTATATAAGATGTTAATGATTTATATTTAACTAGACTAAACATTATTATTGATATTATAAGTTATTGTTGTTGTTGTTTGTTGGTTGTTGTAAATGGTGTTGTTGTTATTGTTTGTTGTTGTTGTTATATTACTGTATTAATACTGAATTGATGTGTATAGTGTTTGTATTAGTTGATTGTTTGTTTGATTGAAGTATATAAATATGGTTATATAAGGTAAGGTAAGGTGTATAATAGGGTGTCAACTACTACAAGAAGTATAAAGTGTCGAGCGATGGTTTGTGAGACAGTGTCAAGTGTTCAAATAAACCTTTCTTTATTACTTCTTGAGGTTGCTCTTTGAATTACAATGAGCCACAATGGGATAGTTGTCGAAGAGATTAAAGAGTTAGAGAGAGAGGGAAGGGAAGGGTAAAGAGAGCAGAGAAAGAGAGAGAAGGTAGAATTGTAGAATGTAAAGAGAGAGAGAGAGAGAGAGAGAGAGAGATAGAGAAGGGAGGCTATTTGTTAAGTAATCCCTGTGTTTGTTTGTTTTATAAATATATGTATGTGAATGAATATATCTCTGAATTGATGACCTACAACAAGAGACAAGTGATTGATTGTTGGGGAGATATTATTATTTAAATAATGTAATATATATAAATTATGTGTGTGTGTGTGTGTGTGTGTAAGGTGTGAATGATAATGACTTTGAAAGTCAGTGCACTGCATGTTAACAATTGAAATGCATTGGAAGGTCTCCATGACCATTTTATGAGTGTGTAAAAAATATTACACACAATGTTGATTCAACAAACAACACATCATCCGTGCTAAAAAGGGTGAAAAATAACAAAAATGATATTAATAAGGGTGATGGTTCATCCATCATCTCAATTTGTGGGGGTTTTGGGGTGGTGCAAGGTGAGCTCGAGGTGTATGCCTGGGCTTGGTGCCATCGTTGATCACAAAGTGAGTTTCAGACCCAAACTCAGTAGTGTTCATACACAGATCAGCACCTTTATTGTATTCATTGGTGTCAAACATTAAGTTTACCACCACATTCAAATCGTTTATCTTCAGGAGATCACCGTGAATCTGCGCATACATATCACATGTACTTCCCAAACAAAGAATGAAGTATATCCTAATAAAATAGGATGTAGGACATGGCCTATCTACATGTTTGTCTGTGGCGTATGGGTCGAGGTCGAGTGAGTATTGTGTGTTAATGGGGACCATTCCAATACTGATGGCCCCAATGGGTCCATTGTCATCGGGAAGGTCCTTTATTCATAAATAACATGTAAAACTACAAAGACGGCGGTGCATGGTGACCAATCCTATCCTATCTCCAGACCGGACGGACTATGGCGGACCATGTTTGACCGGGGGAGGTTTATAGTCCGACGGTCTGTCATGGCCATGACTACTGTTACTAGTGTTACTATTGTTGTTACTGTTGTTGTTGTTGTTGATGTCGCTGTATTGACGTTGTTGATGTTGATTCTTGAGTTTGTTGTCAATTGAAGTACCAATATTGTTAAAGTCTTGTATACCTTGCATTATGAGTGATTCATAATCGCTGTGTTCCTTCTTTGACCTCTTCAACTCCTTCTTCAAATCGACAATCTTCTTTGCCTCCATACGCTGACATCTCTTCTTCCAACCCTGTAGTTGATGATTCAGATTGTTGGTCTCTGTCGTCAACAACTCGTGTGACATATTCTCTGTCTTGTTCTTGTTCAAGTTATTCTCATCAATCTCCTTTTGTTTCCTGTTCAATCATTGTTAGTGCACTGACTTTGACTTTGGATATTGATCATGTTTGTCGATACTCACTCATCACATATGTTACGTAGTTGATAGACTTGTTGATTGAGGGTCTCGATCATCTCCCTCAGTCTGGCATTCTCCTCAGCTCGCATGTTATTCTCCTGTTCGGCCTTCTTTGACAAAGCAAAGTATCGCTCCTTCTCAATGTTGACCTCATATTGGAACTCAATCTGAATCTGTTTGATTGGTTGATTGAATGTCAGTCATTGGTAATGCGGGCCATGGACCATGTCCACATGTATATCATACCTTCTCCATCATGTCACCATGCTTATTGTTGATGTTCTCAATGTCTTGATGATGCCTAATGTCGCGTGACTCTAACTCCCATTGCGTGTCTTCCAGTGACTTTTGTGTCTTGGAGGCCAACTCCTCATAGTGGGTGAGCTTCTTCTTCATCTGTGTCATCTCCTTCTCGGTGTTGAGCTTCCAATGTTTCAGCTGATGGAGCTGTTGGTTGCAATCATCCAGCATCTGGTCCGACATGTTCTTGTTCTGGATCAACGCGTTGTTCTTGAGCGACATGGTGATGTACTCCTTCTTGGTGCCCTCGAGCTCGTCCTCCAGTTGTTGGTTGGTCCGCAGTGTCATCTGGATCTTCTTCTCCAGCTCCTTGACCTTGGACGACGAGATCGTGTACTTCTCCTTGAGTATCGATGCCACCTCGTGCAGCTCGTCCAGACGATTGAGCGTGGGGTCGTAGTAGAACTCCTCGGTGGCCCATCCAATCTCTTCACCACCATGGTGATGCGCCTTGTAGTTGTAGCGACGAGGCTTGCTCGGGCTCTCCCAGTCCGTGTCCATGCTAAAGGGCGACGGCGCGCCCTCATCCTCGCTGCACAGCTCGCTGTCATCATTGTGGTACGCTGCCCTGTTCTTTTGTTTCTTCTTTCTGCGCTGCTGCTGTTGTTGCTTCTTTACATTGCTGGTGAATGCACCGTTGCCATTGTCATTGTTTAGCGACATCAGCGTCATGAAGAGGTCGTTATGGCTCGTCTCATGCTTGAGCATGGGCGATGGACGAGTGAGAAGTGGCGAGCTTGAAGCGCCGTCCATGATGGGTGGCTCAGGCGAGGTCTTGCCTCCCCTGATCAGACCCTGATCATCATTGAACACCGGCACGACAGCGGCCGGTGCGTCGTTGGACAGGGACAGGCGAGGGCGTTGCGCACCAGCGCCCAGCGAAGATGATCGCGCGCGACCCTGTCCCAAACGACGCGGTGATATTGGGTTGGGTTTGACGAAAAAGCTGGCCAGGTGGTTCTGAGTTGTTGGCGACGCGTCGGTGAACTCGTGAATTGTGAAGAAGTTGGGAGGCGACGCGGACATGGGCGACGAGGACACTGGCGACGAGTCGCTGTTGCGTGGCGAGTTTGGTGGCGAGATGAGATCGGGTGGCGTCGAGATGGGCGACGATGAGAATGAATGAGACAGCGTGGGCGAGGGTGGCGGCGAGGGCGGGTTGGAGCCTCGTCGCGACGGGTTGTTGCTCGCCTGTATTGGATAGAGTGATTGTGTCATCTGTAGGAACGAGTCGCTAAACTCTTGAAAGTCGATCTCTGTGTTGCCATGCATCTCCAGTTGTTTCTGCATGACGGCAATAAAGTCATCGCTGACATCAGAGCCCGTTAGTGACTTTATCGCATGTTTGAGATCATTACTCGCAAACATCCTAGTGTCCTCACTGGACTCCACTGGGCTCATCATCTCTCTCTCTCTCTCTCTCAATCTCTCAATCTCTCAATCTCTCAATCTCTCAATCTCTCTGCTATCTATATCTCTAGTATCTGTCTTTACTATTGTCCTGATTCGTTTCTTTTGTAATAATGTGATGTATATATGCCTTTAGTATGTTGATGATGTTGATGTTGATGTTGATGTTGATGCTGTGGTTGATGTGTTGGCAGAATGATGTATGAGAGTATATATGTTCGTTGTCGTTAATCAATCCTATCTATTTGATAATGCAAATATTAATAATTTAATTTATAATGTAAGTATATATTTAGTATATGTATATGTATTTATATGTATCTGTAACACTACAGTTGTATCTACTTGTACATACTGACCTGACTGTTGTTGTTGTAAACAATGTCATTCATCCACATTGAGTGTGTGTGTATCGAGTAGTGTTTTTGTTGGGACAACATTGTTGGAGTTTGAGTGTTTGTGAGCATTAGAGGGGGATTGGCAACTGTTTTGGTGCTTGTTTGTCTCACCCACAATAATAACAGTCAATCTCACTAAACTTACACCAGAGACGACAAAGTGTTGATCGTTGGAAAAGACAGAATTGATCTGATCCCCAAGAGTAATCATTCATTCGATCTGATGATGATCATCATTGTAAACAATGTTTGGATCATGATTTACTTGTCTCGAAAAGATACTTTGTAATGTGATGATTGTTGTTGTTGTTGTTGTAGTTGATGGAGAGAGGTCATGTCCTGTTTTGGTAACATTACCTATTTTGGAAAGGGAGGTTCTGCTTCGTCTCTCTCTTCTTCTTTGGTGTCCACGCCAAAGTCACGTGGACGTGAATGAATGAATGAATCTGAACCATCATCACATCACAGTCATGTTTGTTTGATTAATTATACATAGATATACACATCGCTTACAACAATGATTAACAGAGTAGTTGTTCAAACATCGACAAGGTCATTGCTACAACGCGTTGGCATCTCACAGTCAAAGGTTGTAGATCACACATCATCCTTAAAGACTTTAGTCACATCTAGACTATACTCTACATACAACATCAATATCAACAACAATAATAATAGGATAAGATGGTCTACAACACCAATAACATATATTAGACATTACAGTCATACGTCGGCAGCGGCAAAGGCAGCCAAACAATGTTGGCAATGTAATATATCAGTTCTGTCCAAGGACTTCTTCTGTCCTGTGTGCAATGTTGTTCAAGTACCCTCAGAGAAGATAGATGTCTTTGAGATATTCTCGCTGTATGTTTGGTTATAGCCTTGTACTGAGTGTCTTTATTAACCATCCACTACGTCTCAGTGCACCAAGCTACCATGTCGACCAAAAGGACCTGTCACATCGCTTCAAGAACCTTCAGAAGAAGCTTCATCCGGACCTGTTCAATCAACTCTCCCAGGTATGTTTGGCTCCCACTCAATCATTCTCACTCACTAACTCAACTCACCTCAACCTGTTGTAGCGTGAACAATCATTGTCAAAGGACCAGGCCACATTGTTGAACAGAGCATATAACATATTGAGATCACCATTCCTTCGTGCAGAGTACATGCTCAATGAGAAGGGCTTTGACATTGATGGTGTGACTGACGTGGATCCAGAGGTATTGGCAGAGGTGTTGGAGATAAGGGAGGCAATCGATGAAGCTTCATCCGACGAGGAGGCCATCAAGAAGTTGGCTCATGAGAACCGTGCCAAGATGAATGTCTGCGAGGAGGAACTAGTCAACATCTTCAAACAAGAGCGATATCCCGAGGCCCTCAACAAGACCATCTACCTGCGATACCTAACAAGAATACAAGAGGAGGTGCACAAGTTACTTGGTGTGCATGTCTGATCGTCTTCGACGACACTTTGGTCCCATCATATGATTAATTGATGTGTGAGTGGAATTATTCCAGTTGCCAAGAATTGATTGATTGTGTTGATGATCATGGAAGTGTGTGTTGTTGATCATTGTAGTAATCAATTACAAGTTGTAATATATACATAGATACAGATAACAATGACACAGTCGGACAACTCATTGTCAACATCAGCCTCAGTAGCCTCACCATGGCTAATCATCATCTCCCCACTTTGTATTATAATCACATTGGCTCTGTTTGTCAGTCCCTTGTATGTACTACTACCGTGTCATGCATGACACCTTGACATGTCACTGACATCAACCTCATACCATCGTAGTAAGACTATGAGACGAGTAGCACTGACAGGCGTTGGACAGTTGGCAGGTGTACAGTTCATATCACAGACACTAAACAACTATAATTGGGTGGCCTACTCAATAGTCAGTAGCAATGCATCTATATTCATTGTCAACTCAATCGGTGCTGCACTATCTACCTACTATGTCTACATCTATTGGACATGTCTAAAGAATCCAAAGCTTGTAAGCACCTCAACACTCATTCATTCATTCAATCAATCAATCATTGACCTAACTTATTCAATCAGGAGAAGGACTATAGATGGAAGTGTCAGATGGCATTGGCAATCTTTGTTGGTACATTGTTCTACACATGGTCTGGCGCCACTCATACAATAAGACAGGATAGACTTGGACTTGTATCCAGTATCGTGTTGGTATTAAACAGTGCTGCTCCACTTGAGAAGATAGTAAGTCATATATGATCAATGTTCATGGTCATGATCCACTCGTTAACTCATTCAATCACATCAATAACTTGTAGAAGGAAGTACTGGAAACAAGGAGTAGCGAAGGAATGGTATTGGAGATATCATTCACTGCATTGTTGTGTAGCTGTAGTTGGACGATCATGGGTCTGTTGATAACAGATGTTTATGTATATCTGCCCAATGTACTATCAGGTATCCTAGCGTTTATCCAATGTAGTCTTATATTCATGTATCCAAAGGTCCAACAAACCTTATCCTCCAACAACGATGTTGTCAATGTAGCATAAACAATCAAAATGATGACCTTGAGTTGAACATCATTCATTCAATCATTTGATAAACTGATATACTTATTACAGATATAGATACATATTAAATCTATTTACAACAATGAGTACTCCACTTGACTTCTTACAACAGATGTTGCCTAATGTTGATAAACAGGATATATTGACATGTTTGGCTGATGAACATTATGATCTAAGCAAGGCAATATGTCGACTTCTCGAGTCTGACATGTTCAATGAGGACGAAGAATATGGTTACATTGATGAGTCATCAATTACTGATCAGACTCATAAGCAACAACAGCAACAACAAGTTGTACCTGTTGCTGCACCATCATCGACGACGACTTCATCATCATCAAACTCAATGTCTGGTACAATACCAGTGGCATGCAGGTTCTATGCTAATGGAGCTTGTAGTAATAATCAATGCAAGTTTATACATGATACATCGATAAAGCCAGTGACGACAACGGTCTGCAAGTACTTCCTCAGTGGATCATGTATGATCAAGAACTGTCCATTCAAACATTCATTCGATACTATAATATGCAAGTTCTGGTTGAGTKGGACAATGCTTCAATCCCAATTGCAGCTTCTCACATTCATTCCAGAGTTCATTCGACGAGGTGCAGACTGCCACGTCCTCTGCCGCACCTTCATCTCCTGCTCCTGCCCCCTCAAAGCCACAGCCGACCAACTTTCAACAGTCGGACTTTCCCGAGCTCAACAGCAGCAAAACATCAAAGCAACAACATGGACAACGCACTTCTTCATCGACATCATCGACTCTATCTCCCACAAGCAGTGTATATCAACCTCAATTCGCTGCTGCATTGACTCCAAAGAAGCAGGCAAACACTCGTGGACCATCCAATCGTACGGCAGCATCAGCCACAAGTCATTGTGATGAGCAGTTTCCAGATCTATCAATGGCGGCAAACACAAAGGGCAAGAGGCGACCGAAGCAGCCACAGACAACTACAACATCATCATCCAACAACTCAATGACATCTCAGATATACATTACACAATTGCAAGACATGTTTAAGAGCATAAAGTTGGACAGCATCATCAAGGAGTTGGATCAGAACAATCAAGACTTTGAATTGACAAAGAAGTCATTAGAGTCGCGATATGGTGTCAGTCAACCAACTGTACAACAACAGGTCAGTGCCCCAACGCACAGCTCACTGGGACCTCGCGACTTCTCTAAAATACAAGAACAGGTCGAGATGGTCAAGGGACTTGGTTGGAGTGAGACTGGTGCTGGCGTATCAGGACTCTACAGTAGCTACAGAGATGAAGCTATTGTATTTGCACGCGAGCGAAACAGATACTTTAACATGGCAGCCAAGGCATACCTTGGTCGAGACATGGCAATGGCAAAGCAATATTCACAAAAGGGAAGAGAACTCGATTCCAAGATGAAGGAACTACACGAGAAGGCCATGAATCAGATTTATCAACAAAGGAATATGTCACTACCTTCCAACGTCATTGATCTACATGGCCTTCATGTCAAGGAAGCATTGGACATTATTGATCAACATCTTGGTGTAACTGGTAAGTGTTGATGGTACATCACCTCCGGAATGAATGGACATACAATACTGACGCTCATACTCCTCCTCTAGTACCTCTGTATTTGATCATTGGAACAGGACATCATACTCATACCAATCAGAGGGCAAGACTGCCAGTCAAAGTTAAGAACTATGTACAAGAGCATGGGTATAGTTTTAGAGATTGTAGTACTGATGGTCGTGGAGGTATGATCATGGTATACAAATAATAATAAACCAAACACAATGTACATGGATTAAATATATATATATAAATATTATTGGTATCTCTAGATTGGATCGAGGTGATTCATCACATTGGCAATGAATATCTGTGCCAAGATCTTCTTCATGGTCTCTGGATTCTCAGACTTGGTTAGCCATGGATGCTTGAGCAACTGCTCGGCAGTCTGTCTCTTCTTGGGATCGACCTCGAGACACAATGACATGAATTGCTTGAAGCCTTCAGACCATCGATCAGGACGATCAAGTCCTCCACATGCATGTGTGGCAATAGCAAACATTGCCAACAATGATGACTTCCTATTGGGTGGTTCACCATTGGCCAACTCTAGCAAACAAATACCAAAGCTCCAAATGTCTGATGGGCATCCATACTCCTCACCACGGATCATCTCTGGTGACATCCAGAATGGTGATCCTGCCATATGAGTGAGCTTCCTCTGTGTAAAGTCGACACACAGTCCAAAGTCCACTATAATTGATTGGACAATGAGTTAGAAGTCTGGTCCATCACTCGACCAATCAAACAATATATATAACTTACCCAACTTAATCTTTCCATCGATAGTCATCATGATGTTACCAGACTTGATGTCTCTGTGGACGAGGTTGTGTGAGTGGAGGTATTTGAGACCTTCGAGCATGCCCTTGGCAACATAGGCTATGCAACTCTCATTGAAGGCGTGATTGGAACAGGCCTCGGTGAGAGTGCCACCTTGCATGTACTCCATCGCAATCCACACCTGGTCGTCAACCAAATGGCTCCTGATGTACTTGACGACGTTTGGATGGTTGCAATAGTGCAGGAATCCAATCTCGTTCAAATTGGTTCGCTGTGCCTTGGGCGTCGTGTGAGATATCTTCTTGATGGCTATCTCTCCCTTGTCTGGCAATGATTTGGCCAAGTATACGCATCCAAAGCCACTATAAATAGTAGTGTTCATGTTAGTACTTGGGTGTGGAACATGCATGGCCTTGATGGTTGTACTTACCCGCTGCCAATCTGTTTGAGGTTCTTGTACAGTTTCTTGACGTCTGCCTTCTCAAACAACTCCACTGTACCCTTGGGGACAATGGACTGTTCAAGACGTGAGCCGTCGTCGTAGCAGGAGTCGTCATCGTTGCCTCCTGCATTGTTGTTGGCAGTGGTTGCCGTGTGATCATTCCTACTGCTCGCATGACTATCCTTTCGTTTCTTGTGACCTCCAGAGGACTTGGTCTGAGAGTCCTGGGCGGACAGCTCTGCCTTTGGATATTGGCCAACATCCTCCTGCATAGAAGAGGAGATTGGTGGGAGGGCTGCAGTTACAGTTGGCATTGGCATGGTTGTGGTCGTGGTGGTTGTGGTCGTCGTCGTTGTCGTTGTTGCTGATGTATCGGTTTTTGATGTTGATGTTGATGTTGATGTTGGTGCTAATGATAATTTTGATGATGTTACATGTTTGTTTGATGATGATGATGATGAACTAGAGCTGGCCAGCTTGATGTTGAATCCAGTTCGGAAACGCAGTATTGGTATGAGGATGTCAAAGTGTTGTTTGATCTTGTCATCGGGTATCTTGGCCTTTTTGATCAGCTTGACACATTCAGGTGGCAGATCATCCATGCTCGACACGTATATGGGCTTCTCCTTGGCACGTAGTCGTTTCTTCTCCTTTCTCTTGCGACGGTCCTCCTCGGTCTTGTTCACCTTGGCGCTGCTGGTGCGGAAGCTACCCTTGCGATCCCTTGCCGCCTTTGCATTGGCCACATCATCTCCCTTGAGAGATGACAATGACCTCACGATTCCTGGCAGACCGCCACCGCTACTCTTTACCTTTGGCGAAGAGTTGCGCAAAGCCTCGCCACTATTGCTGGAGGACATGTTCAAGTGGTAGCTCAAACTGCCCATACTATTGTTACTATTGTTATTATTGTTGATTTGTTGCTGTTGTAGGATTTGGCTGTGATTAAGTCCACTATTGGGAGGTGGCGGTTTAGTCTGTGGATGTGGAGGTTTCTTGTTGGTACTCGGTTGTTGTTGTGATTGTTTGGTTTGCTTGGCGGGTGTAGAGGATGTTTGATTGCTGTTGTTGCTAACAACACCGCTGCCAGGCTTTGTTTGTAACTGATCAATATCGGTCTGTTCCAAATATGTAAGGAAACCTTGTGGACCGGGAGATCGATAGCCCATTCCTGTATTTTGATCGTCCTCATCCATCAAAACAGCCAGTGATGCGCCATTGGATTGTCCGCCAAGCTGTGTCATTATGAAACTTTTGCGATGTTGTCCGCAGGACAGCCTCTGTGGCGCCACCACAGCCGACTCGCATTCGTCTGGTGGCGAACTAGGTGATGCCAAAGGATGTGATTCATCCAAGTCACTGTTATCCGCCTCTGAATGGTTGTTGTTGTTATTGTCCATTCCACTACTACTTTGTTGTTCTTGATGTTGTTGTTGTAGATGATCCTGATGAACAATTGGAACAGCATTACTACTGATGGTGAGGTCGCAAAGGGAATCGACAGTCAACAAGCCATCATCATTAGAAATGAGTGTAGCGTCGCCTGCGTGGCTTTCCACCTCCATCATCATCATCTTAATGTTGACTGACTGACTGACTGACTGATTGATTGATTGATTGATTGACTGATTGATTGTTTGTTTGAATGGATTGGTGTGTTGTGGGTGAGGTGGTGGGCGTGTTTGTGTGATTGTGTGATTGGGACTCTGAGCTTGAGGGTGTTGTGGATAATGATTGGTGCTGGGGATGGCAGTGGCCTTGATCAATGGTCTGTACGTGTGTGTTCTGTATATAATTCTAATTGACAGAGTGTCACACTTAATCCAACTAGGTGCGCACAATACTTCCTAATAATAATAATATTATTAAAGTATTTTGGGGTAATAATAATGAATGTATGAATAAATGAATGATTGAATGAATGGACAGAGTTGGTAAGAGTTGATGATGGTAGCACTACACTACTCCTCCCAAAGACATAGGTAGAGTATAAGCAACAAACAACAACAAAATCATACTGATTAGTAAGAGGATGATGGTCAGTTGAGATGGGAACCGACTTGTCCATACACCCATACACAAACACTCACACTCATTCGCCACCATCATCAAGAGTCAAAACTGTCAGCTGACCTACACGAAGCCCCCTCAAGCCCTCCGATCAAAACTGTCGTTTTCAAGATATAAACATAGATTTTGAATTTTGATAAGGTCATCACCCTGAATCGTACGATTCACGAGCTCATTACGGGCGGAGCTGTTCGCGACAAAAGACAACCCGCCGAATTATCTGAATCCAATGTTGGCAGCATTCATTCAAGTATTCACTGCAAACATGTAATCATATAAATAAGGATATATATATCCTATGTCAGTTGTGTATGTGTATATATATAGGTAGTAGTATTATTACAGTCCACTGTCATCATCGTCTATATCTTCGTGAAGGTTAACCATTATACTGTTTGATGTTCTGTTGCTTACAATCTTTGTATCGCAGTGATCAAACTCTAATGTTTGAACCTTTATCGTACTATATAATGTTTGATTCGCGAGTGACTGTGTTAGCATCCCTCTCAACTACTACCAACAACTACAACATTGACAACGACTACTTACTCTACACTTCTATATGGTACGAATGGGTACTCTAGAAAAAACGAGTAGCCTACCGCTACACCCATTAGCACGGCCATTGCCAGGCCAAAGTTAAAGGTCATTACCACTAGCATCAGACAGTAATGTATCGCAGCTGACAACACATGTAAAGTTGTCATTGTAATCTTGTATCTTAATCGCTCTTTATGTTCACTGTGTTTGGTTGTGATTGAAACGAACTTGTAAGCTACATTGAATTGTTGATCACATGATGAACGAATGAATGGTAGGACGGACATACCTTTCTTTGCTAACAGTAGAGAACTGTCTATAACATCTTTGTTTATAATAGTTGAGGAACTCGTATAGGACACTGACAATCATCACACATACAAAGGCGATGCTGTAGGAGGCCCAAGTCGATGTGGACCACTCCCCAAACAGTATACCAGAGACTGATATTGAGAAGTCAAATCCATTCTTATGTCCACCTCCGCCTCCGCCATGATCAGTAGACGGGTTCGTATTATGATGATCCATCGACATTGAACCCATTGACATATCGCCGTGATTCATTATTTACTTATTGATTGTTTGATTATTAATTTATATATAAATAATAATAATAATAATGTATATTTGTATGTATGTTATTTTTTACACATATTTAATGAATATAAAACGTATGTTGTTGCGATGACGCTTGCCATATATTATGTTTGACTTTGAGCTTTAGTTGCACTTGATTGAGCTCAATCAAGAGTGATTGGTGCCACTCTTTCAAAAGCACCAACTCACACCCCCACCGATGTTAAACCAAACACCCAAACAACACCATACAAACGAACAATCACCCCAAATCGAAGTTGGTTTCGCCACCCACCTTAGGCCTTGACAAGGTCAATCTTATCCGAACACAACAATACATACAAACACTCATGATTTGATTGATTATCCTTCCTACATAGGTAGGAAGCACAATGATAAATGATCAATCACACCTACTACTCAAGTTCAAAAATAACAACATCAAGGTCCTCTACTGACTGAACAACTTTAAAGTGGACGGGAATGTAGTGGAGACATTAAGAATGTGTAGCCTGCCACATTAAATTTTTGGCAACTTCTGGAACACATAACATAACATACACGATCAGGAACATCGATGATTGGATGTCATGGTATTTAAGTAATATTACTTACTCACTTTTAAGTGTGAGTTTGAATGAACATCATGATGTTATAAGTGGTATACTGTAATTATGTGTATGGATCTACAGTGCTAAGAGATCGTGGTTTGGAATAAAGTAATAAGATTGATTGATTGATTGAAGTGGATACACACCAACACTCACCCACACTCATACACAATACTATCCATATCCACATTAGGTAATGATTGGTATGTCTTGGTTGTGGAAATGGAGCCAGCAGATTGTCTTTAGATGGTGATTGATAGATAGACCACATACATCATCTGAAATGGTTGTTTGTTCAGAATTTCAATAAACAATCACATCACATCTCACTCAGATATATAATCACACAAAGACATACAATCACACACACATTAACTCAACACACATTAGACAGAGATCACTCACACTACTCAATCGAATTGGAAGAGGCAGAAGTGTCATTCAATATGTGTGTGAGTGTGTGAGGTGTGACACCACATCAACCACTTTCTACAATGAAACGACACACAACCTCGATCGAACGATTCCTCCTCCTCACTCCGAGGTTGAATGTGAGTGTGCGTGAGATGACTTGGAGAGTAAATGAATGAATGTATTAAGGGTACATCCATCTATACTTCCATCCATCAATTCAAACTTTAAGGTGATGTCGGCAGGAGTGGAGAGTGTATGTTTGAATGAAGTGTGGTGGCAGTGGGTGATGGGTTGATCCAATCGATTACCAATGCCGTCACCCATTTGATTGTCTGTCTGTCAGTCAGTCAACCATCTATCACTCACCTAACACTCACTGACCTCTACCCACTCCACACGCGACTCTCCACAGAGTCAGTGGTCAGAGTAGTGACATTCCTTAACACAACACACACACATTCCTTCCTTAATACACACATACCCACATACTTACACATTAAGTGACAACTTATACTTTACTTTAGTGTTCTTCGTTGCTTAAATAACATGCACTACTACACATTATTAGTTCATCATCATCAATCATCATTGTCTACTTTAGAGCATCATTGACCATATATATTTATACACAAATATTTTGTTAATATTATAATATCTGCAGACATTTTAGTTTAGTACTTTAGCATCTACATCATCATCAGATTCATAATATTAATATAGTTATTGACTCCACATATTATCAATATTCATATTCATTATTATTATATTCTTAGTATTACTATATTTAGATATATATACACATACATATAAATTGAATTGGTATAATATTATTTATTTATTTATTTAATCCCATCCATCCATCCAATAATGAATGGACAATTAGAATCAATATTCCAAATACTTAGGGCTGATCCTCCAAAGTATTTGGCCAACATTCCAAAGAGGGAGACCAAAGATAACAACCTCCTAGATGTCCTATGTACCGTCATCAACAGGTTAATTACACAAGGTGATCAAGTATGTATAATTATTCCGGAAAAAATAATTATTATTGATCAAATACTAATATTAATAATAATTAATTAATTAGATTAATACAGAGAGAAGAGAATTCTATCCACCAAATAGAAAGCCACCTACAATTGGAATTGATGCTTACTTGGCCAGAATTCTAAAGTATTCTCCATGTAGCAAAGAATGCTTTGTGTTGACAATGGTTTATATTGATCGTTTCCTGAGCAAGTGTAACTTGATCATCAATTCAATGAATATTCATCGTATTGTGATCACCAGTCTACTGATCAGTACCAAGTATCTGGACGACATCTTTTACAACAATGAGTTCTACAGCCAGGTGGGAGGCATCTCCCTGATCGAGATGAACAAACTCGAGGTCAACTTCCTCTCCATGATGAACTACACGGTCAACTGTCCCCTGGAAGAGTTTGAGCGATACAACCGCGAGGTCGAGAAGGTCAAGAGAAAGTATGAGCTCAACGAGCTGCAGTACAAGCTCGCACACAGTGGTATCATGTCCACATTTAATGTCGTGCCCCTCTCTTCATTCCCAATGGACATCCCCGAGAACCACAACAAGGCAGCGGCCTACTCCAACTCCAAGAACTCACCGGTCGTCCCAACGATCCACAAGCAAGCACCAGCCACTCAGAGCTACTCGTCATCGTTCCAGCAGGTCCCACAGAGTTCCGCTTCTGCAACGAGCACCAACAACCAGACAAAGATATACATCAACACCATTCAGCAGACAATCTACCAGCCTCTAAACAATGGCGCCTCTGCTGCATCTTCTTCAATCAACACAACGCGCAGAGGTAGCTGCGATCATGGCGTGGCTATTCCAAACAGCGAGAAGGCCTTCACAACAACAGGTTGGGTGGCCTAAGCCTTCCATTTCCCCTTGCATCGGAGGATATATCTTTTGTACGAGTAGTAGTTATCAATGACACAATTAAAAAGGTTGGTTATTGAGGCACAAAACTAAATGTGGGTCTGTGAGGGTTAGGGAATAGTTCCAGAGTGTGGGGGATGATCATTGATGGATTGAAGGTAGACGGATAACAATTCCATGTTCATTTAGTGTATATAAAATATATATATGTTTGTGTGATTGGCTGTATGTCGTTACGATGATGGCCTTGGAGACGAGTGTTCCATTTGTGTGTGTGAGTGTGAGTGTGATCGTTTGTGATCGTCGTCGTCGTCGCCCTATTTGTGTTGCTGTAGTTGTAGTTGTTGATGTTATTATCTCTGTATCTGGAGACCAATGCCAAACTTAAAGTCATTGGTGAGGTAGTTGAGTGCAGTGGAGAATATGATCTTGACTGTTGGCATGATGTTCTCCTCGTAGATTCCGACGAGGGCGCCCTCAGTGTCGGCGCGAATCTTGATCTGCTGTTTCCTAAAGAAGTAGCGCATGCCCACACTCAGACGAGTGAGATCGCCGCGACCGGGCATCATGGCCACCTCGCTGGCAAGCTCCAGGTTGTCCCTCTTGAAGGCGTAGCACATGGCCAGATGAGCATAGGTGTTGGCCGTGAAAACGTACGAGTGGAAGCCGAGGTTGTAACGCACTCCCAATGTGTACATATTCACTCCCTGGTTTGGAGAGCGAGTGTATTCCAAACCTGATGACCATCTCCTTGTCCAAGTCTTCATCGCTCCCATGACGAATGTATTGTTGGCATCGTATTTGAGCTATATATATGTGTCCATGATCAATCATTGAGTGATGGGGGAGATGGGTCATAAAGTCAGTCAGTCTGTCATGTTGACATTTCCAAACGATCAATCAATCATTGTCCTTACAGATCCAGTGTATGATGAACCCCTGTAGTCGAGATCAGCTCCAACGTATGTGCCAAAGTCCTTGTTTATCTGTGATGGTGATGATGAAGAATGAGTGTGAGTGAGTGATTGCGTGGTCCAAGACCCATTGAGGCCCGTGTCCACACTTACATTAATTGTGCCAACTGCGCTGAGAGCTCCAAACCTGTGAATGAATCTACCAAACACCTTTCCATCACTGTCGATCTTGCCAATTGATGTTGGTGGGTTCTGTGTGGAAGTAGGTCATGTGACGTGTCAGTTGATTGATTGATTGATGACCATGATACAACGCAACATACATTGTCACTGTAAACGGTGGTAAAGGCGTACTTGGGCGACTCCTCGGTCTGACCCATCTGGAGAGCATGGGAGAATTGGAACGAGGGCGAGGACATGCCGGCAATGTCACACTTGAAGCCATCAAAGGCGTCCTGTGTGGTGAGAATGTCTTGAGCAGTTCGGTGAATCTCCTCGAACTTGCCAGGGTTTGGCAAGCTTGGAACAACTGCTTGCTGCTGTTGCTGCTGAGCCTGTTGCTGCTGCTGAGCCTTCTTCTTCATCATCTTTTGTTGTTGCTGCTTCTTCTTCAATTGCTGCATCTTTTGCTTCTTCAACTCTTGCTGCTGCTCCTCAGTCTGCTGAGTCTGTGGTTGTGTTTGTTGTTTCTTATCCGACATGATTGTATATATGTTCGTGTTGTCGTCTCCTGATTGATTCGTTTGATTGATTGATCGTTTGATCCAGTGTGAGTGAGTATGTGAGACTTTTGATTTGATCAGATCAATCTATAATATACTATCCTACCTACCTTATAACTACTGCTTGTCTACACACTACTACTGTCTACTGATGTCGCTAATGATCAACAATCGAACTTATGAAGACCTCGATAACACGCCACTTTGACGAATCATACAAAAAAGTACCACACTGCATCATCAACGTGTGTGAAATTAACAAAAAAATAAAATAATGTTTATGATTGTGAGTGTGTTTGAGGCTCTGATGGTCCAACAGGGACCTCACTGTTGTTTGTTGATTCACGTTACTGATTGACGTTGATGTTGGTCCAACAATGACAACCTGGAAGCTTGATGATTGATTGTATGTGGACCATCTTGGACAATTAGATCTGGGACTCCCATGTGTTACTCAAACACAAGGCCGCATCAATGATGGCAACCATAGATGTTGTCTAATTGATAATAATGAATGGATATGTTAGACAACTGATGTATGTTTGATGATGAATGAATGAATGAAAGAATGAACATACCTTTGGGAAGTTGCCCCAGTTCTCTTTGGACTCTGTGTTGACAGTCTGACCAATCAATCCCATGACGGTGCAGTCTTTGAGTAGGTTCTCAAACAGTTTGCGAGCCTCTTCCCCCCTACCCATCTTGGACAATGTGATCAGGAAGACCAGAGTGAACGATGTGCTGGTAAAGTTGGAGTTAGGCACATCCATGATGTACATGCCCTTGCGCTGCTCAGTCTCCACACGCTCCACTGTCTTGATAAACTTGGGGTCATCGTATCCGATGAAGCCACATTCGGCAATCAACAGAGTGAACGTGTCCACCTGGCTACCCTTCCAAGTCGATACAAACGTTCCTGTCTCCTTGTGGAAGCAGTTCTCCATGATATCGCTGTGTATCTTGTCTGCTGTTGCTCTCCAAAACACTGCTCTGTCAGCAATCTCTAGCTTCTTGGCAATCTTGCATAGACGATCACATGCAGCCCAACTCATAACACTAGAGTACGTGTATATCTTGCCGTCCTGAATAGAGCCAGTGCCAACAGGTCCACAGTCTGGCTTGTTGTAGTTGCTGTAGGCTTGAACTCCAAGTCCTTCCAACTTTCTAAAGAGACTGTAATTGATGTGATGTAAGTATGAGAGAGAGGTTGATGTAATAGGCCTCGACTACTTACTTGGCATCGCCAGGCTTCTGGAGTCTTTGATCAAAGAACATCTGAGTGCTTGAGAGCAGAAGGTGTCCATAGACGTCGTGCTGGACGAGGGTGTGATCCCTGGTGCCGGTCTTGACTGGCCCGAATCCTCTGTATCCAGCCAGACGGAACATGGCCTTCTCATACAGTTTGGTCTCCAATGAGATACCATATACGGGCTGTAGGAAGCCTCCGGACTCCTCCGAGCCAGACACAATGTTGGAGAGGTATGTTAGGAAGTCCTCCATGATCTTGGTGTTACCCAACTTGTTGAATGTATGGATGATGTAGGCCGTGTCCCTAATCCAACAGTATCTCAAATCAAAGCCCTCCTTTGTTGGTGAGTCTGGTATGGACGATGTGATCGAGGCAATGATCGCTCCAGTCTCCTCATATTGGCATAGCTTTACTGTGATGCATGCTCTGATCACTTGGGTTTGCCATTCAATGGGAATCTAAATAAGGAAATTAACAAGTAAGTTTGATTGATCGATTGAATGAATGATTGATGGACATACAGCAAGACTTCTGGTATATTGATGCCAGTAGTCGATAGTCTTCTCAAGGAATGAATTGCTCATCTCGTTGAGCGACTCCTTGAGACTTTGGTCTGGCATGAACACAAAGTAAAGTGTCTCATCGGCTTCAAACAACACTTCATCGACAATATAGGATATTGGAGCATTGGTTGTCAAACGCATGACCATCGATGGCATCAGGTATCTAATATGATTGGTACCCCTTGTCTTTTCTGGTGATCCCCATCCATATCTAATGATTCATAATCAGTTAGTTAATGTAGTCCTTAATCAATCAATCAAATCAATGATCGGGAAACATACCCAAAAGTTGGTCTCAAGCGAATCTTGATCCTGCAGTTCCCCATTGGCTTGACAATTCGTACCAACATGACTGGTCGGAATGCACGTGCATACATGTCAAAGCGAGGTGCAAAGTCAATGATCTCTACACCACTTCCACTGGTATTGTAGAGCTTGGTCGAGAGCACTGCAGTGTTCTTGATATACTCCTGTTCACTGTATGCAAACTTTTCCAGCTCCACCTCATAGAAGCCTATGTGAACTCGAGTTAGTCTAACTTACTAAACATTATTGATTGATCGGTTGATTGACAACAACAACTTACCAATGTCATTTGACTTCCTGACCAATGAACAAAAGATTGGATCCGCATCGAATCTAGGCATACAACACCATTTGATGTTTGATTTCCTATCTACTAGAGCACCAAATTGACAGTTTCCAATTAGTGCAAGGTCAAGGTTCTGGTTGTTGACTGGTAGGTCTCCTGTTGCTATACCAGGTGGTGGAGCAGTCTGTGGTTGATTGATAGATGACATTATATATTATATATTATTATGTACACTGTTGTTGAGAAGTTGATTGTATAAATTATAATAAGATAGATAAATGACTTGATTATGGTATAAATGATGGATGGTGATGAGTTATTATTAAACTAATAAAATAGATGAGGTCCTCATCTTCATTCATTCAATTGAAGGTTGTTGTTGGTGTTGTTGCCAAAGAGTGAAGTGCACTTGTGTGTGGATGGAAGTGGATGGGGATGGTGGTAAGCTTGAGGTGATGTGGTGGGGCCGTCTATCGTGTGTGTTGTAAGTTCCACTTTCACACACTTTACCTTATTAAGTGTATTTGTGGTAATTGACCATTACTAGAATGACACATTCACCTTTTAATGTTTGAATCATTTGAGTACAATAACTGTGACCAACATCTATCTATCTAGTTATTGTAGTTCGAATCAATGAATCTGACGATCATAATCATTATCCAATTGTTTGTATCTGAGTCTTTGTCAATAAAGATAAACAATGAAATTTCATTGATTGTTTGTTTATGCTAAAAACACGAGCGATTCGTTTATTGAATACTTGTGTCAACTTGAAGTTATATTTGATAGAGAGTTATAATGGACTTACTATTAGCCTATAATGATGATGATGATGATGATGATACCACTACCACTCCCAACTTAAACAACAAACCAACTTCAACTGAACAGACGACGACACCAGTACAAATCCAATCAACAACTACAACAACAACTACAAATACAACAACAACAAACAAAAGTATTAATATTAATAATAAGAAGAGAGAAGGAGATAATGATAGACCACAACAACAATATGATAGTGTAAAGAGGAAGAAGATTGCAGTGGACAAGTGTGAAGTATGTAATAGCCAGGTGTCAAAGTATAAGTGTCCTGCATGTGCACTACTATTCTGCAGTGCAACATGTTCAGATAAGCATAAATCAGAGAGTGACTGCAATGGCAAACGAAAGGTCAATCACTTCATACCTCTATCAAACATGAATGACAATGATATAACCAATGGTATGTCCGGGACCAGTCCTCCCTCGCTCACTCATTCATTCATTCAATCACTCACTGATTCATTCGTTCTATCTTAGACTTCAACTTCTTGGATGGTATCAATAGAGCTAATCATGGCGCAAAGAAGATATTGGAGAAGTCATTCGTACAGAACAAGTCGGTGTATCTTCAAAAGGCTGCATTCAAACATAATGTCAACTTGTTGGTTATGCCAATGGATATGAGTAGACATAAACAAAACACATCAAAGTTTAAAAAGAAGACTGGCGTTATCATGTGGCGCGTTGAATGGAGGTTCGTCGCAGACTCTGTAACTCTCTCTTCAAACCTTGTGGATGAGCGAGCAACATTGTCCAGTGCACTGGATGCAATCATTCAAGATCCAACACATCGTTACACACTCAAACATCATCATGCTAGGCTGGGCCAGCCCGACATCGATCAATCAAAGCCATATCACTTGCTACTCAAACGTGAACGATGTAATAAGACTCAATACTATCGATTGGATGGTATGGATACTGTTGGTGGTAGTCTACAATACAAGGAGATCATAGAGTATCCAACGATATACATTGTTCACGACTTGGAAAAGTATGATCTGATTGAAGGCGAGGAATTGGAACGATGCAATGAGGAACAGAGACAGACCATCATCAGTCACTCAAAGACCAGATTCGACCCCAACCTGTTCAACACATATGATGAGTCACAGCGCCAGTTGGACAGCTCGTCACGTGGCAGAGGAAGAGGTGGCAGAGGTAGAGGTGGTAGAGGCGCCAAATCACATGTATCAATGCCCATTACTGCTGCTGCTGCCACTGCTCCTGTTGCGAGCGTGGCTGGCGGCACAGATGACGTCATGCCAGTGGTCATTAATGCAGACATTGATGATACCGACGATATTGACGTGGATACAATTCAAGATAGTGCAGATAGTCAACAAGAAGATGAACTGGGTGCGGCACTTGCACTGGATGTCCTTCGAGCAAAGCAGAAAGAGCAGATGGAGGAAGACTCTGAGGAAGGAGAATATTACTTTACATTCTAAGGAAGAAGATTCACTATTGGGATGTCACATGACTCCAACAACAAGACGACAAACTCATCAACTAATGATGATGAGAAGGATAAACAAACAAACAAACGAACGAAAGAATGATGGACTTATTAAATAGGCTTTATTATTATTACCAGGCAATATACATACAGGCTGCGGCAGAGAGGTAGGGTAGTGAAAGGGTTGGGGAAGGGAAAGGGATGGGAAAGTGTAGGAGGAGGAATGTTGTTGGCAACAATAACAATTGTTTATGCAACTGCTTGTTCTTGTGCCACTGTTGTTGTTATTGACAAACGGCTAATGAATTGATTGCTGAATGCCAGAACTTTGATGATAAATCAGATGGTCGGTCGCCGATGATGATGATGCATTGTTGTGGTTCTTGAATAGTGATGATGATGATTTGGTAACAAGAGTTGGAAGGCTGTTGCACAACTCACTCAGCAAGCTAGGGTAGTTGTGTGACAGAATGGAGAGTGGAGTCTCGCGGTCCACATCAGCAGTGTTTGGGTCGGCGCCATACTTCATCAGAAGGAGCATCGACTCGCGACATCCAATCGCCGAAGCGACGTGCAAGGGTGTCTCACCGTCTTCGTTCGCGCACGAATGCAGACAGGTGCTGTCGCTGCTGCTACTACTTGATATGTCTGTGATAAAGTGCTGAGGCAGACGCTCCAGGGAGTGCTGTGTCTCAGTGTGCTTGGCGTACTCGAGCAACAGACTGATTGTGTCCAGGTTGATCTCGCGAATGGCAACGTGCAGGGCAGTATCGCCGCTGTCGTCCTCAGAGTAGATGTTGGCACCGAGTGACAACAGGATGGCAACGATGGCTGTGGCCGCACCAGACTTGACGGCGGCGGCCCTGTGCAGGGCAGAGACACCGTCCAGGTCGGTGACAGAGTGGGCAGCTCCTGCCATCAGCAGGATCTTGACCATCTCCAAATCGGCCTTGGCGCAAGCAATGTGTAGGGGTGTGATGCCATCGTTGTTCTGCATGTTGACAGCGGCTCCAGCCTCTATCAGAGTCCTGATCATGAATGAAACGTTGAAAATACAGGCCCAATGCAATGGTGTGTTGCCAAACTTGTCTTGAATGTTGATGTTGCCGCTGTTGTCTGTCACGCACTGTTTCGCTTTGTCTTTCTGCACCAGGTCGCCAAAGGTGGCCAGGTAGTGTAGCAGTGAGTATCCGCGCACGTCCAACAGGCCATAGTGCGAGTGTGGGAATCTTGACTGTGAGTGACGAGTGGCCATCGAGTTGGAGGGCAGATTGGTGTCGCTAGAGCTGCGGATCACAAACGAGGTGGAGAAAGTTGTGGAGAAGTCCAGGCCGAGGGCGGAGCGTGGCAGAGTGAGCTCGGCCAGTGCTTGGTTGGCAGCGTCAATGACAGAGTCGTCTTCGTAGTTGAATTGAGCGGATGTGGAGGACCAGTGGTTGGGAGAGTTGGACACTCTCACGGACACGGGACCAGGGGCATGCTCGGGCGAGTAGCACAACAGTGTGCCGGCCGAATGGAACTCGGGCAACACCTCAATGTTGTCAAACTTGATGCGGGTGGCGGGCGTGTCGACAAAGTTGGAGCCAAGGATGGCGACTCTCGTGCCACCACGGGCTGGACCGCCGAGTGGGATGGCCTCGACCACTTGAGGCAGATCCACGTTGGATATGTGCTTGATCTGGGTCGAGTGCGACACCACGCATATTGGGTTGGACTGCACTTGGTCGATCGTCTCAAAGTCTGTTGGGTTGGTGTCTGGGTCAGAGTTGTAGCGTCTCAGGTCGAACCTAAAGCAAAACAGTGTCTCGCCCTGCTGATGCGAGGTGACCTGGATCTTGAGCTTCTTGAAGGAGACCACCTTGCTACTGGTGACCTGCGTCGGCTTGTTACCAGTCATAAACGTCGGCTCCTCCTGGAAGTTGTTACATCGTACGAGCACGGCATGCACGTAGTAGCTGCCGTCCAACATCTTTGAATCGCCATTGAACATAACACATGGTGCTGGTTTGATATTTCGTTTGTAGACTGCTTGTGCTGGTGGTTGTTCTACTACCTTTAACTCTACACGTCTGTTGTTTGATTGATCGGATATCGAGTGTTAGTCAGGGGATGCTGACATTGTTGTTGCACGGGCAGTATAGGTACATACTTTTGAGGATCTGGTAACTTGTATTGATAATCTAATACGACTTGTTGAGGTACCATTGATGATGACGACGATGAGTTGTGCGAGGATACACTTGTAGGTCCACTATAAAGTTGATATGTGTTGACCAGTGAACACAGGTTGGCGCGCAGGTCATAGACCTCATAGATTGATCGATAGGGTAGCTGGGCAATCTGGGCCAGTTGGAGTGATTGCAACTTGGGGAACGCCTCAAACAGTGAGATGAGCGACGACTCTTCGATCTGAAGCAGTGACTTTAGGGCCGTGGCCAGGTAGTACTCGTCTGGCTTCAGGTCCAGCGTCTCGCAGATCTGTTGATGGGCGATCGAGAAGCCGATGCCCTGTTGGTTGAGCTCTTGGTGAAGGTGAAGAATCGAGTCGAGACGTGATGTTGTAAACAGTTGTTGAAGCTTCTGAAGAATGATAAGATAGTTCTGAATTCGAATGAACTGATTGTTGTTGCTCTGTTGCTGCTGCTGGTGGTTGATGAGGGTGTTGGCGTTGGTGTTGATTGGGTCTTCGTTGGGTGACAGGGGGAAGACGGCTGTGAGTGCGTCGGTGATCTTGGTCAGGTGGTCCTCAGAGAGGTGCAGCGTGAGCACCTCGCAAAAGAGGTGTGCCTGCTCGAGTCGGCCGAGGGACTCAACGTGCTCGACGGGAACGCGCAACTGATTGGCGATGCCCTGAAGTCGTTGTACGTCAGACATGTCGAGTGGGCCACGTATCTGCGAGCGCAGAAGCGACAGCACCACATCGACCTGTTCCTCGGATGCTCTGTCCAGCAGGGCCATCATACTGATAATCGAATGTTGATTGGACCTTGCATCTCCGTCGAAATGTAGGTCGTCTGCGCCGCCCTGCTGACCCGACGACGATATATTCTTTTGTACAAAGCTATTTATCGTATGAAGGTGAGCAGGACCCAAATGTTGCAATATTGACAAATATCTAACTAGTTGTTGTCTTTGTGATTCTTCCATTTCTTTGTTCTTCTTCTTCTTCTTCTCTTCCAAAATTATGTTATATGTTTCTTCTATCTCTGTTGTCAAATGTATGAATGATGTATCTTTATCGCGCGTTGTTGATGTTGTTGTTGTTGTTGATGTTGTTGGTTCTGCTTCTTCTGCTGTACAATGAATAAATGTAAATGAATGAAGTGTATTCAATCAAAGATATATATAATAATCAAAGAATGAATGAATGAATATATATAAATATATAAATATATAGTTTATGTAATAGTATATTATGTGTGTGTAAGTAAGTGAAGTGAGTGAGAGAAAGTGAAAGTGTGTGAGAAGAGTTTGTTTGTTCTTGCCCTCTCAATCCCATCAAACTTGTGCTCATTCACTCACACACTCACACACACACAGGTTCAAAGGATGGATGCCAGGTCATGTCGGTCTGAGAGAGTGAGATTGAGTGTGTGTATGAGTGTTTTGAGCTGAAAAGTAGTTGTTTTTTAATATTATTTTAATTTTAATTTCTTTTTCTTTATTCTTTCTTGTTTGGTTTTTGTCCTGATTCACCACTCACTCCTTTTGTTCGGGCACACGCACAATCAAACAAGCGTGAGTGTGGGGAATGACTCGTCAGAACAAGTAAAGTCATCATTCATTCAGCTTCCATTCCATTCCAACTTCACTCTTGCTATCAAGGATGCATAATAATAAGAGAACTTCTTTATTCTTTCTGTCAGCAGTCAACAACAGCATCAGCCAACGTTGATTGTTTGATTGTTTGATTGGATTGTTGTTGGTGACGTGACAAACAAAGAATGCGGGTTGTGATCGGACACACATGAACAACACAATCTGTCGACAGAAACCTATTGTTGGACCTCACTCTTTGAGATCGATCTAAAGACGCGTATCATCGCGTTGTGGACTATTTGGAAGCATGTTGTTTGGTCTTGGCTTCCTCTTCATTTAGACAACGCACAAGATGGTTTGCACGATATTGATGTCTGGCGTTATCTGCTTTTAGCTCTTTGACCTCCTTCAATAACTGGTTTGTTTGGGTTGCATGTTCATGAACATGGGATGGGTTAGTTGATTATGGTTTAAGAGAAAGCTCTATCTTCTTTCTGCCCCAATCCTTTGGCATTAGTCATGTTCCTTACCTTTTGGTATTCGCTAAGTGGTACTGTATCATTTGATGTTGATGTTGTTGATGAAGTTGTTGTTGATCTAGAGTCTGTTGTTATTGTTGTTGACAACATTTTAAGTGAGTGATTGATTGATTGAGTCATTGATTGATTGATCGATCCCCTGTCTAATTGATTATTTACTCAAAAGCTTGTGTTCCAATGCCTCAACCTTTGTTGCCAACTCGGCACATAGTTGCTCGGCTCTGTTTGCTCTTTCCTCGAATCCACTGATGTCCATATCTATCTATCTATCTGTTGTTATTTGTATTTGTAATATATTGTACCTAATTAAACAATGATGTCCTCGGGTCTCATAAAGTCTTCAAGAAGTCAAACTATCCCAAGTCACACTGTTTTTCCAATGTGTTCTTTGCCGCGTCGATTCATTGAATTGAATCCATTCATTCATTCACTAATTCTACAAATATGTACATTGTGTTATATATATACAATGAGTACCAACAGTAGAGGTCAGACCAAGAGAGGTACTGAACGATCACCTGACAACAACAATCATAATACTACGGCATCTGGAAGTGGCAACAATACCAGAGGTCTCAACAACAGGACAAAGAGGGGAACCTCATCATCATCATCTCCACCTTCATCAACTTCATCAATATCACAGCAACAACAAAGTCAATGGAGCATATCTCCTAACCTGCTGGAACCTCAGCAAGCACTGAGACAACAGACTCCAGCACCAGTCCCAGCTCCAGCCCCAACACAACCTCCTCAACCTCAACCTAAACCTCAACCAGTTCTTCCAGTACTCATTACAAAGGAGAGTTACAAGGCATTGATGCAAAAGTATCAGTTGGATGATGATGATGATAGTCTGGACGATGATGACAGTTGCAATGAAGACAGTGACGATGACACCAACAATGAGGATAGCGTGTTTGAAGCATACAACAAGACCGCTGCTGGCGTCGCTCTTTCATCATCGTCATCATCGACATCCACCATCCAGCAACGTGAGTCCAATGTCAAACGTTTGATTCAAGAGACCAAGCGAGAGATATCTTCATGTCTTGTGTGTCTGGAGCGTGTCAGGACTGCTGATCCAGTGTGGCAGTGCTCACAATGCTACTGTCTACTACATCTACAGTGCTGCCAGAGCTGGGCCAGGGAGCGACTGTTGATCACATCAATGTCAGAGTCATGCCAACAACGAGGCATACAACCATTCTGGTGCTGTCCCAAGTGCAGGAACGAGTACCATCGCAAGGACACGCCCGATCACTACAAGTGCTTCTGTGGCAAGTCGACCAACCCGCCAGTCGACCCTTGGATCACACCTCACAGTGTATGTATACATCGCGATCTAATCGATGGTCCCATATCACTCACTCAATCAATATGATACCATCAGTGCGGTGAACTGTGCAAGAAGAATCTGGCACCTCCATGTGGACATAGTTGCACTTTATTATGCCATCCAGGTGCATGCCCACCGTGTCCACAGACAATTACTGCGCGCTGTCACTGTGACAAGGAACAGAGAGTCCAGAGATGTTCAAGCGGTGCAAGGTATGAGTGTGGCCAGGTGTGCGATGCAAGGTTGGAATGTGGACATCGTTGCGAGTCCAATTGTCACACTGGCCAACATCCACCATGCAAGAAGACGAGCACTGTAGCATGTCGATGTGGCGTCACATCCAAAGAGGCACAGTGCGCGCAGACACGCCACCTCTGCACCAACGTCTGCAACAAGAAGCTATCATGTGGACAACATCAATGTAAGCGGGTGTGTTGTAATGGCTGCGAGCCATGCCCGTTGGAAGCGCCCCGCGCATGTGGCTGTGGCGCTCAGTCATTCAAACTGCCATGCACCAAGCCCACGCCATCCACTTGCGGCGCCACCTGCAACAAGGTATTGGCGTGTGGCGAGCATCGATGCTACGAGCGATGTCACACGGACGCATGTCCTAACTGCAAGAAGGTGACAACCAAGACATGTCGATGTGGCGCCATCTCCAAGGAGGGCCCCTGTCAGAAGGAGCTGACCTGCACGACCAAGTGTAACAACAATCGCGACTGTGGAAAGCACAAGTGCCGGCGCAAGTGCTGCACCGGCAACTGCCCACCGTGCGAGGAGGAGTGTGGCGAGCGACTGTCGTGCGGCAATCACAAGTGCAAGTCCAACTGCCACCGGGGCCGTTGTCTGCCCTGTCAATTCACCGTCAAGCTGTACTGCGCGTGCAAGCTGACCTACATCGAAGTGCCATGCGGCACAGAGAAGCGTGCGCCCGTGCCCAAGTGCACCAAACTTTGCCAGGCGCCAACGACCTGCCATCACTCGGCTCGAAGACATCATCGCTGCCACTTTGGACCGTGCCAGCCGTGCAACAAGAAATGCTCGGCGCCCCTGCCCAACTGCAAGCACAAGTGCCCGGATCCCTGTCACGATCCAATACCAACGGTCAACTACAAGACCAAACCATTCATAGAGTATTCGAGTCAGACGATACATGCATTGATCAAGGACAAGCCTGTAGTATTCCCGACCGCGCTGCCATTGTCCCAGGTGCAATGCAAGCCATGTCTGGTGCCACAGGATCGACTGTGCGTTGGAGAGCATGGAGCCAAGACAATGAAGTGTTCAGAAGATCCAGTGTACAGCTGCGACAAGCAATGTGGCAACAGATTGGAGTGTGGCAATCATTCGTGCACAAGTCAATGTCACACAATCAACATCAGAAGGAAGCTGCAATCAAATGATGGTCACTCAGTTGTCATTGTTGATGATGATGATGTAGATGGTGAGCACGAGGACACGGACGACATTGAGGACTCTTGCGAGGTGTGCGAACTACCATGCCAGAATGATCGACCAAAGGGATGCACTCACAAGTGTGACCTTCCATGCCACCTCAATGCATGTCCAACATGTACAAAGAGTGTACGCAAGAGCTGTCATTGTACATCACTCACTCTGTACATTCCATGCAATGAGTATGTTATGCCAGAACAAGTTGGCCGCGACATCTTCTCGTGTGGCCAGGTGTGTCGCAGATTCCTCCCAGGTTGCACACACAGCTGTCCAAACATCTGCCACAAGGGTGCGTGCGCCCCATGCACCGGCTCACTCAATGTGTACTGCCAGTGCAAGTTGATCAAGGAGCGATGGACATGCCAGCAAGCACAGCAGCGTCGCAAGGACAAGTCAATCCACAATGCCCAGTTTGACAAGTTGCTGGCGTGTGATGAGAATTGCATGGAGGTCAAGAGACAGCAACAGAAGCAGATGCAGGCAAATGACGCCGAGTCAGAGACTGCAGATGGCCAGACATCCAACGCGTCATTGACCAAGGAGCAGAAGCGACAGAGATATCAACAGAAACAAATGGAGATGGCACAAAAGTGGAGAGAGGAGGAGGCCATGAGGAACAAGCGTTCAATCCTGGACACAATCATTCAGCCCCACGTCATTGCCAAAGTATTTGGTGTTATCATATTAACAGCGTTCATTGTATTCTTGGTCATGGCAACAAACAGGACAAAGTAAATTAAATATTACTATTATTATTATTATTATTACAATCAATCTACGCAATGATGTAAAAGTTGTGTAATTTTTGTTTCAAGTTTTTTGTTTGGCTTGATTTTAAGTTTGTTTTTTTTATGAAGACGAGCTAGACGAGGATGAACCTGATGCCAAAGGTGTAAGCAAGACTGGACCACGTACTCATTCATAATACTTTACTTGTTTACATACACTCAAACATATAATAATGTTCTGAACATCAACCAATACAACCATCATTGTAAGTAACATCAATCAATCAATCAATCAATCAATCAATCAATCAATCACGTCATAGTTGGTATACAATATATTATATAATATTTTCATGATGATATACTTCATCCCTGTCATAATGTAATTGATGAGGAAACTTTTTGTCTTGTGGTAAAGACTTATCTGATTAAATATCTATATAATATATACATATTCCAACTATGACCAATTCAATCTACCCTTCACAACCAATACTAACAAACAATTGTATCTTCATACTTTACAGAATGATGATGTTGTTGTAGTCTAATCCTAAAGACAATCCAATTATACCTCTGTGCTAAAAATGGGAATGCCAGTCTGACATACAAAAGGTATTGTATACAATCACATTATCTATCCATCTATCTACTCTTATATGATTATAAAACAACAAGCATATGTCTGAACTATATTGAAGACATAAACCCATACGAATGACCTTAAACAACATCAACATATCTTCATCAACATTATATCCAACTATATCCATGTACCATCAATTTACTAATATCAATTTATTTCTACCTTTGTTTGTAGGTCCATCATATTTGAATGCCTTGGTCATGTCATATCCAGGCAGTCAGGTCCAGACCAGTTCCATCCATTAATATCATTGATGGATGGTAGTCTGGAGGTATACCTCTAATTGTTATTATTGTAAGTGTCCATCTACAACACCATCAACAACATACACATACACACGATCACCTTATATGATGAGCACAGTTAGGGACACCGCAAAATGCTTTGACCGATAAAATTAACTTAAACAATATAAAAATAACCTCTGACAACAAATAACTATTACAACAACTTATTCATTCACATCAACACTTGACATCATCAATGTATATCCAATACTAATCCATTACTTTCTAATCATACTTTAACAGTTGACCAATAATCATACATAACAATGGTTACCATCTGCCAGAGTCCCACCCAAGTATCAACGCAATGTACACCAAAGGTAGTTATTATTCATCCATTCACATATCCAACAACAAACAAACAACCAACAAGTTGAATGATGATACTTGCTGACGGTGCGGTCTGACTTTATAATGACGAAGCTCGTCGTGTACAAAATTTTCTTTCTGAACAACAACTATCAACTACATACATACATACCTATCTACAATCAACAATTTCACTGCCAACCAATCCAATCCAATCAGTTATCTAACCATTACTTCCTTTCCAATATCACAGACACATACCTCAATGTTGCCACATGGTACCACTTGCTCACTTAATTAATAAATCAAAGAGCTTATTAATACATACATACATACATATATCTTTTGTTGCACGCTTGTCATTAACCTGGTTCATCATCTTATAAATCGTTGATCCAGTGATTGATCAAACAAACCCAAGACGATGAACCCATTCCCAAACACCCCATTCATTCACACACCAATGGGTGATAGGTAAGATGCAAAAGGTGGAAAGAAGGGAGGAATTGATTGAAAAACAAACAAGTTGTGTTTGAATGAATGAATGAGCAACGCTTCACATCTACTACATCATCATAATTCAAATAAATAATCACAATAGAACATAAATATATTACATGTAATAATTGTATATATAAGTAGTTCAATAGTATAAATATATATATTTGTAGTATTATTATAGAATCATGTATTCTATAAATAAATCAAAGGTCTATGTCTTTGATATATACTCCTATTTCAATGATTATGACATTGATTCACATCGACGTTATGGATCAATGAGATGTTCAACTCATAATCATATACTACTACAACAACAACAAGCACAAGCACAACAACAAGCACAAGTACAACAACAACAGGTACATAAGTGCACATGTATAGATTCGATTGTATCAATCACTTGTAATATTCATAATATCATTAGTAGTAGGAATGATGGAAGTGGGAGTGAGGTCGAGCAGGATGATGTTGATTTGGAGGACGACGATTACGCATATGAGGAGGATCATGATGAACAGGATGACGAAGACGATGAGGACGATGAGGACGATGAGGACGATGAAACAGCTGATGGTGACGACAGGGTGGATGACAGTGCCACTCACAAGATGTTGAGGAGGAGGAAGAAGTTGGACAGAGAACAAAAGTCATTGTTTAAGAAGCCACCAGACTTTGGATGCTATACCAACAACAAGTTGGAGCCACAGCAGCAACAGCCGACAGTGTTCACACTCAATCAATCAGGCCAGAACAGACTGTCGAGATCCAAGCAGATGATGTCACCGCCACCACAACACAACTTCATATCGACGTCATCTTCAATCAATGACACTGATGCCTCATTGGACGGCTCTGAACTGCTGGACAACTATACAGACAGCGACTTTAGCAGCGCACCCACACAACTGTCAGACATGGCCAAGGTGGACAACAACTGCTCGCCAATCTTTGCCAAAGCACTTCACTCTGGATCCTTCCACATCCAGTCACAGCTCAATCGCTACACCACTGACTTTAAGCAGAAGAACTGGAACGATGAGTTCCAGACCCTCTTGGCACTTCCCGACACTGAGTCCAAGTTCTCCAAGTTGTCCCATTTGGCAAGGGACTTTGTGTTTGCTGCAAAGACATATGTATGTTGCTCATCCTGAGGTCAGACTCACTCATGTATCACTCACTCATGAATCAATCACAGGCCACCATTATCATCAATGAGCTGTGCTTGCCGTTTGAGCAAAAGAGCTTGCGACCTGTGGACATGGGAGGATTCGCTGGTGGACTAAAGTATTACTGTCAGGGTATCCTGTTCAAGTTTGCGATGGATTCCATGTTGAATGAGGACTGTTGGATGTATGGTGGACCCATTCCCAGAGATGACTATGCCTCAAAGTCTGCATCCAATGAGCTCAAAGGACTGATATCGTACTACATGGCAGGCGTGCCAGGCCTACACTATCCTTTGGTAAGTTGTTGTTGTCTTCATTGATCACATTCAATCACTTATTCAATCAATCAAACAAACAAATAGATCGCTCTGATAGATTATAAAGGATTCAGATTGATTGCATTGTCATTGTTACCAATCAATTCAGAGACGATACGATATGGATCATCAGATAGTGGAACTATTGTACATGATGATATTAAGGAGTTGAGCGAGAAGATGAATGAAGCGGCAAGGATCATCAATTTGAAGGCTCATCGCGTTGGCAGTGTGGATGAGTTCACCAAAGAGCTGTCCAGTCCTGGCGACCTCGAGGCACATCTTGGCAACGACAGCAGATACTACGTCATTGACTTTAGTCGAACATTCCCTCCAGAGGCACTCACGCGAGAGGATCTCAACAGAAGGAGTATCTTTTACAACTTGCTTCGACCAGAGTTTGGTAAGTAGCATCGCGATGTACATGTGGCCAGCCACGTGGGACACTCAACTAACATACTTCAATCAAGTGTCCAAATGGTCAAAGCCTTTGTGTAGCGACTCATTTACGGGTTGGCAGAGGCTGGATCAGAACAAACAGATGCATAATATGGAGGTGGAGGAGGCCACCAAATACTTGTTGACTACACAGGTCAAGCAGTTGGCAGAGAAGTTGGACAAGGAGTTCAAGGGCAGGATGTTGAACCAGGGTGTTATAAGCGCATTGGCACCGGATGAGCCATCCAACTTTGATGAGATCAAGACACAGTTTGCCACCAAGTTCTTGCCAATCATTCAGAAGCGGTTCGAGACGATGGAGGTGCAGAACCAGCAGCAGTTTGCCGTCACGGACGAGATCAACACGGCCAACATGGTGGAGAGTGTCGAGTCTACCAGCTCGATGATGCCTGAGCTGCCTGTCAAGCGACTGGCCAGGACGTTGAACAATGTGAGGAACGAAACGCCACGCCAACTCCTCATGATCATTGAGGAGATGCATAGATTCGGGGTCAACCTGCGTCACATGGGTCGACTCCGTTTCCACTCAATGTCCATTCGTCTGAGAGACCTACTTCTCTTGGAGATGACTGCAAGATCAATCAAGGTACGTGAGTGATCACACATACCTGTAGCCAATCAACTTGCACTAACACTCGCGCACTCACTACACAGAGTATAATCAAGGAAGAGATGAGATTAAAGATGAAGGAGGTACAGGGCTTGTCAGAGGAGCCATTCAAACAGGTGGTCATCACGATATTCAATCAGATATTAGACTACAAGTCATTGATTTGGAAGCGAGTGTTCTCAACGATACAGAGCAAGTATTATATGGCCTTCCAGATTGCCGATGAGACCAGCCCAACGGGATCAATCGATGAGGTGCCCAGCGACAATGACTCTTGGATGGAGAGTATCAATGCCAAGAACCTGTTTGAACGCATGCAACTGCTCACTGGCATTGCCTTGTCACCACTGGCGCAGTACGAGTTCTCTCGAGACCCACTCCTATTCCAATTTGTCGACTCGGACATTCAAGAGATCTACTCAACCGTCAAGCATATGAACATTGTGGATTATGCAGAGGGCATGGCGCTGTCCATGTCGGCGGCCAACAAAAAGGGTCGAGAGCGTCTGCGTCTGCTCAAGATGGCCACGTCCAAGTTTGAGTCGTCGCTCAAGTCCAACCCCGACAACCTCGAGTGCATCTGCCAGCTGGGTCGCACACTGGTCACGCAGGCCGAGTCGATCACGGCGGTGGCCGGCTCATTTGGCAAGAACCTATACATCAAGTCGCTCGAGGAGGCGTCTGAGAAGTTCAAGCATGCCATCACAATTTCGCCAGACTACTCCCAGGCGTACTATGAACTGGCGCAGGTGTATCTATTGATCGCGCAGCACTACTACTCACTGCCATTCAAGGCCAAGCGATACTTCTTGATGGCATCGAATGAGTTTAGCGCAGGCCTACAACGCATACCCAGCAGGACATCAACGCGCTACAAGGCCATGTCAGACTTGGTGCTGGACACTGCCACTCGCCTGTTTGAGAAGGGACTGGAGGGCTGGTCCACCTACATCATTGGAGTGACAATCATTTGCGAGGCATTGGAGAAGCTCAACGACAAGGACTCTAGCGTCAAGGTGTTGTTGGCCAAGTCATACATCTATCGACCATTCTACAACAACGAAGAGAATGACGAGCGATTGCATTACTACAGTAAGGCGGCCAGCAAGTTCCAGCAGGCTCTACTACTGTCCGAGGACAAGAAGTATGAGATACTTGAGATTGGTCGAGAGATTTGGCTCAAGTCCAAGGTGGGCAACCGCAAGCTTGCCTACCCATCGACCTACATCTTCCGGCTCCTAGTTCAGAGTTCATACCTCCAAGAGAACAAGGTCTACTCAATGTATCTAGACTCTTTGATTGAGATATCAAGGGTAAGTGAGCGAGTACCTTCTGATACAGCTTGGACCACAGCATGATCCCTAACACAACTCTCTTTCATTTTAGATGGAAGTTACCAACATGGAGATCAACAAAGAGTTGGCAATATTGATTGAGAAGATGTTGAGTATCAACGTATGTCCTTTCCATTCAATCAAATCAATCAATCAATCAATCATACTTACCTGGAACAATCACTTTCTAGAATCCATACGCAAGGGACAAACTTCAATCTGCCATTGACAACCAGAAACAGGAGTTGTGCGACTTCCTTGTGGCGGCAGTGTTGTCAGATGTATTGAAGACGTTGCTCAAGCAAAAGGCAACGGGCGTGAGGAGTGTTTTGTTGCAAATGACATCGATCAGTGATCAAACATTGTTGGCATTGGGTGATATATTCGAACAGATGGACGAGCTCAACTTGTCCACTTGCCCACTGCTCACGGACAATGGTATTGCAGAGTTTCTCACCAATCATGGCAAGACTCTCACCACACTCAATCTATCGAGCACAGCGGTCAGCGCCAAGACCATCACGATCATCTCCAACTTTTGTCCATTGATCCACACGCTCAATGTACAGAACTGTCCACTGGCCGACACAGAGACACTGCTCCAGCTGTCATCATTGTCACGACTGAAGCGTCTGGACATCTCCAAGTGCAAGATCACCAACGATGTCATCACACAGTTCTCCACGTCCCACCAGCTCAGCGAGCTGTGCGTGCGCAACCTGAACCGTGTGAGTGACGACGCACTCCAACTGTTTGGATGCCAGCTCATCAAGGTACTGGACCTCAGCTCGTGTTCCAAGATCACGGACCAGGCATTCTTGCAACTGCCACACTGTCCACTGATGGAGGTACTCATCTTGGAGGCCTGCTACAATCTGACTGACGCATCCGTTGTCAACATCTCTCACAAGATGCCATCACTCAAGAAGCTGTCGCTCAAGGGCTGCAAGTTCATCACGGACGTGGGCATCATTAACCTGGTGCAGCGATGCATTCGTCTCGAGGATTTGAAGCTTTCTCGTTGCCAATCAATGACGGACGACTCGATCGACGCCATCTCCACACAGATCTCTGGTACATTGGAGCGCATAGACATATCAATGTGTCCACAACTGTCCGAAGCATCATTCCTCCAACTCATCACACGCTGTGATCGTCTCACAGCCATCAACTTTTCAGAGAATGTCAAGGTATCCAATGTTGTCGTCGAGCTCATCAGTGAGAAGTTCCCCAACCTTCAACATCTAAGACTTGATTCCTGCACGTAAGTAGTGACATTGGAGACTATCCATCTCGCGCAACTAACTAACATGGCTCGCACAACAGCAAAACAACTGACATGGATGGACAGTTGGCTGTATACAACAATAAGCTTCAGACATTGAGCATCAAGAAATCACAGATGAATCATCAGAGTTTCTTGAACCTTACGTCATCACTGATCAATCTCACATCACTCACGGTAAAGTCGTGTCTCCAGTTGACAGACATGTCATTCGCATCAATAGGCATGCTTGAACATCTGGAGTTCCTCGACATTAGTGACAACTACCGACTCTTGGACAACTCAATGTTGACAATCTGCAAGAGTCTTCACAAGCTCCAGTATCTGGACATATCACAATGTGTTAGGGTATGTGTTTGTGCAGGATTGATTGATCAGGATCACTCACTAACATTACTCATTCAACCAAACATGTTATAGTTATCAACCAAATCATACTTTATGATTGGTAAGCACTTGACAAGATTGGAGGCATTGATTATGCATGGATGTTTGAGTGTGGACGACGCGTCAATAGTGTATATAGCAGAGAATATGACGCAGTTGAGACACATGGACTTGTCCTACTGTACCAACATCACGGACAATGCAGTGTTTGCCCTGTCTAATCATCAGCGCTTCTTGGAGAAGCTCTATCTGAGAGACTGTCGATCGATCACTCAGGCATCAATCGATCACGTCAAGGAGAAGTGCAACCTCTTCCGTCTGACACGTCTCTCACTTCACTCATTGCCATTGATTGGTGAGCTGATGGGTGCGCCCAACAAGGCACTTTTAAAGCCCATCACCTACAAGGATCGGACATCATCCAATGAGTGGCGGCTCAAGTCCAAGAAGATGCATGAACTCGTCATGGAGAATAAGGAGAAGGTCGAACAGATATTGTTACAAAAGTCCCCACCGCCCACCTCCAAGGCGCCTCCCCAGAAGCCTGTCTATCTACCATTCACCGAGAAACGAGACTATCACACACTGAGTCGAGGTGATCGTACTGGATTGGATCCAGAACATCTGGAGGTAAGTGTTAAGTTATACATTGTTGGTGAATGAATCACTCACTAACTTCATCACCGATCAATCATTTTTATAGTACTATCTTGCTGAGGATGACTTTGTAAGATTGTTTGGAATGTCCACAAAGAAGTATGAAGTTACTACCAAGTGGAAGAGAGAGGAAAGGAAGAAACAACTTCATCTATTCTAGAAGTTCTGGATAAATATTATATTTGTATAACTTTGTTTGTCTACATCATTACCATTTTGGATTGATTATTTTATTGATTGTTTGCAATAGTTCTAATCATTGGAAAGGGGAGTGAGTGATTGTCTTGGACCATGTTCCCTCAACTCTTGAATGACTTATCTTTGGATAATATCACTTTTATTAATTGATTTAATCAATCAAACAAATAAATAAACAATCACCTTAGAGAATTGATGGATTAGGAAGATGGTAAATTTGAATGAAATTTCGCTCAACTTCTTAACCACACTTCCATCTCATCTTCGAGGCTTCCAACATGAGAGAATTGAGTGTCACTTTAACGAGATTATATTACCAATACAATTACAAAACATATACATACATATAAATATATATATACAATGTCAACACTAGATATTAGTAATATTAACAAACAACATGATGTGTTGGCAATAGTGAGCCAGGACTATCCTGCCTACGAGTCAATCGTCAATGCACTCAATACTGCTGCCAAGTCAGTCGTGTTGGCACAGTCTACAACATCTATACCAGCAGCAGCACAACAGAGCTTTGCCGATCGCATTGTTGTGGTCAGCGGTGCCAACATCACCTCTTTGCAATCGCTGTCCAGCGCACTAAAGGATGGCGGCCTGCTTGCCGTCTACCAATCCACTCCTCAGAACCTCACACTCGATCTCCTCTGCAATGGCTTTGTCGATGTCACATCTTCAGACTACAATGGACTTGCACTCACATGTGCCGCCAAGCCAGATTGGAACACTGGTGCTAGTCAATCAGTCAACATTGTGCCACAATCCGCTGGTTGGGGCAACGTCGGTAACAATGATGCTCGTATTGATGAGAGCGAGTTGTTAAGTGAGGCAGACAAGAATGTTAAACCATCAAGTAACTATCAATATATATACATTAATTCGTTCGTGTTTGCTAACCCTCACTCAACCATGCAGCTACATTGGAGGATTGTGGAGTTGGCTCAAAGAAGAAGGCTTGCAAGAACTGTACATGTGGACTGGCAGAGATGGAGGCAGCTGGAGAAGAGGCACCAAAGCCAAAGCTGACAAAGGAGATGATTGAGAACCCAGGTGTCAACAGTAACTGTGGAAGCGTATGTATATCATCTTTGAAATGCTCAATATCCTTGGATATTACATCACCATACTCATACAAGTTGTTCATTCCATCATTCATAGTGTTCTTTAGGTGATGCATTCAGATGCAAGGGATGTCCATACAGAGGACTGCCATCATTCAAGGTTGGCGAGAAGATTGTATTGCCAGACGACTTCCTCACTGACGACATCTAAACAATACATACATACACATAACTCAATACTCTTTAATGAATACCGTGATCATTTCAATGACATGGTTGTGACGGATACGGGTCAGATCTTAATAGGTTGCGCACCTTTTTGCTCGTTTCAGGTTCGCTGACCACGGGTTACCACGCCTAGCCCCAACATTTGTGTCTGGGTCGCGCCTTTCGCCACAAAGGCCCATATTCTGATTTGCAAATCATTTATTATCTTTGGTTCCCTTCACGCCTCTGAACCAAGGTTGGGGGTTATGCGATAACAACAGGCAGACACACGTACGACATCATCACCATCACCAACATCACTTTGATTGATTCAAATCACTCATTCATTTCTTTCATTTCATTCATTCACTAAGTGATACATATTCTTATCTATCTTTATATCTATCTATCATAATGGAGCAGCTAGGACTGATCAGCCAGTACATTGATAGCTGGAGGTGGACTCCAGAGACACCATTGTCTCACTGGATGTACCCAGCATCAACATCAGTTCTCTACCTCTTGGTTATCTTCTCTCTTTACGTAAGTTGCGTTGAAGATGGAAGTGTGTGAGTGGAACTATTCCTGATCACTAACCACCACGACCGACCCCGTCAATCATACATTTGGAATACAGTCATTCATGAAGAAGAGGGAAGCGTTCAAATTGAAGGGACTATCAATTATTCACAACACCAACCTGATCGTATTGTCATTTGCCATGATGGCTGGTGTGCTACATGCCGCCTACACTCAATCTCAGGAGCAGGGCGTGTTCTCACTGTTGTGTGAGCAAACCCCAACGGCAGTCAACGGAAGGATTGGCTGGTGGATCTACGTCTTCTACCTGTCCAAGTACTACGAGTTGTTCGACACGGTCATCCTGGCGCTAAAGAAGAAGCCTTTGATCTTCCTGCACATCTTCCATCACATGGCCATGGTGCCCGTCACATGGCAGTGGCTCAGCGACCAGTGGCTCGTGGGCAGCTGGTGGTGCGTCTTTGTCAACTCGTTCATCCACACCATCATGTACTATTACTACCTGCAGACGACACTTGGCAACGACTGCTGGTTCAAGCGCTACATCACCACGGCTCAGATCGTACAGTTCCTCACGGGCACTGCCATCGTGTCGCACTGGTTCTACATCAGACAGTCGGAGAACTGTCAGGGAGGCATTGCCCCAGCCATCGTCTCCTACGTCATCAACTCGATGTTCATCCTCCTCTTTATCCGTTTCTACATCAAGTCATACTCTAGACCCAAGACTGGAGGAAAGGTTGTCAAGTCTGAATAAAGACCAGGATTATTACAACGACTCAAATAGCAAAGGTTGTTTGTTTATCAACAACCTTGGCGAAATATATATATATTAATGTTTAGGACTCCTTTAGCCTCGAGGTTGTTGATGTTGGCTGGTACTCTTCTCAATCCATCCCGCATCCAAATGTACATTGCTGTCATAGATTGAGTACTCGCGCATCTTGGAGTCCACTTTGAAGTTGTTATCTTCAAGGTCTTGGAGACAGGCTAGATACCTTGCCTCTGCCTTGTCCTTGCCAATGTGATACATTCTCATCGTGACGAATCTCTGTTGTTCGCCAGTGTCATTGTTGGCCTTGAATGCATTCTTTGATAGATGTGCCTGATGTTTATCAATCAGTTGATGTAACAGGACATAGTCCTGATTGGCAGGCAGGTTAAGTTTGATATGGAACTCAAAGTAGTTCTCTGGGCTGACCTGTTGAGCATCCAAGTCAGTCAAAGGCACGCCAACACATGAGAACATAATCTCAATCTTGATCCTTGTGATGGTAAAGTTATTACAAATGAACTTGTTGGCCAACTCATATGCCAATGATTGTATCTCAATCAATGTTCTGTTGTTGAGTGAATGGATGGAAGGTTAGTAACCTTGATGGATGAGGGTAATGCTCCTGACACTATTACATACCCTCTATGATATGATGATGTCATCATTTGTGTTGGATGTTGTCCTTTGGGTAGTTCAATTAGTACTGGCTTGCAACCAGTTGTAGAACACACCTGACGGAATGTGTCCAGTGATGGTGCATGCTCATCATTCTTCACAGTGATATGTATCTCGAATAGACCACTGTATGGATGACATCTTATCAATTCGGCCATTGACAAGTATGCCTTATGTCTTCCACTCAATATAAACTTATTGCCTTGTTTCTTTGACAGGCTACACTCCAATCCATTTGGTTTGAATATAGACCTAAGTGATAAGATACTAAAGTTAGTATCACTGAGTCGTTTTAGACATCAATATACTTACTCCCAAAGTATGTTTGTGCTTGTGTCTGGAGTGTCTGGTGCAATGATTGTTCCAGTGACTGTTGATTGGAATGTTGCAATGTCAATGCCATTGGAAGTATAGAGTAGAGTGATATTGGATGATGCTCTACAACCAACGTATTTTGATACAATGTTGTTATCCTTGTTCAATTGATCATAGTCGAATTCATTAAAGTGTACCAATGTTGATGTTGACTTTGAAGTAGGAGGTGTCTGTTCAATAATGAGTGATTTATATTCACAAAAGCATGATACATTGTTGTTATTGTTGTCCAATACAATCTGTTTATAAGATTGTAACAACAATGAGTTCAATTGTGAGAATCCATTGCCATTGCCATTGTCATTGTCTTTGTCATTGTGTTTGATTGTAATTGATGAATTGTATAACTTTAGTTTAGAGTTAAAGTCAGCCAAAATCCTTATTATCTCATTATAATATATTAGAGTATCACTTGATGATTTTGATATAAAGTATATATCACGCAACATTGTTGTTGTTGTAATAATCTATATCTCTTTGTTTGATTATACCAAATTATCTCCAAATGTCTCGTCTTTTGTCTCTTGCCAAACCCCTCATGTTTCCTCGCTCATTCCACATGGGTGTTTGAGAGAATTTACTTGGAAGTCGTCACTTCACTTCAATGCTAATACACATGAACATTCACCTATATCTACATTGAGTATCACTTAATTGTTGTGTTCTTGACATGCCCTCATTTCAATCAATCAATCAATCAATGATGGATCAAATACCTAATATAGTATTACGTATCATATTCAAACAACTATTGACATCATCTGTCAATATCATATGCAATGATGACGATGATGATGACGATGATAATCGTGGAGGTGGATTGGATCAACTCTGTTTCGGTCTAACATGTAAAAGACTATACTCATTGTATAACAAATGGTCATCAACTTGTTTGGCACCTGATGATGACTCAACAACAACAACAACAACAATACCTAAAGCACCAGAACAATTGATGGTCATTGCCAATGACTTTGATAGACCGATTGAACCAGGATCATTACCTTCGACATTGACAGTGTTGCGATTTGGTTCATACTTTAATCAACGATTGATACCTGGATCAATACCAGAGACGGTCATTGAGATTGTCTCTGGTGTGTGGTTCAATCAACCGATTGAAGCTGGTGAACTACCTCCTAGGTTAAAGTCACTCACCTTTGGATTCTATCATGATCAACGTATCCCTCCCCATACTCTACCAAACTCACTCACGGAGCTTACAATGGGACTCAAGTTTAGTCATTTACTCGAGCTGCATTCATTACCCTCGTCCATCACCAGTTTGAGCTTCAAGATTCCCTACGATCGCCCAATCCCTGTTGGCGTGCTCCCTGCCTCACTAAAGATTCTCAACATGGGCAGGTACAACAGTTATCCAATCATGCCAAATGTTCTCCCTCCCAGTCTCACAGAGCTATCCTTTGGCAATGGCTTCAACAGAAAGTTTGAAATTGGCACCCTGCCAAATGGCCTGAGGTCCCTGAAGCTTGGTATCAGTTATCAACAGGTGATCCTGCCAGGCGTGCTACCCGAGACCCTGGAGCTGTTGACCATTGGATCAGGCAGCGATCAACCAATAATACCAGGTGCATTAACTGGTACCTCGCTGACCAAACTCACATTGTCCGAACATTACTCACAACAGATACAACCTGGTAGCTTGCCAAACACTCTCACAGAGTTTGCTCTCCCCGATGCATTCAACCAGGTGTTGCTTCAAGGTGCTTTGCCAACATCAATTACAAGTTTGAAGATGGGCAAGTACTTTGATTTGGAGATACAACCTGGATCATTGCCACCAACATTAGAGACATTGGAGTTTGGTTACTATTACAATCAGTTCATTGCGCCAAACTCATTGCCTTCAACACTACGATCACTTACATTTGGACATATGTATCAGCATGCTTTGATGCTTGGATCACTACCCCAGTCACTAAAGTTGCTTACCTTTGGTGCAATGTTCAACTCATTGTTTGACATTGGTGTACTGCCCTCACAACTGACCTCGTTGTCGTTTGGTACCAACTACAATCAACCAATGACCGAGGGGATACTACCACCATCATTGAGATTCCTTGGTATAGGTGCACTTTTTGCCAATAATCCGATTGTATTACCATCACAACTACATGCACTTTGCATTCACACCATTGATCAATGGTCCAACTTCAATCAAGTCATACCAACAACATTGTCATTGTTACATATTGAGTACTTTGTACCATGTGCATCAAGGGAAGAAGTGATTCGTCGTGAGACCGCAACAAAGCCACTGGTTAATCACAGGTTGAGTAGACTGACAATGGAGATCACAATACAAGATGATGGTACTAGAGTTGATCTAATAGATGGTCTATTGATGAAACAGATTGTACATCTATTCCCAAAAGTCGATACATATAATCTAAAGAATGAACAACCCAATAGTTATGTCTATAATCAATGTCAATGTAGATTGATCCAGTCACAACTTGGACTATGTCAATGGAACATTGAGTACCAAGATAGGTCAAATTACTTCTTCTTGAAGTTCTAACCTTATGTCCATCAAATATTTAAAAATTGTGTAATAATAATAATAAACAAATATACATTTATTCGATCAATCTTATGATGGTTGTTGATCGCAACCCTCTGGATGCTGGACATTGATTGGTCCAAGACCAATAGTCGATGCCACCTTTATCGATGTTGCCGTGGACATTGTGTGCTTTCATCCATGAACCATGCTCAACGCGGTTGTTGACCATCTCAAATCCAACCATCCAGTCCGCTCAGTCAGTGATCACCAATGACTAGTGCCGCATCAACGTTCCAAAGACAGAGGTAATGTAGCCAGGGCACCGACAGACATGGGTGTTCCATTACCATTCATCGACGACACATCGTTATCAACAAAGACTGTCCTGGCTGGATACTCAATTGCTTTCAGTACCTTGAACATCTGTAACTGTTCATAGACGCTCTTGTCTGTGTAGCGATAGATCGACAGCTTGATATGCCTGAGCGTCGTGTTGGTGGCTTCGAACCGCTGATCCCAGCACACATCGAGTAGTTACAGATTGGGATTGGATGCGATCATGTCTGCATAATCAATGCCAATCCTTACGACAAGTTTGATCGTCTTGATCACAGTGTTGGCCGCATAGGCCTGGGTGAAGCGATGCACTGTGTTGTGCGTCAAATCACCAGCGTATGGGTCATAGTCGTCCACAAAGCCGATGCGTAGCTTGTGTAGAGCTCGCAGTTTGTTCAGGAATGTAAAGTCGGCCATGCGGTGACAGTTGATATCTAACAGTGTCAATGTGTTGGACATGGTCGAGAGGATCGACGCCCATGGTTGAAGAGTCGGGTCGACATTGTCCTTGCCACAAGCAATCTGCAGAGCCGTGAGTGTGTTCTTATGTGCCAATAGATTATTGGCATAGTTGCTGGGCTGCTTCTTCTTCTTCTTGTTGGTTGTGGTGGCATCGACCTCCTCCTTATTTATGATGTAGCGACGCAGGGGAAGTTTGATCATCGGCAGAATAAGACCAAGTACTGGTATATCAAATGCCCTGGGGAGTAGCTTAAAGGCAAGCGATGTGACCCTCCTTGGCCAGTTCGTGTTGAGACATTCGATGGTCTGCTGTAGACACTCGGCCGATGTGGTAGAGTTGAGGACCACTGTGACGTCGCCTAGATTAATGGTGGTGAGCAGATCCTTGGCCTCGGACGTGAGGTCGGTGAGGCCCGAGATGTCCAGCCGGTAGCGTCGAAGGATGTTGGTGACGCCAGACATGTTTCGCTTGTCAGCCGTCTTTAAGAGCCAGTAAAGTTTCTTGACTGAGCAATTCAGCGACACCCTGTAGCCAATGTTGATGTGGAGTTGGCTGAGTATCTCAGGGATGATCACGAGCCATCTCTTTGATAAACAAAACAGATTCACTACCCAAAACTTGTAGCGATAGAGCAAATTAATCAATAGCGTTATTATCTTCCTTTGTATAATCAGTGGTAGTGCTGGGTTACATGACATCCTGTTGTAGTTATTACTGTTACTGTATATTAATGACTCATACTTGTTCGAATAACAAGTGACTCATTCCACACATGGGTCATTTCGGAAGTTGTTGCCACGTGTCATCTTCACAACTTTTGAACAAGCACATGCATCTTCACTCTTTCATTCATTCAATCAAATAATTGAACATTGTAATAATAATAATACATATATATTAAGTAGTAATAGTAATAAGATATGACATCAAGAATACCAAATACAATTTGTTTGTTTGACGTTGATGGAACACTTACAAAGCCAAGGAATGTTGTTACAGCAGAGATGAAGCAATACCTTGCTACACTGATAACAAGAGTACAACTTGGTGTTGTTGGTGGAAGTGATCTTGTCAAGATTCAAGAGCAACTTGGCAATGACTGTGTATCAAAGTTTGATTACCTCTTTGCAGAGAATGGTCTGAATGCATTCAAGGCTGGTGCACCACTTGCTCAACAGGTATGGTATTGATTGAATGATCGAATGATCGAATGAATGAATGAACTACATTCTTACAACAACAACAACAACAACAATGATAGAGCTTTAAGAACTTCTTGGGTGAGGAGAACTTAAAGAAGTTCCTCAACTTTGTACTTCACTACATTGCCGATCTTGATATTCCAATCAAGAGAGGAACATTTGTCGAGTTCCGCAATGGAATGCTCAACGTATCACCAATCGGAAGGAACTGTTCACAGAGCGAACGCGAGGAATTCGAAAAGTACGACAAGCAGCACAACATTAGATCGACATTTGTCAATGTGCTCAAGCAGAAGTTTGCCGACCTTGGTCTACAATACTCTATTGGTGGTCAGATCAGCTTTGACGTGTTCCCCATCGGTTGGGACAAGACCTACTGTCTGCAGCATCTGCCCGCCGACCAGTACACCACCATCTACTTCTTTGGCGACAAGACAATGGTTGGTGGCAATGACTATGAGATCAGCACACATCCAAGAATCACAAAGTCATTCACAGTCACCTCGCCAGAGGACACTGAGAGGTTCCTCAAGGAGTTGTTCCCATAAAGGACAATAAAAAAGGCATCGATACTGTAGTATCCTCTATCAATCAGTCAATCACAAGTTAGTTTATTGGACTACTGCTGGCCTAGTATACACCCGACATTCCTTGGATATCACAGAGGCTAGCTTTGTGGCAATTGACCAAAGGAGTGTTTCCAACGTTGTTGACAATGTTGTCAAGAGTCAGAGTACCATGAGAACATGTTATCCATGGATTGTCCGAGCCATTGGCGAATGTCACATTGGATAGGATGACATCAGAGCTGGAAAAGTCCAATGGCAACGGAGTGTTGGAGTGGAGGGAGAAGGAGCAGTCTGTAATATTCAATGGGTTTACATCACCAACAAATGATCAGTTGTGAACAACTGTTGTTGTTGAAGGATGAACCTTGGATCGATATGTAAACTGTATACAAACTGACTACTCCACCTAGGAATGAGTTATCATCAAAGGTTGAGTTTGAGATCGATACAGAGCCAATGGGAACTGGACTGTATAATGAATGTGATACAAACAACAAGATTTGTGATTTAAGCGCTTGATTTCTGATGAATGTGCAATTGACAATGTCAATCACATCAGTTCCAAGCAAGTAGATCAAGTTCAGATGGAATGTGTTGGAGTCAAAGATTGAGTTTACCAAGGTCACATTGCCAGTGTTGGAATAAAAGATGTAATCGACATTTTTTCCTTGGAAGACGGTACCGTTGATGATAAGATTGCTTCCAATACTATAGAATATTGTTGCCATTGAATTGTCAACATTTCTAATCATACCTCCATTCAAACTTATATAAGTATAGTTTGATAAGGTATAAAATATGGTTGAAGCATTGAAATCCTGTATGGTTACATTGTTTAGGATGATGTCACCATAGATAACATCGGACAATAAAACTTGTTGTTGTCCATTGATCAATGTCAAGTTATTCAACACCAGACCTGTTGGCAATGCATTTTTATCCGATAGACCAGATGTTAAACCGATAAATGGTTGGAATGAATAGTCAAGGTCAATTATAACACCTTGGAGTCCACCATTGATTGTGACATTAAGTGAATATGGATTGATATTGACTTTGCCAGCATCATCTCCACTCTTTTTTTTTTATAGACTTCGCTTGCCATCCCGATGTTTAGTGCAGAGTTGACAGGGTTGGGTATTAGTTTTATGTAACTATTGAGTGCTGAGTCGATGTCTGGACAAGCTTGATTGGTTCCAGATTCAAGTCCACATAATATTGAAGTGTTGGTTGATAAGTTATCAACATAAATTGTTGTTGTCGTTAAAGTTGTAGCTGTAGACAACTTAATATATTAAGTACCAATAAGGTAAATATTATGATTGAATAATTGATATTGAACATTGATTGAGGGAGTATAATAATATTTTTTTATAACATTGAGAGTTAGATCTACAACTCCGTTCGAATCATCTTTCATAGATATAGTTCTCGCTGAAACTGGTCAATCACTCCAGAACATACATTGTACCATTTTGATCAGGTGATCAACAATGATTTTGGATGACAAGGCGCGCAATCCGATTGGTCGGGCATGCTCTCGAATAAAAAGACGAAAAGCCCTCCACAAACTGGAGCGATGCCAGTCTGTACCAACGGGTACCCTTTGACCTGATTGAGCCCTCAAATCGACACAAAGACTCGCTCTAAAAGATCCAACTTGGTCATCTGGCTTCTCTCTCTAAAAGAAAAAGAGATAATAAATATATATTTAATTATAATAACCGAGATCAGATTTATGATCGCAGCTTGATATGATGGTTGGAGTTTGATTGTGCAGCGTTGGCCTCAAAGACGGATGTTGGCCTTCGCAAAAAGTAGATCAGGAACACTATGGCATTGACCAAGATCAGTACAGAGAACGACATGGTGAATGAGAAGAAGCTGACGTGCTCATCGAGTAGTGTGCTGTAGATCGGTCCAATGAAGATGCCAAACGAGTAAAAGATACAAAACATTGAGAGTATCTTGCCATTGTGCGTGCCCTTCTCGGTGGGATCGACAATGTACGTCAGTATCGGTATGATTGGATTGAAGAACACGGCCAGGCCACCGCCAATCACAATGATGTCGATGAATAGCAGTGACAGGTGAGAGACGCGGTCGATAAAGGGGAAGGCCACCGCTGTGACCACTGCGCCAGCAAACGACATCTTGGTGCGGCTGACATAGTTCTTGTCGGTGAGGTAGCCACTGAGTGGTGAGAGCACGAGGAAGGGGAAGATGAAGCTGGCAAAGAGTAGAGAGGTGACACTTGTTGAGCGATGGAACTTGTTCTGTATCAGCAGGGGCAGGAGTGGTTCGAGACTGGACATGCCAATGGCAAAAAGTATGATGCTGCTCAATGTCATCCAAACATCCAATCGCTTCATAATCATCTTGAAGAACTCTCTCTCGTTCATTGGCTCGTCCACACTGTCCTCCACTCCATTGATATGTATCTCGTCAAACACTTCATGGTCAGCAGAGTTTATAATCGCATGATTGATTGGCTCAGACTCTGTTTGAACTGGTACCTCATCGCCTTCTTGTGACGTTTGATTGAGTTGTGATTGTTCTTGGTCCACGTCCACATCCTCCTCATCCTCTTGGTCTTGTACCACCACATGATCATCTGTCGACAAACTGATTGATGCACCATCACGCTGAGGGTCGGCCACGTCTGCTCCAGCCATCTCAACATCATTTAGGATGTCTTGTCTAATGTCACCATTGTCATCGATCAATTGTGTTATCTCTTTGCCCTTGCGATCTTTAAGTTGTTTGTGAAGTTTGATTGAACCATCGTCCACCAGGAGTACACGAGTCATTAGGTCTAACAATACGAATATGGCCGAGATGTAGAATGGCACAAGGTATCCAAAGTGTTCATAGGTGACGCCTCCAATGATTGGACCAACCAATGCACCGATTGTGTTGCCACCAATGACCGTACCACTTACAACGCCAAACTGTTCATTCGAGTAGATGTCGGCGATCAGTGCCAGTCCGACCACCCAGGCCACCGCCGAGCTCAATCCCTGGACGAAACGGGCGATGAATAGGATGGCCAGATGACGACCGTAGGCAAAGAGCATCGTGGAGCCGGCCAGCATGGCCATGCCAATGAGGAAGGGTGTACGACGACCAATACGATCCGACAGCACACCCACTATTGGCGTACCAATTAGACAACCGGCAGAGAACATTGCAAACAGTAGACCAGTGACTGATTGTGACTTGTGATATCGTGTCTCCATCTCCAATGGTATAATTGGCAGGATTATACCATAACATATCATATCTGTAAACAAAGCGAACGATATCGATACCAATATAGAGGTCTTTGAGTATCGTACTCTTTTAATAAATGGCCATAATCTTTTTATCATCTTATTATTATTATTATTATTACTACTAAATAGTATTATTATTATTATAATTATTATTACTGTACTGCAGTGGCTTTTATACCTTGCTTGGTACTATTACAAACTGTTGTCTACTATTGTTTGGAAAATTGATTGATTGATTGATTGACTGATTGAATGAGTGAATGAATGAATGATGTTTACTTTAGTCGACCTGTGAACACAAACAAATATAGTATGTTATGAAGAGATAGAATGAATGATTGATTGAATGAATGAATATAGTAAGTTGGGGAGTATGTCAATTCACTGACATACTCCACACTACCTCTTTGTGATGTAAGGTGATCAGAGGGTTCGTGTGTGGTATCCGGCTTGTTTGAGTGATGAGTGTGTTTGTGTGTTGGTGTGTTGTTGTAGTTGTAATAACAAAGTTGTTGGGTGTATGTGAGGTAGATAGATGTCTAATGCCCAAGAACTAAGTGAATGAATTGTTGACAGGATGATTGAATGAATGAATGAATGAACACTAAAATGAGGTCTCAAGACTTTATAATGTTTATCAATATTATGTCGTCAGGTGGTGCCACAATGACACATGTAATAGCATCTAACGACCAGGTGTTAGTGATGTGAGGTGAGGTGTGAAAACAGGGGTGAATGATGGTTTGGAACTGACCCCCATTCGTCGTCGAATTAGACTTGTCCCGACAATTGCTGATGGGTGAGTCTCAGAAGGCCAGGGTTCATTCACACAAGTGTGTGTGTTTGATTCTTTGAAGATGCAGAACTGATGACACACTCGTGTTCTTGATTGAAAAGAATGAACGAACGAACGATTTTATTCAGGTGACTCGAACAATCAATTCAATCATTCAATCAATCAATCAATCAGAATAATAGGTAGATAGGTAAAGTTATGCATCTCTGGTTTGGGATTGGCAAGTTGGTATTCAACCAATAATGTTCCCCAATCACGTCCAATGAGATTGCGAATAGGTCCTGGATGATGGATACTATTCTTGTTGCTGGGTGTTGGTCCTGTCTGGGGATTGGTATCTCTGTACGTGTAGGCTGCGACTAAAAGACAAGGCGGACCATCCAATGGCGATCGGACCCATTGTTGCGCCAAGTTCATACAAACAGACTCCTCAGCATGGTTAATGTCATCGAGTTGATGCAGTTCGACTACGTCCGTGATCAGTGCTCTCGACTGCCCAGCAACCCCAGTCCATTGGAGAACAAAGAATGTCAGGGCGTTGGGTGTGCCCGTACCCTTCTTTGATCTCATTAGACCAAACATCAGGTAGTCGGCATGAACCTTCACTCGGTAGTGTCCAGCAATAGCAGCCTGACTGCCATCTAGTCGTGGCTGCACTCTCAAAGAGTAGAGGAAGGGCGGTGGAAGGTACCTTGCGGCCGATGTAAAGCTGACATTGATCGGATGTGGCCATTTGGTTATTGAACGACCTGTTCGACGGCACTTCACCTCGACGACCATCTGGAAGTTGGTGTCACGTACTCTGGGCCTACGTCTCACTTGGATGTCCATGTAGGCAGTGCCATCACTCTGGACAGAGGCCTCCCACACCTGGTTCTGCATGGGTCGGAATGCACCGCCCACGATGCTGGCAACAAGGGTGAGATCAGAGTGCTGAGCGCATCCATTGAGGACGACCCAGAGACGAAAGGTAGACTTGCTCACGACCCTAAGGACAGTCTTCATCCAGACAAACATCAGTGCATCTGTGTGGCTCGGGTCCACTGTGTAAGGGGACTCTGGAGGATTCGGCCAGTACTCTGCCTTCATTCGACTTTGAATTGAGTTGTTGGTGGCAATGGCAATATCGCGACGACATTTGCAATGGCGACGGCATTGGCTGCAGGATCCACCATTGGCACAGCATTGGCAATATCAACATCATCGGCAATAGCAATGTCATTGGCTTCTGGCTCCTCAACTGGCACAAAGTTGGCAAGGTCAAGGGCAATATCATCAGCGTCATCAATAACAATGACATTGGCTTCTGGCTCCACCACTGGAACAGCATTGGCCAGAGCAACAGCATCGGCATAGGCAACGGCATTGGCAGCAGGCTCCATCATTGGCACGGCATTGGCAAGAGCAACAAAATCGGCAAAGGCAACGGCATTGGCAGCAGGCTCCACCATTGGCACGACATCGGCAAAGGCAACGGCATTGGCTGGCACAACATTGGCAAGGACAAAGTCATGGGCTGCTGGCTCCACCTCTGGCACACCGTTGGCAATAGCAACAACATCGGCAAAGGCAACGTCAAAGGCATGGGCAGTAGGCTCCACTACAGGCACGGGTGGTTGTACTTGGTTGGCCGTAGGGATGGCATCAAAATCATTATCAAGGTCGACAAAGTCCCAGACCTCGAGATCAGCGATGTCAACCATCTCTATGTCATTGTTGTTGTCGTTTATCTCCTCCACCACCTCCCTCTCTGCAACCTCCTCTGCCCCTTGATAGGGGACTGGACTTGCCTGGAGCAAGTTGTTGGGATGATTAAACTGTTGATAACCAACATTACGGGCGAATAATTGTGCAATCAACCTATTAAGGTTGTTGTCCCCCTTCGCATGAGCTTGTGGGTACATGTCTACTACTAATATGTTTGTATTGTATTGATCAAGTAATTGATTGATAATCTAGTGTTACAAAGAGATAATAATATGGAACGTTAGTGCGAGTTGTTATTTGTTATATGTTATAACTAGGAAGAGGTGTAGAGAGTGAGTGGGAGAGAGAGAGAGGGAGAGAGAGACTCCATTTATCGTGATCGCCTTCAATCAGTGTCACGTGTTCCCAATGAAAGTGTCACACTCACCCAGACCTTCATCATCACATCACCAATCAGACACACTCTTACCACACCACAAACTCTAAGGCAAGTTCATGTTGGGAACTCACCTATTTCATCCGAAGAAGTGTGTTGAAGAGTGTCCTACTGCAGGAGCGGATAATGGGCATCTATTATTGGTGTGAATGATTGAAGGCATGAGAGAATGGAGGGGGTTGATATGGTGTTCCAACAGGACTCTTCAAACAAACAAGGTGTTTATTGGACTGGCTGGACTGGACTGGACTGAACTGACTATCATGTCATGTGAAAGGGTTGCTACTGTTACTGCGATGATGATAGTTGTAATTGTGTTGTTGATGTTGTTGTTTGGGGTGCCCCAGAGCCAGGGTAATCATTCAATGATACCTCCTTAACATCGTTGAGTAAGGAATGGATCGATGGTAACCTTTCGCTACTACCACCCCCACCTCCAGCACCACCATTGGTTGGAGATGTAATGTGTAAATGATCGCTGCTGTGATTGAGACTATTGCTGTTACTGTTGAATAAGGGCATGCCTGTCGCAGAGGACGTCGAAGAAGATCTTGATGTCTTGTTTGAATGTTGTTGTTGTGATGATGATGATGATGATGACGATTGAAGTGGAGGCTTCTTGTTGTTGAGGATGGTGGTAGTGTTGTCGAGATGTTGTGACATGTAGTGGTGAGGAGGTGAGTGTGGAGGAGAGTACGAAGAGGACATCGTATGGGTTTGATGTTGATGCTGGGGGACAGATAGTGTATGTTGGAAGCCGCTGCCGCCACCGCCAACGCCAGATAAAAGACGCTCGTCAAGTTTGCGATCAAACTGTTTGAATGGCGGCGAGCTGATCATGTTGAACGAGGGAGGTGGATAATTATGTGAATAGTCTTTGTACAGTTCCCTCTCGTGTATTGGCGAAAGTGATCGCTCGGGTGAGTTGGGCATCTTGCTAATGTTTGGCAGCGACACACGTCTGATCGACAGTCGGTTGGGGAGTGGTTCGCTATGATGCGAGCCATAGTGGTGTCCATTGATATTGCTGCTCTCGAGATCGATAGAGTCGGTCATGCCGCTGGGTGATGTTACTTGCTGGTACTTGGAATATGGATGGAACTTGTGTGCTTCATCGCCCAATGATGGACGTCTATGTAGGGGAGAGGAGTATGGGTTGGCTGTTGTCGTTGTTGTTGTTGATGTTGGTGGTTGTTGCCATTGTCCTGCAAGTGGGTGAAGATAATGTTGCATCTGTTGTTGTTGTTGTTGTAGTAGCTGCTGTTGTTGTAGTTGCTGTTGTTGCTGTAGATGATGATACATGTAGGGATCTACATCGTCGTGATAGTTGCCTTGCGATCTAACTGATGTGAATGCTGATGTCACTGAAGGGAATGTCGGATGTGGTGAAGATGATGGTGAAGTTGGTAGTTTGTTGTTGTTGTTATTCTTTGTATTTGTTGATGATGTTGGCAATGGAGGAGTCTTTGTCGAATGCTTCTGAACAGGTTGTTGTTGCTGTTGTTGTTGTTGTTGCTGCTGTTGTTGCTGTTGTTGTAGAACTTGTTGCTGTTGTTGTTGTAAAGCCTGTGTGACCTTTGGAGACTTCTTTGTGTCCAACTTCCAATGCGTGACAAACGTCTTGTATGATGACTTTTGAACCGATATGCCTGGCTCTGAATTCCTTCTCTTCCGCCTACCAACATTATTGAAATCTGTTGGTGTCTGTGCTTTAAACTTCCAATTCTGATTAGATGCTGCTGCCGCTGCTGCTGAAGATGGTGGAGTCTGTGTCTGTCCAGTTGGAGGTGATGTTTGTGTCTGAGTCTGAGGTGATTGTGATTGTGATTTTCCATTTGTCGTCGCTGCTGTAGTTTGTTGTTGATTCAATGATCCTAATATTGATGTTGCTTGACTCTCACTATTCCTGCGACTATCAGAGGACACCACCAGTGATTCCTTTGGTGATGTTGGTGAACTCATATCTCTGTGTGTGTAGTATCTATATATTATATATAACTTTGATCGCTAGTTGTTGATTGTTGTTGGGCACCTGGTATTACACTTTAAAAATATAAAGAGTTAAATAATAATAATAATAATAATAATAAATAAATAAACTTAGTTTGTTAGTTTTGAAGATGGTATTGATGATGATGATGATGGAAGGTAGGAAGTACTGGATGGATGATTGGAATTGGATTATAGAATAGAATCAAATAACCTTTCTCTATCTCATCTCTCAAATAAACAAACACCAACTTGTTATGTTCAAAATGAATGTAATGAATGAACAAACAACCACGATCATACACACAACAAGAAACCAAACCAAACCAGACCAAAACTGAACAATTTTATGAAAGGGGGTGTTGTGGTTGTTGTGTCTTTGATTCCATTCATCCAAACTTCTCCCTCTTTTGATCATGAATGCATGCATCCCACCCACAAACAACACGAACACACCAATAAGCAACTTCAGCGATCTTGATTGCTTGCCTAAATATGGCCAAACGTTGTGTGCTTGTGGGCGCTGAGCCAAGTGAGCCCTCCCCTGAAGACCCAATGCAAAGTAAAGACCCATCAGAATCACCCGCAACTGTGTCTCTTGAACATTGCAATGTGTTGATTATTTACAATAATGGAAGGAGGTGTGTCTTTTTGATGGATTTTGTTGTCTGTTTGTGAGGTGGTGATCACATCAATCATAGGCGAGGGACGACTCCTAATGGGGCTTTTGAGGGAGCTGGACCAGACGGTGGATACTACTTGATCTAATCCAATGGGAAGATTGTTTTTTGGACATTGGTGTTGTGCTCTGTATGCAGATGAGTGCCATCAGATGGGTGATGGTGATGGCTGGTGTCTTCACATACATCTGCAGATGTTGATGACGATGAAGTCAGATTCGACTTGGTCGCTGATGGCGCAGCGGCAAACATCGATGGAACCTTGTCAGTGCAGCCGCAACATGAGAACGAGTGCACTTTGAGCACTCTGGCCTCGGGCGCCCCGTCGTCCACAACATTCGGGTCATCTTTAAACTCGATCAGTGAGCCAAAGAAGAAGTGCTGCATCACTGGCAGCTTGGACATGAGCTCGGACTTGTACATCTTGATCATGCCCTCGTTGACCTTGGACCAGTTGCGCACGCCACTAATGTCCACCAGCATGGGCGAGTGTTCCATCAGCGAGCCGGTCTTTACCTGCAGAATGAACGATATACATTGCAGGTACATGTATTTGTCGGCGAACGAGCTGACCACCTCGGCGCTACGGATTGACTTTGGTCGGATGTACTGATGTTCGATCAACTGCGAAGAACCAAATAGGAAGGGCAAGAAGTGGTAGTCGTCCAGGCCCCAGACACCGTGCGAACCCGCTGGCTCCAACCAGTAGGTGGCTTGAAGCTTGCGCATCAATCCAATGTAGCCATAAAAGACGTTGAGTACCAGTGCCGTGTAGTCCTCGCGAGTAAAGTAGCCGACTCTACACAGACAGTATAGGAAGCATATAAAGTTCAACTCGTGTCCACTGCCATAGTCTATACGTGTCCTATCTCCAAAGCTATTGTTCAAGTATACTGCCATCTCTTTGGATAATTCATCGTTATTGTTGTTGTCGTTGGCGTCATTACTTGATAATAGACCATTGATCAATGATGTCGACTCCTTCTCACATTGATCGAACCAATCTGCGAATGACTCATTGCCAAACCTTGTCCTCTTCTCTCTTGGTGGTATCTCATCAACCATCTTTCCAAGTCGTTCAATGATCTTTATCAACTTGTTGATGTTCTAAGAAGTAGGTTGAGTGAGTGAGTTGAGGGTATTCAACAACAACAACATGATCATTCATGTACACATAACATACTTCAGAGATGTGTCTTGGGGCATCGTTGGCAAGACCCTGTACACTTAGTGACATTTGAAGAATGAAACGTAGTAGATCATTGTATTGTACACTTGATTGGAACACCTTTAAGTCTCTACGTGTATGTATCTGTTTGGTTGGTAATGTATAACTACTACTACTACGACTGTATGATTGAATATTTTCATTTAGATCACAATCAACCAACTTTGATATACATTCAAAGTGATTATAAGGTGATGTAATAGTAGGCGATGTAGATGTTGTTGTTGTAGTCATCTTGTATATATATATGTATGTATGTAGGTAGAGATAGATAATAAATTAATGGAAGTGAAGTTGAAGTTACCCGAGGGGTGATGCTCATTCAATCAATCACCCTTTATTGTGGAAATGTCGGAAAGAGGTGGCGACGACGGGTCCTCGAGAGACTACACTTCGTTGTGTGATCGATGTACAATGTCCTCCCAAGGGACGAAACGCTAACATAATGTTTGGGTACTACTTAACCAAGATTACCCCATCCTCTTGGATTGTCATCCTTCCAATCGTCCCAATCACGTGTCTTTTTGAGCTTGGCAAGATCTTCCTCTTTGCCATCGTCTTGGTCTTCGTCGTCGTCCTCTTTCTTCTTGCTGGCCTCGCCTCCGGGTCCCTGGGCCATGCCGCCATTCTGCATCTCCCACAGCGCAGCCTGCTCTGGTGAGATTGTCGGCAGGATGTGACTGGGCCTAAACACCTTGTCCAGCATGATCTGTCGCCCATCGGGTAGTATCTGGAAGTTGCCAATGTTTGATGGCTTGGGAGGTGGAGGCTTGGGCACGACACCATTGTTTGCCGACTTGATCTTGTCAATCTCCTCCAACATTGTCAGCTCCGAGTCCATCATTTCCAACATTGCCACAGTCTTTACAATCGCGTCATTGAGTAACAACATTGCAAACTCTCTCTCCACCTCCTCATCGCCACAGTCTCCAGCCTCATCGTCAAAGCCATCCTTATTGCCCTGTGCCTTTATCAATGCCATACGTTTACTAATGATATACTATGTAGATATTTGATTGATTGACGAGTGTTAGGTTTGATTGATTAAGCGGTAATGTGATCATAACATACCGATAACTTTTGTTTTATCTCCTTCTCTCTCTTTCCTCTATTGATCAACTCGTTTCTTCGATTGGCTTGACTCTTTGGTGTGTTTACGCTGTCTGTTATCCTTGCTACAATAGCTGAATCGTCTGTATTCAGCAGTCCCAACCCTTCCATTGATTGTACAAACATGATTGCTTTGGTCTAGAGTACAAGACATGTTGTTAGAATGATTGAATGAATGATTGAGTGCGTGTACCAGACAGCCCAGTCGGACACATACCTTTGACCTCTTCAAGTTCTTTATACGATCAACATCAACTTGTTGTTGAAATAGTTCTGACATGTAGTATGGTACCAAGAGGTACTTTAATAGATCGGTTCTAATGTCATCGATCTCTTCATTCTTTGAGAAGAGTGCCTGTCGATCAATGGCCATTGAAGCCTTCATAAAGAAGAGTAATGCCGACTTGACACTGCTCTGATAATCGGGATCGTTTGTCGATGGTGCACTAGATGTCTGCAGATCACTCCATATCTTTTGACCATAAGTGAACAGTTGATAAAGTGAATCATTGTCGCCTTCGCCTTTTCTATCGTTATTATTATTGTTATTATTGCTTGAGGCAACTTGAGTGCTTAATGAAGTGGTCGGTTCTGTCCTTGTATCATTGATTGAAGTAACAGTACTGTCTTCTTCGCTCATTATTTGTTATGTATATATATGTATATTTGTATTTGTTCAAATGAATGAAGTTGAAAGAATGTGTGATTTCTTCAAGTTTGAAACATTTTGCTAATTTCTTGAATCAATCAATCAATTATTTAATTTATTGATGATAATGGAATGATTCCAAATTGTGACAATCCTTGGGAATTATTGATTAAACAAACAGCATTGGATTGATCCAACTTGCGTACATGTACTTGAAGTATTCTACCCAATTCTTTTGGCTGTCCACATGCAATTGTAATGTGATAGTCAATGACATTTGGTGTTGCCAACACAGCCTTTCTAACATACTCTGCTTGTCTATTGCTCTTAGCACCACCTCTAGCATATCCAACAACTTTTCCATTGATAGAGAGTGATTTTAAAGTCTTGGCCGGTGTGTATCCTTCATCTCGAGAAGGACTGTATTCCCATTGCACAGTGAAATGATCAACAGGCTTCAGACAACGACCGGTGTACATTGATGAAAGATGAGTGAGCCCACCAGGGTCATTGAACGTCCCACTAAAACAATATGACAATCTCCTGAGTGATGATGGCAAACCAAAGAGATGATCACGACAGTAGCCATCAAACTTGAAGGAAATGAGAGTTGGTGGAAATGTTCCAGGCGGGATTGAAGTATATTCAACTCCATCTCTACCCAAGTCCAATGTAGTTACTGATGAAGGGATCATTCCAGGTTTGATGCCACCCTTTATAGTGTATCCAATCTTGAGCTCAACAATTGTGTCGGATAGTTGACCTGTGATCTCAATGATTGGTGTACCTTTACCTTTGTCACCATACTTGTAATCACTCATTATTGACAGACTCTCTAGTGCCGAGGGCAGTTCTGCAGTGATCAGGGCATTCCTGAATCCTTCGAATGTCAGTCTCTTGAGTGTGGGTGGTAGCCAGTCCATGCCAAGTGATGATCGGTGCCATATTGGAAGGTTCAAAGTGTGGAGTGATTGTGGCAGTTGACCAACTTGAAGTGTGTACTCCATAGCTTTGTTCTTGGCAAGTGTTTGAAAGAATGTGAGTGATGTAAGGCTTGATGGCAATGTCCCAGGTAGAAGTGAGTTGATGAACAATTGACCCAGAGACAGAGTGAGGAGTGATTCTGGAAGCATGCCTTGTTCAATTACTTGTTCAAAGCACTTTCCAAACGTTAATGAAGTATTTGTGGATGGTAAGGTGCCACGTGATAATGGATTATTATACTTTGCACCAAATACCAATGTTGTGATTCCAGATGGGAGTGTTCCAGGCAACAACTCATGATTGAATGAGTCTCCAAACTGTAGTTCTGTCAAGCTGGAGGGTAACATATCTTGATTGATCGTATGTTTGAATAGTTTGGCAAAGTGAAGTGATGTGATTGTATCAGGTAGTACACCTAACTCCAAAGGCTTTGTCGACTTGTATATCATTCTTTGTTGAGGTGGAAGTTGAAAGTTGGGTCCAATGTATTCGAATTCAATCATTGGCAATAGACTAGGTAACAATACAATCAATCGTTTGCATGTCAATCCAAGACAGATTGCATCCAATCGATATCTGTTTTGTTCTTCGACAACTTGTAGATTTGAAATGCCTCTTGTAGGTATATTTATATTCTGATCACCAATCAAATGATTAAAAATCTTTGTAACAACTTGAACTGTTAAAGTGTCCATTATAATAAGTAATTATATTTATAACAACAAAGAATAATAATTTTAATGTATGATTATTATCCCTTTTGCCAAAGTCGTAAACTAACGAACGAATTTTCTTTCTCATTTTCCTCAAAGTAGTTGGGAAGATAACAAAATTGATTAGGGAAGTGATAATATTCAAACAAATATACCAGCATAGGTGTAGACAAATACTCATATTACTCACAATTGTGATATTAATACCTACCAAAACATAACTTATGGTTCGTACCATTCCATTGAATGTTTTCAATGATCCAAACATTGTTGTGTTATCATGGGTTTGCAAACAGTGTGGGTCTCACTGGAGTGTAAAGATTTGAGCCCATTTTGTTGTTGATTGTGGAGAGTAATGATGATTGATACTGAAGTGATTGATTGATTCAGGTCTAAATATGGATCAATGACATCATCATTATTGGACTAGCATAGACAGTTGAATGAAACGCCATTGAAAGATAATGATGAAGTTCATGGATCTATACTTACCTTCAACTTGGCCACCAAAGAACAATCAACCATACCCTTTGGAAGGCATATAAATTCGTTTTGCTTTGATGGACAAGACACAGTTTACATTCTATATCAAGACCACTTCATCAGCATGTCATTGACAACCTGGCAGCAAAAAGATCTTGCTACCTTCCCTCATTGTAAATTGGATGGTAGTACAAGGTTGTCCAACAACACCTTGGTCTACTCCACATCAAAGGTTGGAACTATTCTCTTGATTCAGGGCACTCATATGAACTTCTCATACTCAATCAAACGCAATCAGTGGACCAAGATCAATGATGTCGATCCACTGAGTACTATTAATAGGCTTGATCAAGGAATATGTGTATTGTTTGATAAGAGATAGAAGTACTGATCGTCCCTCATTTTACCAATCGTTTAATCTTCCATTCATTCTTCATTCAACAAATCTTTCCAAACATACATAATAAATATTACTAATACTTAATTATTAAGAGTTGAACATCTTTTTGATCGGGTATGTGCCCAGCGGAAGTTGGGAAATTGTTTGCAAAGTCACTTTTTATTCATTAGGTATAAATTAATTGTTGTTAGTTATAACAATCCATCAATAATAGTAATATCACAATCATATATATACTTAATCATACAATCAAACAAATAATAATATTAATAGTATTAATAAATGGATATAGTTAACAATGTTGAAGGACAAGAGGATGAGACACTCTGCAAGACACACAACCATGTCAATGAGTTGATATGTATTGATTGCAATACATTGATATGTATAGGGTGTATAGGTATAATGCATTAGAGACACAGCATTGACAATGCTATCAACTTGAGGTCCATCATTCAACAACAACAATACAATGATTCAACTAACAATAGGGTAAAGTTGTTATGGTCCACTCTACAACAAATGGCCACAAGACATCAATCTTTGTGAAGGAGGTCAGCAACAGATTCACATCAATTCATGATATGCTTGTCATTGAGGAGCATAAACTCACCTCATCAATCAAAGAAAACATGCAACAGTTATCAACTTCGATGACCAACATCATTGATGAGATCAACTACATCAATAGCATCTTCAGATCTGCTACTTCCAACCTGTCCTCTGATTTTGACGATGACATCGTTGAACTTATTCAGTCATGTACATTCGATCAATTCATTGAGAAGACAAGCACAGTGACACCTCAATCATCTTCCAATGCCATTGAGCCCACCATCACTGATAATGACTTATTAAAATTGATTCAAAGTATGGTGGACAAGACTCAATCTAGATATCATTTGGGTAGACGATCGACTCTGGTGATTGATACCAATGCAGTGGATACAATCAAGGATCAGCTTAGATCATGTTTCAATCTCCTGAAGGAATCAGACACTGTGAATTTCACTCATGGACTCGAACACAATGTGATGTGCATTGGTGATGGATATCACTCTTTATACAACCCAATCCACCATTGGGTGGGGCAGCTGTTACGTCCTTTTGCTTTGATGGTCGTGACATTGTGTACATGGAGAATCAAGGATACTTGGAAAGCATATCATTGTCAACACTTGAGCACAGATATCTTGCAACACTCCCTCGTTGTAAATCATATGACAATGCATTGTATGCTGAGAACAACATGGTCTACTGCACATCAAGAGAAGGAACAATACTTTACTTTCAAGGCACTCACATGAACTTCAGTTATTCAATCAAACGCAATGAGTGGACCAAACTCAACGACGAGGATCCAATGGAAGACACAAGACTCGTTCAAGGAACATGTGTATTGTTTGATAGGACATAACTCAATATCATCTTTTATATATCTGTTGTCAATTTGAGAGTTGAATAAACTAGTCCAGTGAGTGAGAGTTCCGATCATCCATCGCCACTCCCCATTATAACTTTGATCACACAGATACTTTTTATTCATAAAGATCACGATCTAACAATAACTAATATCTCATTAAGTACGAACGGTTAACAAGATAACCAACATGTAACAGACAGAACAGACAACATCAAGTACCAAACCTTTGTTAGGTGCGATCCCATCGCCATCACCAACCACAGCCCATCAACCAAGGCCACATCATCCTTCATCAATATGGTACTCATCATACTATATCAAGGTACAACAACTAAATATATATATATATACATCTTCAAACAGATAATATCACTATGTCAATCAAAGATGTGTTTGTGATGCTGGTGATGGTGATGGCACTCGAGTGTGGAAGAACTGTTGGCCAAGTGATCGATGTTAGAGTGGTGTCAGAGTATAGCTCATTGATCAATTGTAATGTAAAGGTTGTACTGGTTGTCAATGATACATCGCCAATCACAAACGTACTGTTGTTTGGCCGGACAAACAATATAATAGACAGTGTCACAATGTTTAATGGTTATCAACATGTCAAGTTTAGCAAGCAAGTTGGCGTACAGTCCGCACCCCTCTTCTGGGGCGATGCCGGCGTCATTGACAGTATCAACCAGACGTTACCTTGGAACGCTACATTCACATGTCCGATCATTCCCACCACACTGACCGTGACGATGTACTCTGGACCCTTGGTCAGGAATAGAGTGTTCCCATCTCTGAACCTATCCCCACCCAACCACGATATCTTCCAGGCGACAGTGTCAACCAATGATCCATTCAGTAGTACGATTGGAGCGTACGACTGCAACGCTTCGATATATGTATGCCAGATGATACTACTCAGACAGGGCCCCGGTGGACCCGCAGTGTCAAGTCTCTACCAGTTGCTACTATACCCCATTGGAACAGACGTGGGTGACTACACCAAGCCCATCAATCTCACCATTACTAGCTATGGACGTACGGCCTACTTTGTCCTCCCGCCATTGACCAACAACACAGTGACCAAGACTGATAGCTCGACTGTGTTTGATCTGAGTCTAGAGACTGGACTGGTGCCAACGAGACCAAACGCGATGTATGCATCACGTGTCTCATCGACGAGCTCAGATGCACTGTACTTTATCTACTCCAACGTATCGTCCACCAACCAATTGATATCATACTTCCGAGTGTTCAAGCCAATGCGCACCTATCCCAATGGCCTTGTAGACAACTTTGCACTGGCTACAATCCAATTGCAACAGGTCCAGATATTTGAAGCGCTGACCACTCCTTCCGCATTCCCTCCTTTCATCAAGACTCCATGTATGTGTGTCCCATAACGATCAATCACATGTCCACCCACTCACTCAATCAATATGACTCTTAGACGTAGCACCAACTATCCAATCAAGTAGAACACAAATGACAAACTGGACTGGGGGCATTCAGTTTAGAACCAACTTTGTATTGCCAAACTATCGATCTTGCTACTTTGGATTCAAAATGACGTTGATGGGACCCGATGACAGCTTCTCCTATCCATTTGGCGTCAAGAGTATTGCCGATGGTGGCAACACCACCTTGTCCGTCACCTACTACGTCAGTGGCTATATCCCCAACAACCAAGGAAGTAACCTTAGATGTTACTACGCCAATGTTGTTGTTAATATGCCAGCGTTAATCAATTATAGTATGTTTATTATGATGATACCCCCTTCATTCAATCAATCACTAACTCAAGTAATCTAATCAATCTATTCAGCTGATGGTACATCACCATTTGTGGAATCATTCCAGATAGTACCAATTGGTGGATCAAGGTACTTGTTACGAACAACTATTAGTGATGCTGAATCTGGATTATCAAGGATGATGGTGTATTTCTCAACAGGTGAAATGTATCACATTGATCATTTGGACTTGTATCAAGGCAATTCAAAGTATGGCTATTATGAGAAGCTACTTGAGTTGAACACTCCACCTGGCCAGACTGTCAAATACGATCTCATGCTGATGAACGATGCCAACAGGATATCAATGACTGACGTTGGATACTCCTCGATCACCGGATCACCAGTAGGATTCAGGACCGCAGCATGTAAGTATTCAATCAATCATTCAATCTCGAAGATAGCTCACTCACTAAAACATGATGATAACTACTAGATGATATTGGAGCACAAGACTTGATAGTGTTCTACTTTGACAAGTATGTTATGGATGTGAGCACGTCATCCATGGATAACAAGTTATACATCAGCTCTCCAAAGATATTGCCAAGTTGGAAGGTGACATTAATCTATGGCTTAGTGGATGAGAATCCAAGTTACCAGGCCGACGCAACATATAACGCTACACTTGGATTGTTTGTCCTTCCATTCACCGTGCCCACTTGTACAATCACTCGTCAAATGCAGTATTACATCCGTGTGATGCTTCCTCCTGGTAACTCTTACACCGTCTTCTCAACAAAGGATATGACAGGCATTGCTGGCACCCTAATGATCGATGGCGCACTCATCCAGAAACAGTTCCCAACAACATCAATCGTCAACATCAAGTCAACATGTATGTACATCAATCGACCTCACTCGTATCATTCAATCAATCATTCCAATAACTCACTCAAACAACTTGACTTCATCATATAGCTGGTGATGAGTTACCACCAATGATCACTGAATGTACAGCAATACCTGGCAAGACAGTGGACTTGACATTGAACGGAAAAGCGACAATGATTGGTTGGGCATTCGTGATTGAGGACACTGGCAATGGATTCTTGAAAGGAGTGATTAATGTGATTAGTGATGTCGATGGTCAAGTGCGCAGATTCGAGTTAACACCGGCCAACAAGACTGGTGGCGACCAGTTTACAGGCAGCTACGTGATAATGTTCCAAGTGGACCCCAACTATCGCAGTCAAACATTCACATTCCTCGACATTGAGGTGTTTGACACCTCAATGAATCGTGGCTACTACTCAACAGTCGATTCAGACACAAGAGTTGTGTCTCCATTGGCCGCCAGCATGACCGCCACTCGTATACTCGAGTTCAATATCCAGTTGATAACAGGTATGTTTGATTGATTGTTGTGTACCTTTGAACCCTGATCCTAACCCTCATCCCAACCAACCATTCAATAATTGATTAAACAGGCACAACAGATATAACTCCACCTGTTCTTGAATCATTGGAGGTACTAACACCAACTGTGGATGTTGGATCACATCTAAGGAATGTTGAGGTCAGGTTCACGGTGCGCGAGTCTGGCTCTGGATACAGCTTACGTCACATTCCGTCAGTCTATATCACTGGGTACATCTTTGAGACCTACAAATTGGCCACATCCGAATCATCAATGGTACAAGCTGGTGACCTCTATACATTCACAGCATCTGGAATACCTCCATATGGATTCGCAGCCAAGACCAGTGGTGCAGTGGCCGGTGGATCGACTTTGGCATTCATCTCTGTCTATGGATTGGTGGACAACAGTCAAAACATCAATGGATACGCCACTGAGGACCTGCCAGTCTCACCACAAGTGGCGAGGACCGTTGAGATCGTATACACTCACATCACACCAATACTGGAAAGAGTCGAGCTTGGACAAGGAGTGATCACAGTGTTTGGAAAGAACTTTGGACCCAATCCAACATTGGTCGATGCACTCAACATCAACAATCCAACAGTGTTGTTCACCAAATCATTTGGATCAGTTGTGATTGCCGTGTTCAACATTACAGATGTTGTTCGAGTTGAAAAGACATTGTTGATACAACTCAGGAATCAACCAGACAACTCAACATACTGCTCCAACACTTTGAGCATAAGATATATTCCAGGACCTGAGGCACCAGTCATACCACTACCGAACATCACATGTCCAGGTTCGCCACCTTGCTCCAACCATGGTGATTGCTCACCTACCTTGGTTGTCAATGTAACGACACATGGTATGGAGATGATTGTTCATCACGTAAGTATTATCTAGTCAATCAATAAATGTAATACTAACCAATGACTCCAATGCCAACAGAGTCAGTACCAACGACACCAGTGATCAATCCAGATAATCCATCGACAGTGTATACTTTCAATGAGACGACAGGAGTGACTATTGTTGGTGAGATTGAGATTATCAGAGTGAGAGTATTGGATCAACTTGGCACAGAGTTGGCATCATATCTATTGAACCAATGGAACACATCAAGCACATCGAGTCAATCACGAGATTATGTTGCTCAATATGGACCCAATGATGGAAGTAATGTTGGTGTGATCAAAGTGAATGTAAGATTGTTCACAGAGGATGAGGACGTCAAGTTTGCAGGAGACATACTCCCAATGAAGAAGAACACGATCAAGTACACAATCACACTGGCCAACTATACATTCCCAAGTCTGTTGGACACGATGCAGGTTGTGATGCGTGCAACAATCAACACGACTGATTCCAACTCATGCTCAGTCCAACAATATGGCTACACCGATGGAGACAAGGACAACTTGTTCTGGATGCGTGTCAAAGTGCAGAGCTATAGCATGTATGGTCACTTTATCCAAAAGGCAATGATTGATGACAGAGTGTCTGCCGTGTCCAACATACTGCTCAATGACACTGTTCAAACAGTGGCCAACAACACTCAATCGTCACAAACATTGATTGGAATCAATGTATCTGCATTCACAAGACAAGCCTACCTGGATCCAGACTTTTTGTTGCTTCTGGATATTGATGATGCCAAGGACATTGATGGTGCATTCTGCAGGCAATCCAGTTCATCAAAGCTGTCACCATTGGCCATCGCTGGAATAGTTGTATTATGTGTTGCCTTTGTCGCGGCTATTGCTGTTGGCATTATGATGCGTATGAAGTCAATCAGAAAGCAGAGAAAAGAAGTGAATCGAATCAATGTCAGGCTGTCTGCACTTAAGTCTCAGCAGCAACATCAAAGTTAATCAATTACAATTGTAATAAATCAATCAACTCCGATCGGAGTTCAACCCAAGAAGATGGAGAGACAGAGCCAATGTGCATCGTTTCTGTTTGAGAATTATCCAAACAGATTTGTCCATGATGCAATCATCCCCAATCAGGAGGGATGCAAGTTCAGACCTGACTTTAGGTTGGAGACAGATGACACCAATCTTATTGTCGAGGTCGATGAATATTCCCACTTCGGATATGATCTGGTCCAGGAGAAGGATAGGATGATACAACTGGCATCCATTGATGGCAAAGAATCCACAGTGTTCATTCGATTCAACCCTGACCGTCAAATCAATAATGGAACGATCTCAAAGGTGGGAATTGTAGAGAGACTGGAGTCCTTGAAGAGTGAGATTGATCACTGGCTCACCTTCGATGCTATGTCCGGATGCAAGGTGGTCTACTTGTTCTACAAGAACAAACCTATCAGAGTAGAGGTTGATCTTCCTATTCCCAAGCCATCTACAACTACCACAACGACAACAACCTCAACATCATCAACGTCGACAACGACTACAACACCCAAGACCACATCATCCAAGACAACATCATCCAAGACACCAACACCAAAGACAACAACACCCAAGACAACATCATCCAAGACATCAACACCAAAGACAACAACACCCAAGACATCAACACCCAAGACAACATCATCCAAGACAACATCATCCAAGTCAACAACACCCAAGACAACAACACCCAAGACACCAACACCCAAGACATCAATGATGACTTCAACATCCACGACTACCACAACATCAATGAAGACCACACCAAAGAAGTCCACATCAACTACAACACCAATGAAGAACAGTACATCATCCAAGACATCCAGCAGTTCTGACAACAAACGTAAACAATCCAATCAGTCAGGTCAGCCTTTGAAGAAGTCAAAGACAACGGAGCCAATAATCATCGATGATGATGATAGTGTGTATTCCAGAACACGATCAATCAAACAATCTGAAGAATATCAAATATACAGACTAAATATATTAACATCATGGAGACACCAGTCAATGATGCAATGTTTTATTCACCTACCTTTAAGAGGTACGAGTCAGTGTCGTTCTACGCCAACTTGTTGAGCGCACTGAAGAAGAAGAGCTATATTGGAAGCCCGAATCACCTCAACCACTACCAATATTGACTTCAACGTTCAACAGTTTGATATGGATAGAAGATTGGAAGCATATGAGGATTCCTTTTTACAGATAGCACCAATTATTGACTATCCCCCCGATATCTTCAACAGATATTCGATTGTGGACACCAGTTCAATCAACATCTCTGAACATGTGGAGGGGTTCCCTCGAGAGGTGACCACCTGTCGAATGATTATCGACACCACCATTGTTAAGATAAGAAGACCCTCACCAGGACCAAACAATCAAGATCTCCAAAGGTCCTTCTACAGCGGTATGTTTCTGTTTGTTTTTAAAATAATGCAGCGCTATCAAGTTAACTCACCGACAACAACTAATGTGTCGTCAGGCAAACACAAATTTCATGGCATCAAGTTTGAAGTAGGAATCCGACTGGATGGCTACATCGTTTGGGTTGGTCCTCCTCAACCAGGAAGCAAGCATGATTTAACCATCTTTGACGATGGAGAGTTGGCCAATGAGTTACTGCCTGGTGAGAAGATTTTGGCCGACTCAGCCTACGTCTCAAAGAACCACCCATTCGTTACACCAATTAAGAAACAGAGGAATACCAGAACAGTCACCAAGTTCCTCACAGTTGAACAACGCATCTATAATTTCCAGATCTCAAGATTGCGTATCAAGATTGAACACTGCTTTCCAAAGGTCAAGGCTCTCACGATGTTTGGCTCCACCTATAGATCACAGCGCCACCACCTCGATCTATACTTCCGCGCAGCATGTGCCCTCATTAACTTTCAAAGCTTTGGAGTATGTTGAGCGATTGGTATGTTACCAAAATGAATGTAAATAAATGTTTGTTCTAGTCTTCAAGTCAAGTACCAGTGATGAATGTTTGAATGTTTGATCAACAGAGGAATACGTGTATTCCCAAAAATCTAATATACACAGGTGGTGGACACTTGTCCAGCATCGATAAGACAGCTGGTATGGTCAAATATATTCCAGCTGATGGGCAAGCCACAGCGCCAATACGATCAGCTGTTCACGCCAGTGATCGAGTCGTGGCTGGGCGAGGTCTCGGTATGTATTATCAACAAGTTGATGACCATTACTTTCAATCCACTAACTATTGAATGACTAGTGAGGATCACATGGAATCAGTGGGCTGGTTCTTACAGTAAGATGAGTTTGTTTTCTATTAAGGATAGAGTGGACACTACTATTGTTTATAAAGTATCATGCTTAAGACAAGTATGAATGTTTATCACAATATATAAATTGTTATTGACTGGTTATCAGTACAAACAAGATGAGAGTGATGTTTATTGACAGAGGTAGAACTGTTTAGGCAATGAGTGGACCAAACTCAACGACGAGGATCCAATGGAAGAGACAAGACTCGTTCAAGGAACATGTGTCATTGGCATCACCTCAACAACAATCTCGCTGGTTATGTCCAGCAGGTTGGTCAGACAACCGCCAGAACGGGGGTTTGATGTTGGGTGTGCACAGGCTTTTTTGTCGCTGGCCTCGTGTCTGGCTGATGTCTCGTGCTTCCGCTCCAGGTACAGGATGGAGCCCAGTGTGGACGAATATGGCCGTGTCATGGACATGGAAGTGTCGTCCATTGACATTGACATTGACATTGCCTATATCCATGCTTGTGTAGTAGAGATAACAGCCAATGTTATATTGATATTTGATTCCTCTGTCAAGCTTCAGAACTGGTGTCCAATTTCAATGAACTGTTTGATTGTACCTTCTCCTCATTCTCATCTGCATTCCTACGTTGTTCAAGAGGTGAGTGTGATGTGTTAGTACAGTTGATGAGCGTGACTGTCCATGTTGTACAACGATAATGAGTCTGTCAAGGCCGGAGCCATTCTTGAACAAAGTGATTTACAGTCAATGATGATCATTCCAAGCATTGAACTGAACATAGTTAATATGCATCCTAATGTCGCGAAGTTAGCGCACAAGGAGGTGTCATTAACACAACAAGGCTTACCTTATAATGCAAGGTGTCCAATTCTATTATCTTTTATACATTAGAATACTAACTTGAATGAGGATTACGATCGATTGCAGTCAATGTCCAATAAGATGCAGTAGAACTGTTACATAGCCATTGTTATTTGTTTGGAATTGTGTGTGTTTGAGTTTAGAAATGAAGTGGAAAAACTGTTGCTTTGGCGACTGCCAACAAAGTCAAAGGGTATTGTAATGATGTTCTCCAAAGACTGGTATGTAGCGCAACTATGGCCAGTCGCGCCATCGCTTAAATAGCGAGAGCATATTAAGAATAATTAAAAAACTTTGTAAAAAAAATGTATGATTATGAGTACAAACAAGATGGAAGTGATGTTTATTTATTGGAGAATAGACGAATAGACAACTGCCAAACGAGCTATTTAAGCGATGGCGCGACTGGCCATAGTTGCTATGCCACTGAAAGAGGTTAATTAGACATTAGAGTTAGTAATTATATACAATTAGACATGTTTCCAGTCAGTTTTGATCAAGTTGATCAAGTTCAAAATACATACCAGTTGTTGTTTCTGTCCTTGGACATGAAGATGTATCCCTCAACACCCCAGTCAGTTCCCCAGGAGTTCTTGACGATCCAGAAGTTTCCATCAGCAGCAGATGGGGTACCAGAGCCGTAACCGACGACGAGGACACCGTGGTCAAGAGCAGTGGTGGAGCATGAAGCCTCGTAGTAGATACCAGAGGTGTACAGCTGGAAGGAGTTGTGGGAGGCATCGATGGCGACGGAGACTGGGCCAGAGTTGGCTTGGGTCTCGAGGTCGGTCTCGGAACCAGAGGTGACGTTGACGTACGATGAGATGGTACCAACAGAGTTGGCAGCCTTGTATCCACAGGTGTGGGATGACTTGCCCTTGTATGGGTATGACTCCTCAGAGTCGAGACCCTTGTTGGCAATGACGTACTCGAAAGCAGCGGTCATCAAACCACCATCACAACCTTGGTTTCCGTAGGACCATGAGCAGTCCATGAGGTTCTGCTCGGAGAAGGCAACGAGGTTCTGGCCAGAGATCTGGTGAGCACCCTCAACACCTCCGGTGGTGGAGAAAGACCAGCATGATCCACATTGGCCTTGGTTCTTGATGGCAGTGACGGCACCCTTGGCTCTCCAGTCGACAAGGTCGGCGTTGACGTTCTGGACACGTCCGAGCTTGTTGGTCTTGGCGGCGGCGAGGTACTGGGTTCCGTCAATGACGGTTCCCAAGTAGACACGACGGTACTCCTCGTTGGAGATATCGGCAAACTTGTTCATTCCGAGGACGGTGGCAGATCCCTTCTGGTTCCACTTGTGGACGAAATCGAAGTTCTTCTTGAAGGTGGCGTAACGGGAGGCGAACTCAACGTTGGCATACTGGCGGTCGTACTGGACCATCCAGTTGGTGAAGGCACCTTGGTAGTGGGACTCGGAGAAGAGCTGGCTGGCGGAAGCCAAGCTGACCAGCAAAAGGAGGGCAAAAATAATCTTCATTATTTGTTGTGTATAAGTATATATTATAAGTTAGATGTTGTTGAATGATTTGTCAAAGGCCAAGTCGGTGAATACTTATGCTGCATCTGGCCTTTGCAGGGTCATTGATTCACAAACAAAAAGAAATTAAAAAAAATCAAAGAGTATCAACAGAACTATGTTTGATTGCTCGTTGGAATGTTCGTTCCCGCACAAACACCCACCATAGTTCAACTCCTAAACCTCCCTCTCCAACTCCAATGGATGAATGGGAGAATGGTGTGTGTGCATGTCATGGATGATGGAGGAGGAACCAAAAATCAGAAAAAAAGTTCGTCATGCCCCCATCCTGTCACATGACACCCACGTTCCATTTCCAAACAGGTCTTTGCCTCGCGAGATCTTTTAAGACATCTCTAACACACACGATTTGCTTGTTGATTGGGTAGCCATTGGATGGCTTGATGGGTGGGAGGATATTCGTAGTTAATGTTGTAGTAGTTGACCACACGCAACTTACTCATCACTCATTGATAGATAGTAACTATTATCTAGTATGTGCTCGAAATATTTGTGTGTGTGTAATTGAATACAGGAACGATGTTGTACCTCGTCCCGATCTTTGCCACATTAATCATATATCCCAACCCCCCCATGAAGCCATCATCCTTGAAGAACACAAAAGTCCCGTCTGTGGGATTTCATAGTGCTGCCAATGTACATCGGAGGCTCACGTCATTGTAATTGCCAAGCCATTCACACACGCACATTGATATCAATATTGTTCTGCAGAGAAATCTCCGAAGCTGTAGAAGGCTCTAATGAACGTTCTTTATTTGTTATTAATTAATATCTTTATTGAGTATCATTGAATACCTCCTATCCGATTGTTCATTTGATTATTCTGTTCAAACACACATCACATTTCATTCCTATTGTTTACCCATCAATCAACCAATGGAGTCGGATGGAATGAACCAACAACATGTTCAACATCATCATCATCGTTAAGGTGGTGTCACGAAATTGAATGCATAGGAATCTATATTCTTCCTTCTTCTTCAATCTTTAATTAAACATAGGAACAACATATGTCACCCTAGATGGTTTACTATTATTGCAACATCATTCAATAGTGTTGGTGAACAACAAACAATCATTCATTTAGTTAGATGATGGAGAAATAGAGATAGAATTGTCATTCATCCTGGGTGATGACACCAAGGTCTTTATCTTTTTTATTAAGTTTGTTATTATTACAACACAATGATTGAGATAAATAGATAAACAAATAGAAATATAGATAATATTGATTTGGAACTATTCCATCAAACCAAATCATTTATGACACATCCCATAATAGTAATAGATTCTCACCTAAGATCGGCAATCTAATTCAAGATGGGTGTGTGTTGAGATTGGTGGAAGTGGGTGTGTTTGACCGACCTATCCGAGTGTGTGTTTGTGTGAATGAATGAATGAAGGTAGTAATGGAAAGAAGGGAAGTGTGTGTGGGTTAGTGAGGGAGTGTTTAGAGTGGATGGATGGAGGGGATAGAGTGTGAAGGCTACATACCCGTCGGTATTGATGATGATGAGCATGTGATGAACGATGGATGTAAAGCACTTTAGTGAGCACATGATGTTGATGCTGCTGATGCTCCTGGTGCTGTTGTTTTAGTTGTTGTGATTGATTGATCGAAGGAACAAAAGTAGGAGCAATCAGAATAGTTATAACAGGTAGAACTCTTGGAAGAAGTAAGAAGAGAGAATACATATTACTACTATTGTTTGTTCACTCTTATTATAATCATTATTCTAGAGTATGACAACTCCACCTCCTTCTTATGTAAGTATCAATGCCAGATTGATTAATCGATTGGTTCTCATCATTCTCTAACTCATGAGTTATTAATCAAACAGGGGAGTCCAGGCTCTTTATTGAGGGCAGATTCTTATCTTAGTCCAAATAGCCTATCACCATCAAAGTGTATGTTTGGACCATCGTTATCATATATTGTCCAAACTCTAATAATCCATCTAAACTGGAAATCAATTAATACAAATATATATAGATAATATGGGAGATGGAACTCAATCAAAGAAGACATTAAAGGGCAATGTAGTTAGGAATCTACTTAATAGATCAGGGTCTGGATCGAACTTGAACCTCAATCACAGACGACAAGTTACAAGTGGTTCACTCAGTGGTCTATTCGAAGAGCATCAATCCAATGGAGGTACAAATGGTCACAACAACAATCACTCAAACAACAACAACAACAATCATTCAAACAACAACAACAATCAGCATCATATTGGAAATAGTATATCACCAGGTGGCGAATCCCCAAAGTCACTACGACGTGCCACCAGTACATTGTCCAATCCAGAATTGTCGTCAATATCAGAGATTGACAAGTCATTGTGGACAATAAGAGCACTCAAAGAGAATCCAGAGATTGCGGATTTATTGGATCGAATCAAACCAATCAATCGATGTATAGCACTCAGTCAACATTACGCCTTTGAAGAGACAGTCCTCAAAGATGATCCACTCATTGGCAATGACACAATGATGCAACTAATCCTTCAACATCTACAATATGAAGGTCTACTACATTCAAGAAAGTCATTAGAGTCAGAGGCCAATGTTAAATGTACGTTGTACATTGATGATTCATCGATTGGAAGATTGACTAACACAATCAATGATGACAGACTCAGACTATGCATTCAAAGAGAGTAGATTGGTATTGTTGATAAGAGCAGCATTGAGGGACTCAGAGAGGATATATAGTTTGACATGTGATGAGCGACAACATGAGGCTCAACAACAGTTGGAGGAACAATTGGCATTGATGGGTCTATTGTATGAAGAGCATATTGATACAGTGGAGGATGTAAACATATATGATGAGCCACGTACCAATATATTGTACTCTGATAATGAGCCATCATCTCCACAAGTGTCACCTTCACCATTTGGACCTAGTCTGGTTAGTTCAGCAGGTGGAATTGGCACATCAACATCTGGAGGTGGGGGAGGAGGACCAGGCCTTACACTTAGTAGCAGTAACAGTAGTAGTAACATCAAGTTTGAGGATCAGGTCAAGTCAATCAAGGCAGCGACACTCAATAACTTGGTGATACTGTTGGCGCCAGAGAAGAATCACGACTCTGACTATGTAAAGACGTTCTTGTTGACATATCAATCATTCACAACCAATGAGAAGTTGTTGCAAAAGTTGATACAGAGATACCAGGTGCCACAACGACCAGGCCAATCAGATGACGAGTGGAAAAAGGTTGCCGTACCCATCCAACTACGTGTAGTCAACGTGCTCAAACAATGGATCAAACAATCATTCTCCGAGTTCAACGACAAGATCATCCAAAACATCAAGTCCTTCATCGAGATACTCAAGCATGATAATGTATCCTTGGCCAATAGTATAATGCAGACTTTAAATAGCAAGGTATGATATAGAGTATGAATGATTGATCAATCAATCACAGACACACTAACATGGACATATACACATATAGATAAAAGGCATTGGAGAAGATGATGAAGAGGATAAAAAGTCAAAGATAGTGTTCACTTTGGCAACACCAGAGCCAAAGGTACCAAAGAATATATGGTCACAGACATTGGATATATTCGATGTGGATGAGGAGGAGTTGGCAAGACAATTGACACTCATAGACTTTGAGATATTCACAGCGATCAAACCCAGTGAGTTACTCAATCAATCGTGGAACAAACCTAAACTACGCCATCGTTCACCTCATGTCCTACTGCTCATCAGTCGCTTCAATGAGATCTCATCATGGGTATCATCAATCATCCTATCCAACGACAAGGTCAAGGATCGTGCCAGGATCATGGCCAAGTTGATAAAGATAACAGAGGTAAGTGTTTTAGTATGGCAGAGTAGTTGTCAATCCAACAACATATTAACAATCAAATCACAATCAAATAGTTATTGATCAGGCCATTGAATAATTATAATACAGCAATGGCAATACTTTCTGGACTCAACGCAGCATCTGTACATAGACTAAAGTTCACTCGAGAGGAGATGCCCAAACATATACAACAGGTGTTTGCAGAACTCCAGACACAACTTGGAAGTGCTCAATCATACAAGATATATCGTGAGCTACTGACCAAAGCCAATCATCCATGTATACCATACCTTGGTATATGTTTGACTGATCTAACATTTGTAAGTGTGCCATCAGTCAATCAATGAATGAACATCCAACTAATATATATATACTTCCATGTAGATTGAAGATGGTAATCCAGAGGCGATCAAAGGATTCATCAACTTTAGCAAACGTAGATTGATCTATACAGTGATATCACAGGTGCAGAGCTTCCAAAACACTAGATACAATCTTCATCCAGTCTATCAGATATCCAAACTACTACGTGTACTCAAGCCAAGATTGGACGATGAGGATCTCTATCGCATATCAATGAAGTTTGAACCAAGGAACAAAGAGAGGAGTGAGATACTCTAGAGTCATTCAGTCAATATGATACAAGTAAAAAGTTATTATTATTATTATTATTATATCCTGGAATGGTAAAGTTGTAATTATTCTCATTCTTGGACCGCTCTACTGACATCACCATTGTTGACAGACACTGGCAGATCGATGGGACTCGCCAGTTATGGTCCTTCCACGAGTTCCCGAAAGTTAATTTTAAAATTTAAAATGGAGTGTTGCAAAGACGAAAAACATGGATGTTCCTCTCTCTCTATGTTGTGGTGGCGTGTCCGACCGAACTATGGCTCACGCACTATCGCTCGCCAATACCAACAACACAATCTAAACATTATTCATTTACTGAATTCATACATATACTTATATATACTTTACATATACATATAATACATACAATGGTAGGTACTAACAAACAAACAGGATATCAACTAGCAAACAAGTCAACTAACCCAAAAAAATACAATATAGTCTCAAGAGTTTGTTGGCCATAGATCGCTCAACGTCGTTGACGAGGAGATCTTTAACTTGATTGGAAAGGAGAAGAGAAGACAGCAAGATGGTTTGGAGCTCATTGCTTCAGAGGTAAGGTTACGGGTGATGACTCATGTGACGACGACACATCACTCACTCACTCACTCATACTTCTTATTCTAGAACTTCACATCAAAGGCTGTGATGGAGGCTATTGGATCTCATTTCACCAACAAGTACGCAGAGGGATACCCAGGTGCTCGTTACTATGGTGGTTCCGAGGTTGTCGATGAGTTGGAGAACCTGTGCATCAAGAGAGCTCTCGAGTGCTTCCACGTCGATGCCGCTCAATGGGGTGCCAACGTTCAGCCATACTCTGGTTCACCAGCCAACTTTGCCGTCTACACTGCTCTCCTCAAGCCACACGACAGAATCATGGGTCTTGATCTCCCATCTGGAGGACAGTATGTACATTTGGATTGGACACAGGACGCCCACACCTTACTAACACATTACTACTAGTCTTACTCACGGTTATCAAACAGAAAAGAAGAAGATCTCTGCCAGTTCAATCTTCTTTGAGTCGATGCCATACCAAGTGAGCACCAGCACTGGTCTGATTGACTACCAACGTTTGGAGGAGAACGCACTGTTGTTCAAGCCCAAGCTGATCATTGCCGGTGCCTCTGCCTACCCAAGAGAGTGGGACTACAAGAGAATGAGAGCGATTGCTGACCGTGTCGGTGCCTACCTCATGTGTGACATGGCTCACTACAGTGGTCTGGTCGCTGCCAAGCTGCTCGACTCACCATTCAACTACTGTGACGTCGTCACCACCACCACCCACAAGACTCTGAGAGGCCCACGCTCTGGAATCATCTTCTTCCGTCGCGGCAAGCGCACCACCGCCGACGGCAAGTTCATCGAGGACTACGACCTCGAGAGCAGAATCAACCAGGCTGTCTTCCCATCGCTCCAGGGAGGCCCACATGAGAACGTCATTGCTGGTGTTGCCGTAGCCCTCAAGGAGGCCTCGCAGCCAGACTACCATGCATACGCCGCTCAGGTCCAGAAGAACGCCCGCGTCATTGGTGAGGCCCTCGTCGAGAAGGGATACAAGCTGGTGACCAACGGCACTGACAACCATCTGATCCTCTGGGACCTCCGTCCACAGGATCTCACCGGAAGCAAGTTTGAAAAGGCATGCGACCACGCCAACATCACCGTCAACAAGAACTCTGTCTATGGAGATGTCAGCGCCCACACACCAGGCGGTGTCAGAATTGGTGCGCCCGCTCTCACCTCGAGAGGCATGAACGAGGAGGACTTTAAGAAGATCGCCGAGTTCCTCGACCGCATTCTAAAGATTTCGCTCGCCATCCAAGCCAAGGTTGGCAAGAAGCTGGTGGACTTTGTCGCTGCCCTCGACACCAACGAGGATATCAAGGCTCTCAAGTTGGAGGTTCAAGAGTTTGCTCTCAAGTTCCCACTTCCAGGTTTCTAAATTGTGTGCAATACACACAGCTCCATCATCATTCAGCCATTCACATGGATATATCCAAATCAATCAACAAAGCATCAATATAACATCCATTTGTTATAATAATAATATATTTTAGAGATCTCCAGTTTCCAATTTATTTATTTAACTTCCAAGAATACATCAAAATTGGAGTCACTGTGACTTTATCTTTTTCACACTGGTCATTCATTCGAATAACTTACTTATTTATTTATATACATATACCATTATAATGGACAAACTATCATTAATAGTTATCAAAAGGATATTATTTTATTTGATTGAAGCTGATAATGATGACACTGCTGAAAGATTGATACCAAATAGATGTCACATTTCCAATAGACATCATATTGAAACAAGAAACAGTTATCTATTGGATGTCATCTGTCTTGGATTAACATGTAAGAGAATGATTGTATTGTTGCCCAGACTACTGCCAAAGATTGAATTCGACTACATTGATCCAACAGTACAACAACAACAACATAGAATGGTGTACAAGTCAACAAAGCCATTGGAGACAGGTGAACTACCTGATACACTGACATCACTACACTTTGACAAAGCATTCATATATACGATCAATCGAGACATGTTACCATCAAGCTTGACAGAACTTCGGTTTGGAGACTCTTTCAATCATGAGTTGTTACCTGGTACCCTCCCACAAGGACTCACAACATTGGCGTTTGGTGCCAAGTATGATTGTGCTTTATCACAAGGTACTTTACCATCGTCAATCACCTCATTAACATTTGGAAATTGCTTCAAACAAGTTATCACGACAGATTTGCTTCCAGAATCACTCCTCACACTTTCAATTGGACAATTGTTTATCGACACACTTCTACCTGGAACATTGCCATCCTCAATCACTTCCCTCACATTCTTTCAGACAATGAGTTATAATCAATTCGTAGTGCACAAACTTCAAGTTGGCCTACTGCCACCATCACTTCACACTTTGAATCTCCCAATATGGAATCGATCACCTCTTGATAGAGAATGGTTTCCATCCACCCTCAAGAGACTGACATTCCAAGGATACAGTGGAGATCTAATCTGTGATGGACTTCCCTCAAACCTTGAGGTGCTTATCATATTGAAGGATTACCTTGATGTTCATCATCATTCATCCTACGTAAATCTGATAGGTGGTCTACCAGACACAATAGTTGAACTCAAGATTGGCACCTATCTTAGGAGTGATGATATCAATCCTGGAATGTTTCCATCATCACTCACCGTTTTGGATTTGAATGAAATCCAAAATAGGTGTGCCGTACCAGGAATACTTCCATCGACACTTACCACTTTGGTACTTTCAGATAGATCTAACTCAGAAGGAGTGCTTCCAAAATCACTCAAACGATTGACACTCGATCTCTTTGGATTCTTTCGCAACAACAAAACAGTGCTCCACGATGGACTCGAACACCTGACTCTCCACTATTCACAGGAAGTTAATTCCAGGACAGTTAATCTATTGACCAATCTATTGGAGCAAATCTCCAAAGATAAACAATTGAGATGTCCACTGTCTATATCAATTGAAAGAGTAGTTGGGACCAATAGACAGGTAGAGTTAGTTAGAAAGATAGTCATGGCCACTCGTTACATACATGACTATCATATCAAGATTGGCTATGGTAAGAGTAATGATCTGGACAAAATATTCACAGTACATGTACGCAAGATTGATCGTTTCAATGCTATATGTTTAATCAATTTGAATTATTCAATCACCTTTCATACGATACCAATAAAATAGTTTCCCGCCAAAATTCAAATCTAGTTTTAATCACTCAATCAATCTAAGATTCAAACATATCCTAGTTCATTGTTATTATTACTTACATACTTATATATATACAATGGACAAAATATCAATATTAGTTGTTAAAAGGATAGTAGATTATTTGATTGGAGATGGTCATGTCGGCAACAAGGCACAAACAACTACACCTACACGTGGCATTTACGATCGATATCAATTTGAAGAACAAAACAGACACCTATTGGATGTCATCTGTCTAGGATTAACATGTAAACGATTGATTGTATTGTTACCCAGACTACTGCCAATGATTGACTTTGATTACATTATTGGACCCAATGTACAACATCCACCACAACAGAGAATGGTGTACAGGTCGACAAAGCCACTCAATCCAGGTGTACTACCTGATACACTCACATCATTACACTTTGTCAAAACATTCAAACATAAGATCAATCGAGACACATTACCATCCAGCTTGACAGAACTACAGTTTGGCGACGCATTCAACCATGAGTTGTTGCCTGGAACTCTCCCTTTAGGTCTCACCACATTGGTATTTGGTGCAAAGTATGATTGTCCATTATCACGTGGCACTTTACCATCAACAATAACTTCATTAACGTTTGGAAAGTGCTTTGAACAAGTGATTGAACAAGGCATGCTTCCAGAATCTCTCCTCACTCTATCTCTGGGTCAATTGTTCATCAACACACTTCAACCTGGAACATTGCCATCCAGTCTGACATCACTCACATTCTTCCAAACACTCTCTCAGGACATGCCTATCCATTATACACTTCAAGTTGATCAACTGCCACAATCACTCCACACTTTGAATCTTCCAACATGGCATTCACAACTTGTTAGAGAATGGTTTCCACCCACACTCAAGAGACTGACTTTCGAAGGATTCAAGAGTACCCTTGTGACGGCAGAGCTGCCTCAAAAACTAGAGAGTCTGGTCATAATGTATGAATCTTACGACTACTATCTATCACCTCAATATCTGGCAATAATTGGTCAACTACCCGACACAATAGTTGAGCTCAAGATTGACTACTGCTTTAGGATCACAAGTGGAGTGTTTCCACCTTCGCTCACCTCACTATATTTGGCCGGAGGTCGATCCCAGGATTTCCCGCCCTCATTTCTGCCGCGCACCCTCACATCGCTATATCTTGGTGATATACTCAATCAACCGCGTTACCTCATCAAAGGGGGGTGGCCATCATCACTCAAGCGATTTTCAATTGGCTACGTTGTTTCAGTTGTGAATCCATTGTTGGTCCCAAATGGACTCACGCACTTGGAAGCAGCAAAAATAGACTATGTCATGTCAGCGTCGATTGAGCGTGTCATTTTGAAGGGAGAGTACGATTATAAAAGTTATGTCTATCAGCCACTCTTTCCTCTAAAGTCATTCTCAATGAATGCAAGGGTGATTCGATATTCCAATGCTAGGACCAATAGACAAGCAGAGTTTATTCGCAAATCAGTATTGGGAACACCCAATGTTGATGACTATCATTACAAGATTCAGTATGGCAAGAGTACCGATCTGGATAAAGTATTCACAACACATGTGCGCAGGATGGATGATAACCATGTCATATGTATCATCAATCTAAAGAATACAATCAATTTCCAAATCATTTCATTACAATCAGAATAACAACAATAAATATACTCACATTCACAACACATTTGGATGTGATCTTGTCTGTCCACCTTAGCAACAGTTGCGTGTCGAGTTGAGAGAATCCAATAAAATAATCGACATTTATTCATTATCCTCATCGTCATCATCCTCTTCAAGATCCTTAATAGCCTCTTCATCAACTTCCAATTCCTCTTCATCAACCTCCTCTCCTTCTTTATAATATAATGGTGTAACTTTGGAAGAGGTACACCAGAACATGTTGATTTGTTGATGATGGATCGATGGAGTTGTATGATAGAGTTTAACTGTCTGAAGTTTGGCTCAGATCCTGTTCCTCGAACTCTGGATCTCTTTGTGTTGTGCATGAATTGAGTATGATTGTTCGACTTGAGCCACTTGATCACCGACTCCAACCTGGTGTTGATCAACTCAATAAAGTCAGTTGTGATGATTCGGGTTCGAATATTGTACATCGGGATAAGGTTCTGATTGGGAGTCTTGAAATGTCCAACATGTTCATTGATTGAGGTGATGAACTCTTGGGGCCATCTTTCAAGGTGCTTGTACTCTTCATACTTGAAATAGTCAAGATGTCTTGTGATGGGAATGGTGGAGTCTGGTTGAATGTGAGACTCAAGTTGGTCAGTATTTGTGCCAATTGTAACAGGAAATCAAGGATTCGAAGGTCATAATAGATCGGTAGATTGAACTTGAATGTAATGAGAGTTGTTTGGTGTATGAGATAGTTGTGCGTTGACTCCTCGAACGATTCAATTTCAAACCTCTCCAATAAATAGTCCTCTACATATAGATCCAGTTCAAGGTAAGAGAGATGTGAAGCATTGTGTGAGAGAATATCAAATAACACTCCATGTAGAATGATGTTGACGCTTAAATTAAATCACCATCATAATCATCTAAATCTTGAATCTTCAAGTATGTCAAGTTGCATAGGGAATCGTTCTTGAGGAGGTTGATAATAGGGGCAATGTCCTTCTCCTCATCTGGATCCCACAAACTTGTTCGTAGGATAAGAGATGTTACTCGAGTATCAGCCAAATTGATCAATTCATCCGGTAACTCCTCATTCTCCAATACATCATAAGAACTATCAATGGATGACAGACTTGAGCTCATGTTTGATGATAGTAACTCAATGACATAGTTAAGGTCGGTTGCAAGATGTTCCATACTAGGGTTGAGCAATGATTTGAAGGCTTCCATCTCAATGACAAGTAGGGGACTGATCTGGAATACATCTATGATCATAGTGTTTATCGAAATCTATTTGAAGACTACGGAGTGGACGTTGTACCAGTGAATATCTATTCATTGATGGTGTAGCGATGTAGTGATTGTTGACAATGTGTTGCTCTTGAAGTGCTTGATTGAGCTCTTTAAAGGTATGGAATATAATCGAATCATTCAGTACTGTGGAGACAAAGCGATGTGTTCTCCAATCAATAAGAGAGAGTGACAGTCTCCACCGATGTGACTCGAGACATCTCCTATGAATAGATGCGAAATGCCAAGCATAACTAAATATCTTGAATAATACATAATAATTGAGTAACATCTCTCTCTATCTCACTCAATCAATCAATCTACTACTATTATCTATTCTATATGATTCAGAGTACTCAAACAGATAATAATGAATATGTATAATTAGATGTTATTCCAACTTCTAACAATGAAAGTGTTAGACCACATACTTCTTGGAAATGATGGAAAATAAACACTTCCAGCCAGTTTGCAAACCTCGACACATTGGATGAATCTGAGTACTTGTCTTCCAAATCAATTATCCACATTCGATTAGTTAATTGATTGATAGATTGACTGATTGGTTGATTGATTGATGTATTTATTATGATTAACTTTGATGTTGCTGTTGAGATTTAAGTGCAGACAGCCTGACATTGATTCGATTCACTTCTTTTCTCTGCTTTCTGATTGACTTCATCCTCATAACAATGGCCACAGCAATAGCCGCTACAAAGACAACACAGAGAACAACAATTCCAGCAATGGCCAATGGTGATAGCTTTGATGAGCTGGAATGCTTACAGAATGCACCATCAATGTCCTTGGCATCATCAATATCCAGAAGCAACAAAAAGTCTGGATCCAGGTAGGCTTGTCTTGTGAATGCAGATACATTGATTCCAATCAATGTTTGTGATGATTGAGTGTTGTTGGCCACTGTTTGAACAGTGTCATTGAGCAGTATGTTGGACACGGCAGACACTCTGTCATCAATCATTGCCTTTTGGATAAAGTGACCATACATGCTATAGCTCTGCACTTTGACACGCATCCAGAACAGGTTGTCCTTGTCTCCATCGGTGTAGCCATATTGTTGGACTGAGCATGAGTTGGAATCAGTCGTGTTGATTGTTGCACGCATCACAACCTGCATCGTGTCCAACAGACTTGGGAATGTATAGTTGGCCAGTGTGATTGTGTACTTGATCGTGTTCTTCTTCATTGGGAGTATGTCGCCCGCAAACTTGACGTCCTCATCCTCTGTGAACAATCTTACATTCACTTTGATCACACCAACATTACTTCCATCATTGGGTCCATATTGAGCAACATAATCTCGTGATTGGTTCGATGTGCTTGATGTGTTCCATTGGCTCAATGGATATGATGCCAACTCTGTGCCAAGTTGATCCAACACTCTCACTCTGATAATCTCAATCTCACCAACAATAGTCACTCCAGTCCCATTGAACGTGTACACTGTTGATGGATTATCTGGATTGATCACTGGTGTCGTTGGTACTGACTCTGTTGACATTGGAGTCATTGGTTAGTATTACATTGATTGATTGAGTGACTAGATACTTACGTGATGAACAATCATCTCCATACCATGTGTCGTTACATTGACAACCAAAGGTTGGTGAGCAATCACCATGGTTGGAGCAAGGTGGCGAACCTGGACATGTGATGTTTGGGAATACCACTGGCGCCTCGGGTCCTGGAATATATCTAATGCCCAAAGTGTTGGAGTAGTATGTTGAGTTGTCTGGTTGATTCCTGAGTTGTATCAACAATGTCTTTTCAACTCGAACAACATCTGTTATGTTGAACACGGCAATCACAACTGATCCAAATGATTTGGTGAACAACACTGTTGGATTGTTGATGTTGAGTGCATCGACCAATGTTGGATTGGGTCCAAAGTTCTTTCCAAACACTGTGATCACTCCTTTTCCGAGCTCGGCGCCTTCCAATATTGGTGTGATGTGAGTGTACACGATCTCAACGGTCCTCGCCACTTGTGGTGTGATGGGCAGATCTTCAGTTGAGTATCCATTGATGTTCTGACTGTTGTCCACCAATCCATAGACAGAGATGAATGCCAACGTTGATCCACCGGCCACTGCACCACTGGTCTTGGCTGCGAATCCATATGGAGGTATTCCAGATGCTGTGAATGTATAGAGGTCACCCGCTTGAACCATTGATGTTGTGACCAGTTTGTAAGTCTCGTATATGTATCCCGTGAGATAGACTGATGGCATGTGACGTGCACTGTATCCAGTGCCAGACTCGCGAACCTTGAACCTGACCTCAACTCTCCTTAGATGTGATCCAACATCCACAGTTGGTGTGAGGAGTTCCAATGATTCAAGAACAGGTGGTGTTATATCTGTTGTGCCTGTTGGAGGGTAGGGCAAGGGTAGGTTTGTGTTGGCGTTAGGGTACATAATCACAACATTGTAACACTCACTCAAACAAACTTACTTGTTAACAACTGGATATTGAACTCGAGTGCATGGGTGGCGGTCATGATCTGGGCCAATGGAGACACAACTCTTGTGTCTGAATCGAATGAGGAGTAGTAGCCACGATTCATTGAAGTGTCGAATAGTTCAATGTCGAGGAATGTGAATGTTTGATTTCGATAGTTGGGGTCCACGTCGAACATTATCTGGTAGTTGCCTGTAAACTGGTCGCCACCAGTCTTGTTGGCTTGTGTTAGCTCGAATCTGCGAACTTGACCATCGACGTCACTGATCACATTGATCACTCCTCTCAAGAATCCATTGCCAGTGTCCACAATTACAATTGACCAACCAATTGACATTGCTCCACCCAATGTCAAGTCCACTGTCTTGCCAGGTACGGCAGTACATTCAGTGATCATCGGTGGGAACTCATCACCAGCTATATGATATGATGTCAAGTTTGTTTGAGTCAGTGAGTGATCGGAATGATTGATTGAGTGGTCGATTGAATGATGCACATACCTGATGACAAGATGTTGACCGCTGATGTTGGGAACTGTTTTAGGATGAGTGCGCCTTCTATCATTAGGGTGGCTAAAATGCCAGTTACATCCCTTGTTGGGAAGACGGTGAGTGAGTTGCCAGGTGGAAGCATCACACGGATATAATACTGCATTCGACGAGAGATTGTACGGGCGGGCACGGTGAATGGAATGACAAACAATCCAAGTGTAGCATTATATGTTGCGTCGGCCTGGTAACTCGGATTCTCATCCACCGAACCAAAGATTAATGTTACCTTCCAGTTTGGCATAATCTTTGGAGAACTGAGGTATAACTTGTTGTCCACTGCCGATGTGCTAACATCCATTCTATACTTGTCAAAGTAGAATGCTGTCAAGTCTTCTGGGCCAATATCATCTAGTAGTTGTATTTAAATGAGTGAGAGAGTAAGTTGATTGAACGAATGATTGAGTGAGAGAGTATTATACTTACATGCTGCGGTCCTGAATCCTGTTGGTGAGCCAGTGAACGAGGTGTATCCAACATCTGATGGTGACATCTTGGTGGCACCATTCATCAACATGACATCATATTTGACAGTCTGGCCAGGTTGATAGTTCAATTCAAGTAGCTTCTCATAATAGCCTTTGTTTGAATTGCCTTGATACATGTCCAGATGAACAAGTCACCTGTTGAGAAGTACAACATCATCCTTTGGAATCCAGACTCAGCATCACTAACAGTTGTCCTCAACAAGAACCTTGTTCCACCAAGTGGTACTATCTGGAATGATTCCACAATTGGTGGAGTCTCATCAGCTGATTGGAGTGAGTTAGTGGATTGATTGATTGATTGATTGAATGAAGGTGTGATGACAAGAACATACTTTGATTGTGTAATGCTGGTAATAAAACTGCAACATTGACATAGGTGCAGTAAAGTAGACTTCCTAGGTTGTTTGGTACATAGCCATTGATGTAGAATGTGACTGACATGGTAGTGTTGCCACCATTGACAATATTCTTGACTCCAAATGGATAGGAGAAGCGGTCATCGGGACCAACTAAAGCCATTTGGTATCCATATGTACATGTTCGATAGTTTGGCAGGAGGAATGTGGATCCAAACTGCGAACCATCAGTCCAATAAGTCACTTGTGTTGTAGTGACAGGGGAATTGTATGCTTGGTCTAGATTGAATAATTGATTGATTGTTAGAGTGTTATTGTGATGATGATGGAGACGAGACAACATACATGGAGTCCTGATATAGGGCCCAAATGGGCCTGGAGATGTGGTCGCTTCAAATATCTGGGTCTGTTGCATTTGGATTGTGGCAAGTGCAAGGTTGTCGACATAGCCATTGGGATAGGTGCGTACTGGCTTGAAAACCCTGAAGTAGGACAATAGTTGGTTGGGAGACGATACGTTGGAGTAGATAAAGTAGAGTGCATCCAAGCTGGTCGATGAGACACTTGCTCCAAACATTGAGTTTGGTCTATTTGGTACCAATCCAGTCTCGAGACTCATATCATACACAGTGGAACTTTGAGACTTTCTCACTGTATTGACGGTCAATGGCGGGAAGATCACGTAGGCCGTACGTCCAGAGTTGGTAATGGTGAGATTGATTGGCTGGGTGTAGTCGCCCTCGTCTGTTCCGATGGGGTACAATAGCACCTGGTAGAGACTGGACACGGCGGGACCATTGGGGCCTTGTCTTAGGAGTACCAACTGACACACATATATCGTTGCCTTGCATGCGTAACCATCAAACATCATACCATTGAATGGATCAGTGATTGAAACAGTCGTCTGGAAGATGTCGGTTCGGGGCGGTTGTAGGTATTGAGATGGGAACAAGCTATTCCTGACAAAGGGTCCAGAGTACATCGATACGGACAGTGTGGCGGGCATGGGCGCACATGAGAATGTCGTGTTCCAAGGTAGGATCTGGTTGTTGCTGTCAATGACACCAGCGTCCCAAAAGAATGGCGCCGTCTGCACAGCCACTTGATTGCCAAACTTTACATGTTGATGTCCATTAAACATTAGGTTACCGTTGATTGGCGTGTCGGTCAGGCCAAACAACAATAACTTTGTTATTGGCAATGTATGATTGACCACCAGGACAACCCTTACATTACAAGATGTATAATTATTATACTCTGCTATCACTCTAACATCTATTACTTGTCCATCTACTCTTCCACACTCCAATCCTATCAACATCAACGTCACCAATGTTGTTAACAACAACACTCCTTTGATTGATAGCATATCTATCTAACTATTATAAGTTGATGTAGTTGTAGTTGTAGACTATGTTGTTGTCGTCGTTGTTGTTGTTGATGTTGTAGTTGTCATTGGAACGAGGTGACATGCGCACGTCAAGAGGATGAGGTATTTGGGGAGACCGACCTGACCCATGGGATCGGTCGACCTTTGGACCTAACATGGTATCATCACTTTAGACGATATGATCTGGCTGAATGATCTACATCGTCTTAACTGTTAGTATATCAAGATATTAACATGATCTTTACAAAAGTATCAATCTTGTGTGTAACCTAGTATCTAAAATTGAAACATTATCAAGAAGGGCGTGGATTTCAGCCTCGGGAAGTCCGACTTTCAATTCATGAAAGTAATAGAGATAGATAGAGTGTGAGGTACTTGAGTTCATTCCATGTACTTAAAGTTCCACTGACCTTGTAAATACACTTAAATGATTAAAAATGATCAAATTATGTGTCTGGAATTATTCCGTGCTTTGAGGCGAGGCCATATGCCTAAAACTCTCCCAACTTTCAAGGATTTATTCCAATTCCATAAACTTTATCTCGAGTAGATTTCGGTTGAGCACTTGAGTGATTGTAATCACTCAATCAATCACTCGTTCAATCAATCAGATATGAATATACATGGAATCACTTCCAGTCATAATTATTAAAAGGATAAATGAATGTTTGAACAACCGTGATGATGGTGATGGTGTGGAGATGATGGATGCCATCTGTCTTGGCCTTGCATCCAAAAGGTTGTTGACAATGATGACTAAACTGAACCCTCAACTACACTTTAACATCAACACTCCACACGTATATCATCAACATCCACAACAACAACAACACATTGTCTATCGCGGCGATCAATTGAAGACACTAATCAATGTTACACATCTTACTTTCGATCACTCATTCAATAAGTCGATCAAACCTGGTACACTGCCAACGTCAATCACAAAGCTGCAGCTGGGTGACTTGTTCAATCAACAGTTGAACAAGCCAAACATGATACCATCGTCGCTGGTCACACTCAAGTTTGGAAGGAACTTCAATCAACCATTGGTCATCGACATGCTCCCAACATCCATTACAAAGTTGCGCTTTGGCGAGAGTTTCAATCAACCGATACCCTTTGGCGCGCTGCCATCATCACTTCTAACGCTGTCCTTTAGTTACGCATTCATTCAGACGATTCAACCGCGATCATTGCCACCATCACTCACAAATCTTGACTTTAATCGACCTCGCGGAGGTACTATAAATTTAACTCTCACGTTGGTGATGCCCAAATTTAAACAACCACTCCCCCTGGAGATTGGCACGATCCCCTCGTCAGTGCATACGCTCAATCTTCCGCGTTGGTACCATCCGGTGCAGATTCATCAGGACTACTTGCCAGCCTCACTCAAGCATCTGACCATCAACTATGACTCGGTGGCCAAGCAGAGGGAACTAGGACCAGATGCACTGCCACGCACACTAGAGACTCTCAAGCTGGGGCAAAGTAGTAGTGTGATCATCATCACCACCACAACACCTGGATCACTGCCCGATACACTTGTTGAGCTGGATGTTGGTGTGCACACATCTGCTCCGATACAATTCGACAAGCTGCCATTGCTAAGGTCGCTGACACTTGGCCAAAAGTACAGACATAGTGTTTTTGTTGGCACACTTGGATCATCATTGACCTCATTGAGCATAAAGAACAATCATGTTTTGGAATCATTCCCAATGTCACTCACATCATTGGTGCTTGGCGCAGAGTATTTTGCACCGATCAATCCTGGCGCACTTCCATCATCATTGACGACACTTGAGCTTGGAAACAAGTTCTTTTATTCATTGTCCAATGGAGTGCTTCCGTCATCACTTAGGTCATTGTCCTTGGGGTCATCATACTTTCATGACACTGTACTTCCCGACTCGCTCACTCATCTTACCCTCTCCTCATTCGAACAAATCACAAAATGTCTGGCAACAGCATCAACATCATCCACTCAATCATTGGATCTCAAAGTAGTTCAATCACTCCAACATCCATCGTCTTCATCATCATCATGTCCAACTCATCTACAACACATGTTCAGGTCAATAACATATAAGATCAAGGAAAAGACATCGATATTACTTGACAAGAGACCAAAGGATATGATTCAAACATTGATTGGAATGATACCAAAAGCCACTACCTACACCATTCATTCTCATCAATCGCTTGACAACCAACCAATATTCCACATACGTACAATCGACAACATGGTACCAAACATCATCTGTATCATCAACAACAAATGATCATTCATTCACCTTTCAATCAATCAAAGAGAGATAATGAATTATTGAGTGATTGAGTGATTGAGTGATTCGTCATATTCAATGAATATCATCACCATCATTCATCATGGAATAGATTGATTTAATGATTCAGAGATACACACAAGGTGTGGTCAATACAATAGATGTCAATAAAGATGATGAGGCGAGAATGATGGATTGATGGCGTGTACATGTCATTATCATGTGCTTTTGGGCTCGTGGGTGGACCGAAAAAGATGCGTCAACTGAATGGATGGATGGCGCACCCCTACCCTCACACTCCTTTTCCCCTTATTTTTAGACCTCGTGTCTCTCATTTATTTTTAAAACACTTCTTCAACCCCAAATCACCAACCTACCTCTCACCTCATATCACCACACACGACCAAACAAACAAACCAATCTGCGTCTGTGTCAGAGTGTGAGTGTGTAGCATGGGGGCGGGTAGGGTAGGGCTAACACTGGTGATGCCAGGTCAAGGAATAATAAGCTGATGTCTACACCATCGGCAATCTGAATGACGGTGGCTGGCAAGCAACTTCTGAACACCTAAGCTAGTGATAATAATATTATATTGGCTGTTGGTGGATGACCTGCGCCTCGAGGAATAATCAATGTACAGTTACCCCCCATCAACGGTACTGTCTGATGCTGGGGCTGGACCCTACCTTCCTTCGTTCGAGTGTTATTTTTGATACATCTCAATCAATCAATCAATCATTTCATTATTCTATTCATATCTTTATCTATCTATATCTTTATTGTAATATATTTATCTATCTATCACCTTATAACACATTAATAAACAATGAGTTCTAGGTGGAGACAGACAAAGATCCTTCTGAGAAAGAATATAATATTGCTCAGAAGGAGTTATAGATCAACTATAATATTGTTGTTGGTACCATTTGTATTCGTATTCTTCTTGTGGATCCTTCAGTTTGGTATAAGAGCCAACAATAGGAATACACTAGCCACTCAAGTTTGTAAGTTATCATCATAACAGGGAAAAGACATTGGACATCGTGTGTCTGTGTCTGTGTGTGGAGACATGGAAACACATGCGGAACACACCCGGAAATACGGAAACACACGCGGAAACACTCACGGAAACACGGAGACACATTCGGAAACACACTCTGAAACACACATTAACACAAACAATCAATCAATCAATCAATCATATTATAACTATAGTGAGAGATCCAACAGCAGATATAATATCAAATCCACCAAGATGTATTATTGGAGAGAAGAAAAAGAGCTGTTATACAGTGGCATATGTTAGTGATACACCGATTGGTGATTGGACAATAGCGAGTATATCGAACAAGTTTGGAATACCTGATGAGGAGGTACGCAAGTTTGACTCGGCCGACGACTTGGACCTGTTCCTCAGTGCCAATCCCAACACGACAATGGCCGGCGTCATCTTCCACAAGAACGACACGACAAACGAACTGCACTACACGGTCATGTACAACAAGACGATGACCTACGTCAACTCGAAGCAGGTGCTGACGTCGACCTACGTCCAACTGCCGTGGATCCACGCGCTCGAGTCGTTCCTCGTGGCCAACATCACCAACAACCCCAACGCCAACTACTCGATCGACTTTACGCAGTTGGCGCATCCCGAGCTGGTGATTCGCGACATCATCGGAGACATGGGTCCGATCTTCTTCTTTGCCGCGCTGATGTTCAACGTCGTCATCCAGCTGGGCCAGATCGTGTTGGAGAAGGAGCTCAAGCTGCGTGAGGGAATGAACATGATGGGTCTGAAGGACAGCGTCTACTGGTTCACATGGACCGTCACCAACGTCACCATCAACACCATCTCCTGTTTCATCCTTGTTGCCGCCGGATACATCTTCCAATTCGATTTCTTCAAGAAGAATGCCTTTGGTACATTCTTCTTCCTCTTCCTCCTGTTCAGTATATCAATGGTCAGCTTTGTATTCTTCTTAAGTACTCTTATCAAGTCTGCAAACATTGCAAGTAAGTAGTCGTCTCCGTGGAAGTTGTGTGGCGCGGTAGTTGTGTGGCGCGCGAAGGACTACCACTCGCGAACAATGACTAACATCATCCAAACCAATCAATTAGCATCAATTGGATTCGTTATATTCTTGGTTGGAATCATCATTCAGGGCTTTGCATCGATGGCCTTCCAAGAGGGATTCTACGCTGCAGTGCGCATTGTATTGTCATTCTTGCCATTCGCATTGTTGGCCAAGGGCATTGGAGATTTGTCGAGTGCCGCTGCTGGCTCCACCGCCAGCGGTATGGCCTGGTCGGGAAGATTCAACAACGCATACTTCCCACTGCAGTCCACCTACTACTGGTTGATCTTTGACTTCTTCTTCTTCTTTGTGCTGGCGCTCTACTTGGACAACGTTGTGCCCAGCATGTATGGCACTTCCAAGGGAATGTTCTTCTTCTTGCAGCCATCCTACTGGGTGTGGCGTCCATCAAAGCCCAAGCCCCAGAAGGAGACCAAGCACTCCAAGAAGGCTGCCGCCGAGACTGACCATGAGGAGGATGAGGACGTCGTTGCAGAGCGCGAAAACGTCCTTGCTGGCACATTGCCCGAGGACACTGCCGTGCGCATCACCAACCTGCGCAAGGTCTACACATCATCTGGCTGCTGTGGCTGTAACAAGAAGCAGTTCGTCGCCGTCAAGAACACCTGTCTGTCCATTGGTCAGGGCCAACTATTTGTGCTGCTCGGCCACAATGGTGCCGGCAAGACCACCACATTCAACATGATGACTGGACTGTTCTCGCCATCAAGCGGTGATGCCTTTGTCTTTGGTCACTCAATCATTAGCAACATGCCAGCGATCAGAAAGGACATGGGCGTGTGTCCACAGCACGACATCCTCTGGAACGAGCTGACTGGCCGCGAGCATCTCGAGATCTACGCCGCGTTCAAGGGCATTCCCGACGACCGCATTCATGCCGAGGTTGAGGAGCGTCTCAAGGATGTCGAGCTGATCAGCGCCGCCAACCTGCCAACATCCAAGTACAGTGGTGGTATGCGTCGTCGTCTGTCCACAGCCATCGCCCTGATTGCCGACCCCAAGATCGTCTATTTGGACGAGCCCACCACTGGCATGGACCCCGTGTCTCGTCGCCAAGTGTGGAACCTGATCGAGAAGGTCAAGAAGGGCCGTGTCATCATCCTTACCACTCACTCGATGGAGGAGGCCGATGTGCTGGGCGACCGCATTGCCATCATGAAGAAGGGCAAGCTCGTGTGTCTGGGCTCATCACTGCGTCTCAAGAACAAGTTTGGCGCTGGCTACCGTCTCGTGGCGCTGCTCGACCTAAACAGATTGGACCGCACCGAAGACGTCATCCGCTTCTTTGAGATGCATTTGGATGTCAAGCCGGCCACCTCTGCCATTGGCACGCTCGAGTTCAACGTGCCACGCGAGAAACAACAAGCACTGATCGCCTTCTTTGAGAAGTTGGAGCATGCTCGTGAGATACTACCAATTCGCGACGTTCAAATCAGTATGACCACTCTTGAGGAAGTATTCCTTCACATTGCTGGTCATGATGAGTAGTAGGAATCATATATTATTATATAAATCAATGTGTTATCCCCTCCATTTGATGATCGGTCGATCAATCGGTCAAACAAAGTCAAACCTAGTGTGTGTGTGATGGGTTGGTGATGGGTGGGATAGTTCCCAATCAGATGTTTCCAACTCAATACCAGTATACTACGTTGATCTTCACAAGGTCGGGACACCTAGAACTACCTTTGAATTCAAAGTCAACAATTAACCATCCAATCAATCCTTCTGAGCCAACTTTCCATCACAACTTCATCATCAGTTTTGTTGGCTCTGGCAAGCCATTCCCACCCATCCATGACCGAATGGATGGATAATTATAATTTTTAATTTATTAATCCACTTTTGTGTGTGTGTATGATTATGATGGATCGAATCTGAGACACGACTTATGATAAAATACAAAAAATTTGTTTGTTGATGAAAGTGAGTGAGTGGAGTGTGTGATGGATGGATCAGAAATGGATGGATGAAAAGAGAGTGGAGTGGAGGTAGGGGAGAGCAAGAGTGTTTGTTGAAGATAGTAGGTGAGAGAGAGTGTGGTGGTGATGCTAGATTTGTCAACAACAAACTCTGAGACTGGCTGGCTGAATGACTGACTGACACTAACGATGCCAGACAGTCAGGCACGCCTGTGCACATCAATCATTCATTCCCATTGTCCTCTCTACTTGTACTTTTACATATACATATATAAATATATTAATACCATCCTTTTTTATTACTTGTACTTTTATATAATGTAAGTAATAATTACCTCAACTTTGATCTTCAACTCCATCAACTTCATCAACTTGATCAACTTTACAACTTTTCAACTTGATCTGGATGATGAGCAATCATGTGGTGTAGAGTGAATATGCACATCGATCATTCATTCCTTGGAAGATTCATTACAAAGACAACAACATAGGAGGAAGAGAAGGAGAAGGAGGTTAGACATTCATTCAAAATAGAACAATCAACTGACCCAGGAATATTCCCTCACTCAATCAATCATTCGATAAATCAATCAATCAATCAATCAAACATCGATCAATCAAACAAATATCTTCGATCATTAGTCTCTAATCAGAACAAAACAAACAAACAATGTCCAAGGTTGTCAGATCATCCAAGTATAGACACGTTTTTGGTCAGCAGGCCAAGAAGGAGGAGTGTTACCAGAACCTCAAGGTGACCAAGTCGGCATGGGACTCAAACTACATCGCCGCCAACACTAAATACTTTGGTGTCATCTGGGAGGCTGGCGGTGGTGGCTCATTCGCCGTCATCCCACACGAGAATCAGGGAAAGACTAGCATCAACACCCCACTGTTTGCCGGTCACAAGTCGGCCGTGCTGGACATTGCCTTCCACCCCTTCAACGAGAACCTCGTCGCCTCGGTCTCTGAGGACTGCAACGTCATGATCTGGGGCATCCCAGAGAATGGCCCAACCGCCACCATCACCGAGCCCCTCCAGACTCTCCAGGGCCACAAGCGTAAGGTCGGCACTTGCTCCTTCAACCCAGTCGCCAACAACGTCCTGGCCACCTCCTCTGGTGACTTTGCCGTCAAGACCTGGGATGTCGAGGCCGGCAGCGTGCTGAACTCGCTCGACCAGGGCCACACCGACATCATCGTCTCTGTTGAGTGGAACGCCAACGGCAGCCAGATGGTCTCGACCTGCAAGGACAAGAAGGTGCGTCTGTTCGACCCACGCTCCAACACCATCACCGCCGAGGCCGCCTGCCATCTGGGAATCAAGAACACCCGTGGTATCTTCTTGAGAGACACCATCCTCACCACCGGTTTCTCCAAGACCTCAGAGCGTGAGTTCAAGATCTACGACCCAAGGAACTTCACCGACCCACTCACCACCACCAGCATCGACTCGGCCTCTGGTCTGTTGATGCCATTCTTCGATGCCGACAACTCCATCCTCTACTTGGCCGGCAAGGGAGACGGTAACATCCGTTACTACGAGATGGTCAGCGAGGCCCCATACTTCCACTACCTGTCCGAGTTCAAGACCGCCAGCCCACAGCGTGGTATCTGCTTCATCCCCAAGCGTGCCTGCAACGTCAGCGAGTGCGAGATTGCCCGCGCCCTCAAGGTCACCCCATCCACCGTCGAGCCAATCAGCTTCCGTGTGCCAAGAAAGTCCGACATCTTCCAGGACGACCTCTACCCAGACACCTACGCCGGCGAGCCCGTCCTCACCTCCCAGGCATGGGCCAGCGGATCGAACGCTGAGCCAAAGACCTGCTCAATGGCTCCAGGTTTCGTCAAGAAGGCTGTTGTCCAGGAGTTCAAGCCAGTCGCTCAGGTCCAGACCGGTCCAAAGACCGAGAAGGAGCTCCGTGACGAGTATGAGAAGCTCAAGACCCGTGTTGCCTATTTGGAGTCTGAGATTGTCAAGAAGGATGCCAAGATCAAGGAGTTGGAGACCAAGTAAACTTGTCCCTCGTCCTTTGTCCTTACCTACTACTATTGCTCTTCAAGAGAGTAGTAGTGTGTATGTGTATCCATCATGTTACCAACACAATCAATCAATCATACATTCAATCAATCAATCAATCAATCAATCATAACCAAACCAACCCTGTCCCTATATAACCAAACATTAACCAAATAAAGTACACAAACCTTTTGCCACCATCATCACCAACATCGTCATCACAATGATTGTCAACCAATCATTCATTCATTCATTCAATCAATTCAGACCTTGTGGATGATGATGAGTCAGTTGAGTCTCAAGTTCTTCGCAATTTGTGCGTGTATGTTACCTGGGCTTGGACATGCTGGGGGTTTTGCTCAACACAAGAACGTATCCGGAGAAGTCTAGCGTTCCATCGTCCACACCCGACTCCCACACTTTCACTTCCATTCATAGGTTCCAATGTTGTTGTTCTAGTTGTTTTGTGATGTTTTTATAATTAATTTACAAAATAATAGCAAGATAGAGATAGAGAATTGAGTTGAATTGAAGCCAAGAGATTAGCTAGTGTGAATGAATGAATGAATGAGTAGTGTGTGTTACTTACTTGTATTCATCTCACTATTACTTTATTTAAATAATAATAATAACAACTTTCACTTGCTTAATAGCAAGATTATAACATCACTTAATTAATTAATATATATATTTATATAATATAAATTAATATTGTATCATAATAATAATACAGATAACAAACAAACGAACGAACGAACGAAAGAACGAACGACCAATTGAACGAATGATCATATATTATTACAACTAAATAGATAGATTAGCATACTTGTGGACATTAATCTTTATATAGACACAACAACAAAAATGGAAGGTGCGACCAATGTTATGTCGCTGTCTAATCAGTTACAACAGCAACAACAACAGGAGAAGGAGAAGCAACAACAACAAATGAACAATAACAATCCTGATATGCACAAGTCACTTCCACCAATATTACCATCCGATAATGATAAGATGTTGTCGGACAAGAGATCAAGACGATTCTCACTCTACGTTTATCAACATCATAGCAATAGTACCAATGACCTACATAGTGCAGCGGCCTCGGATAAGAGTAACAATAAGAACAGCAGCAGCACGACGGTACAACCAGAGTTGTTTGGATACAAGACACATCATGAAGATGAGTTTGGATACGCCTACACACACGATTCCAACGAGATTGACACAAGCAGTTCATCATCAGACAGTGCATACTCTCTCTATCGATCGGCACCATCAATCTCTCCAGTGACCAGTTTCACACAGCTCAGAGATGTGCCAGCATCCACTCTGACATCGACATCGACATCAACATTGACTTCGACATTGACATCCATAACAACACCAACTCGTTCCAATGGACCAGCCACAGTCACCAGTCAAGCACCACAATCAACAACATCATTATATCATTCACAGACTCAAGTACTGGCATACCCTCACACCGTTATACCTTATGCTCTCCCGATCATATCACCAACGGCGCCACTGCTTGCCGAGACACAGACTCTGAAGCCACCCGATCCCAATCAGCTGCCATCGTCCTACTTCTCCACAGTGCGCTCGGCGTACGCCGCCGACGTCCGCGTGGGCGGAGGCAGCTACATGGAGGACGAGTACAATGAGAAGGAGTCGATACTGCGGCCCGTCGAGAAGTCGCTGTCGGGCGCAAAGGACTGGAACGTCGAGTTTCAAACATTGGTCAACAACAATCGCATGGAAGGATATCGCGAGATCTCCAAGCTGGCGCACGACTTTGTCTACACTGCCAAGATCTATGGCAAGGTCATCATCTCTGAGCTAATGCTCCCACTACATCTCAAAACAATCAAACCGATCAACATTGGTGGAGTAGCCGGTGGTCACAAGTATATCGCATTGGGTATATTGTTCAAGGTATGTTGTCCTATCTATCGCGCACGCACTGATCATCATCATGATCATGGTCACTAACACATGCAACTCAGCTGGCACTCGATTCACAAGGACTCTATGTTGGAGACCACAACGCGATGAAGGCAGCTGGACATGAACTCAAAGGATTGATGAGTTATTATAATGCAAGAGTGGAAGGACTTCATCATCCATTGATGACACTGATCGATTATAGAGGCTTCCGTTTGGTGGCCATGTCATTGCTGCCAATCAGTGGCGAGACCATTGTCTATGGCAGCAGTGATGGTGGCATCACGGTACACAGTGACAACACATCCTTCAATGAGAAGATGGAGAAGTCTGCACAGATACTCAATATCAAGGGTCATATTGTTGGCAGGGACAATCCACGTCTCCTACACTCCTGTGGCGACATTGAAGGTCACATTGGCAACGATGGCAACTTCTACCTGTTGGACTTTGCCCGTGTATTCCCACCCGTTGTCAAGATCATCGAGAATGGTCCACCAAGTCATCTATATGAGTTGCTAAGAGTAAGTACATTTGATTGATTGGCGTTGCTGGACCATCAAATTAACAAACAATAATTCATGTGACTCTAGCCTGAGCTTGTAAAGTCCAACTCCAAGCCATTGTCATCAGATGCACTGACTGGATGGGGCAAGTTTGATCCCAACTCTTCAGAACACAACTGTATGTTTGATCAACACAACACCAATCAATCAATCAATCAAAGATACCATACTTACAATCAATCAATAACAACCATACAGATGAAGTCAAGGAGGCATCATACAAGTTGTTCTTAAAGGTCATACCAAAGTTTGTCAAGTACTTGGATGGATTGGACATGTGTGAGAAGAAGGAGTTGCATTTGACACAGGAGCTGCATCGTGTTGGAATCAACTGCAGATACTTGGGACTGATCAAGCGTCAGGTACATTGTCCATGCGTAAGAAGAATCATCCTCTGTGAGATGTTGGCGCGTACCATCAGGAGCGAGGTCATGGCACTGTTCAGAGGCAAGATGAAGACTGCCGACACACCCTCTGAAGAGCCCTTCAAAGAGGTAGTCGTCCAATACTTTAACAAGGTCTTCAAGTTTGAGTCCACTCCCAAGGGTAATGCATGGCCTGCATCACTAAAGTATGTTACTTCATCATTCATTCATTCAATCACTGGAACCCATTCCAACTAACATTGTTATTACTCCAGGGAGTCAATATCCAAGAAGTTCATGGGAGCATTCCAGATATTACCAGAGGATAGAGAGACGATAACATTCGAATCGATCGTTGGAAAGAAGTTTGACGAGGAGATGATGAAGAGATATATTCGCTCCGATGGCAAGCAGGAGGACTTTTTGGTGAGCGACGTCGATGTACACACGATGATGAAGCGTTTCAATCAGTTGTCTGGTGTTGGCCTGACGCAACGCGCGATGAAGGAGCTCCAGAAGCAGGACAGCATTCGTTTGGTACCTTCCGACGTCAAGAGAATGAAGGCCAAGGTCAAGGCACACCATCTCGTCGAGTTTGCTCAGGGCATGGTGCTGTGGGACGAGGCCAAGAAGGAGATGATGCTCAACAAGGTGGGCACAGCAGCAGGTAGCCTCAGCAATCACAATCACTTGGCTGCCGCTGCCGCCAACATGCCAGCACTCCAAGGCGCCGAGAACAACAGCGAGAGGATCGCTGATCGTTTGATGATGTGTGCTGATGATCACTTCCGTAGTGCTCTCTCAGTGTCGCCACACAGCGGCGAGGTCAGTGCCAATTGGGCACTGATGCTGGTCGAGCGTGCCAGAATATCACGTCTCACCAACCCCGAGCTGGCCGACAGCCAGTACCACATGGCCGAGGAGAAGCTGCGGACGAGCGTGTGCGATGGCGGCAAGCCCAAGATCACACTGGACAATGTGCTGCTCGAGTACGCCGAGTTCCTCTACATCTGGGGCACGTACTTCCACATTGAGCTCGACATGAACGAGGCCAATGGACTGCGCAGCAAGATCCTGGGCCGCTGCCAAAAGAAGATCTATGAGGCCATCCAGATCAACCCGTCCAAGTTCTCCGTGGTGCTACAAAAGGCCAAGTTCCTGGAGAAGAGCTTCCACGAGTCCAAGAGCTTCCGTGAGCACGCCGCCTACTACGCCGCCATCTCGCTGGTGCTTGACACTCTGATCCAGAGCTACGACAAGCTGCCCGCGACGTTCCATCGCGAGATCGCCGAGAACATCACGCAGAACCTGTCACCCATCGAGGTGATGATGAAGGAGAAGGAGGTGGCCGAGTCGCCCGACCTCATCCATCGCTCGATCGACGACGACATTGGCCACAAGTCAGCCATCTCGCTCCGCAAGGAGGAGGAAGAGATCAGGAAGCTGCTCGAGACTGACCCATACGCTGTCATCAAGTTTGAGATGGGTTGCTCATACCTGCGCTACGGCTACATGACGCATCTATTTGGTATCATGTGCTCGAAGCGTGGCCACACCAAGCAGGCCAGCACCAAGCTGCTCAAGAAGGCGGGTTCGCTCATGCAGATGAGTATCGATACGGACCCCAACAACCGAGACATCCTCATCGAGCACATCAAGAAGTTCACATCATCCAGCCAGTTTATCGACTTTTACCAGTCGGCCATCGGATGTCCATCGGTCATTGACTTTTTGGAGGACCGCTTCTCGCGTATTGGTCACCTGTCTCTAAAAGACTGCTGGCACATTCCCATCGAGTTGATCGAAGGACTGATCGAGTACTCGCCCAAGGTCAAGGTGCTCGTGCTAGATGGATGCACTCAGGTCACCGATTCCACAATCGAGTTGATCGCCAAGAAGATGCTACATCTCGAGACACTCAGTCTGTGTGACTGTGTCAAGATCACCACGATCGTGTCACAACGCCTGCTCAAGGAGCACCTGGCAGAGGTGGCCAAGAATGGCAAGTCACAAAGCAGTGTCAGCACTGGAAACCTCAATGAGTATATCCAAGAGTCATCATCATCGTCTTCGTCATCATCGACCAAGAGATGTATATTCGAGAAACCATCATTCAAATGTCATGCTGGCGCAACACCCAACCAGAACATACTGATGACCTCGTTGAACAATGTCCTGACGGCATCCAACCAGGCACCAACGTCTCCCCCACTGGCACTCAAGCCACTTGGCCTACTACAGAACCTCAATCTGAGTGGCTGCCTGGCCATCAAGGACGACACAATCATCAACATTGCCCAGCTCAACCTGCCCCTCCTCTCAATCTCACTCAAACAATGCATCAACATCACCGATCGTGCAATCATCCAGTTGACTCAGCACAGCCACCGCCTGCAATCCATCAACTTAAGTGGATGCACAAACATTGGCGACGCATCAATCTACGCCATCACGTCCACCTGTCTTGGCCTGCGCGAGCTCAACCTCAACAAGTGTGTCAACGTCACATCGTCCTCGATCGACAAGTTCTGCAAGACGTTGCAGAGCAGCATTCGCTCGCTACGTCTGTCCAAGGCACCGTTGGCCGTCACCGACGACACACTGCGCCTCATTGGCAAGTACTGCATAGAGATGCAGCACGTGAACATCACCAACAACACGCTGGTCACCGACCACGGCGTCAACAGCCTGACCAAGTCGGTGCGCAACATTGTTGAGCTCAACATATCCTATTGTGTCAACATCTCGGACCAGGGCATCGCCATGATCGCCAGCGCCTGTCCCAAGCTCCGCATCCTGCGCATGGCCGGCCTGAACAGCGTGTCGTCTCTGCGACCGATCGGAAACAACTGTCCAGAGCTGGTCGAGTTGGATGTCACCGAGTGCCACAAGATCACTTCGGACCTGGGCTGTGTCACCAAGGGCTGTCCCAACCTCACCATCTTTAAGCTGCGCCGCTGCTACGGCATCCAGGACGCGCCACTACTCTCAGACGACGGCGAGATCCACCTGCTGTGCAAGATGACCAAGCTGGACTGGAGCCACGGCAACATCGAGTTCCCCACCATCCACTCGATCACGCACTCGTGCAAGTCGCTCACATCGCTCAACATCTCCTATTGCAAGAGCCTGAAGGACTCGTCGCTAGAGAGGATCGCGGCGTCCCTTCCCCGTCTCAAGAAGCTCAAGATCGACGCATTGGTCACCATCACGGACGATGGCATCAAGGCACTGTCCGAGGGCTCGCTTCACAGCAACCTCGAGGTGCTGTCGCTGGCCGGCTGTCGAAAGATCACAGACGTCAGTGCCCGATACATCCTGCAGTTTAGCAACCTGCGCAAGATATCGATTGGCGAGTGCATGATGACCACCTCTGGTGCCGAGATCATCGTGGCCGACTCCTTTGAGTTGATGCAATTCAATGTTCGCAACTGTCTCAACATCAACATCATTCATCTTAAGGAGAAGCATCCACACATCTGTTTCAAGAGTATCAAGAAGGAGACTGCCTACTTCTCTGAATGATCAATGGATCAGTTTGATTGATAGTGAATAAACATATGTTGTCGTTCGTTCGATGTCATATTTGTAGTTATACATTCATCATCATAACATCGCGTTTGTTTGTTTGATTGTATCCGCCATTAAGCTGTTACTGTTTGCTGCTGTATGTTTATTGTATATAATGTAGAGTTGAGTGATTGATTGGTTGGATGGATGGTAGGATGTTGATGATGCTACACAGTCGCAAGCTTGAATGAGGTGTAATGTACTATACTATAATATAAGTCGTGTGATTGATTGGTGTGACATGTCACTCTTCTTCTTGACTCCAAGGATTGATTGATTGATTGATCTGTATCGCTCACTCTCTATCTCTTCTGTCTTGATGATGATGATGAATGTTTACACTTCACAAACACATTGATCGTTGTTGTTTGAATATGACGGCCAGACTTGATCGCTTATTCTCTTCTGTTCAACTCGGTGTGGACATCGATGTCGTAACCTGGCCAGTAACCAACGATGGAGTTCTTGCCATAGACCTCACCGGCGTAGAAGAAACCGGCCATGCCGACGGCGGTGCCAGCGACTCTCTTGGCATCACCGACGGTGATGGCAGATGGGTTCTTGAGCTTCTCGACAAACAGGTTGGTGTCGGCCTTGATCACGGCTGAGCTGTAACGCTGCTTCAAGTACTGGAGCAAGTTGCAGCCGAACTGGTAGAACTGTGGTTGGTTGACGTTGGTCATTCTTTGTTGTTGTTTGTTGATTAGATAGAATATGTATCTTTGGTTGTTGTTTGAATCAAACAAGTTTGAAGTTGTAAAGTATTGCGTGTGTTTGGTTGCTCAGCTGGGTCCTCCTTCCCCAACCCCAGGCGCATCATTCATCATAGCTCAGCACACGAATTAAAAAAAAATCGGCAACGATGAACTTCCAGTCAGTCTTTCTCTCTCCGACCCAATAGCCAATGACTTGTTCATCCTACTCATCAATCATCGACATCATCAATAACTTGAATCGTTGTTATCTTTTACATGTTTAATTGTATGATGATGATGACTTTGTTGTTGTTGTCAACAATTTAATTGTTAATCTTTGATGTTGTCATTATGAAATATACAACCAACAACATTATTTGATCAATGAAAGTATGCGCGATCGTCATAGGCAAACAAACAATAAATATCACAGTGACCTTTTCAGTTGGTCCACCTTTTTTGCAAATAGTTTGTTTGGCTCTCTCTTTCCTCATGGTGGACACATCCCCTCTCATTCACTCTTACTCACTCACTCACTCATTCACTCACTTACTCCCTAACTCACTTCCCTTCTTGTTCACACACAAACCAATTATATTTGTTGTCAACATTATTCATTCATTCATTCTCTCACTCACTCTTACCACTCACTCTCACTCATTTACTCTCACACACACAACACCAAAGAGAGAGAGATAGAAAGAGATAGATAAATAGAAAGATAGATAGTTGTAATTAGATAGTTAGTGTCAACAAGTTAATCAAACAACTAAACAAGCAGCGTTCATTCGTTCTGCATCACCCCCTATTTAATAGAGCTAACTGGTATGTTGTTATTGTTGTTATTGCTGTACAACAAACAATTGTTATACGGGTTATAGTTATTGTTAACTAACATATTCATTACAAACAAACAAATATATAGTATTATTAGATTGATAGATAGATAGATTAGATAAGATAAATTGAACAATGCAATCGATCAAGTTGGTAGTCGTAGGTGATGGTGCTGTTGGAAAGACATGTCTGTTGATCTCATACACCTCAAACTCCTTCCCAACTGAATATGTACCCACCGTCTTTGATAACTACTCAGGTATGTTAAGTTGTTAGGTTTATCAACAATATAACAACTGGTATAACTTACATTATTATTATTTAATAGCCAATGTTATGGTTGATAACAAGACAGTTAGTTTGGGTCTTTGGGATACAGCTGGTCAAGAGGATTATGACCGTCTCCGTCCACTCAGTTACCCTCAGACCGATGTATTTCTTATCTGTTTCGCTATAATAAGCCAGACATCGTTCACCAATGTCAAGTCCAAGTGGTGGCCAGAGGTCACTCATCACTGTCCCAACAGCACGATCATCCTCGTTGGCACCAAGTGCGATCTCAGAGACGACAGGGAGGCATTGGAGAAGCTCAAGGAGAAGAACCAAACACCACTCTCGCCACAACAGGGTGAGCAGATGGCCAAGGACATCAAGGCGTTTTGTTATTTGGAGTGTTCCGCTTTGACTCAGAAGGGTATTGCATCATCATCATCTTCATCATCATCGTCAATTGCGATAGTTGACTAACAATCCCAATCAATCATTCAATCAATATAGGTCTTAAGCAGGTATTCGATGAGGCAATCAAGGCCGTTATATTCCCAGACAGAGACAAGTCCAGCAAGTCGGGCAAGTCAAAGTGCTCGATTCTATAGAAACATAACATTTGCTGACAACATAACAACAACATAACAATAACAACAACAACAACATCTGCCAAGGCAGTAGCAGCAGAAGCAATAGCAATAGAAGCAGCGGCTGCAGCAGCGGCAGGCGGCATTTGAACAGAATACAACATCACAAACACATTACTATCAAAATCACATCACATCACATCACATACACAAAGGAGCTTGGAGTTTGGAGAATGAAGAGTTTGAACACATTGAGTTCAACAACAACAACAACGACATCAACGTGATTGAATGAACATGGTCCAAGCCTCGAACCAAAGGTTCACATGTAAAGAGGGTATTATTTATTTGATCAATAATAACATCAGCAGCATCGTCATCACAACATCCAACACTTACTACTTTAACCTCCTCCTTATATTACAACAACGTTTAACAATAATAATCAATCAAGTTTCTCTACATCCAATCACTTCCATAACAATCACAATCACACTTTTGCTTGGAGGGTTCGTTAGGGCTTCGCTCTTCAAATATCATTCATTCATTCTTTGTGTGATGTTGTTCGAACAAATAGATATACCTAGGGGCATTAGCTTTCTGTACTTGTTTGGGCCTCCGCCATTCAATGACGGACAAGGGCCTTAAAATATCGTCTGAAAGACCCATGCATGGCAGCAGGACCAAATGGTTGAGACACTCATCAACTTAGTAAGACCTATAATATCGCGTCTGATTGCTACATTGACAATCCAGTCTTCCATTATCAATCATCAACTAACACATACACGTACATTCAACAGGATGAGGTTGTTTATTATAACTCTGATTGTTGTTACTTTGTTCTTGGTCTTCAATGACAAGGTTAACTCACAAACACATCGTGTTCCGCATCTCTGGACACAAACTGTCAAGGCCTTGCCAAATGATATAGTAGAGTTTAGAGTTGCCTTGCGCCAACATAATCTTGATGTTCTCGAGAGCACTCTACTAGATGTCTCTGATCCAAAGTCTGACAACTATGGTACGTCTTCACATCCCTCCACAATCACGACAAACACTCCCTCACTCCTTCAATCAATCAATCAAAGGTAAACACTGGACAATTGATCAGATAATGGGCTTGATATCACCATCAAGTGAGGTCTCTAACAATGTTGTCCAATTCCTGATGGCCAATGGAGTGGAGAATGTTGAGAATCATCGTGACTTTATCAAAGCATCGGCATCAGTTGAGACCATTGAATATTTGTTCAATGTTGACATGTTCATCTTTGAACACAAGACCAAGAGGAATCACTTCATCACCAGCTCCTCCTAAATCTACACCGTACCATCACCAATTGCCGATGTAGTTCAGATGATCTCTGGTATCTCAGAGTTGCCATACATCAACGAGCTCTCCAAGCCAAGGCGAGCATCCAACCCTGCAGCCACTGGCAAGATACCAATCGACAACGGATTGGTCATTCCAGAGACCATCCAGGAAGTCTACGGCATCTCCGCAGGGTTTGACAACAATCCAAACTCATCACTTTGTTTGGTCGAGTTCCTGAAGGAGCATGCCTACTTGCCACAAGACTTGGTCAACTTCTCGACACTAATGTCTACGCCATTCTTCAACACCAGTCATATTGTCGGTGCCTTTGACACATTCTTGCCAGGTGGCGAATCAATCCTTGACGTCCAATTCAGTGCATCAACAGCTCAATCAGTTGAACTATGGTACTGGACTGTTGATAACTGGATGTATGACTTCTTGTCCGACCTCTCTGTAACATACCCAGCACCCTACGTTATCTCAATGTCCTGGGGATGGCCTGAGGACGTGACCTGTCAGATGGCTTCATGTCCAAGCAATGAGACCAGTATCGAGTACATCGATCGTTGCAACGTCGAGTTTATGAAGTTGGGACTGCGTGGCATCACAGTCGTTGTCATCTCTGGTGACCTCGGTGCACCAGGCAATGGCAACTCCAATTGTGACCACCTGTCCAATCCCTTAACCAACATTTATCCGGGTACCTCACCCTGGGTAACCACAGTTGGCGCCACCATGCTTGCTGCGCCAACAACAGAGACCTCACCTGCCAGCAACAATAACAACAACTACGACGACATCAACTCACCACCAATCTGTAGACAACAACCATGTGCCAACTCTACTGTGGAGCTGGTCTGTACCTTCCCAGAGGCACTCATCACAAGTGGTGGCGGCCTCTCCTATTACACACCAATGCCATCTTGGCAGTCTAGCCAGGTGACTTCATACCTCAACTCTGGCGTGAAGCTACCATCCTCATCATTCTACAATGCTACCAATCGTGCGTTCCCAGATGTCTCGGCATTAGGTCACAACTATGCTTGTATCGTACATAATAGGTTGGAGATTATGGATGGCACTTCGGCATCGACTCCAGTATGGGGTGGTATCATCGCCTTGCTGAACTCCTACCGTCTAAACAATGGTAAGAGTACTCTAGGCTTTATCAATCCACTCCTATACTCTGCACCAGCCAACTGTTTCAATGACATCACTACTGGCAACAACTTTTGCATGGAACAATGCTGTAGTTTCACTGGATTCATTGCCACCACTGGTTGGGATCCAGTCACTGGTCTTGGAACACCAGTGTTCAAGATCCTACTTGCCTATGTTGCCTCTCTTCCATAGATGGTCTATTATTATAAATACTAATATGACGATTAATTATTTGATTGATTGAGTGATTGTGATCAATTTGGTAATGGTTACTTAAAATGGATACTTCTCCTTATTAAGTATCGTTTACCTTATATAGTAATGGATACCAATTGATCCACAAAGTATATAGTTGATTGACATCCCCGGCAAGTATAAATACCAAGGTGTATCCAGTCATTAGTATCATTGGTAAGTAGACTTGACAGATTACCATGGCTCACGAACTATCCTCATTCCATTCTTTCAAATACTGACTCACTTTGTTTGTTTCGTTCCATAATTCCCACATGTCTAGCCAACTTGAAGAACCTTGCTCAACCTATGGCCGCCATCCAGAATGCCCAGTCTTTTGCCTCATACCAGGGAGCCACGTCCAACCAGTCCAACAACGAGGTTGAGTGCTGCCGCCGCAGGAGAAGAGTGAACATCAACATCATCATCGGAGGATTCAACAATGGTTGTGGTTGCGGTGGCTTTGATGGCTTTAACGGCTTTGACTGAGCGCACTCTCAGTACTTACTGTTGGTCCTCCTACCTACTGAATAGTCCAATCCTAGTCTAGTGTGAGGATCAATAAACAACATCATGTGTGCTTGTTGTCATCTTACAGTCACATCAATCAATCAACTAACTAATCAACTAACTACACATAACATTGCTTTATCGTTAAGTCGCTCAAACATTGAGCGTAGATAGAATATACAATTTAATAATGACGAGACCAAACAATGTTGCTGGTTTGGTCATTGGCCAGTGGATGGTGGATGGATTGGTAATAGATACAAAGATTGTTGTTGTGTTGTAATCGTCGGGAGAGAGAGGTCACCAAGAGCAAGCAATTGATTGAGATCGAGTTTACATGTTGCTATTGTCATCATCATCGTCGTTGTCAGTAGTTTAGTACTTGAAACGCTTGTAGAACTTGTGACCGTGGTGATGATGTGGGTATGGGTAGGCACCGCCGCCCATGTAGCCTGGTGGGTAGACGGCTGGGGCGATACCAGCTGGGTAGACAGTTGGTCCCATTGGGTAAACAGGTGGAGCAACCATTGGCACTACAGATCAGCAAGTAAAGTTTATGGTTAGTAATCTATGTTGTAAAGAGTATTTTGGAGTCTTACTAGAGTATGGCATACCTCCGGCAGGGTACATGAGTGGGTCGACGACCATTGGTGGCGCCATGCCAACTCCCATTGGCACAACAGTTGTTGGCACAACATAACCTGGTGGATAGATTGGGGCTCCGTATGGGTTCATTTCTTTTATATTATAATCTTAAAGTATACTTGTATAATATAATATATGTTTATATGTATAGAAATTTGTTTGTTTGTTTGTGTAATAATAGACTAAACTAGTTGTTGTTGATATTAATTTTAATTAGAGTCTGGCCGATGGTGTATTTATCAACAAGTTGTGTGAGAAACTCATTGAAAGGACTGACACAGTCTACCCACCATTTTGTTCAAAACACTCACATCTTTGTACCAAACACTGAGCATTCAGTTTGTGTGTGTGTATCCATGTGTGAATGTTAACCACCACAACCATACACACTTGTTCAACAAAGCGTGTGGGCTTCATCGAATAGGAAGTAATCGAACTTCTGAATTAGAGATTTATCCTGGGAACTTTGAGATACAACAGCAACAATAATTATTTGAACACAAGGTTTGAAAACACTTGAATTTTATTTGAATTGATTCACAAGTCACATGATGACTCGCTTTGCAAAAATATATAAATATAAAAAACAAACAATGTTATAATTGTGTGTCACTTGTTTTTTTTTTCGATCCTTGGGTCTTGTGATTGATCTGAACGAGTGGAGTGTCCTTTTGATAGTTTGTTCTCTCTTTCCACCTTTCTTTATTCAATTGAATTACTTCACAGACAGACAGACAACTAAGCTTCTCAACCTTATTTGTTATAAACAGATACAATACATCTTGCGCAACAACACATACACAAAACCATCTCAATCAGTTGTTTGAGAGATATTTTTGCGATCAAAAACACACACAAACATACTCGGCCCAGGTACCACCAAAACCCCAACCAACTACAAGTACCAAAAACAAACACACTCGATTCGCAGCAGCAGATTTGAGTCAAAAACAACAACAATACGCCGGCGCTGTTTCCTGACAACCATCCATACATCAATCCGTCAATCCTCATTCATCATTCATTCAATCCATCGAAACATTCTTTCAATCATTCAATCATTCATTCAATCATTCAATCGTTTGGCTACCAACAACAATTATAATTCTACTACTTCTGGACATTATCATCACTCAACAGAGTTCTCCAAGCCAGTCCAAACCAGACAAGACATAATTGGAACATTGATTTTTGAAGCGACTATTATCTCTTAGCTAGATAGTTGTCGTGGTAGTTGCCACTTCACAACCAAGTCATGGACACCACCACTACCACCACCACAGCCACCMCCMCCMCAGCCACAGCCAACAACAACACTGATAGCACTCAAACACCATCCATTGATGTCCAAGCACCAGCCCCAGCCTCAACTCCAAACTCAGCCACATCATCAAATGATGCCCCACAACCACAGCCACAACCACAGGCACAGCCAGCCGTGACACCAAAGGATTCGGCACCATCGACTTCGAGCTCACCATCAAACAGCTCGTTTTTCTCTGCGTCTGCTTCGTCGTCGGCATCGGCCACAGCACCAAGCGTAACAGTCACCGCACCAACACTGGCACAGAGCGTCCTGCAACAGTCACCATCAACGGCCAGAGCATCACCAGTCACCGTGTTGTCCACATCATCCAACACTCCTCAAAACACATCTGCGTCGTCACTCTCATCAAACTCACCAACCTCTTCGCCAAACACCAGTACTCAAAGTCTCAGTGTGGTGGCTGCACCTGGCACTGCTGGCACATCGACAGCATCCAACATCCTCTCATTGAGTGCATCTCAGGCAGCCATCCAAAACACTTATCATGCCGAGGAAGTGCAGTTTGCACTTGAGAACAAGAAGACATTGAAGCGTTTGCTCAAGATATCCAAGCATTGGAATGAGTCCATGAAGTGTAAGTGCACTGGAACTATTCCAATCAATCAATCAATCACTCACTCACTCATTCAATCAACCAATCAATCAATTCACACATACTATAGCATACTGCCAACAATGCCATCTATTCTCTGATGAGATGCTCAAGCAGTCTGAACAGATGATCACATTTGCTCAGCCCAAGGAGAAGAGTCTTGGTGGCAACCTGGCGCACTTTGGAAATGCCCTTCGTTCAGTCAACGGTGTTCACGATCAAATGGTATGTACCAATGGATGACCATCCATTCCCATCAATCAATCAATCAGTCAACTAACTAACTAACCAATCATCTACTCATCAGTTGAACGAGATACAAGATGTCTTCTCGACACCTGTAGCCAACTTTGTTGACTACGACTTTGCCGAAGTGGTAGAGTCACACAAGCGTGTGACCAAATCCAAGGAGGACTATGATACATCGCTCGGTAAGATATCAGCGTCGATCAAGAAGTCCAAGACGGGCATCGACGAGACCAAACTGATCAACTACGAGACCGAGCTTGAGAAGCTCAAAGAGGTGCTCGAGTCGCAGAACAAGGAGTTGGGCATCAAGCTCAATGATCTCTCCTACAAGAACGAGACCAAGTATCTGCGCGCTGTACTACACTTTATCAACGCCCAGTACCTATTCTTCACTCGTGGCGCCAAGCTACTTGGCGACCTAAAGCCCAAGATCGAGGACATTGAGCGCTACCTCGAGGAGATCCAGCCACCCAAGGTGGTCGAGGGTCATCTCATGAAGAAGAGCAAGCAAGTGATGGGAGGTTGGAACAAGTGTTGGTACGTGCTCAAGGATGGCATGTTGTACTGTTACAAAGGAAAGAAGGTATGTTATTGATCGACTCGACATGAGTGTGGCGCCGCCTAAGATTTGCTCGCTAACTTATCGGACCGCTACTACACAGGAATTCCATCCAGAGAATGCATTGAATATACTTCTGTGCTCGGTTAGAGTGCCACAACAGATATTGGTGACGGTGCCAACGCAGGCCACCAACACATTGTCGACATCGTCCAAGGAGCAGACTGGTACGGTCGACTACCGCTTCGAAATATTGCACCCAAGGAAGAAGTTGCCAATCGTGCTGCAGGCAGAGAGCGAGGAGGAGCGCGATCGTTGGGTGACGGCCATTCAAGAGGCCATCTCCAACTCACTAAACAGCCAGACGCTCGACAAGCGCACTGGCAACATGAGCTCGAGCGGTGTCACGCAGCTTGGCAAGTCCAATGCCAATCTGCCCACACCCAGCCAGACGCCCGATGAGATCAACCAGCAGGTTGTACGCATTATCCAAAAGGCTGCTGGCAATAACGTCTGCGCAGACTGCACCAGCGCGGACCCAGACTGGGCCTCCATCAACATGGGTGTTTTGATCTGCAAGGGCTGCAGCGGTGTGCACAGGAGTCTTGGCACACACATCTCCAAGGTGCGCTCGCTCACACTGGACAAGTGGTCGCCAGAGAGCATCTACTTTATGCGCGAGGTTGGCAACAGCAAGTTCAACGTTATCTACGAGCACTCATTGTCGGACCAGGTCAAGCCCACAGAGAAATGCGACCGCGCCGTCAAGGAGGCCTACATCAAGGCCAAGTACCAGACTCGCGACTTTATGATCAAGTCGACTCTGTCTGTTGAGGAGCTCAGCAAGGTTCTCTACGAGATGACATCGACCTCGAACGTTGGCACACCCGTCGACATTAGCCGCTACCTCAAGGTGTTGGGCCAGGGCGCCGACGTCAACTACGCCGACCAGAGCGGACGCACCAACCTTCACCAGCTGATCTGGCGCACAGACGATGTGACCGTGCTGGAGCTGCTGTTGCAGCGTGGCGCCAACATCACAATGGTGGACTCGCGCGGCTGGACTCCCATGCATTACGCCGCCTTTTTCAACCGTCCCCGCTGTGCATCGCTCCTGATCAAACGTGGCTTTGACGCGGCAATCCGCGCCAAGAGTATCGACCATCTGGGCCGCTCGGCACTCGACCTTGCCAAGCTCAACAAGTCCAAGGAGGCCGAGCAGGTGCTCAAGGGCGAGGTGCACGACTTTGGTCTCACGGTCGACGCCATCGAGGCTGGCACAGTTGTACCATATGAGACCTCACTGCCCAACAGCACCGACTTCCCACGCGAGGAGATCCTCAGCGAGGACGAGGACGACAAGTATACAGTAGAGAACGAGGCCGAGTCCAGCTGGAGCGAGAGCGAGCGGGACAGCGTTGGCCGGGCCAGCTTTTCTTCACCCGATGGACCTACAGCTTCGTCCATCAACAACACCGATTCTTCAACAAACACAAACAACAACAACAATGTACCATCATCCTTCACCATCAGCACCAGCAGCACCAGCAACTCCCTAACGGCCAGTCGCGATGGCAGCTCCACGCACGCCAAGCCACCCCTGGCTGGTGGCTCCCCAAGCCTCACATCAACTTCACCCAGCGCCCAGGACGACTCGCTGCAGCTCCCACCACATCTGCAAGACAAGCTCAACCGACCAAAGTCGGCCAAGAGGCGACCATCCATCATTGGCAAGGGCCGCAACACATTGCGACTCGTTCGTAGCAAGCTTAGTTTGTCCACCAAGATGGATGCACCAGACTTGGAGGCGACCAAGATCGAGGAGGAGGCTGAGGACGACTTGACTGAGGACAACATCGGCGAAGACACACCCTTGACCTCGGCACCAGCCACTCCACCAATTATCTCGACTACCGATACCAACAACAGTAACAGTGGCGCAACCACACCAATCGTGGAGGCACAGCCAGTGTCTGCTGCTCTACCACGATCAGCGTCCGTGGACAATATCAATCAGAAGCAGCAACCAGACACCATTCAGCAGGTCAAGAGTTCAAACGACTTGACCAGTGGCGGCCATGATGATGGACATTCAACACAGCACCAGCAGCAGCAACAGAAGTTGTCGCCAGCACCATTCAAAGCGATCTTTAGCAAGTTCAAGGGCATGACAAACAAGAAGCACAAGGACGAGGCGTCGCCCACGGCATCACCATCGAGCCCCAGCGCAAATGCTGAGCAGTTGGTGGACATCCCCGACAATGTATCAATCAGCAGTGAATCGTCCACATCGGCCAAGTCCAACGACCATTCCTTCTTTGGCACCAAGTCTGACTTTTTGAGGAAGAAGAAGAAGAAGCCTACGCCAGCCACTAGTGGACCATCGTCGCCAACCGATCAATCGCCAGCCGCCAGTCCAATGACAACGTCTGCAACAACAACAACAGCGCCACTACCACCACCAACCAGCAGTCCAAGCCTTGTGTCTGTCGCCCCAACGTCCTCGGTCGTCACCACACCAGTCCCTCCTGCCACGGCAGCACCTTCAACGGCCGCCGCTGCCACAGATGACACCTGTTCGACATCGTCCACGACTTCAATCGCAACATCCACCTAAATAAACACAGCAGTAGCAGTAGTATAGAAGCAACATTATCATTCATCTATTCATTCCATTTGTTCAATGCATGGTGGCTAGGCTATGATACACTCAATAGTTATCTCTGATAAATTCATTGATTGCTCGGTTTGCCCAGTAGTCCACGTTGTCATTGTACTCATCGCCACTGTGTCCGCGCACCCATTCATACACAACGTCGTGCTTGTAGTCCCATCTATCCAACTCCATCCAGAGGTCTTGGTTCTTGACTGGCCTACCCTGGTAGGAGCGCCATCCGTTGTTCTTCCAGCGTCCGACCCATTCGGTGATGCCCTGTACGACGTAGAGCGAGTCGGTGATCACTGTTGCACGAACACCATTGCCCATACGGTTGCTCAAGCTTCTCAAACCCTGTATGACCGCTGTTATCTCCATCCTATTGTTTGTGGTCTCAGGTTCGGAGCCATAGATGGACCATCCACTACCCAAGTTGTAAGGGTTGTTCTGTACTAAGAAGGCCCATCCGCCCACTCCTGGATTGCCTCTGCACGCTCCATCAGTGTATAACAGCTTGTGGGTTATGGCTTGAGGACCATCCACAGTCATCGTCACTGTCATCGTAGTCGTCACAGTCATAATTGTTATCACTATCGCTGTCGCTATAGTAATTATTCCATGCCATTGTTGGTTAGATAGATAGTTAGTTAGTTAGTTAGTTAGACACTTTAAGGCTACAAACTAATAAGTATATGTCTTGTGTATAAGTATGTATGTATATAGATGTTATGAATGAATGAATGAGTTGAACGAGTTGTGCTCATTAGCCCAGTAGTAGTGCGTGTGTGTGTGTGCGTGTGTGAGCGTGTGTTCGTGGAATGAAGTGTCCTGGACATCAAAGAGTGAGTCAATCTTTGACTATGATAAGATACTATGTACATCTATAATGAAGTCTGTTAGACTTCTTTATTTCGATCATCCACGACCTCCACGACCGCCACTCCTGTAGCCGCCTCCTCCTCCGCCTCCACCGCCGCCGCCACTCTTGTAGCCGCCTCCTCCACCTCCACGACCTCCTCCGCGGCCTCCACCACCGCCACCTCCGCTACCACGACTGAAGGCTCCTCCACCACCTCCACGGCCTCCTCCGCCACCGCTACCACCACCTCCACTTGGTTTCATGTTATCGATTGCCTTGTTGGCCATTGCATCGACCTTGTCATTGTACTTGTCACCACTGTGTCCTTTAACCCATTGATAGTCGACTGTGTGCTTGGAGTTGAGAGTGTCTAGCTCTTGCCAGAGTTCTTGATTCTTGACTGGTTTGCGATCTGCTGTCTTCCATCCATTGTCTTTCCATTTGCCGACCCAATCAGTGATGCCATTCTTGACATAGGTCGAGTCAGTGTAGACAGTAGCCTTGGTCGGTCCAGACTTATCCAAATGTTTCAATCCTTCAATTACAGCCTTTAACTCCATCTGATTGTTTGTCGTATATTCCTTTGCGCCGGACAACTCTACATCTTGATCCGGTATATAAGAAGCCCATCCTCCACGTCCTGGGTTACCTCTACATGCTCCATCAGTGTAAAGAGTGACTCCATCTTTACCTCCTCCTTCACTATCATCATCATACTTTCTCTTTGACATTATTTGTTGTTGGTTGATATCTGTTTGAGTGTGAGATTGAATCAATGAGTGTTGTGTTGTGTTTTGTTTGTGTGTTTACCATCACTCACTTGTAGTCTTCTTGGAAGTACTTGTTGACAATTCACGCTTTGATGCCAATGAATGGAGTTCGTGTTGTGACTGAATGAATCTTGTCAAAAGACGAAGAGGAAACTTCGGACAAAGGCATGCCGAATTGAGTGAGTGTGTGAAAAGGAGAGGGTTTGGGGATGTGATGGGCTTCAATTAATCATCAATAGTTTAGTGGGGCACTTGTGGATGATGGATGGGTACATGAGATGTGACAGTGGGTAGGGTGGGTGATTGAATGAGTGGTCCTGGATAGGACCTAGTTGAAGGCCTAAGCTCTTATTACCCTTTTCAATCAATACCCTACAATCAGTAACTTACTTATCATCATTCTAACCAATCAATCTAGTTAGTTCACTCATTCAATCAATCAATCAATCACAACAATCACTAAATCACAACAATCAATCAATCACTACAATCACTCAATCAATGTATATATAATATACAAACAAATGAGAGATGAACGACAACAACAATAACAACTATAACCACAATAACAATAACATTAGTAGTAGTATAGGTACAACATCAAATAGCAATAATGTATATACTATACATGTGTATGATCCAGAGGGTACAGAGTTCCTCTGTCAGATAAGGAGCGACATTGCCTTTAATGTACATATCAAACATTTGTTCATCAATCTGCTGGCGTTCACGCCAGTGTTTAAGCGATCGTCTTTGGGCAACTTTGACCAGGACGCCGAGAGTGGCGCCCAGATCGCTCAGCACTACGGCCTCCAAGAGGCCGCCAGCGGCGCATGGATCCACGACGCCAAGGACCCCAGACTCCAACAACAGGACAATACATTCTTCTTTAAGCTCAAGCCACTCAATGCGTACATCCGCCAAGTGGAAAGTCTGTTACCAGCACCCGTGGCCACATCTGGACAGACCCCACCCAGTAGCAGTTATTTGCATCCGGTCGACTCGTCGTCGGCCCCTGCCCACACCACCGCCACCCACACACACATGGGAGGTGGCCAGGTCCAGGGACCGCCCACTCCACACTCGATGCTGCGCAATCACATTGAGGACAAACTCACACAGATCAGGACAATACATCGCACTGCTACAGCGGCCACGGTCACAATGCCCTCGCCAACCAACCACATCAACAAGGTGGCTCTGCGCTCGGCCATCGAGAGCCTGCACCTTCACCTCAAGTTGCTGATGCTCAAGGCGCACCGCACACGTAATGACCACATATTCATGAGCTCGGATAACCTGTGCAACATCATTCGCATTATCTACCGCTCGCCCACGCTTTGGGCGCTCAACCTGCTCGTTGACTATCTGCAGCGCAACAACACCTTCATGCAGACGCTGTCCACACAGACCACATCGGGCGACGACTGGCAACAGAACCAGCTGCGGAGCATCACGGCCGCCATGGTGCAGAGCGGTGGCCACTCGCCCATCGACACATCGCCAGGCTCCACCATCAACGGCCTGCTTCAGAGCATGGGTGGCAGCGTGTCCAGCAGCATATATCGCACAAAGAACAAGACGCTCAACGGTGGTAGCGTCGACTCTAGCAACGTTGTGTCGCTGTTCACACTGATCGATCAGTCGATAAAGGTGTGCGCCAGTGAGTTTGGCAAGCGCAGCTTCTATATGCACCTGCTCGAGCAATATGAACGACGTGATAGCAGTGTCAACAGCTTCCCATCGAGCGAGGAGATCTTCTCAGACGCCGACCTCAATGAGGAGAGCGACAGTCTGCCCATCTGCCACAGTGAAATCATCATTCAGACCATCAGCTTCATCAACAACATGTTCCAACTTGCACCAAACCCTGTATCATACCTTGCAAGGCTTCATCAAGATCAGGTCCTAAAGGTTATCTATGTATGTTTGATTGTCCCTTGGGACTCCCTGAGGCTTCCCTTGGCCCTCACACGCACACACTAACCATACTCGGCCTCAATCAATCAACAGGACTTGAAGGGCAAGGATCCAAACATCTACAACTCTGAGCAATACGCGACATTAAAGGTATGTTGGACTGGACGACACTCCTTGGACCTCGACCCTCGCGATCCTAATCCCTCCCTCCCTACCATCGCCACCGCCACACTCTCACAGAACAACTTGGTCAAGGACTTGAGGGATCAGCGATTCCAAACATTGGACGTTGAGAACACAAAGCATCAGATATTGTTCTCAGACCTGTGGGCGTCGACATTGGTGTCGTACCCTTTCGGTGGCGTCAGCTCATATCGTTGGCTACAACTTGGATTCAGAGGCGCAAACCCCGTGGACGATCTTCGCGTCACTGGAACATTGGCATTGCGCAACCTGACCTACTTTTCCAAGACACACCCGGCCACATTCCAACACCTGCTCCTCTTGCAAACGGAGCGTGAGCAGCAAGTTGGCAACGACGATGTACTCACCCCATCCAAGTCGACAGCCTATCCTCTTGCTGTGGTCGGTGCCGCACTCAGCTACCACTTGGCCAATCTCTTTAGGATTGATCGACAGCAACAGCAACATGATCAACAACAAGACACAACGACATCATCACCACGTAAAGTGGATGAACACAGCTCATTACTTTGGGAGATAGCATTGAGTGACATACACTGGTTCGATCAATGCTATGTCGCAGCCTTCATGCTGTTCGAGTCAATATGGACGACGAACGCCTACTCATACAAGGACTTTGGACATATTCTCCAGTCGACGACGTATGTGTCCTCCTCCACAGTCCACATTGATTGACTGATAGATACTGACAATACCTTGACCACATTATAGCGCCATTTTGGAAAGGGTGGTCGAGAGACTTCCCAAGTCAAGCCAGGACTTCTCGTACATGGTCGAGGAGAATTTGGCCTTGGACTACTTTGGAGAACAGTTGGTCAAGAGATATCTCCAACTACAAAAGTTAAACAATCAACATCAACATCAACACGCAATGGGTGTCGCGTCCAAAGTCTCAGACTCTCCAGCCTCCAAGTTCTCTTGCAAGCAATTGATCACATTCTTTGGTGAGAGCGCTGACATGGAAACATTCCAATTCCTTCCATCACATGTAAGTCATTCAATCAATCGATCAACCAATCAAACTCCAACTCTTACTCATACCAACTACTACCAGCTGATCACTGATGACGACTTGATGGCAAACATTAATCAGAACAGTGAGGAAGAGCGCAATCAGAGGATACACTCATTCTTTGGTCAATGGCTTAGTAGCGAGCATGTGGACTACTGCGAGAAGATTAGACTCTCGGTACAGATGCAGGAATCCTTGCTCACGGCCTCACTCAAGTCATATGAGACATCGGCCCATGGATCACCATCAGCCGCATCACCAACAATGTCCTCTCACAACTCGCCCAGACGTCTCAGCAGCAGCTGCTCGTCACTACACGCCCATTTGCCAGGCGGCAGTGCGGCATCTGGCAAGGCAGCAGTGGACAACACTGCCAGGATTCTCAAGCTGAACAAGTTCTTTGGTGAGAAGGTTCCCATCCCTCGCACAGTGCCGGCTGAGTCCCTGTCCGCATCTGCCTCGCCTCGAACACTTTCCAGCTCCACACCCCAACTGCCCCTACTTCCAGAAATTGCGATGCTACAACCTCAGCAACAACAAGAGGTCGAGCCCAAGTCACCCGAGGAGCTAAAGAGTATAGAGAAGGTGCAGAGACTGCTCGGCGAGAAGATCGACTATCGCAAGGAGAAGGGCTCGGTCAACTTTGCGCCACAGCCCTCACACGTCAAGGAGAGCAAGCTGCAGCGCATGTTTGGTGAGCTCATCCCGACGCTCAAGTCACCCTCAAGCTCGGGTGGCGGCAAGGGCGACAAGCGCCGAGGCATTCACACAACGAGCAACTCTGTGGTCATCCCACTGGCGTCGTCGCTCACATTCAACTCGTCCGAGTCGACCAGCCCCGCCTCGTCGATCAGCTCGACCGAGCACATCAGTAGCTCGGCTCACACCGACTACCAGTACACACCACCCACTCCACCGTTGCCAGCGATCGAGCACATGCTGGCCACGTCGACCAGCGAACGCACGTCCCCGCGTGTGAAGCCATCGCCTCCACCCAGGCCCAGCCAACTGCTCGACGCCGCAGCCATTGCCGCTTCGATGCTCGTGGTGGAGAGTAATAACAATCATCATGTAGAATATCAACAACCACCCCAGTCCTATGAGTCGGCCAACATCACAGAGTCGCCAAGGACATTGCCATCAACAACACCAATCGACCACTCAGTGCCCGATATTGCCTTCCTCGAGACGGTGATAGAGGCCGACGCTGAGGCAGAGACCATAGAGGAAGAAGACTATACACTGGATAACTCCGATGCTTTGGAGGAGTATTATGAGCAACTGAAGCAACAACAGCAGCAGTCGCAGCAGCACTTCTTTGATGCAATGCCAGTCAGTCCAGATAGCTATGTTTCATCGGCACCATCACCATCACTGCAACAACAGGGCCATCATCACGAGGTCACCAAGGTAGATGAGCCCTTGGCCTTGGAACACTTAGAGCCAGCAGCAGCAGCAGCAGCAGCACCAGTGGTAGTAGCTCCAGTAGCAGTAGCACCAGTAGCGCCAGTTGTACAGCAGCAGCTTCCACCTCTTCCAAAGCGACCACCACCACAACCCACGCCACAACAGCGTGACTCTTTTATTGGAATAGTTCCAATATTGCCAACAACACCACCTCCATCACATTCACAGTTACACTCACACAAACAATTACCATCACCATCAACATCACAATCACAAACACAATCACAAACACAATCACCGTCACCTTCACCATCACCAATTAAACATGTGTCCACTCCACCAGTACCATCACCAAGACGACCAGTTCCCAACCCACCTGTAGTCACTGCACCCTTGACACCAAAGGGCGCACCGACGACCATACAGCCCAGCAGCAGCAGTACTAGCAGCACTCCAGTTGGAACACCAACGCGCACACCAAACAAGCCACCACCACCAACTAGGACAACATCAACAACGCCAATCAAGTCACCTGAGCACCCAACAGGTGGTGGTGGTGTTGGTAGTGGAGGCAGTGGTACACCAAGAACACAGACCACTCCAGTCAAGTCCATACCGAATGGATCGATGGTTGTGGCCACAAATGATCACTCGCCATCCGTCTCCACATTGATCTCTGTATTTGGCGAGCGTATCCAAAGAAGGTAATGGTATGGACGCACAAGTCATAAGTGACCAACATTGTGTCTTGGCAGGGCAGGCAGACAGGTGATAGTGTGTCCAACCATCCACCCATCCAAGATGTATTATATATCTCCACAACAATCAATCCATTTATCCATCCATCCATCCATTCAATCAATCAAAACACAAGCAACTTATCAATCGGACACAAACAAACACATTAAACATTTATTTATTTATTATTTATTTAATATATATTTGATTGATTATGATTGAGACTTCCAATTATGGATGAAGAGAGTATTACCATCTTCTCTAATGTAGTATTGATCATGTGATACCAATCAATCAAATACTCTCATTTTTGTGACCATCACCCATCATCCAACTTCATTATGAACATCGTTGACAACGATATATAAATAAACAATGACAAGTTCAGTAACAACTTCAGACAACTTTACATCGTCTAATAGCAACAACAACAACAATAAAGAACAAGCAGCAACACCAACAGCAAACAAAACAAAATATAATGCTACATTAGTTAAGCAATTGGTTAAAGACGACTTGTGTACAGCATGTGGTCACAAAGCGACACATGATCACCTGTACGAACACATTATAAAAGAGCATCAATCAATCTTGGACACATTGTTTGCGTCCACTACATCTCAGGTGCATAAGCCTCACATGTCAAAGGTTGGCAATCAGAAGCAGAAGGAGCAAGAGCAGATATCAATCAATCATAATCAAACTCAAGATACATCATCTGTTGAGCAGCAGGTACAATCAAGTGTACAAGAGTCATCTAATCAACAATCAAACAGTCAAATGGATCTTAATCAATCAATCAAGGGCATTGACAATCAGAATAGTACTCTGATCAGTGAAGCACCGGTAGAGATATTGTCCATATTGGTTGGCTCACCCATACTGACTGCGACCAAAGGGGCGACTGTAACATCATCTTCATCATCTTCATCAGCCACCAAACGATCAATTGATGTGCCGAAACATTCTGAAGTGTCAAAGAGACCAAAGAAAGCTCGAAGCAATGCTCTTGCATTTATATTTCCAAGCAAGCCACTCTACACAGACTATAGTCGATTCTATAATGCAATGACCTCGAAGCCAGGGCAATACATATGCACCTTCTGGCCTGCAAAGATAATCAAGCGACGACTTCATTCAGAGACGAATGAGCACGAATACTATGTCCAATTCTACCAACGAAGGTATGTAATCAATCGATCATTCAATCAATGATTCAATCAATCACTCACTCTGGATTCATTCCACGCCAATCCAATCAAAAGTCGTCAAAGAGACTGTACAGAGACAGAGCTGGAAGAGATTAAAGATGACACTGAATGGGTATTGGAGTGTGATCTGTTACCTTATAATACGGACAAGTCAATACCAGTAACGCTGGAGGAGATGTACGTTCAATCTCAGACAAAGGGTGAAGATAAGAAGAAGGTTTACATGGTCAAGTGTCAAGATGATTGCTGGCGACGTGGAGTCATTGTACAATGGCCTGGTGTTGTTGGAGAAAGTATACAGGTATCATCAATCCTTGTACAACTAATTGACAACAACAATCAACAAATAGAGGTACCGACTAGGAAAGAGAGAATATTACAAGTTGATCAACTAATATAACAATTGATAATAATAATAATAATTGTATAACAATCGATCACACTCATTCATTCACCTTGGAATCATTCCATTCGAAATTCAAAGGATATAGTTGGACCCTAAATCTTACCTGAAGATTGATCAAAATATCTTTGCAAAAATCGTCCTTTCTGGGTTGCAAAAAGTTAAATGAACACTCTGGGCATTGATCCTAAAAACAGGGGAACCAAATCAGTGATCGTTTTCTCAATCAATCATTCATTACAACAAATACACACACACACACACATATACAAACACATCACTTCACTCCATGTATAACTACACAGTTGATGACGTGAGTTCAATCATGGACCCTGTTGTGGGATCTTCATCAGGATCATCATCAGGGTCTGATGGTTGCACTTTGTCACAGGATCAGATTACAGCAGCTGGTGCTGTTAACCTGGCAGCAAGTTGTCTGTCTATATTGGGCTCGTCAGCCATCATCATCAACTATTTCTTTTTCCTCAGAGAGACCAAGCGACAACAGGTGCTGTATCAGATGGTCCTATCACTCTCAATCGCCGACTTCTTTGGCTCAATAGCCATCTGTATATCACAATCTGTAGTATTGTCAAGGTAGGTAATCAATCAATCATCCATGCACCCCATCCGATCACTTCATCAATCAATCACTCAATCACACTCACCCATCTCGCTCAATCATTCAATCAATCAATCCTGGAACTATTCCAATCACTCAATCACTAACTCAAATCAATCAAACATACAAACAGCATCTTTCAAGGAATAGTATTCTGTGTAACAATTAGAGCATTCATCAACTTTTTCTTCCTGGCCAGCTTTATGTGGATGTGCTGCATTGCTTTCCATGCGTTCTGGAGCTCGCGACAACGTAGTCAGGTACCTTTACCTGTCTTTCACATTGTGTCTTGGACCGTGCCAGCAGTAATGACGACAATCATGCTAGGCAAGCACATGATCGTCGAGGAACACAACACTGGCTACTGCCATCCGACACCACAGGCACGCTGGGCCTTCTGGTATGGCCCAATGTTCTTCACATTCGCTTGGAACATCATACTGTATGGCCTGATCCTTTGGCGCTACCGTCAGGCAGTGCGACCATTTGTCGCCTCGCCAAATGGCTCGCGCAACGTTCAAGACACCACATTGAACAACTCATTCAGCCAGGGCTCGTACGGCCCCGCCTCTGAGCGCTTTGTTAACGAGCGCAAACGCAAGCTGCATTCAAAGGTGGCGCGCCAGCTGGGCATATACCTGCTGGCGTTTCTAATCTGCTGGCTGCCGGACCTTGTCGACAGCTTTGTTTCGACGCCTGCCAAGTACTGCGACCTGTACTGGCTGTGGATCCTGCAGAACTTCACCACACCACTGCAAGGCTTCCTCAACTTTATAGTTTATGGTGTGTCCAGTCGGATGTTCCTTAGGTGTTGTCGATCCGAACCGTTGGACATTCGATCAATACACGAGAACAGGTCACAAAAGATTAGTATACTACGTGGAATAGTAGACTAGTAGTACCTTAATTAAACTTTTAAATATATATGATCAAAGGACCTATCTCGCCTCTTTGATCAATCACACACTACTTTGGGAAAGAAGAAGTTCATTTTGTTTCATTCTGCAACATATCCCAGAGATAGAATAAAGATAGACCATTAGTATACTCACAAGCAATGTCATCATCATCTTCAACTCCTATATTACATAATGGTACAAATAATAGAGTGAATGGTCATTCAAACAATATGGATACATTGAATGAGAATCATAATGCTTCGACGACTACGACGACGACGTCTAGACAGATTAAAGATCATAACGGAAGCAACCCAATAGAGTTGTTAATGAAGATAAACACAGAGTTGGAGACATATATACAGACTTTAATATCAAGCGCACACGATATCAAAGAAAAGCCTGCTTCAGATGGTATGCATTTGAATGGTACATAGACCCACTGTCAGTCTGACGTCCTTACTTATAAGACCCAACACGACACAGTTATAGAAACAAAGGTTACTACTCTACTAGACTCAATAGACAATCTTGACAGCTACTTTAAATTCATACAACAGAAGTACAATCAACAAGAGTTTGAAATGAAACAGGTATGATTGAGTTGAATGAATGAATGTTTGGATGAATGATTGATCACAATACTGACGAACAACTACACAACAACAACAACAACAACAACAGGAGATAACAAAGGTGAAGAAAGAGATTGAAACAAAGGATCAACTGATAGACAAGTATCGTAATAAGGTCAAGGATTGGAAGGCACATTTCGAGCCATTGTACAAAGAGCAATATGAGACATTGAACTCATCTGGCCAAGTGTTTGGTGCCAACAGCACCGACATGCCCTTCTCACCAATGCAGACACCCATACCCAATACTCCGAGCATTCTCTCATCACTATCACAGCGAACGCCACCCGTTTTCCATCTTGCCGGTGGAGGCACCGTCAGTGGACTTCCAGGATCATCACTGCTTTGATATAACTTTAAATGTACATTCACATCACAAGTATCACAATCAATTTACTTATTACTTACGTCATCATACTTACTTATTACTTATTATTTATTCAATTATGTATGTAGAATTAATATGAAATGAATGTACAACCATGTTGGTTGACGACGACACCATTTGTTGTCATTGTAGCTGACAATGTTTAACCTTATAAGGTAATATATATTCTATTTATATGTCCATACATCCACTACGACTTGTGGTGTTGTTCAATCACCCAAATTGGATTGATTGATTGATTGATTGATTGTTTGATTGATTGATTGCCCTTCACCCACAACAATCAACTTGTCGCCACATCCAAATGGCTGACTGGAACACAGACCCTCTTTCTTATTATATTTAGATGGACCTGGAATCGAGGAATAATATTAATATTAATAATAATTAATCATATTATTTATAATAATATCCAACCAAATTGTCAAGACTGTGATTCCAGGTCCTCCACACCCCTCTCTTATTACTTATTTCGATCTAGCCTTCTTCATAAGCAACAACAATAACACACACACATCATCTACAGGTGATTCAATCACCCAACACACATATAAACATGTTGTGGTAGTGGTTGTGGTTTAATCGAATACACGATGGGTGTATGTTGGTAGTGGCAGTCGCGGTACTATTGGGGATGTTGTGGTAGCAGTACCTTTAATCATTCTTACTACATATACGCACACACACATTCCATGCCACGCCACGCCACCCATCATCCATCCATCCATCAATCAATCAATCAATCATCATCTTACACCAATATACTATCCAATACCATCAACCTTGATCACTCAACCAACCAACCAACCATCACCATCGACCACCAACAACCACACACACACACACTCATCACCACACCATCACCGCCAGTCAAGTAGGATGGATGCATGGAAGATGGATGATGGATGGGATAGGGTACATGATACAGTGAATGATAATAGTGATAGTAATAAAGCAACAGCAACAGTAGGGTAGAGATAGACAGATAGAGAGATAGAGAGATAGAGGGTGGATGTTCTATTTAGAACAACAGTGTGTCCAATTAACAATATCAACATCAACAACAACAACAACATCAACAATAGCATCAGTAGCAACAACAGCAACAACAGCAACATAAACAACAACAACTGTGGAGTCTAGCTTTGTTATATTACTTCTCCGGTTCACCATTCCTTTTGACTTGACAGTCTAGACATCCAATCAATCAATCAATCAATCAAATCAATCAATCAATCTCAATCAATCACTTATATGGCAGATACAATCATTCAATCACATCACTTTGAAATGGCTACGACTAGAGAAAAGAATAGGATGCCAGTGACAGCTGGAAGTAACAGTATAACATTCAATTATCAACATCAATTGCCTCAGATACATACGCATTCTTTGAGCACTGCCACCGACAATGATGCACATTCTCCAACCAAACCACCTATTCGCACTCTAAGACAAGCTCCAATCATTGCTCCTCTATCATCCCAACCTCAGCCTCATTCTCAGCCTCAACAAATGAAACAGCAGCAACAACCACCACGTGCCCAGCCTGCTCAACAAACTCAATCACCTCAGCAAACTCAAACACAACTGCCCACCAACACGGTTACTTCACCTACATCCACATCAAGCAGGAGTTATCCAATGCACGAGGCAGCGTTCAAGGGCGAGCATGACAAGATAGTGTCATTGTTGTTGTTTACTCAAGGCAAGGCTCCAAAGACACAGGGCACAAATATACCCAGCAGCGCAGCAACCAGCCAAAAGACTCAGCAACATTTGCAACAACAGCATCAGACGCAGTTGGACATCGAGTCTAAGTATGAGTTCTCTGGTGTCAACAGTCTAGATGACAAGAAGACCACGCCATTACATCACGCCTCATTCAATGGACATAAATCATGTGTGCGTATGATGTTGGCGTCTGGTGCTTACCCAGACATCCAGGACAACGACGGCGGCACGCCTCTGCACAATGCATCATTCAATGGATACTGGGGCATCATGATGTTGTTGATCGAAGCTGGCGCAGATATCAACTCGCGAGACGTCGACCTCAACACTGCACTCCATAAAGCATGTTACAGTGGCTTCCACAAGTGTGCCGAGCTCCTGATACAACATGGTGCCGATATAGAGGCCCGCGATTGTCGCGGCGTTACACCGCTGCTCAAGGCCATCGCGAACCAACATCTGACATGTCAGCAATTCCTCATGGAGAAGGGTGCTGACATTAATGCTTGCGACTACTCGGACGCCACCGCGCTGCACATGGCCGCTTACAAGGGTGGTGAGAAAGGAGTCCGTCTGCTTCTGGAGAAGGGTGCGCAGGTAAATGCCGTCGACAAAGAAGGTTACACATCACTGCACAATGCAGTGTTCAATGGATACGAGGAGAGTGCACGACTACTCCTAGATCATGGAGCAATAATCGATCACAGGTCACTGGATGGCTGTTCACCACTTCACCTAGCTGCAGCCAATGGCTACAGTCAATGCGTTAAACTATTAATTAGACGTGGATGTAAATTGGATCAAAGGTATGTTAACCTGGAGTCATCATCATGATCATATTCTGGATCCAGTCCTAACAAATCACATTCATGGATGGCATCACATCATATTAGGGAGGAGAAGAGAAGTAGATCAGCACTTCATCTTGCCGCTGGAAAGGGCAATGTAGAATGTGTGGACATGTTGTTAAAGGCTGGAAGCGATCCAAATGCAAAGGATATTTATGGAAAGACTCCAAAGAATTTGGCCAAGAATCCAGAAGTGATCACCCTGTTGACAACATATGAGGAGTTGTAAGTTAATTTGTTTCCAAAGCATCATCATATACGTGTTCTCACACTTTACCATCAATGAAACAGGAAGAAACGATCAAAGAGTAAGAGTGCAATGAAGAGTTCAGATACTTCCGAGTCGATATACATGATGGAGAACAATATTGTCACAGGTTTACCAGTCTCCATTTCATCGACCTCAACAAAGACACCTGCACTCAGCAACTCATCATCCTCGGAGCAACAACAGCAACAGCAACAACAGCAGCCACAGACGAGTATTAGCCACTCCACTAGTAATCGCTCTTCCAAGACCTCAATGGGTGAATCGGATGGCATGTCCAACTTGACACCAGCTCACTCAATTGTGCTCAAAGAGGAAGGAGTTGCCATATCACCACCAGCATCATCAACTTCCCAATCATCTCCTCCACACTCAACCAATGGCTCCTTGTCACGTACTGCCTCTTTCGACTCGTTGACAGCGTCATCCGCCAGTGATGTCAAAGACCAGGACCCAGCCAAACTGGACATCTATGGCTTTGTCAAGACGCCAAACACCACCAGCACACACGCCGATGACTTTGTTCGCACCAAGAAGACCGATCAACAGGAGCGAAAATGGGCCAAGATGACCAAGAACTGGCCAAAGTTTGCCAAGTCAACCAAGTTGAGGGACAGACTGCCCAAGGGTATCCCGAGCAGTGTCCGTGGCTTTGTCTGGCAACGTCTGGTCAACATTCAGGAGATCAAGAACAAGTCCAAGGTCACGTACAGGGAGTTACTCGAGATGAAAGCACAGCCATCAGTCGTCGCTCAGATCCAACGGGACATCAGCCGCACATTCCCCAAGCACAGCTTCTTCATTGAGAAGGGTGGATACGGCCAGCAGATCCTATCCAACATTCTGACGGCGTTCTCCATCTACAACCCCGAGGTTGGATATTGTCAGGGCATGGGATTCATCACATGTTTGCTCATAATCTACATGGCAGAGGAGGATGCCTTCTGGGTGCTTGTCCAGCTTTCCGAAAAGTATGGCATGTCCAACATGTGGCGTCCAGAGTTCCCCTACCTCCAGAACTCCTTTGTACTTCTAAACCAAATGCTCGAGGGCCAATTCCCACAACTATATTCACATATTGTAAGTTACCAATCAATCCAATCAATCTAACTATCAATCACTGTTGCTCACTCGCCACCTCCATCCACTTCCACGCATCAACAGCAAAGACAGAATGTTTTCACGCCACTATTCTCTTCACAATGGTTCATATGCCTGCTTATATATAATCTACCATTCCCAATGATCGTTAGGATATGGGACTTGTTCCTCTATGATGGCTTGGTAGTGATCTTTGCCGCGGCTCTAGCACTCTTCAAGACGTATGAGGACCAGATTATGAAGTTGGAGTTTGAAGAGATACTCAACTTGCTCAAGTTCTCCAATGGAGAAGACAAGTCCCCAATGAAAGTGGACATCAACGCCTTTATGAAGTTGGTCGTTCACTATAGGAACAAGATCAGACACTTTGTAACCGAGCACCAGATCCCTGATCCACACACCTATGTTGCCCCAGCTAGCGGTGGTATCAGCAAAGACAAGGAGAAGGAAAAGGATAAGGAATAAAGAGACTAGCCTGTTGGTGCCTACCAATCAGAGCTTGTTTATGTATTGCAACTCCTTGCGGAGTGAGTGGAACTTGGTCTGGAACTTGGCGGAATTGATGAATTCCAGAGTGTCCAATCGCATCTGGCTGATGACCTTGTCAGAGCAATCCTTGAGTGATATCTCTTTAGAGAGAACTGGGTCGAAGCGGTAGTATGATACATTGGCCGAGTGATGCTTGGCCAAATCCGACTTGATCTCTTTGTGCAATTGATGTGAGTTGGTGACGTCGAGCAGTGTCTTGAGAACACTGGTCTGCTCAAAGATACTGCTGGTGATCTGCTCAGTGACAGTATCTATCTTCTTCATCATTGCATTCTTCTTGGACTTTGGCTTCTCGATTGGTATCGTCTTTGAGTTGTAACGTCCAGTTCCAATTGATATGATTATCAAGTGAGTTTCTTGTCCCCACAAGTCATGTGCCTCATCAATTGCATTCATTGTTGGGTTATTATTCTTGAATCCTCCATCAACGAATGTATAGTCGCCGACTTGATTGGTACAAGGTTAGTATGGTCTCAAGCATGCATCGAATGATAGTTCGATGACATACCCTTGGGTGATTCGAACAAGAGTGGTACAGCAGATGTTGCTCGCAGTGCATCGACCACAGAGATATTCTCGAATGAGTTGCCAGAGGTAGACATCACTGAACGTCCTTTGGCCAACTTTCTAGTCTCATTGACATAGTTGGATAGGACATATGGGAGATAGGGTTCGGACAATCCATGCTTCTTGGCACATACTGACACGAACGCCCTCCTCTCTGGTAAGAATGTCCTGATTGGTGACGATGGGAATCGTTTGGACAGCTCACCATGCATCAACTTTGAGTTGGCAAGTGATCCATTCCTTATGTTCTTACAAGAGACTGGAAGTACCTGTGTGATTGTTCAGTTAGTGACAAAGTCTGATGATGGAATGATTGATAATGAATGTGGCTTGTCCAACCTTTGTACCCAGTTCCTTGTATATAATCTCTAGATCCTTGTTGGAAAGCTTATTAAGCTTGCCAAGCATAAGGATACCTCCAGTGGACGTTCCTCCAAACAGATCGCCAACCTCTGAAATGTTGACTCCTAGCATGTCTTCAAAGTACTGCAACATTTGAATTGAGATCAATCCTCTAAATCCACCTCCATCCATTGTGACAATAACCTTGACCTTATCCATTGGTAGTGGATTGTCACCACCAGCACCTTCCAACAACAATGGACGTGGCACTGCACCCGGACCAGGAGCATTGGGCAAGGGCTTTGGCCACTTGTTCGCCAATGCTGCAGAGTCAGGAGATGAGTGTTCGGTAAGTGTCAAGTTTAGCAACTGTTGTTGTTGTTTCAATATTTGATCAATCTGTGCCTGTTGTTTCTGTTGTTGTTGAACAATATGTTCCAACATCTTGTTCTGGGTCTGTAGCTGCGAGACTACATCCTCCAACTCGACCTTCTTCTTTGGAGTGAATGGCAAAGACATGGTTTGGTGTATATGTATTGATATATGTAATAACAATGAATGAATGAATGGATAGACTTATAAGTACCCTAAATGAATCTGATCAAAACCGTGTGTCCTGGTGATCAGGGCTAAGCCCCAATACCAACTGATCTTTATTTGAATTAGTTTTTGATCAATGCATCCCAGCGAATGTCGTTGGAATGATGGCATGAAACCCCATCACCACACAGATACGTGATGGACAAGCTCGGTTTTGATCAGGATCTCGGTACAGTGTAAACCTTACAAGATAATGTGACAGACCGACTCTAATCAATCACATAACTTTATTAACTCAGCTCTAGTGAGGAGGGGGCAACAATGTTGCCAATATACAATAGGTTCCAAAGACAAAGAGTTAGGATAGGAGCCGACTCGAGTAAAGGATGATGACGGTTCACCAAACTTCGGAATAATCCAATCTTTTTCTTGGCATGAGGTACCAGCTGGGGCACCAAGTGCAGAGAGTATTGAGGAGTAGTTGGTTGGTAATTATAATTATAACAAGCAATCAATGGGTAGACTGCCCTTGAACTATATCCAATTCTCCTTTTGTATCCTCTCTCTCTCCAGAATAAACTTCCCAACTTTATATTTCTGTGATTCGTCCTTGGCAAACTCCTAAGATTGATTGTTAGAATGGACAATATCCACCTTCCTTGAGATATCATATGACTTACATATTTCCATCCAAGTTGTTCATCACACTGTACACAATATATATCTGCGACGACGTGCATACCTGTCAACAGGTTCCTATCTTCACTCTCGCCAACAATAACATTTACACTGTTTGATTTGGTTGGTCCACCGGATGGATGTTAGCAAGAGAACTGTTGTGAGACACATCATTGCCCAAATATACACATACCATTCACCAAAGAGGAAGGCTTGTCCATACTTCCCTGTGAACTCCTAAACAAGTTTGATTGATTGATGTGAATGATTAGTGTTTGAGCATCTATTATGATGTGTTGGAAACACTTACAGTTGATATCAAATGATCATTCAGCGCAAGATGTACTTTACACTTCTTGCAACTGAATATGCTGGCACCTGACAAATAGTACATAAACACCTTGCCCATTTCTTTATATTTATCTTATCTCTCTTCTCTCTCTTGTTATATATATATATGATCTTATTTTAGTTGTAATGTATTGTGATGAATGGGACAGAATGACTGTCTGAATGACTGATTGAATGACTCAATTACTGACTGATCGTTCCAATCTCTATCGTTGTTGGGTCGGCATAGTAATCAATGTGCTGGGAGGAATGAACATAACCTATTAATTATTAATTATTATTATTTATATATTTCAATCAAGATGTTGTTGTGTTGTTGAGTGAATCGAAATGAGAGAGCGAGGTGGAGATGTAGTTGTTGTTGGGTGGAGAGAGGTGAAAGAGGGTTGTGTTTTGTTGGGAGGTTCACACGTGATCTCATATTGATTTTTTAATTCAGTTTGTTTTGGCGAATCATTGGATCAGTTTACACATTCCCAAAGAGAGGCAGAGATAGAGAGATACACTGTACAGTGTGTTGATTGATTTAGTTAAAGTAGTTGGGAATACCAACTGTTGATACATAATACAAGACCTTGAGATTATAAGGTCTGGCTTCGAAATATAGCAAATGAATGAAAGAATTATTGACTGATTAACAGTTAACTGTTTGATGGATGATGACCGCGCAGGGTATACTGGCTATGTCGTTGATGATGATGACTGATCTTGCGATAGGTCGTGATGAGATAGTTGAGTGCAGACTCTAACGATTTCATCAGCAATTCAAGTATTGATACACCAAGTACGATGATGGTGCGATGTCCACCACGCACGCTGCCATTCATCAGGAACGATGCGACGTACAGTAGACCAACTATACCAATGATAAAGAATGGGGTGGTCAGGAGCAAGAAGATGAATGCTGTTAACGTCGACAGGGATAGGGCAGACAGCACCACCAAGAAGCAGATGACACTGACAAAGAATGGGATGGAGGCACTGAGCAGGAAGGGCAGGACAGCCAGACGCACCAGTAGTGAGAGCAAGCCCGGACGTCCAGAGGGGTCGTCGTGGACGCGTCCATTGCTGCCCGCGCTGGATGAAGGCGGCGATTCATTGATGGCCACCAGCGACACCTTGCGTGATATCTTTGACCATTGTTGAAGCAGGAGTTGTAAAGGATTGAATGATGGCGGTGATGAGTGTGATTCCGAGTTGGGGTTCGAGTCCAACTCATTGTCCATCAAGTGATGGTATTGATATTGATGATTTGGATTATGTTGATGTTGAAGATGATGTTGTCTGTAGTTGAGGCAGATGTCGCAGTCTAGATGATATGTTGTCTTGTTGTTGTTAATGTCGGCCTCATCAGTAGTATGTTGTTGATGTAGTTGATGTTGTTCGCGGTTATAGGAGGGTGTGCTATTGCCTCCGCCACCGCCGCCACTGAATGATAAAGATGATGAAGTATGTGTTGGTGATGTGTAGGGAGGTGATGAGGATGATGATGGTGATGAAGGTGATCTATGTAACTTTGGTGATGTATGTTGATGATGTTGATGATTCAGTTGACTGTTTGGCGGAGAGGACTGCATGCCAAGTGAAGCCGTGGACGTTGCAACTGAGCCATCCACCAGCGGCTTGAAGTAATACATTGATTTTAGATCCAACTCCTCCTCCTCTACCAAGTGATCCATGAGCATGTCGGCCTCGTCATCGCCATCGTCATCATCGTCCGAGTATCCATAGTCGTCGTCATCCTCGTCGTCGTCTTCATCATCATCGTGTGACAACAAAAAGTTCTTGAATGATTGATTATAGGATGATAATGTCGAGGATAGACTATTACTCATTGATGAAGAGGTAACTGTTGCTGGTGCACCATGTCCACTCCTTCCTCTATTATTATTATTTAACAAAGTACTACTACTACCACTCCATCTCCTATCTCCGACTCCACTATACATCGTAGTGTCAACTGAGGCTGTTTCAATTGACATCTTTTTCTATTTGGTATTAATAATAATATTGATTGATTGATTGATTGATTGATTGACTGAATGAATGAATGTTCGTATGAATGATTGATGAATGAGTAATGCAACTCAACAACAAAGTATCTGTTTGTATGTATGTATGATTTAATACATATATAAATGGAGAGAGTTAATTAATTATGTGTTTGTATGTGCAGGTAGCTCTCGGTGTCAAAGGGTAGGGTAGAGTAAGTTATGGTAACTGCATTCTTTCTCTTGGGTGATGTATGTACTATCACATCAAGGAGTGAGTTGCTAAAGGATGGAGATGGCTGACAGACTGGAACAACAACACTCATTCTCTATCACTCATTCACCAACTCAAACAACCACTCATACTTCAGCACTTTAACAAACTGACACACACACACACACACACTCAACTTAAGATCACTCACCCACCACCCCCTCACACCTCACCCACTGATATCGGGGCATCAGTGTGATTTGATTGCCAGGATCGGGTGTGTGGTGTTGGTTGGTTCATAATGAATGATTTGTATGAGTACGTGTAACTTCATTTATCTTATATCCAAAGAAGGTGTATGTTGGTGCTCTGCAGGGGCTTGTTGTTGGGCCTCACACACTCCCCCAATCATACTGGCCACCTCTGTCTTGGTTGATGATTGATGAGCAAGGTAATAAAGTATCCAACGATTGTATTCAACTAAACTCATTTAGGTTTGGTTGGTTGGCTGGCTGGCTGTTGATGTGATATGATTGATGAAGAGGATGGAGGATAGTGGATGGATGGATAATGTAGTTGGATGTGGAAGTCATGTAATGTCTTTGAGAATATGTGGGTTATGACACCGATGTAAATGACAACCTTGGTAGCGCTGAAACGTCGCCCGGCTAGGAGTGGACATCGATACGTCCAGCGGAGCAGACGTGACATTCACTGCTGGGGATGACCTCGGTTTGGTTGATGCTGTGTGTCGTGTTGCAGAAGTGGCACTTGAGGTAGCTGAGGTCCTTGATGACCTCCTGGGTGCTGGAGCAGAGGCGCACGGGACGGCCGCATGGACAGCCCGTCAGCTGGGAATCGTTGAGAGAATTGGTTGATTTACATTGCGGACATATATACATTGGTAACGATTCATTGCGACACTGCTGCTGCTTACATGTGGCCAACTGTCGCTCATACTTGGCGCGCTCCTCTGTCGCCAACAGTTGCTGTTGTTGCTGGCCGCGCACCACCTCGAGCAGCTTGGCTGCCACGCCATAGTTGCGCGAGTCAAAGTTGTAGCGAATGGCCATCCTCGCGCATACCATCCTATGCTGTTGTTGCAGTGGTATTCCGACCAGGAAGCGAGACAACAAACATATGTAGTCGGTTATTTTCTTGATAGAGTCCACACTATTCATCGTGAGTTGACGTTCCAGTGTGGCTATCTTATCCAAAATGCCCAGCGCCACTCTATATCCCATGCAGAATACTATATCCTTTTGAATGGCCTGTGTATTCGATGATGATGACTTGACTGTATCCATGGATGAGATGTTAGTACAACCGCGAGCTCATCAATATTGAATGGCGCGCTATTCACTTACCCATTTGTTGGATACACTGATCGAGGTAGACCTTGGATTGCTTGAATTGTCCTTGTTCTAAATATTGTATACATTGTCGCATGGCATCCAGTCCAGGTGGCTGGTTGGCTTTGGATGGGGACAGTGGCGATGTGATGGCAGTGGGATCTTGACTGGTCTGATTGGGGCCAGGTGATGTATAGATCGATGTCGATGAGGAGGATGGAGTGAGAGTAGTTTGTACAGGTGATGCAAAGAAGATGTCGCCCACTGAATCTTGGATTGGCTTGGATGATGGTCTGGTACCCCTGGATCGTATTGTCATACTCTTCTCATGTGGCCTAACAATACCAGGCGTCGAATCAAAGTTGAGCAAAGATGGTTCCCTCACCATCGTTGGCTCAATCGGCTTCTCGCGTATCACTACCTGTATCGCTGGTTTCACCGAGCTGATGATTGAATGAGTGGATTGTTAACAAGATGTCTGTGTGCTTTGTCATTATCAAGATTGATGTACATACTGATCCTCATCACTGTCGGTAAAGTGATCGAATGATGAGTCGAGTGAGCCTGCCGAAGAGGCAACATGGGAGTGTTTGCCAGAGGATGTGTCCATGGGAGCAAGTGTATCTTCCCGTTTCGCTTGAGTGTCTGCCGCGGCAGCATTTTGTTGTTGTTGCACTTGTTGATGATGTTTGGCATCCTCCTTCTTATCCTTCTTTGATTTAGACGACGACTCCTTCTTGTCATCCTTTCTAGCCATCAATTTGCCTGTGAGCGTTTCGATCGATGCCAAAGACGACATCCTCTTCACCTCCTTTGGGTTGACCTCTGGCGATGTATCCGTCCTCTCGAACGAGTGTGACTTCTCATCCTTCAACCTGAAAGAGTCCATTGAGTCTGTTGATGACCTGATGCCATTGTGTTTCCCTGTGAAGATAGCTTGTTAGCAAGGTCAATTAGTCAATCAAAGTAGTCAGGTTACTTACATGTCAAGGCTCTAAAGAATAGACCAGTCATGGGCTTAAGGATTGCATCCATCTCGTGAGGTCTTTTGGTGGCTTGTGTCCACTTTTTGAATTGCTTCATTGTGATCTTGCCCGTCTTCTCCTTGTCAATGATGTCGTAGAGAGTTTCGAATGTGCTGATGATCGATGTGACAGCAAGTCGCGCTGTCAGTGTGTCCATGGTGCGCGGATCGGGCTTGCCATTCTTTGGCGACTCGGTTGCCAGCTGTGGCTGCGCGCTGGCCGGCTCCACATCAATGTCAATCTCATCCTCCTTGGTCTGATTCTGTAGTATCCAAGAAGTTATCACCTCTACCTGCGAGCCCTGGCCCTTTGTGCCATTCTCTGTTGCCTTCAACGCTTGGTTCACCTTAAGTTTGCTAAAGCCCATATCAATCAGTTGCTGTACAATTGGATCCTCAACCTTTGATGTTGACGATGAGAAGGACTGTGTAGATTCTCTCAAAGGTACATCGACCTGCTCCTCCAAAGTGATAACGCTCAACACCTGCAAGTCATCCCTTGTTATAATATCATCATCATCAACATCCAAGAACCTATAAATGACTATTATGAATGGATCAGTGAGCGAGCGAGCGAGCGAGGTGATCGAGGAAAGGATGTTGGCAACATACGGGCTGCTTTCTCCTTGTCTGGCGCCTTGCCACAGACAGTCATTGATTGCATAAAGTCGTCGAGAGTGATCATGCCAGTCTTCTTGGTGTCAAACAGTGAGAATAGACGATCGCCCAGTGGACTTGGTATAAGATGGAATCTCTTGAATCCATCCTTATCAACAATTCGCACCTTCTTCACCACCGATGATATATCATTGAATAACAATGTAATCTTCTCTGCCTCATTCACCTCCACTATAGTATGGTATTATTAGAATGATGATATTTGAATGAATGAATGAATGAATGAATGAATTAATGAATAAATGAAACCTACACTTCTTTGATAGTTTCTTGCTTTGTACTCCTCCCATTTAAGTTTATTTGTTATCTGCCTTTTTCCTGGAGGGTACTAAATATAAATATATATTATATATGTTATAATATTAAGGTGATGGTGATGATCAATCAATCAAATCAATGATGCTGATGATGCTGGTGATTATCTCAAAGAGCTAAGCATTCATTCAATGTTCAGTGTATGTGTGAGTGAGTGAGTGAGTGAATGAGAAAGAGAGGGACCACCTCTCTAAAGAGTGCGTGAGAGTGAGTGAGTGAGTGAGTGATAGAGAAGAGAGATTAGATAGGAAGAGTCACACATCACACATACACATAAGCAACAACATCCTTTCACTCTTCACCCAAACAAACAATCAAGCCACGACCACATCTATAAATGTGATGGATGATTGATTGTGTGTGATTTTGTTGAGATCACAATAACATATTAAGAGTTATTTGAATCCATAGATACAACCCCCTTTGTCCCTGGTCAACAATAACCCAATGTGACATGTCAAGAGTCAACCCAAGTTTTATTAATTTGTTTGATCAATCAAATGATAACTAAAATGTTCTCTCTCCTGAGAGTTCATCATTAGGAACTTTGAAAGTTAGAGTTAGTATCTGAGACTCATTTCTCCTAGGTCCTAAATAAATATCTATCTTTTGACACAAACTTGAACAAACAGTTTGGGTAACTCAAAGTCTTGAGTTTGAAAAAATGATCACTTGGTGCACCGTCATCAGTCAGCTGACAATGACTAATCTGACTTCATTGGAAAGTATATAAGAACCCAACTAGTCATCATTCAATTCAATCCAACGTACTTAACCAAACAAATACAAACAAAGTAATAATAATAATAATAATCAATAATCAATTTAGAAAATGGCTGTATTAATACCAATTGGATTGGCATCAGTATTAATAAGTGGAAAATTAGTACATAATAAGTACAAAGAGTTTAAAACATTACATAATGATAAGTATGATATTGTAATAGATATCAAGAATTTAAAACAAGTTATAAATGATGGATGGTCCGTTTCACAACCAATCTATGATGAGTACATCAAAATGATACAAGGTGAGAGAGGCACACTCAAGGAGCTCACCGACAAATTCCTTGGTATCCTCGGTGTCAACAACAACAATGGTGCGCCCAACGACCATCCAGATGACGCTGTCAGGGCTGGACCAATCGAACAAGGTAAAGTTAACTTAACATTGATGGATGGTCACCTTGTAACGATCATTCACTAACTCACTCACTCAATCAATATATCATTTTAGCCAAGATCCAAAAGAATGAAATGGAAGTATCAGGATACTCCACAATGTGTATACTTGGATCGTTTAATAAGGGAAAAAGTTATATCCTTTCAAGGATATTCGGCCTCAACTTTGAGAGCTCATCGTTTAGCCATACTGTTGGTATAAGTGTTGTAATGTCAAGAGGTGACAATGATATGACTCAGAACATCATTGGTCTTGACACAAAGGGTTCCCAACAGGCCGTGGTGGGTGGTACCAAAGAAGGCCTGACCGAAGCCGGCTCAACCGAGCACTTTTTAAAATGCCTCTCATTCTACCTGTCCGATGTTATCTTGATTGTAGTCGACCGCCTGACCACCGAGGACCAGGTATACATCCACCAGATGAAGTATATGCTCAAGAAGGAGAAGAACACCACCAAGAGGATAATCGTCGTCCACAACCTTCCAAAGGTGACTACCTTGGAGCAGATGGATCAAGTGATCAAGGAGGACATTGTTGATTGCTGCAAGGCCAAGTTGAGTGATCCCAACCGTCCATACTGGGCCGAAGAGGATCATACCAAGCACGTTGTCCTGGCACACGATGAGAGACTGAACAAGTCACCCGCCGGCCTGCTCTACAACCAACGTACTATCCTCATGTTGAAGGAATGGCTCAAGGCTGCCGCGTCCGAAACCCTCAAGCCATTCAGACTGCTAGAGACCGTGGTGGAGTTCACCAATCAGCAGCTGGGCCGCTACTTCCGCTACACACAGCTGCCCAAGGTCACCTACAAGGACGACACCGTCATCAAATGTGAGACCAACATGAATGTGATCCCAGAGTATGCCGACCTCCAGTTCAACTTGATCGGCATCATGAATGAGAACAGCTCGCAGGTCAAGGCCAGGGTGGCCTACGATAAGAACCACTACTATATCAGTCTGTTCTGTCCGGGCTACGAGGCCAAGGATCTGCAGGCCCAAGCCAATCCGATTCCCAACGATCATGGAGTCAAGGTGGTCATCACATCCAAATCCAAGCTGACTGATCTGTTGCCACCAGGTGCCGAAACACTTCATTCGGACCTAGGCGAGGCCGACCTTGGTGCCCTCAAGTACGAATGTGTGTTGCCATGTCAACTGACATCAATGAATCCATCCAAGCGCCAGTACCAGAATGGTAACCTCTTCCTAGTCTATGATATCCTTCAAGATGAGGGACCAACATCACTCTTTGATTAATAAAGTGATTGTAATAGTAAACATTGAATGATTGATTGATTGAATGATTGATGGTGATTCATTGACTAGCATGGACTAGACATGAGACATAGTTGGTTCGAGTTTTGAGTTGATCATAGTCATTGAAGATCATCCAGGTATCATCACGGATTGAGTACTTGAAGTTCTTTCCTTTTCCACAGAGTTGAATGATGCCGTTGATGCTGGGCACGTATTGGAGTGAGTTGAAGTCCACTCCAGAAGGTGCCGAACACAGATCAGTTCGATGTTTGGTCGCCAATGATATGTGAAAGAATGCGCACGTGCCATCTACCATGTACAGCTTGTCATTGCCATCATAACAACATGATTTGAGTGATTTGTACTCAATGTTGTCCAGCCATACATGTGACTTTGTAGTGTGGATGTTGTACACGACGATCCTGTGATAGGGCGTTCGATTGTACATTCTCTCGGCCTCTCCACCAACTATGAACAACAGTCCATCGCGGTAGAAGCTGTAGGCTGAGGTCACATCGTCTGGCAGGTGGCCCACAGACCTGAACTGCCTGGTCTCGACATCGTAGCATGTGATCTTGTTGCAAGCGCTACCCAAGATCTTGCCGCCACAGATGTAGATGTGTCGCGAGCCATCATAGCATGCTGAGACACCAGTATGTCGCGTCATGCCCTCAGCCGTCTCCAGTGTCCACTGTCGATCAATGAGTGAGAACATTGCATATTGACCAGATGCATCGCCAAACACATATACATAACCACGAGCATTGACAACTGCAGCCGGTGCGATCACCGACTCTAGCTCAAGGCCACCGTCCGTCACCGTCCACTCGGCAGACACTGGGGAGAGCAAATAAGTGCAATCATCAGAGTCACTGAACGAGAGTACCTGGTCAAGCTCGGCAACACTCTGCGCAGACTCTAGTAGTGTGATGGTTGATCTCATCTGCCTCTTGATGTCCTCCAGGAGCATTGTGTCCACCAGGAGTGTGTACGCCAGAGTTGGTTTGAATGATGCCGTGGCAGGTGCGACCTGGTCAAGCCTATTCACAATCAACGTCAGAAGTTCATGATCATTGCTTGTTGTTGGCATCTCATCAGTCTCGGACGATGATGATGATGACGAAGGGAATGCCACGTCCATGAACTGTTCGAATGAGTGACTTTGTTTGATTGCCTGCACGAGATCATCTGTGTTGCAATCATTGAGTGCGTGGCCGACGCCGCCAATGCCGCCAGCTGTATTGTACACCCTCATAATGTCAGCAGCCTCCGAGACTGAACCCTTGATGGCCTTTGCAGCCTTGTCCATCTCGGCGATCATTGGTGATATGAGTCGATGCTCCTCCACAATGAAGTGTTCATGTAGTTGTCTAAAGTAGTCTGATGTCTCTTTGCAGGTCGTGTCCAGGGCAGAGTAGGATACAGCCATCTGCTTCATATTGAGCCAAAGGAATCGAAGTCTCTGTGCAAATGATTCATTATACCTTCGTTCCTTTATCATTGCTCTTATATTCTCTGCACTGTCCACATCATGTTTCTTATGACTGGACACCAGACACGATGAGCAAATAACCTGTCTACACTCCATGCACACAAACTTCTCTCGCTTACCATGTATTGAACATACATGTTGTTCCTTTATCTGTCCCTTTATTACTTCCATTATTATTATTATTATTGATACATTAAAAGGACAAAGTTTGAAGAAAAGGGGGTGAGGCTAAAGGACTCAGCCCAGGCCTCAGCCTAGCCCCCTGGTACATAAAGTGGTTCCAAGTTCATTCATTCATTTAAACATCCAGATACAATGAATAATAATAGCATACATTTAGTCTTCCACAATCACTTGTTGTGCAAGCAAATCTTTAGACATGTGAGCGATATACACAGACGATGGTGCAGTATTACATTACTAAGCAAAAGAAATGGTGAGTTACTAGAGCTTGATGATGTTGACAATGAAGGCTCCACTACCATCACCACATCCCTTCAAATTACTGGTACCACCAGCATCCAGTCAACGATTAAGGGTGTCGACCTCTATGCCAATGGCAACCTTTATGATATGCTCCTTTACAATGCCACTCAGATGTTCATTGAGGCGTTCGATAGAGTTGCCAGCAATTCAGTGTCTAGTGGCTACTCCGAGTTGCATACCAGCGACAGTAATAGCAACGACTACATCTACAACAATAAGTTGTTACAAGCTGCTGTGAAGCATAACAACGTCATCGCATTCAGGCATCTGATCAATCGCCCAAACATGTTCAACAAAGACCTGTTTGAAGCCAATGTCATCTTTGTCCACTGCAACATCAATACCCTCCAGTGGTACATCAATTGCCACGGCGGGTCGTTACCAATCCCCCTTGTTGCCTACCTCCCGATGGCAATGGACACTGGCAGCGAGCAGTTTGTGCGCTCAAACATCTCACGAGTCCAACAAGTCCTATCGAGGCAGCCGATGGCCATTACATCGCATTGAACTTAAAGTTTAAGAAGCGACGTGGTGTCCGCATTGGAATGCTTAGAATGCTTCACGAAGATTTCAACTGCCTCTTTGTTCTGCCGCGCCTTTGGCAGCCGGCGCTGGCCCACTCTGTCAAGTGCAACATGTTGGACAGTGTTCAGTACATCATTGATAACTTACCGGCACTAGATTTAGATAAATGGGGATACCGCATGTTCCTCCACAATACTGAAGGTCCTAATTCACTCAACACTTTGTTCACCCAATGCGCCAAAGATGGAAACATCGCCATTTTCCAGGAGCTCGCCAAGTCATCAGTTGGCGCCGAGTACCTCAAGACCATGCCCATGCGCTATGTCATCAGTGAGGCGATCGACCACGGTCACGAGGCATTCCTAAAGCACCTCTACCAACATCATGTTGGGAATGGTACCATCATGAAGACTTGGGAGGACATAATACCAAACTGTTTTATTAAGCCAGAGTTCAAACTTCGTGTGACCCCTTTGGCAGCTCTACGGAGCGGTGACACTGTGTGCGTAGAGAAACTCATTCATTCTATTGATGGATTGGATTCAGAGACGTGTTGCCGCATATCAAATTCGATGGCAACATTCATCGTCAGTCCGCGAATATTGCCATTCACATTCCACTACTACAACAACACCCTGTTGAACCTGATCAAAGCTGTGGGCCAGCCAGGCAGCAACATTACCTTGGACATGGTATGCCAGTTCGTAGTCAACTGCAGACCCATTGATCCAGAAGAAAATGTCAATGAGGCCATGAGATGCGCCGCTGGCCACTCGGCCGAATTGATGCGACTCCTGCGCTCTCACTACAATGCTAAGCTCGATAATCGATGTCTAGCACAATCGATGGAAAAGGGATGCCGCGAGACAATGGTTTCCTTTTCGAACAACTGAGCAAGCAAGATCTAGAAATGGTGAATCAAGAGTCTGGTGTTGGTGCTGCAGTATGCAATTATATATCTGCTAGATCATTGGATGATGTCAAGTACATGTTGGAGCACATCGGCAATGTCAAGGCAAACCCAGTCCTATGTGAATGGGCCGCTCTCAGTGACCATATAGAGGTGTTTGAACACGTCATTAGCCTGTTCACACTGGACCAACTGGAGGATGATGCTGTGGATTGTATCATCACGCAAACACTCACTCGCGATAGGAATCATCTTGGCTTTCTCCAGGCTTTTCTCAAGCACTATGGACTCAGTAGTACCATTTTACGACCAACTACCGAGACACTTCACAACATGGTCATATACAACTCTCATCACACCTTGGACTACTACTTCAACACGCCATCATTCACCAACATGTCCCAGTCAGAGCGACTGAGCATCATCCACTCAATCAAGGACAAAGGATATGAGTATGGAACAACTCGAGTGATTAAACTATGCAATGACCAGATCAATGCAATCTCCTATTCATAGATATATATACATGTATGTGTATTGTGTTGTGAACAAGTACCCTTGGTAACAAAGGGGACTTGGATGTCACCTGGTTGGATATCGCCAAACAGGTAGGTGAGATAGATGGAGGTTGATTGGTTGGAACCAATCCAACGTGAATGAATGAATGAATGTTTGAATGTTTGATCGACTACAGCTGTTCATTGCTGACAATGTCTTCGCCATGTATCTCGTTTGCCGCTCGATGTACTGTGGTCTGCCTCTTGGTGGCCTGCCCGCGGCCATTATCTTGGCTGCGTTGTTTCCTCTTTGAACTGTGCGCCATGTTACTCAGGCTGGTGTATGTTTTGCTGATGCTGCTGTTGCTGTTGCTGCTGCTGTGTGTGTTGCTGTGGTTGTTGCCGTCATCATTGCCCTCAATCATTCTACCATTAATAAATTTATCTTGAACCTGACAGAAGTCCTCTGGATTGGTTGTAGTAGTCGCAATAGCAGTTGTCCTCCTTCTATTGCTCGAGATCACAGTGGCTGTATGCTTGTTGTTGCTCCTGCTGCTGCTCGATTGATGTTGCTCGCTGACCACTGTCTCAATGACAACTCGCATGTCATCCTGTTTACCTTGCCCCTTGGCCCGGGTGTGTGGCCGCTCCAGTGGGTGCTCCTGCTCTCTTGCCAGTAGAGTTACGTGTGCCAGTGTCTGTAACTTTGCATGCTGCGCCTCTGCATGTGCCTGTGCCTCTGCATGTGCCTGTGCCTCTGCATGTGCCTGTGCCTCTGCCTGTGCCTGTCGTGACTGTGATCGCGTACCCGTCTTGTATTGCTGTTGCCAAACCAATTCGGGTAAATTAATCTGCATCTGGTCCATCTGTTGTGTCGCTTGCTCCTTCGCCTTCCTATGCTCGACTATAGTCTCAGGCCGCTGCACTTGTCTAGTCCTATTAGTCCTCGGTCTATAATCCCACTTAATTGGCTCTTGCTCTCTGCTCTGCACTACTTCCTCCTGCTGCTCCACTATTAGATTGGGCTCATGCTCATTCATCTCCTCCATTTCCTCCTTCTCTTGCACCTGCTCCTGTTCCTGCTCCTGCCCATTTACCTGCTCCTGCACAAGTTCCTGCTCCTGCTCCTGCTCCTGCTCCTGATCCTGCTCCTGCTCCTGATCCTGATCCTGCTCCTGATCCTGCTCCTGCTTCTGAGCTATACATTCCTGTTGCCCCTGAGTCTCTTGAGACTTTGGAAGCTCAAGAGGCTCTGGAAGCTCTTGAGGTTCTTGAGGCTCTTGTTGCCCTTGATTCTCTTGAGGTTTTGGGAGCTCAAGTGGCTCTGGAAGCTCAAGAGGCTCTTGAGGATCTTGAGGCTGTGGAAGCTCAAGATGTTCCTCAAGCTCTTGTACAAGTACAACCACTTGTTGATCCGGAACGGAACAAACCATATCATTGACTACATCCTGCTTCTCCTTCACTTTTTCTTGCTCCTGCTCCTGCTCTTGCTTCTGCTCCTGCTCACTATCCTTATTCATCTCCTGATCGTTAGTTAAACATGTACTGGTACTACTCTGCTGACTGGTACTAATGATGTTGTTGTTGTCGTCGCTGTCATTATCTTTGTTATCCACGCTGTCATTGTTATCCATGCTGTCCTTGTTGTCTATGCCATCCTTGTTGTTCATGCTGTCCGTGCTCTCTTTGATGCCCATGCTGTCCTTGTTGTCATTGTCGTCGTTACTATTATTTATATTCTTATCTACATTGTCTATACACACTTGCTCCACCTTGTCCACCTCCATTGGTTCATCCACTTCAATTGATTCGTTCACCTCAATTGGTTCATTCTCTGATGTTGTTGAAGCATTGGTCAAAGTTGTTGTTGTTGTCGAGGTGGTCGTGGTCGATGTGGTTGGCGCACCTGCCTCCTCAGCATCATCATCATCATCATCATTGATCGATATTTTGTCACCTTCTCCTGCGCTTGATTGCTGTTGCTCGTCGTCATCCTTGGATGTAAATGATGTGTCGCCGTCGTCGTATTGCTCGTGATGCAGTCGCTGCAAGAGGTTCTTGATGATCTCTCGCTTCTCGGGTATCTCCGAGGTGGGGAACCATTGAGGGCGGGACAGGGGCGTATCAAACTGCTTCTCGGGATTGCGACAGAACAGTTCCATGTAGTGCAGCAGGAACACGCCACAGTCGCTCAGGTTGTCCTGGCGCGGTACGTTGGCACGCACAAACGGCAGAGTCTTTGCATTGAACAACCGCTCGCCAATCGCACCGTTTGACGGGTCCGCCTTCTTATGCTTCCACTCCATCGACAGGTACTGTCTAATCTTGTTTGTGAGAGCTGTGCATTTCTGCACATTCAATGAGTCCAGGAATATGATCAGTGGGCGATTGGCCGACGTGCATGTTGCCGGGTCCTGTCCAACGAATGATATTATACACAATGTCCAATGGAAGCTAATCACGTGATGGAGGCGGCGATGATGTGTCAGTTGACTGGCCCATCCCATCCCATCCCATCCATGCTACTCCACCGTGCTACTTACTTCTCGCACACTGGAATGAATAAGAAGTCCTTTGAGAAGATGTCTGCATCGCGCGTCCACTTTGTAATCTTCTTGTAGGCTGCCTCCATGCTCTTCTTGAGCGTCAGATTGTTGTAGAAGAATGTGTTGAAGAAGTAGAATCGCTCGCGATCAGCCTCCTCCACATAGTGATCCCTTATGTAGCGCATGTAAAAGTCAATGATGGAGTCGTTCAAATACTGCTCTGGTTCCAAACGTCGCAAATCGCCTTGAGTGATCTTGACAATGTCACGTGCCAATGGATGCTCCTTTGGTGGAGGGTAACTCGCCATCACCTTATCGGGATCGAATCCCTCCCTTCAGTCAATGATTCATAGCTATGTTAGTGTCTGTCTTGTTCATTCGTTCGTTCGCTCATTCGATCAATCACTCACTCAATCAGTAATAACTTCATCCAATGTGATCGCTTCTCCAGGTGACCTCTGATTGCTGTGATATCCCTCTTCCTAATGTCATTCAACACTATACTATTGGGCAATCCCACGTCAACATCTATGAATGAGTGCAAGGCAAGGTCAATGTCAACGTCAAGGTCAAGGTCATGACCGGGATCAATCAATGAATGAACATACTCTTTACAGTTGTGGGATTATTTACCCAATGCTTGAAGAAGCTGAACTCCTTCGTGACGAGGAGTAGGTCCGACTTGCCCTTGAGCGAGGTGAAGGACATCTTTGTGAGATCTTCGTACTTGATTTGAATGCAGACCTCTGATTGACCTTTCCTCTGATGTCCTATTAATGCTCGCGTTGCTGTGATCTCGAGATGAAGCTCCTTGAACAGAACGGGCTTCTTCATTGGTGCAACGAAACCGTCAATCATGCAAACAGTCTCTGCCTGTAATAATATATTGCCATCGTCATCAAACATCTTGATTGGCTCTGTACTCTGTTTGGCCTCTTCCTCCTCCTCCTCCTTGGCCGAGGCTTCCAGCACTGATCTGATCTCTTGCAGATGTGCTTCGTGCTCGTCGTCCTCCAGATTGAGCGGGTTGTCCTGCGATGTTCCTCTCGTGTCTGACGACACGAGCACTGCATTGGCAATGCTGCTCCCACTGAGTGTACTAACTGAGCTGCTGGGACTGCCAAACAATGGTTTGCCAGGCGATCGACTATTATTAAGGTTGTGTGCACTGCGTGGTGGCGACATAGAGAGGCTGGGCACACCATATCGATCGAATTGAAAGCCAGACATGCCCCCCTGTACCGCCCTCCTTTGTCTCGTCTGCATCTGTTCTGTCTGTGTTGGCGTGTTGTGTATGCTTGTTACTTTATATTGTTGCTTATTATCTATATCTCTCTCTATGTGCATGCACACTCACACAAGTTATCTCTATCTCTATTTTCTCTATCTCTCTTTATCACGAATGTTTGAATGAGAGCTGAATGAAATGTAAGGGGGGTATCACACTTTTCAAACAAACAATCTAGATCAAATGGTGCACTTCATTCATTCATTCATTCATTCATTCAATCATTGTATTACAGATAGACAGATATAGATAGTTATAGTGAATGGATGCTGCTGCTGAGAAGGAGTTGGAGAAGCATGTGTTGAAACAACAGGCTTGGGATACATTGCCATCACATGCAAAGGCAATACTGGAGAACTCACCAACCAAGTGGAAACACTTCATCATCAAGTTCAGTATAAAGCATCAACTACGTTGGAAGACAAACATAATCAGAGACTATGTACAAGATGAGCGTATCTATTATCAAGAGATAATAAGATTATCTATTACCAACCTTGTAGTATGTTCATTCATTGCTCGAGTTACAACATTGATTGAGGCTAACAAACAAGCAATCATACAATAGTTATACCCATATCATATAGCCGATAAACTTGTTGGCATGCTCAATGTCACTGCATTCAAATACTACTCAATCATGATGTCTGAGATCATGGCCAATGGTAATCAATCAAGTTCATTAACAATGATGATGTGACACACCTCACCTGATACCCTTACTCATTCCTCAATCACTCAATCACTCAATCACAGCCAAGTCCTACGATGAACTACCAAACTTTACTGCAGTGGATTGTAAGTAGAGCATCCCCTGGACATCACAGACAGTCATCACTCACATTCAATCAATCAATCAATCAATCGACGAATGATATACGCTAAGGTCTCAGAGTATTGGGAATTGGAAGGAATCAGTATATCAATCTTATGAACAAGTATAGATCAAAGGGATTCTTATTCAAGAAGAAGAAGGATGTGATAAAGAGTCTGCTACCAAGCAACTCAGTGGAAAAGGCATTGGACTATTGGTGGATGCTCAATCGTGGTTGCAACTCAGCTGACGACGAGAGGAGCTGCACAGCAGAGGAACTGGCCATTTTGGAGGAGTTGGAAAGCTCGCCCAAGCAAGCTGGAATCTTTGATCGTGATGCTGCTCTCTCCCTGCTCACACGTGGACTCATCTTTGTCGACATTCCAATCTCCGACACGGATACTATTGCCGTGCCACCTCTGGAAGGATTCGTGATGAATAGAGTGTCTGGCGACTACTTTGAGAGTCTACTCTACAAGATATTCGTGTCGATCGATGAGAGGACCACTGTACAAACACTGGCAGAGCTACTTCAAATCGATGTCGAGCTCGTCAAACAAGCCGCATCACTCTACTGTCGACTGGGATTCGCCAAAAAGAAGAACCTTGAGCCACTCATCAACTCTGTATGTATCCTTACCCTACTTTGATTGATTGAGTAGTGCGCTAACCATTCATACATGGACCCAGACTGAGGAACAAGGTGATAGTAAATTCGTCAGGACGACTTGGCATCAAACCTGGATCAATTATAGTCAACAACAGCCAACCAATCCATCACTGGCTGCCATTCAGACGACTGGCGATCAATCAACCGCTAGCACAACGACAGACTCGTCATCGACAGACAGCACTGCAGTGATAAGGATTGGACTGATATTCGACTCATCAATCACGGCATTTCTGATGATGGGCAACCTTGGCTATGGACTCAAGAATCATGCTGTGACAATGTTTGAGGTTGGCAAGCTGTCCAATGAGGCACTCGACGACTTCCTTGGAGAGTTGGACAAGATTGACACGACAGAGTTTGTTGAACTCGAGGCCAAGAGATATGCTGCGTCGGCCATCGCACTGAGGGACACGATCAAATTCCTCAGATACAACGAGAAGATACCAAGCACACAGCATGGCCTCGATCTACTGAGTTGTGAGCGAATGAACAGTTTGGAAGAGGCAACGAGGATACGTGTTCTGAGCAAGAACTACTCGGTGCTTATATCAATGTCCCCATTCGCCACGGACAGTTGTCCAGTGATCAGTTGTGCTCCGCCACACTTTGGACCAGCGATCTACGAGATCCACAGTCTCTGGTTCAAGTTGTACCTCTACAACATCGTTGGCGCCGGACCCAACTCTGTCCTGCTGGCCAAGGGTCATCGACTCAAGAAGATCCCGGCAGTGTTTAGAGAGTGCGAGAAAGTCCGAGTGTGCTCGTTGGATCATGAATCAATCAATGTGAACCTTTCCCAGCTTCTTCCAACAGTCAACGAAACTCTACTATCATCGCCAGTGTTGGTACAGGCATTCTCCTACGTGCGCTTTGATAACAGTGGTAACAATCGATCGCGTTCCACACATGGCGAACATCAAACGATCAGAGAACAACAGACGGTAATTGACGTGCCATTCCCACTCGACCCGATCGATGATAGTGCCGTGCCCCCATCAACCGAGTCAGAATACACCGCCGACAACATGCACCTTCACCCGCTGGTCAGACGCATCGAGTCGTTGCTGAACCTGTCGCACAGCATCGGCTACATATCGATGCTGAGGAAGGATGTCCAGATACCCGACGAGAACACGATCCAGACGACATGGATCCCTTACAACGTATACTTTGGCGTGCCGATATTTGATGGAACGCTCAACAGACAGGTGTGCGACAAGATCGAGCGATACAACCTTTTGAACGAAGAGAACACCGACGCGCACAACAGTGCCAGCAGGATGCTGTCACTCAACATTCTTCGCTTCATCTCCAGCACCTGTCCGCCTGTGCATCCCGACCTGGACATCATCGATCAGACACGCATCAACACGACCCTGCCATCGACTCAGAACATCCCACTGCCGACACAGAACCTATCCTTTGTCAATGGCGTATTGGACCTATAAAGACTAGAGAGCCAGCCAGCCAGCCAGCCCTCTGGCATGCGCTGGCAGGCATGTATATGTATATATCGTAAGGGGGAATTTAATATGATGGACACAGACTCCACCGATGTGAACCTCCATCCAGGCTCCTGCTGCGTGCAGGACGGATGTCTTTACAAGTTGCTGGGCTGAGCTACTTCTTCAAAACAGCTGGCTCGACAGGCGATGACACCGATCGAGTCCTGCTCAAATGATCTGGCAATGCGGATGGCTTCTTTGGCTCCACCTGCTGCTGCTGATCTTGCTGAGGCGATGGTGGTTGTGCAGGGGGAGGTGATGTTGGTGTTGTTGTTGTCGTTGTCGTTGCTGCAGCAACAGGTGTTGTTGGTGGAGGGACCACTGGGATGGTACATAGAGCGTCCCACTCTGCTGCATTGGCCATGTACTCGTTCCTGCACTTGACCACCTCGTCGTAGAGATGCTCAGCGGTGGGTCTGAGTGCAAAGTCCTTGAGCAATGCCTGTGAGACAATGTCGATCAGACACTTGGGTGTGGCGGCAGGGAATGTTGGACGAAGGTCCTTCTTGGCCGAGGCAATGAGGATCTGGAAGTCAAACTTGAGCTGTGGGTACTCCTGGAAGGGGAACTGGTGCTCGCCGTTGATGCAACGGTAGATCATCTCCCATACGATCATGCCCATCGAGTACACATCGCTCTTGACCGTGTACTTGTTGCCAAAGTAGACCTCCGGAGCCACGTAGGCGTAGGTGCCACGCAGCTTGCCAAGCGTCTCCAGGTTGCTACCAGTGTCGAAACGAGACAATCCAAAGTCGCAGATCTTCACTACCCAGTCCTCGGTCACCAGCAGGTTGAGACTCTTAAGGTCGCGATGGAGGATCTGTGGCGACCACGTGTGCAACGAGTTGAGCGAGCTGATAGCCTGCAGTGCCAAATTGAAGAACTCTGTCCAGGTGAAGCGAATAGTCTTGTCCTGCAATATGTGAAACAGTGATCCCCTGGAGCACAGCTCCATCACAATGCACAGTTTGTCCTTGATCACTGCGCCATGGAAGTGGACTACACTTGGTGACTTCAATGAGCTATATGTATGCAAAAGGGAAGAGGTCAGTAAGTTGGATGCGTACATTGAGAGTGCCAGACAGACATACCTGACGATTTGGAACTCCTTCTTAAACTCGAGAACATCCTTCTCGTTGGTGAAGGACTTCAACACCTTGATGGCGACCGTGCCACCTTTGTACAGGCCCTTGTAGACCTTGCCACTGGCACCCACGCCAAGCAATGTTTGGAACTTGAGATTGGACTCGTCGATCACCCAGGATGCGTCGTCCAGATGGGTGTGCTTCAGACGGGCCAGCTCATCGACGTCAATCTTGATGTGTGCACCTTTTGCGTCTGGAATGTCCAAGTCATCGTCGACCAGTCCATTGTTATTGCTGCTATTATTGGTCGTGGACGACTCGCTGTTGCCACTGTTGCTCGATTGTCCATTGGTATCTATATTCTTGGTGGTTGACTCGGCATCACCATTGCTAGCCTTGAACGGTGAGTTACTATTATTACTAGAGTAGGCTGTTGTCTTGCTCGTACTCGTCTCCACCGTCCTTCCAGATCCAGTGCTATTGGCTAATGAACTACTTGAATTGGTTAAAGGTGGCACTAAAAGATCAATGATGGATGTTAGTTATAAGTGTTGCGTGTTGGACTGATCTGGACTGGATTGATCACTTACCTCGCAGTTTACGAATGGCAGCTTGGAGCTTGCTTCGTTGGTCCTTGTCAGTGACTTGCAGTCTGTCTAGTGTGGCCTCGTCTACGTCGGGCAGGACATCAAAGAAGATCTCGTTGCCAATGAATATGGGTGTGAGCGAGCCAAGCTGGAGGTTGGCCAGCCACTCACTGATCTCGACCGACATCTGAAGACGTTGTACGATGCTGCTGTTGTTCAATTGTCTGGCCAAGTCCATCGGTTTCTTTGGCGGAGAGCCGCCCTCCATATTAATGTCTGCGCCCCTCTGTATGAGCAATCTAACAAACTCAACCTTGGCAAACTTGATAGCATAGAGCAATGGCGTCTCATCATTCTTTGTTTTCCTATGATTCAAAAGATGGTTAGACGATGATGTTGATGATGGTGATCGCGCGTGGAGACACATACTGATTGATGTTTGCACCTTTGTTGAGCAGGACCTCTATCAGGAAGGTCTTTGGTGTGGTGGACATGATAGCCGTGTGTAGTGGCGTCTCGCCAAAGTTGTTCTGGGCATTGGTAGAGCATCCCTTGTCTATCAGCTTCAATATAGGCTCCTCCGATGTCAATGTCAGGCACTTCTGGCTGAACAAATGTAGAGGTGAGTTGCCAAGCGAGTCCTTCTGTAAGATCTGTTTGATTGATTGATTGGGTGAGTGAGTGATCAATCACATGATCACATGATGTGATAATCATACCTTTGAATCATTATGCTTCAATAATAACATCATTAGGGGTATGTTGTTGGAGGCTGCTGCTAGGTGGAGTGCTGGTGTACCCTCTGTATCGCATACGTTGATGTCGGTCTGCAACTTTAGGATACTGTCAAGTGTGTTTAGATCATTCTCCTTGATGGCCTTGATCAGAGGGTTCTTCTGCTTCGCTTCGGACGATCGCTCGTATCTAAACTTAAGCTTAAGCTCACCTGCCACCTTGGTCACATTCTTCATTGGCTCTAATGGGAACCATTGCATGGTCTCACTCGTCGTCGAATCATATATCATTGCGATTGGTATTGTAGCCATACCCATTGGGTCATCCGAGCTGAACCTGTCCCAATCATACACCTCTACATATACAAATTGACATAGATGTTCTATTGGCCTATATGATTGTGATGTTAGACTACTTGTAGTGATTGATTGATTGAGTCCGCTTACATCTCAAAGTTCTCAGACTCCCATTTGGGATTCAGAGTATGTTTGATTGCCTTTGTCTTCTTCTTCTTGTCACCTGCTATCACGACGCAATATGGATCACTAAAGTAGTTGATAGTTGTGAGTATGAGTATGAGTAAGAGTATGATTGATTGATTGATTGATTGATTAAATGAATGAATGTAGTTGATCACCTACCTTGCTCCATTGCTATCCTTTGGTGAGAGGCCTCTGCCTTCCAACACTGATGTTTGAATGAGTGATTGAATGAATGAATGTATGTATGAGTGTTGATTCAGAGATCATAAACGACATGCATGCCAACATACCACTTATATATAATGTTCCAATCCTCATCATGTAATCCTATCTTATTGTGTCTCTACTCTATCACTCTATTTCCTGTTTCCTCTCTTGCTCACTCTATCTATATATTCCTACTTCCTGTTTCCTATTCCAATAGTTTCTACTACACTTTCACTCAATCATACAACAATATCAACATCAACAACAATAATAATAATAAGAGGTGACTGACTATGATTGATTACTATGATTGATTGAAGTCTTAATAAAGTGCGGTCACTTCACAACCACTCATCTCCAATCACCTCACCACAAACACCAACTCATTCATTTTTGATTGTTTGTCAAGGGTTGGGTTTTGGGTTTGTTGTTGATGTAATTCGAGTTGTGTGAGGGTATCTCTGTGAGGGTATGTTCTCACCTTCGTTGTTCATATCATTTATAAATAAGCCCGGGCATATATTATTGATGAAACAATTCGTTGGATTTTTTTTCATTTGTTTTAATTATTGTTTTGTCGAGCTGCAGGAGAGTGTGAGCAGGGAGTGGATGGATGGCGAATGACTTAGGCAACTCACTTTACATTGATACAGACCCTTTTCAAGTTTTCCTCGTCACTTACAGGTACATCAAGTGAGTGTCTTGTGCAATACAATACTATAGTCAACAACAGGTGGTGTCATTATTAGTTTACAGCAGTCATCATTATTATCATCATCATCTTATCATTGACATAATCAAGCTAGCGTTTTGGTTAATGACTATAACTCAATCAAACATTCGAAATGCGATCATGCGATAATAATGTTATGACTCAACGCTCAGCAAACATATTTATTGATCGATCAATGAATACTTAACAACAACGATGACTTTCACTGGATGTTGTAGTCGATGATGATGATGAATGATTGATCGATTAATGCTGTGACTATGATGATACTATCTCTTTGTGGCGACTTTGAACATTCGAATATACATGTAGACTAACAACAATGTTACTATTGCCAACCAACAATAGAATCTAAAATGGCCAGAGAGTTGTGGTTAAGTCACCCAAGAGATATGGGACCCGGTTCCCGCAAGTGCCGCACCTGTGGAAATCACCACGGTCTTATCAGAAAGTATGCCCTCAACATGTGCAGACGTTGTTTCCGTGCCAACGCTGAGGCTATTGGCTTCCACAAGGTATGTATCCATCTTATACAACACAGTAGTTTGTACAGTTGACACTAACTCATTGCCCTTCGTCTTCTACCTCAACAGTACCGTTAAACACGCGTGTTTCATGTAGTTGTCTAATCAGCAACAGTGCTCCAATAAACCCAACAATACTCTGATATAGTCAATCATTCAGGATGTTAGTTAGTAATACTTTGTTCGTTGTTTTTGTCGTTGTTGTTGATGACGTTGTTGTTGTACACGTATAGATGTGTAGAGATGTAATAATATCAACATGTATGTATTTATTCAAGATGCTCTTCAATGATGATCATTGTTGCGCTGTGGAAAGAGAGGTGGATAGAGTAGAGATAGAGAGATAGAGAGAGTGGGATTTGTAGCGAGGTAATATTACTGCACGCGTTGTTTGTTGTTGCCAGCAGAGGTGGAGGAGGAAGGTCGGAGGAGTATGCGTGGTGACTGACTGAGGTGGAGAGGAGCGGAATAAATAGAGGAATGATTGTTGTGTTTTGCACCAAGCATGGATGGAGGTCGGATAAGGAGGAGTGATGATAAGGACTTATTACTGAGCGACTCTTGCTGTTTCTGCAATGTCGGTTGGATCAGAACAAGACGATGTTGTGTCTTGGGCGGCTGCTTCGATGTTGGCAGCGGAGAGATTGGATGGCGATGGTGTGGGAGTGGTGGTTGACGACGATGATGATGAGGAGGAGGATGTTACAGGTTGTTGATTGGTGGTGCCGCTGCCGCCGCCACCGCCGCCGCCACTGACCAAGTGTGGGAAGAGTGGCGAGGGCAGCTCGATGGAGTTCATCGCGTGGCTCGGCACGAGGATTGCCGCCGTCTTGGCACTCATTGTCAATTGCTCGGCAATGGTGAAGTTGAACAAAGGAGGCAGGGGCTTGCCATCGGGCAGTGTCGTTTTGGGATCGCGCAACACATCAAAGAATGGATGTGCCATTATCTCGGTTGGTTTCAATCGATTGTTTGGTTCATAGTGTAGTATTTTGGATATCAAGTCGATAGTCTCTGGAGGTACCTGTTTGTTTGATTGGTCGAGTGATTGGAATCATTCCAAATGTGGTGGGGGTGGTGTAAGTGTGTGATCATGGATGGTCCTTCTCCCTTGCGTCCAGCCCCTCTCACGGGATGATGACACTTACCTCCTTTGCTCTGAATATCTTTGTCCAGGGATTGGCTTTGATCTCTGGAAACTTGAATGATGAGTAGTATGGGTTCATCACGTGTATCTGCTCTTTGGTTGGCGTGCCAAGTACCTTGATGATCTCCACCAACTGGTCGATTCCATTCTCACCTGGGAACAGTGGATGCCCGATGAGTAGCTCTGCCAGCACACATCCTATCGACCACGTATCAATAGCCGTCGTGTAGTTTGTGGCGCCAAAGATCAACTCTGGTGCTCGGTAATGCCTTGAGCAAATGTATGATATGTTTGATTCACCTTTGGTAAGGACTTTAGCGCTATAGATAGAGTACAATGGTCAGTCTTACTATCGATGCAGTGTCCTCGTTGACCCATAACATACCTTCCAAAGTCACATAGTTTCAATATGCTTGTCTTTGTGTCCATTAGTAGGTTCTGTGGCTTGATGTCACGATGACAGATGCCAAGAGAGTGGACGTAGTTGAGTGCTCGGCATAGTTGGTACGCATAAAGTTTGGCGTAGATCCATGGCAACTGTTGTCGAGACACAGAGTGGCTTCTTACCACCCTGTACACCGTATCAGGTACATACTCCAATACAAGATTCAGATATACTTCATCGTTCTATTGAGTTTGAGAGATTGAGTTTGAGTTTGAGGTTCATGAGTGAGTTGTCCTGTCTGTCTGCCTGCCTTCTCTTCATGCCTGCCATCCTGCCCTTCCAGTCAACATACGTCAGAGGTGAAGAAGCTGTTCTTAAGTTGTACGACATTTATATGATTAAGCATTTTCATTATCTGTAGTTCTCGATTCTAAAGTACCATGTATGTTAGTACAAGATGATTGATTGATTGATTGATTGAGACGAATGAATGAATACCTTGAATCGTTGGTCTTGTAGGACTTTCTTAATGGCTACAAGCTCTTTGGTATCTGCTACGATGGCTTGGGTTACTACACCGAATGAACCATTGCCAACGACGCCCTCGGTGATGTAGTTTACACCATTGGCCTTGATCATCACCTTGTCAAACTTGAACCTCAGTCTTGCCTTGTCCTTTTCCTTCTCCTCCTCCTTGCCCCCTGCTATATTTATCAAAAGGTTTGTTTGAATATGAGCATGTTGTCCTCCTGAAGTCCTGTCTATCTATCTCTATCTATGTCTCTTCTTCTTGAGTGGTGCCACTCTGACATATCTGATATACATACAATATGATTGAGGAGGTGGATTCATGATTCTGATATTTATATATACTGTACAACTAAATTACAATATACACCTACTAAAATATATTTATATGTACAATTACTGTAATGGATGATGGATGATGCTTGAATTATTGAATGTATGAATTAATGAGTTGTTGGCCTGTCCACTAGTTCTGTCTTTGTTTGTGAGATTAGAAGTGTACAACAAGGGGTGGTGTCAGTGTGTGTGATTGGGTTGAGATGTGGGTGTGATTGATTGATTGTTTGATTGATTGATTGATTGATTGATTGATTGATTGATTGTAGAATATGTGTGTGAGTGAGTGTGTGAGGTATATGAGTAATGTATAAATATAAATAATAATAATGAATGATAGGTAGGATGTTTGGTTGTTTGAATAAGCTGTTATGATGATGTCTAAGAATCTTGATGTGTGAGTGTAGGTCCAAAAAAATAGTTATTTTATAATATCCATCATGATGAGATATGGAAAACAACTGTTTTGTATATAATGACCTTTTTTCTGCCTGTCACCAAAAGGCACCACCCTAGATCATTTCTTTACAAACAGTGTAATAATCAATCAAACGAAACGAAGACCTTTTATCTTTATTTATTGAAATATACTTGTATGATTGAAAGATTGAATGATGCAATGTGTTTAATCGATTAAGCACATTTGTTCGTACTTAGGTTGCATACTCTTGGGTCTTGGCAACTGGCAAGGTATCCTCTGGCATTGGGATCCATGTTCCTGGGTGTGACGGTGGAGTTGCAGTAGGCTCCGGCACCAGCACGGTACAGACAGATGTCACAGCAACGCTTGGTTTCAGTAGATCCATCACCTGGGAAAAATTGGCCACCATTTTGTTTACATGAGCGACGGTTCACTTCCAAACATGCCATCTTATTACATTGAATTGGCTCCTGGGCAGCATAGATTACAACTATTGCCAATACCAAAGCCAACAAAATAGGGATAATATTTCTTAACATTGTCGAGCGTGATCAAGTTGTTTAATTGATTGATTGTTTGTATAATAGAATGATGATGATGATGATTATGATGACGATAAAGATGACTCTATCAAATATACTAACCAAAGTTATTAACTAAAGAGCCTCAACCAAGTTAAGATGTGCTAATCCAAGTGCATATGCATTTACGAAATGTATACACTGTGAGGCATAGCCCCTGCTCCTTACTTCCTCCCCTACTCTTTGAGATGTCCATTTTATTGTCGACAACATGTAGTTGTAGTAAGAGTGTGATGTGGCGAGGGCAATCAATCAATTTTGTGGAGTGGTGATGATGGTCGGTCATCCTTGTTAATATAATACATGAGCTCATGTTGTATGACAACTACTTCATGTATTGGATCACACTAAACTTTCAAATTGCAATTGATAATCATTCGTACGGTAAACATGATTGATTGAAGAATGTATGGTATGTTTGAGTGATGCGGCCAACTTGAAGTGACTGTGGTGATGATCATGATCACACAGCCCCAATGGCCAATGATTGTAAGCTTTACTGAATGTACTTTATTCTTATTCAATTGAGGTATGGTGAACATTTGTTTTGTCTAATGATGCAGACGTATTGTTGTTCCCAACAACCAGCTAAGTAACCTCTGGCATTGGGATCAAAGTTCTCTAAAGTGACTGAGGAGTTGCAATAAGCTCCGTCGAAACCTTGGTATAGACAGACATCACAACAATGCTTGGATGTAGGCGATGACACATCTCCATGGAAAAATCTTCCACCATTGCGCCAGCAATTAAAAGGACAAACTTCCGGGCATGCCATCTTGTTGCAAGCAATCATCTCTTCGGCAGCATAAATAGCATACACTACCACTACCAATACCAGCAATGTAGGAATTATCTTTGTCATTATTAATATTATTATTATGAATACTTATATCTTTGATTGAATTGAACAATAATGATTGATTGATTTAATATTGATTGATTGGATGACTGTGATAAAGGATGGATGGATGGATTGAGGTTGGACTCGTGAAATTTTACATGTTCAACTAATCAGTAGGTGATTGATTGAGTTGACAGTGGTTGTATCCATAACCTTAGCCAACAACAACAACAGGTTATAAACACCAAAGAAAGATGGAGTATCAGTAGAAGTAGGATGTGTGTGTGGTGTGTTAGGATGGACCGACATCATTGGATGGCCGTGTGTGTTGTTGGTGTCAATCACATGATGTGAGGCTCATTCTACAACTACATTTCATTCATTCAATCTAAAACACAACATCAAAGAATAGATTGATTGACTTAATTTGTTTGGAGATTGGTATGTTTACTACTACTCTACACCCTTAGGCCAACTTGGTGTATGAGGGTGGATCAATCTTTTGATTGATCAATCTAATGACATACAGTGGCAGACAACTGACTGCCGTGATCACAGCCACTCTCCAACAGAATCCAAATGATAGAATGAATGATAGTTCTTTAAATTGATTGATTGTGATGGGGAGTTAGTTAGTTGAATGTGATGTGATGTGATGTGATGTTATATGATGTGATAAAACTAATAACATACCGAATGCTGTTACTTGAGGTATCATCATGGTACTGATGTAAATGATCAGTGTGACGACTAGAGAGATAACCATGTATCTGTGCCAGCGATGGATCTCCACGACGACATTGAGCAACTCACAAAGTATCAGTGAGGTAAAAGTGATCGATACAATGTTGTTAAGACTGCTCTCAAAGAGTATGATGGACAGCAGCATGATCACGCCGCCCTGGTACGCACTCTTGAGTACCCATATGGCAAAGGTCTTGTAGGATAGCGAACGTCCCTTTTGCAGCTCATGGTAGAGCTCGGGGAATCTGAATGCAATGTCCTCGGACACGTCCTCATCGAGGATCAATGAGAAGATTGGCGCGTTCGTGTAGACAGTGGCATATCCAACCAACAATGTTCCATTGTAAATGGACAGCGCGGCAAAGTAGTAGATGGCAGAGAATACACATTGAATGAACGATATGATCAAACCTCTGTGAATGACAAACTGTGATAGACTAGCTGATCGCTTGTATGAGTTCCTTCCATGCCACACTATGTTGATTGGTTGAGTTAGTATGAGTATGATGGAGCGATTAAATGAGCGAATGAACTTACATATCAGACGACTTAGATAACTAAACTGATTGATTGAGAAGTCTGCCGCGAGGGAAGCTTGCTTGCCTTCTTTGCCAACGATACCAATACCAACATCAGCTGCTTGGATCATGCTGACATCGTTGCCACCGTCGCCAATGGCACAGGTTCTCTTCTTGGTCTTCTCTCGGATCAATCGAACAATGTCCGCCTTCTGGGTGGGCGAGCATCGACAGCAGACCACCGAGGGCGCTTTGGACGCCGCGTTGATAAAGTCGTCCTTGAAGTTATCCAGACAGAGTTGCAGTGATGGGCCGTCGATGATCAGACAGGCATCACGCAGTCGCGAGAAATGTTCGAGCTTCTCAGATGCGCGGAACTTGTCAGTGACGGAGATTTGGAACAGTGACTGAGTGCGCGACACTAGCTTGGTCGAGATGGCAATACATGTAGCTGTTTCGATCTTGTCACCAGTGAGCATCCATACCTTGACGGCGGCATTCCGCAGTCGCTCCAGTGTGACCTTGACGTTGGTCTGCAGTTTGTCCTCTACCCCTGTCAATGCGATCAGCTCGAGGTTCCTCTCGATCGTGCCGATGGCCTCTTGAACACGCGCTGCACGATCCACAATCGATGTCTTGGCATTGTTGTATCGGTTCAAGAATTCGTTGTACTCCTGCTCCGACATGACTCGCTTGCCAAATGCCAAGGTCCTGAGTCCCTCACGCGCCATGTTGCCCGACTCCTCATCGAGCCAATCATTATTCTGGACTAGCTTGGCGATGACCGAGTCAGCGCCTTTCATGTAGAAAGTGATCACGCCCTGGCAGTCACGCAAGATGATGCCCATTCGCTTGGTCTCTGATGTGAAGGGGAAGATGTTGAGGATCTCGTAGGTCTCCTGCTCGCCGAGTGGTGTGGACAGTGTGATCGAGTTCAGCTCTCGGCCGCTGAGCACCAGTCCAATCGACTCTGTGAACTTGACGAGTGCGATCTCGTCTGGGCTCGATGCCTGGTAGCTCTGCTTGGATGCGGCGGCGATTGATGAGGACGATGCTTCGTCCTCGTCGTCATCGATCACACATCGATTGGACTCGTCGTCATCGTCATCCTCGGGCTCAGGCTCCTGTCGCTTGATCTCAGTCACCTTGTCATAGCCATTCTTTGACTTGAAGAACTTGCGTAGTTTAGAGCGACCTTGTTGTTGTTGCTGTTGTTCCTGCTGTTGTAGTTGTTGCTCCTCATGAATGTCCACACCCTCATGCTCCTCACTGGCGGCCACAGGGGTCACATTATGACACAAAGCAATGGCTGTGATTGCCTCCTTGACCTTGAATCCAAGGTTCCTACGTCCTCTAGTAGTCTGCGGTTGTTGCTGTTGTGCACTTGAGTACGACGTGTGGAGCTCTCGCTTGAGTTCCGACAGACTCTCCTTGGAGTAGGACATCGAGCCAAGATGCAACTTCTTGAATATCATCTCGTTTTGAGTGAGCGTGCCAGTCTTGTCGGTCAGCAGGTACTCAATGCGACCAAGTTCCTCGGGAATGGTCGATGAGCGCACCACCGTGCCAGGGATCTGCTTGTCACGCATCATCATCAGAGAGTATGCTGTCTTGCCCAGATCGAGATTGACCCTCATACTGATGGGGATGATGGCAGAGAACAATAGAACGTACCTGAATAGGTAGATGTACCAGGCACCTCTGAATCCCTTCAGACAGATCATAACGAATGAGAGAACACATAGCAGGAGGAAGAGAACCTTTGATAGATTGTTGATCTCACTGTCCAGAATGCCACTCTTTGTCGATGGTATGCTTGTGTTCATCACACATCGTGTCTCCCTGCCAGTGTATATCGCGCATCCGATCACACTACCAGATGCAATAACAGTGTTGGCCCACAATGTATTCTCCACACTGATTGACTCTGTTTCGCTCTGATTGATTGAATGGATGGTCAGGTAATGTGAATCGATCGAGTAAATGACCAATCATATACATACAGTGTCATTCTTTGTAAAGTTGCCAATGAATGAGTAGATGTCCTTCTTGGGTCGCTCAGCATAGATGGACGCGCGCATGTTTAGTAGGGCGTCGTCGTTGAGCAGCTTTTGTGTGATGTGAATCGAACGTCGAAGCTTCCAGTCGGTCTCGCCATCGAGTTGATCAGTTCTAATGAATGAGGCGCCATTCTTCTCGGTGGTCCTCATGAAGACCATATCGCATGGTACTCTCTGATTAGTCTCGACCTTGATGAAATTGCCAACTTTGATGTCTGAGCTTGGTATGGATTCGTATCCATTTCGAGTCAATCGCAGATAATGTTGAGAGTTGGCTTCCTTGTCTCGTCTAAATCGCTGGAAGTCATCATAAGCTTCTTTGATAATTGTAATAGAAAGTACAAAGACCAATGGTGATATATATGTGAATAGATAGCCTGTTTGTGTCGTGCATGCATGTAAGTAATCCATCCATCCAATCCAACTCAATCCAATTAATGACCAGTCCATTCATACCTGTCTGTAAAGGTGGGATGAATTGAGATAGCGCTACCATGAGGAAGTACAAGTTGAAGAAGTACTTGAACTGTTCATAAAGAATGACAAAGATGAATGTGTATAGGTTATACTTCTGATTCCTAACTACATTGGGTGGGAACCTATGAGTGAATGATGTTAGTCCTCATCAATCATGTGCGCGAGTATGTGTCTTACTTGGTGGTCTGCTCGTCCAACTCCAAGTTGATCGTCCTTGGGAGATAGATATGCTTGCGCATCACAAAGTCCTTGACCTTTTGAACGAATGTCCTGGTGTCGACCTCCTTTTGGATGCGTAGTGATAAGATGTTAGAGATATGGTGAACAACAACAACGTGATCGATGAGTTTGTACATACTGCAAGCATTCGTGAAGAGGAGTTCAGTGATGATGAGAGTAGAGGAGATGATCCATCATCTCGTAGATTATCAATTTCGATGTATTTGCCAGTGCTGTCGTGGCTGCTGCGAAGAAGGTCGTCATCGCTGATGTTGAGTGTGCCACCTGGTGGAGGCGGATGTGCCGAGTATGAGAACGTCTGTGACATCACTGCTGTTGCCTTGTTGTCGTGATGGTCGTCGTTATCGTCAAACTCGTCAGAGGAGTGATGATGCAACAATGGTTGGTTGCTTGAGAATGTTGTCAGGGGGATGGCTACAGTCGTAGGTGAGTTTGATGTCTTTGCACGTCTTAACCTTGATGACAGCGATCCTCCACTCAATGATGAAGGACTAATAATTGGTTCGTTATCTGACGTATTTGGTTGACCACTTGTCGCCAGCTCTGTAGTCTGGAGTCCGTCTGTCTGGCACTGACTGTCTATGTCTGTCCTTCTGTCTATTTATCACTCTTTCTAACTTCCAAGCACGTGATGTTGATTGATACACTTCAATGTTTGATTGACCAATTATAATGCTTGTTTGTTTCAAATTGAGATAATATATATATATTAGATATATATATTTTATGTATATATATGTATGTGATGATATAAGATATAATGATAATGAATGACCAGTCACTGGTTGCAGCTTATAACTCAAACTTACACACCCAGTTTGACATTCTTGCAACGTGTTTCGTCATGAAGGTGAAGATTGGGGATACAGTAGTTTGGGGTGATGCAAGTGTGAATGTGTGTGAGTGTGTCTGCGAGGGTATGTCTGTGAGGGTATGTCTCCGGGAATGAATGTAAGTTCAAAGTTGCAATGATGATAACAATGATCATTTATTATTAAGTGAGAGTGAGTCAGTCAGTCAGTCACTACTATACTCTCTGTCCACTCCTACATCCGCACTGTCTGAAGTTATGGGAGGCGATAATGATTGATTGAAGCTTTGCTATCGTCTTCTTGTTGGCTCGCTGTACACAGTTGATCGAGGCAGTTGAGTTGTATTGTATACATATATGTTGGTTATGTTGACCGTCGTCGCTCGCTTAGTATCTTCTCCTGTTGTCACGATCATCTCTGTCATAGCCACCACGACCACGACCGCCACCTCCACCACGATTGTAACTCTCGAGTGTACGATGTTGTTGACGAGGTCTGTCTGAACCACCACGTCGTTGACTGCGCAGTTGCAGCACTGGTCCTGATGTGTCATTGGTCGACACGAATGCATAGTCGACCGATAGTTTCTGACCAGCGATCTCCAGTTTGCCGCTCTCCTTGATGGCAGCGTCCGCCTCGCTCTGGTTCTCATACTCGATCATGGCGTAGCCCTTGACAAAGCCAGTGCGACGATCGTAGTTGAGATGCAGGTTCCTGATGGCGCCATACTCGCAAAAGACATCGCGCAGGTCGCTCTCTTGCACCTCGTCGTGTATGTTGGTCACGATGATGATCCAGCCTTCGATCGAGCGTATTGGTGTACCAGGCTTGATCTCGCTCTCTGTCGCACTCAGTGGTTCAAACACACCGTCTTGACCAGCATAACGTTCCGAATCGATAGAGTCTGTTGTACCTCTGCCTTTAAACTTTGATGGCAATATACCCTTTCTCAAATCTGATGTATATATCTTCTCCTTCTGATCTCCATCCTTTGATGATGCACCTGTTTCCATTGGTTCATCAGACATCTTGTTCTATATTATTATTTATGTATGTATGTATGTATACTGACTATTATTATCTCTTTGTTGAATAACAATGAATGAAGAACACAGCTTGATTACAAACGGGTGAATGAATGAATGGTCTTTTTCATTCAAACTTGATCTTTTAGCGAACTTCAAACTTTATTGGAATCATTCCTTACTCCGGCACAAAACAATCATTTCAATTCATTCATGTTATAACTCTCATTGTTATACATATACAACTTCAACTTCATCTTCAACTTCATCTTCTAGCTAGCTCATACACACTCATTCACACATGCATGACTTCACAACAATCCACAACCTTGACCCCCTTCTTCATCAACTTTGTGGTCTAGTGTTGAAGTTGATGGCAGTCGTTTCAAGTGCGAATGATTGAATGAATGAGTATGGTGTATGATCTAATACCGATACACCATTGAACTGCAACAAAGTCACAGCAATGGCCACCTTTACTACAACATCAAATACAACCTCAACATCAACATCAACATCATCAATTACAATCAATTACAACCAATAGTAATAATAATAATAATAATAATAATAATGATTAGTATTGAGAATAATCATAGGATTGAGAAATCACCATCAGATGATAGGTTGTATAGACATTTGGTGTTGGAGAATGAGATGAGTATTATGTTGGTACAGGACGAAAAGACATCACATGCAGCTGCCACCATGAATGTCAGTGTTGGTTCTTCATCAGATCCGGACAACATGCTTGGAATGGCACACTTCCTCGAACACATGCTATTCCTAGGCACCGAAACTTATCCAATAGAGGGCGAGTATCGATCATTCATACAATCACATGGTGGCAAGTGTAATGCCTTCACAGGATGTAAGTACTCCCTCAATCGTTGACTGGAATCATTCCACTCACACTCACACTCACACTTAACTCAATCAATTAGTTCACGAGACAAATTATTGCTTCTTTGTTAATCCTGATCAGTTGGAACCATCCCTGGACAGATTGTCAAGTTTCTTTAAATGTCCATTGTTGTCGGCTGAGGCATCATTGAGAGAGATCAATGCGATACACTCAGAGTATGTGTTGAGAGCTCAATCAGAAGCCAATCGTCGTGCCACTGCAATCAAACATTGTTTCACTGGTCATCCAATTGGTCGATTCGGAGATGGCAACCTCAATACATTGAAGCCCGAGGAAGGACTGCATGAGAGGATGGTGCAGTTCTATCATGACAACTACTCTTCCAACATCATGTGTCTATGCATCGTTGGTCGGGAGCCACTTGATGTCCTAGAGTCATGGGCCAGGACACACTTTGCCCAAGTCAAGAACAACAATGTGGAGAGATACAAGACACCGCCTCTAGTACTGCCTCATCCAACACGTCTATACACCGCGCCATCCAACCCTCATACCCATGACCTGCAGTTCATCTGGCCAATGCCACCTCATCTAACATACACCAATACGATCAGAAGTGGATCATGTGGACATGTGGTCAACTTGCTTGGACACGAGGCAAGAGGCACTGTGTTGGCATTGCTCAGACAGTTGGACTATGCAAGTGAGTTGGATGCTAGCAATGTACAATATGATGACAATGCACAGATACTTGTATTGAGTGTCCGGCTGACCGAGCTTGGCCTGTCCAAGACTGATGAGATCATTGGCTTGGTATTCCAGTACATTGGAATGCTTTACGATCAGCACATACCCGACCACATTATCAATGAGCGAGTGTCTATCTCAAAGAATCAATGGACCACGCTGGAGAAGGGATCATCTCTCGACTATTCCATGTCCATCGCACAGAACTTGTTCTATCGCTCAGAGACCGAGTTCGTACTGAAACGAAGCTACATGAATGAGTATGTGGACATGGATGCGATCAAGTCAATCCTGGGCAACTGTACCATGGACAACTTGTTACTGGTGTTCGCGTCAAAGACATTGGAGTCCAAGTTGGATCAGGTGAACGAGGACTACGACTTCAAGTTTGCCACTGATTGTATAACATCAATGGAGATGGATAGGTGGAAGGCCGTTCCCAAGAACAGCCAGCTCTCATTCCCAAAGGAGAATCCATACCTCAGCACCGATCATTCAATCAAGTGTGATCAAACAATGGATAAGTTGTTGCCACAGCCTGTCTACGATCATGATGGAATCACAGTGGAGTACCTCCCGGACACAATGTTTGGATCTCCATCAGCACACCTGTTTATCAAGCTCCATGGCAATGCATTCGAACATCAATTGACCATTGACAATCTGATCAAGATGAGTATGTTGTGTAAATGTGTCGAGTCATATTTGAAAGAGGACATACTATACTATGCTAGATTGGCCGGTATAGTGAGCCAACTCAACATGGCCATTGATTGCATTCAGATGATATTCGATGGACACAGCGAGAAGTTGATGATCATCGCCCAGCAGGTCATCCAGCATCTTTCATCATTCAACATCTCACCCGTGCAGTTTGAGCAGGTACGCGAGATACTTGGGTCGGTGATCAAGAGTCGATCCTACACATCACCGCTCAGACAGGCAGAGGAAGAGGAGATCCAGTATCTCAGCAATATCTCCGCCACTGTTGATGAGAAGTTGGAGGCACTGGCCGCACTCAACATCACATCATTCAACATCTTTGTTCAAAATCTCTTCAACAAGAGTGATTACCGATGTCTGATCGTTGGCAACTTGACCAAGAATGACGCCATTGCATTTGGATCTCAACTATCCGAGTACATCCCATCTCGACATCTCAGGGTACACGACACAGACATAGACACCATGGCCATGGTCAAGTCACATTGTATAGAATTGTCACCTGGCTCTCAAACATTGCTTCGCAAGCCATTCAACAATGACAAGGATGCTGGTGCACTGTGTGGAGTGAGTGTGTCACTTGGAGACATGAGGGATATACCAAACATGGCAATGAGCAGAGTGATCTTGGCCATATTCAATATAGTTGCATTCAGTCAGTTGAGGACCAGAGAGCAACTGGGTTATGTGGTACAAGTCACTCGTAGCAATGTACACGATACATCATTCCACAGTGTAATCATTCAATCAACTAATCGTAATCCAGATTTCTTGTACAAACGTATTGTACAATACATCAATCAAGACTTTGTACAAGTGTTGGAAGAGTTGACTCCAGAGACATTCAAGTCCTATATCCACACAGTCCAAGAGAACCTCCAAACCAAGTTTATGAACATTGGTAGTATGGCATTATTCTACTGGGCATCCACTCTATTATTTAATGATTATCAATTCAGTATGTACTCTATCAATCATTTTCCAGGACCCAGTTGATCTCTCACTCATTCACTCAATCGATCAATCGATCAATCAAATAGATATGAAGATGGCGGAATACTTGGATGGAGTTACAAAGAGTGATTTGATTGATTATTATAACAGAGTGTTTGTTAGATCAGATACAAGAACATACTTTGCAGTACAATTATATGGAAATGATCAACAACCGATGAAGCAAGATATCAATGATCCATCAATCACTCTAATTGATTGTTCACCATCTGTTTTCAAACAACAACAACAACTTCTACAACAAGGAGGAGGATCGGCAAATCCATAAAGAGTTCATCCACTTAATTTGATTAATTGATTGATTGACTTGGCTCATCGGGTAGGGTCCAGTGTCTCTCGGCTTTCATTATGACATCAGTAATAGACAATAGAATAAGAACTAATTAGTTTATAGATGGTGACATCCAAATTTTGATTGAATTAGTGGAGTTGATGAGCCACCACCACACTCACAAGGATTAGATTCTCAAAATGATCAACGATGTCATGGAAGACCATCAAAGGTTTGGGGTGAATGCGAGATTCAAGCTCAGTGAAATTTACATTCGAATTCTCTCTCGTTTGGGACATCACACTTCTAAAGGACACCTTTTACCTTGATATCAATCAAACCTCATTCTCTCTATCAATCAACTGTAACATTTATATATATATCACTTTGTTATTATCTCATTAACTCAATCACATCACATCACATTACATTATATCCTTTCATTCAAATACTATCATTCGTTCAATCAATCAATCAATCAAACATAATTTTATACATAGAGATAGATAGAACGGAGAATGAAGAAGAGAATAATAGTTAGATTCTATGTACAGAAGAAGGTTGAATATGGTCAATATCTAAAGATAACGGGGTCTGTACCTGGTCTTGGTTATTGGTCAGTGGACAATGGAATAAGGATGCAGTGGACAGAGGGTGATTGGTGGATTGCAGAGTATCAATGTGAGGGTGCATTGTACTCACAACCAAAGAATCAATTCCGTTTGGATCCTGTATTTGGTCTATGTCTAGAAGAGACCAACAACACAGACCTGTTATCAAGTGCCTCGTCCACTCCATCTAGCGCCTCCTCGTCCACGTCATCATTCCTTCTCAACAGCACACAGTCACTGTCGCCCAAGCTCAAGGGCGTCTCGCCACAGTTCATCGACCTCGAGTACAAGTACGTACTGTTTGAGAACTACACCACGGCTTGGGAGTCTGAGCGCAATCACAAGGTCAGCTTCATGGTGTGGTCCGACCCATCAGTCGCCAAGGACGTTGAGGACATCCTCATAGAGATACGTGATGAATGGAATGGAGGCAACGGCGTCTGCCCCACGCTGGACTTCCAATCGAACCAGCCCATAGTCCTGGACCGCTCGGCAGCTCATTACTCATCGCCGAGCACAATGGGACTCGGCAGCTATTCCCCGACCTCGTCCAGCTCGTCCATATACTCGAGCTGCTCGTCATTGCAGCTGACTGACAGCGAGAAGCAGTACTGCTTCCTGCATCCGATGGACCCGCACCCTGTACCCCGCTACCCGGCCCAGATCTGTACGTTCATCGTGGTGGGCGAGGGCAACACCGACTCGCACAGCGTGCTCCTGGTCAGCCACTTCTTTGGCTCGGAGTTCCAGAACTCCATCCAGATGATACCAATCGTGCAGCTGGGCGTACCCTACACGCTCTGGGTGGGCCAGCTGTACGCGCCACAGCCAATCAAGTTTGAGTACAAGTACGTCGTGGTCAGCAATAACAATCGTGGAATGTTCTGGGAGAAGGGCACGAGATACTTCTCATCGTCGACACAAGGTCCTCGACTCCTAATCAACAATGATGGCCCATTGCGTGTGTCTGATGCCAGTCCATCATGGATAATGACTGGTCTCGTTGGACTTGTACAGACTGACTTCAACTGTGCCCTAGTATCCGTTGTACAGATGTTATATCATATATCACCTTTAAAGAATGTAAGTGATGATTACTTTGATCATGGATGTACAGTCACTGACATACGACCACAACAGGTATTATTGAACCTAAGGGGAAAGATTGGATTCCCATATACTCAATGTCTGGCCAATATATTCACATCGATGGAGATGGGCTCTCAAACTACGGAGCTCCATCCACTACAGACAATGATTGGAAACTGCTCAGATGCAGCCGAAATACTAAACATAATCCTGGTTTCTCTAATCGAGGAGGTATCAAGGGTATGTATCATCATTCAATCACTCAATCAATCGCTCGATCACTCACTCAATCAATATACTTCTAGATCTCACAAATATCGAGTCATGACAATATAGTGATTGATCATTTGTTTGAAGGAGAACTTACACAGACATCAATATTTGTGGAGCAGACTACATTGGATGGACAACAACAACAACAACAACAACAAGGAGAGATAACAGCAGTCAAGACACATAAGGAGAAGTTTGTCAATATTATACTTCCAGTCCGTGGATACACATCACTAGAGTCATCCTTCCAATCATACAAACATAATATCGAGCATTACGAATCACCAAACACAGTATGCGAGACAACAATCACAATGGACATAATACCAGATATATTCATAATTCAACTTGATCGAACATATTATCAATCATCATCATCATCGAACTCATCCTCGGATAACCAATCACAGCAACAACAACAACAACTTGTTAAACTAGTTGACATGTTCTCATTTCCAAAGAAGTTCTATCCGACGGATAACAATGCACAGTATAATCTAAAGGCTATTATATGTCACACTGGCTCTGTGGATGCGATCAACAGTGGACACTTCTTTATATACGTTCGTCGTGGCAAGCAATGGTACAAATGTGATGGTGCCACAATCCTAAAGGTTAGCCAGCGAGAGGCAATCAATGACAGCTATGGTGGTGGTGCCAATGATTCATATGCATGTAAGTTATAACTTCATACGTTTAGATTGATTGAGCGATTGATCCAATCATACTGATCCTACACAACTAACTCATTCAATCAATCAACCAATATCAGATATACTTGTTTATGAAAAGTTGGTCACACTGGAAAATAGATAATAATATTAGATACATAGTTATTAAACAGCTTGATGTACTTATTGACTTAATTAATCATCAAACTTCAAATGGTAATATCAAGGTCTCAACTCAATATTCAAATCAAAACCTTGGTGTTATCATGGTCTTCTTTTTGCAAACTTAGTTTGCAAAAGCCTCGCAGAGTCACACCAGTCATTTTTTTTTGAAGACTTAATTTATTTTCAATCAAAGTCAATCATTTCATCTCTTTCCCTATATATATATAAGTAAATAAGATGTATCTAAACTTATCTATACTAAATATAACTTTATTATTCTTATTAATATTAGTTGTTAGATCTGACAAGATCAATGAGTTCCTCGACAGTGACTCTATAACTGTCGGTTATGGTTGTGTTGAGACCACTCTAACTCCTCTACCAAACTCAATTATTAAGTCGAAGGACGCTAGTATCGTGATGAACTTTAATCAAAGACAAATGTAAGTATTCATCAATCCACTCTATCATATCACTCATCTGATGAATGCTAACATTATTTCTATCAATCATACTCAACAATATATAGGAAGATAGCCGATTATTCAATTGACACAACTGACAATGAAGTATTACTCAGTTACACCAAGACCATCATTGGTGAATATCCCAATGTTGTAAGTAGAAATAATGAATATGGCTATCATAAATAAGAAACTAACATTACTTAAATAATAGTACTTCATTGATCTGTACACCAACCGGACCATTGCTCCCATTGGATTGGTTGTGGTTGATGATCAAACCATCAAGTTCACCTTCCCCACTCTCCCAATCTCTGACAAGTTGGTGTATGGATTCAAGGACATCTTTAACTGGAATGGTCATTTTATTGGTGTAAGTTACTCCTTCATTCATTCAACTAATCCCTATCAATCAATAATACTAACATTTACCCATCCAGCCTCAATACGCGGGTGTCTACTCTACGACTGAGCAACCTCCTGCCCCAAACACCCTTCCATCGAGGTCCAAACTTAGTCTTTGCCCACTAACCAATCCTACCTGGTTTGGAGGTGATACCTCAGTCCAACCATCGGTGTCCCCAATGGCCAAGTTGGTTGCCAATCCCTGCAACTCAACCATCTCCATCTGTAAGCCAAGTGATACTTTCTACTATGAGCTGGAGCTTGATCTGCGCCTCTCAAAAGGTAATCTAACAATTCAATTCTACCAGTTCACATTCGCTGGTCAGAAGTATAATGTCAACCTTCCTGTATGTATCTACATTATCCTCGATATCTTTCACTATTACCTATGACTGACTCTTTAATATATTTTGTGATATATATAGATTTTGTTGGAGTCATTGGATTCTATTGTTGAGTATCAAATGAACATAGATGACCAGTCTTACCAGTTCATTGGAGAGGGTACGGCTGACCTTTTCCAACCATATGAGCCTCCAAGTGATAAGATGGTTGGGATTGTCAGTCCAAGTACATTCAAATCATACATCAGGTCCTTGTATGATAAGGAATTCCTCAGTGTCACTTTTGGAAATGGATCAGTTGTCCCTGTATGTTTCCAATCTCCCTCAAGTTCCTAATGAGTTTGTTGTAAATGTCACCATCCTAACAATGATCACTTCAATTATATTATAGTTTAACTTTGATTGGATTGGATATTTGGCCAAACCTTCCCAAGAGACATTCATCTTCAACTCAAAGGATGTAGCAAGTATGTTATTCTCTCTAACTGGATATTATATATCAACCGATCAAATCTAATTTGTCTTTGAAATCAATCAATCAATCAATCAATCAATCATTCATTCAATATAGGAATCATTATCTTGGTGAAGGAGGATGGAAATATGTTCTATATGTCCTCTTCCCAGACTAAGTTCTGTCCAACTGGTTCCCCTCGTAACTCTGGTTATGTTGGAAGTACTCATTACTTGTTCCGTAATGGACCAAAAATGAACAGATACCAACTTAACTCCATGGTACCTAAAATCACAAGGACTTTCAGAATCACTTTGTTTGGAAAGTCTTATCTATTCAATACTACTCATCTCAACCATGATGATGACCAGGTCAAAATTAGTTTCCATTTCAATGATGCCTCATATGACTGGAGTAAGTAATAACATTCCAATCGATTCTCAATATACTAACCCAAACTCTATTCTCAAACAAAGTATTGCTTGGCTATTCTATGTTGTACCCAGAGAGTGGTACAATCAAAGGTGGCTTGTTCATTCCAGACACTCAATTTGGATCTAACCTCGATCAAATTGGTGTTACACCGGACAAACTCTTTAATCAACCCAACTTCTGTTCCCAAGGGGAAGGAAGTGGTTTGAGGAACAATCTCAACTATTTTGTTGCCAGAGGTGATTCTTTCATTCCAAATTACATGCCATTCTGGTCCCAGTGTGATGGTACCTTGTCTGATCGCAGTCACCGTACCAAGTTGTCCGAGGGCAAGTTAACTTGTGATCTAGCAAGCGAAATCGGCAGGTCCATGATCCAATTCAACCAAGGCTCCATCCCTATTCTACAACCATTTGTCAGCCAGCCGACAATCAACCGTACCATCAACTCAAACTACATCGATCCCTGCGAAGGAGAGTTTACAGTTGATGTCTGCAACTCAGGCCAGGTTGAAGGACTTTTCTTCATGGATTTCTCTTGCAACAATGAGATGGGAGAGGTTCTTATTGAACTGATCAACAGGTTCCAGATTGTGCTCCCAGGTCAATGCCTTCCATTCTCCACCAGAATTGTCTACAAGGAGTATCCAGCCAAACCTCTGCAGTGTCGAGTGGATATGTCCATTAACAAACAACTGCTCTGGATCGATGAGGGAATGAAATCGACCGCCAACTTCATCATTCCCATGTACCCATCTTGCACAATGGTCAACCCTTGTTTGGAGGTCATCTGCAAGCCCAAGCTGGATATTATCGAATACCATCCATCAGAGTTTATGAAGGTGGGCCACTTCCTATATACGTCCAACTTTGATGTGAAGATTAAGAACTCTGGAGATGCAGGTGGATACTTCAAGTCCACTCTCAATTGCTCCTCTCCGATCATCAAGGATTCGAACTTTGAACATGAGAATGGACTCTATGAACAGGTCACCTACATTGACTCCATGAGCAATGATACTCAAAGATTCCAACTATTGGTCGAGCCTTCTCCAACTCCTAATACATTCTTGGAATGCAAGGTGATGACAACCATTATGAACCCTAGCAGATGTTGGTCGATTTCTGATACCGACACACACAACAACACCATCCTCACTGCCATTCCATACGACCCTCTAGTCGAGTGATTGAATGAGCTAGTGAGTCATCTGGTAACACATCCTTACCCACCATCACCTTTGTTATATATAAGGTAGATCAAATAAACAACTTGGTAATTGATATTAAAATTCATATTATTAATTTCATACTTGGACGTCCACCATGATTCGATTGCACATGTCAATGGTCCTCACGCTTCCAACCTCATAAGCATGATGACGAACTAAGTTGAGAAGTTTGTTGATACAATTTTGATCGATACCTGCTCGAGTGTAGCAGCCACCACAACCATCTCCATCTCCTTCAAACATATAACTGATCAAATGATGATGGTTATTGTTCAATGCCACTTGGATGCTTGGCATTGTTGGGATATGTCTCTGGAGCTGGGCAGGCGTGACACATCTTTGATGTATCAAACGGAGATTGCTCAGGTTGCCATCCCTGCAGGCTTGGTTGGTGATGAGTTGTAATGAGTTGGACTTGTAGTTGTCCACACTGAGGTAACCTTTGTCTAAAAGATATGCCAATACTGATGGGTTTAAGATCGCTTTCAAACTGAACAATGATTCTATCCTTTCATTTGGACTCCAGATACCATTATTGATGGCCAGTGTGAACAAATGGTCAACTGATTGGATAGGTTCACCATCGCCATTCTTAATACAACTTTTGGAAAAGTGGTCGATCGCCTTCCTGATAGCCTCTCTTGTGATAACAAGGTCCAATGGGAATGTTGTGTAGTGATCGATTACCAATTGGATCAATGATATAGGTCTTTTCAACACATAGGTCAATAGTGAATTGTTTGGTTTGAAGTTGATACCAAACTTGAGGACCGTATCAATTGTCACCAAGCTGCCAGGTTCTCCAATGCGATCGATTAGTTTTATCATATCCCCCTGTAACATGGTGCCCGGCTCTGGCTTCATCTTCCTCGCCATGTTAAGATTGTCCATCCCCAACGCTTTTGAGAATGCAGCCTTACGGTTAAAGGGTGGGAACTTCGAGGCATTACTCTCAATGTATTCAATGAAGTCATTGTTACCAGTCGCTATCGCATCGGTCAGACAACCAGTATATTGGCTACAATCGATGTTTGGATGTTCCAACAAACATTTGATCAAATTGATTGAATTGATTGAGTGATCTATAAATTCGATCTTGTCTGATTGATTGGCATACTTATCTGCCAGATCTGACTCCAATTCACTCATTAGGAAGTTGAACACCTCCAGATGTCCATTGACCAATGACGTTGATACGGCATTCAATACATGCTTCGAAGATTGACTGTTGTGATCTACAATGAGTTGATGCATTCTCTTCACAATGACCAAGTGACCACCTGCTACTGCAAAATCAAACAGTAGAGTGAGGAGTTGATAATGACCATCATCGGGATGTGGTGATGATGAAAGTAACATGTTAAACATATCCAAACTTCCACTGTTGATAATTCGTTCGAATAGAATAATCTTATTGATCTCCACTACATCTCGAAATGGATGAACTTGATGTCTGTTGAGAATGTATCTAAAGACTGATGTGACGTTGTAATCAATGACGATGGTCAACATGTATGAGAGCAACTCATTTGACATGAACATATAATCATCCAAGAGTGTGATCATCTCCAATGCCCATGGTTTGGTCAGCCAGGTGTCACGGAAATTGTCCAATATATGAATATCATTAATCATCTCGGGATCTATAACACTCGTCTCAATGAGTCTTTGAAGGAATGCTGGATGATTGATTGATGGCACTAGTTCATCTGAGAAGTAGCAGGGTTTGTCAGTCAACCAGTTGATCATGAGGAATTGCTCAAGTATCTGCTCCCAGTGTGGATGTGCACATGATGACAAGTCTCCAAGATTCTGTATGTTATTGCGAGCACGTGTGCTCATGTTGGGATTGGCAATGAGTGCATTCAAAGCACGTGTGTCACCTTGAGAGAATGCTTCAGTCAACAATGATGTATTGAATGGATACGTCGTTGGGATAGATTGGTATGCATTGAGGAACCATTCCGTAGCACCATATTTGATGTAGTCTCTAAGGTTGTGATTGTCCAACAATCTTGAACCCTTGATCACTTTGTCTTGTATGGAGATGTGAATATATCCAATGTGTTCCATGATCAATGGTCCAAGCTTCCTATTACCAAACACCTTGTGGACCAATTCCTCCATCCAACTTGAACATGCCAATCTATGTGGTTGCGCCGCCAAAGGTATGAGACTGGACAAGTCCCTACGTTAGTTGTATGTCTTTGTATGAATGAATGATGAATGATTGTTATCACTTACTCTCTGAGATGATCATCACCATTATCATCACTTTGGCTGAGTGGTTGGATGTGTTTGATGCATAGTTTGATCAAGTGTGTTGCTCCGACATGATAGGCTTTTTGGAGGATAGTATGGAAAGCGCGCAAACGATGTGACTTGGACAGATTGTTGAATATATCTGAGTTGAAATGGTATTCCATTGAATGATGAGCATTCTCTTTGACCATATTCTTCAAAGTTCCAAGACTTAATCCAAATGTAGATACCAAGTCCTGGACCTGTGGTCCAAACTGTCTCTGAAGTGCGATGATATAATCAGGCCGGTCATTGGTCAAAGCAACTTCGACTATTATCTCGAGATCAGATTGAATCTCTTCAAATGTGAACAAACTGATGATGTACTCAAACACCTCTGGAGAGGCATTATGTGCCGCCCATATACAGCATCTTGTGTCCTGCCTGACTTTGATTGAGTGCTCCAACATCATCTTGACCTCATCAATGGTTGCTATCTGAATGAAACTTGATCCCTGCTGCTGGTCCAGATCAAGGCTCATCTTCAAGAGCTCCAAAGTCTCGCCACATCTACGCTTCATGGCTGATGTCAATGAATGTCCACTGATCTCATAGGGCACATTGAACTTGCGATGTAGCGCCTTCATCACAGCAGCCGAGTAGCCCGCAGCCACTGCCATTGAGCGCGAGGCATAGTCTTGTACAGAGTGTACGTCCTGGATCTTGCAGTTTTCAATGAACATGCAGACAATGTCGGCGGTGATGTTGGTATCTTCCACCGGTGCCCACACCATGTTGAGCAGTGACTCGCGATCAAATACGAGTGGAGGTGATCGTGGTCTAGAGATAAGTGTGGCCATTGATGCAGACATTCTGTTGCAAAGATTTTCATTCAAACTCTTGATGTGAGTGATGAGTAGTTCGGCACTGACCAGGTCATCAGTGCGGATAGCTGCCAAATAGGAGACGTGAATCTTGGATCCAGTCTCATCCAAACTCTCAACTATTTGATCCTCAGTGTTCATATGGAGTGTGCCATTGCCGACGTGATGTGTGTGTAGGTACAAGACAAAGTCTTCCTTGCCGTATGACACTGCCTCTTCAACAAAGTCTTGGATGAATATCTCCTTAAGGTATTCGGCACCAAAGGATGTTTGACTGAACACAAGGAAAGCGTCAATGCTTCCATACTTGGCGCAATATACAAGGAAGCTTTTGAACTTGTTGGTGGCGACACCGGTGTCAGGGAAGTTGGCAAAGATGTACTGGATATTTTCGATTAGGTTGCGCTTGATTGAGTGCTTTAGGACTTGTTCCCAAATGTGGCGATACACAAATAAGCAGCCAAACTCCTCGTGAAGTACCTTGAGCACGCCTACTTCGATGTTACGTCTCTTGAACTTGAAGTACTCGAGGCGATTCACGGCATTCTCGATCGACTTTTGGATGTACACGTCTTGGTCCTCGTTGGGATCGTTGTCTGAGGGCACGAGATCATATTGCTCCTGCGGTATGCAGCCTCTTGTCTTTAGATGTTGGAGCAGGGTTCGGACAAAGTGTTGGTCGCCATGGGTGATTGCAATGGGCAGGCAGGAAACAAAGTCGACACTCATCGATGAGAAGCAGGATGTGGCGGCGATGTATGATTGTAGTATGTCAACATTGCCATGTCGGCATGCATCTTCAAGTCTGAACACCTTTTGATCAATGATCATATTGGGATGTTTGAGTAAAAGATTGAATACTAGTATGTTGTTGCGTAGTGCAGCTTGTCGTAACAATGTAGTATTGATTGGATAGTTGGAGGCTACTTCATTGAATGCCTTGATGAACATCTCTGTGGCATTGTACTTTAGCATCAACATCAGGTCGCCACTCTGATGCAACACCCTGCCCTTGATCGTTGTTAACTCTTTATACATCTTTTGATGGATGTTACTGACATGGTCAAGTATACGTCTCCACAGAACATGGTTGTGGAACACGTCATAATGGATACTTCGAGTGTTATCCATGGATGATCACTCACTGTTATGCTTATCTGTACTGATATTAATATAATTACTTAGTTATTGAATGAATGAAATGAATGAGGTTGATCAAAACTTGTAAATGTAGTGATCATCGATTATTTATACAAGGTGGATGGTAGTTGTTGCTAATTTAATCAGATCTTCTCCTTCTCAATGATTGTTCCGCTATTGTTGTTGTTGTTGTTGTTGTTGTTATTGGTTCCTGCTCCAATTGTTACTCCAACTCCAACACCTCCACCAACTCCCACACCACCTCCACCTCCAACACCAGCGCCAGGTCCGCCAACTACTACGCCAACAACACTGGTGCCGACGCTGCTGGTGCTGCTACTGTTTGGTACGATTGTTTCTCGACCGTCATCCATGTCCTCGCGAGACTGACCATCTCGACCAAATGCCTGGGAGCCAGTGGCTGTGTTCTCGTGTGTGATCGACAGAATCCTCTCGCACTTTAGCTTCTTCTTGACACGCTCGTTGTCCTCCTCGGACAGCAGCACTCTCCTCGGCTGATCCTCCATCTTCCTCGAGTCATCTCCATGCTTGATGTAATAAGAGCTACTGATATCATGTAGCGGTGTTGGTGCAATGCGATTTGGATCGTCGACCTGTCCTTTGTTGGCATGTCGGCTACCCTTGGCCGGTTGCTCTGTCTGTTGTTGTTGCTGTTGTTGTTCGTTGTTGTTGTGATTTCCATTGACATTCTTTTGTTTGTTTCTGCCTGGATCCTTTGTTGGATCGAGTGATGGAGTGATGATATTGGGATTGGTGATCGTTGACAAGTCTGCCAACTTCCTCTCCATCTTCCTCTTTTGTTTGTTCTTTGTCTTCTTGAGTGTATGTGGGTCTGTTATAACCTCTCCAAAGAGCTAATGATTGAATGAATGAATGTTAGTATATGATTGATCAATTGATTGATTGAATGATTGACCTGAACATACTGGTGTCTTGGAATAGGTATGTTTGTCTGGGAATTGTGGAAGGAATGAAGGTACATGTGCTGGAAGCTCGACTGCTGCAGCGGTGGCAGCAGCTTGTTTGTCTGCTCCCTCCTCCTTTTCCTTGTCCTTGTTGCCCGAAGCTTCACCATCAACCATTTCGACATCTTTGTTATTGGCACCAGATGATGATGATGAAGATTGTGCATTGCTACTTGTACTTGATGTCTGTGCATTGTTGTTATTGTTGCTACCACCTGTACTACTTGTAGTAGTAGTACTAGTAGCTGATGACAATTGCTTCTTGCTTTGTAGTTGTTGTGCCTCGGCAATTCGACTTGCTGGCAGAGGGAATGGAGGTATCGTCTTTGCAAATGGTATCTCATCTGCCTGTATCAGAAAACGTTGTAACTCATTCATATCGATCGACATATCCAAGAATGCCTGATGTACATCATGAAAGTTACATTCAGATCTACTCGCTAATTCACTATACTCTCTTGCTCTCGTTCCAATCTCTTCAATATCTATGTTTGTTTGATTGATTGATTAGTATGATACTTGAGTATGAGTATGTTGCTCATTGTTTGATTGATTGATCATACATAAAGCTATTATATCAGTCAGTGATTCACAAGCAGACTGTGATATTGCAGAGAATCTAAGTCCATGTGATATTTGAGCAACTACAATACGACAGAGTGCTCTAGCATAACTGTCGCTCATAATTATAATGTTGACTCCTTTTGTGAAGTCTGTATAATGAGAGTATATATGATCTGATTGAATAAGTATCTGTATCTGTATAAAGTAATGGAGATAACTAAAGAATGAAAGACAATGAATGAGGTGGCACAAGACTTCATCATCTTCAATTTTTCAAGTTATTGGCGCGACTCACTATGAGGGCGAGTTCATTAGCTCGACCCCAACAATCATCTGTTGCACTTGAAGATTAGACAACAATGACAACACAATCAGACAAAGATACATTCGTTGAGACGACAACAATGACACCGACATCAGATGAGAATACAACAACTACTACTACAACAAGATATCAAGTCGATAGATCAATAGCAATTCAAAGAGTTAATGATATACTTCATCCTCAGTTCGACTCGTTCGGACAGTACTTGTTGAAGGGAGTCAGGTTTGGATTCCTGACGGGTATACCAATGGGACTTATTATACATAGATTCATCAAGACACCCGACAACATTCTATTGTCCACACTAAAGTCGACGATCAACATGACATTCATTGGTACCTCTTACATGGCCACCTCCTACGTGCTGGACAGTCATCTGCTGATACCTGGCATATCAAACGCGTTGGCTAGTGGCGCCGTCAGCTGCGGCCTGGCCTCAAGCGTCTTTGGCGGACTGAGACAGTTCCCGGTGGGCGCTGCGGCAGGTGGCATCATAGCCGGCGTGGGACACCTCGTCCATCGCACGGTCATCGCGCCGCGCCCCAAGGCTGGCGAGATTGGCTCGCAGGCAGCCAACGCCAAGGAGCTGACACAGTTGGTGAAGCAGTACAACATACAGCTGAGCCCAATCGACACACACATCTATCGACGTCTACTCGAAGACGAATCACTTCACAAGGATGATCTGACTGCCATCGAGTATCTGAAACAGCTGTCACCACTTCGCGAAGTATCACCAGACGAGCGCGACACATTGCTAAAGATGAGGACACATGGACAGATCAATCTACCTGGTGCATCATCGCCAACGTCCCTCTCTCCAACAGGTGGTAATGTTACACCTTCGAAGGAAGATGATTGATTGATTGGACTTCAAATAAACAACCTGTTCGTTGCTGCTGTATGTTTCATCGCCGTCGTCGTATTCGTCGTCGTCGTCATCTTTGTCGTCTTTATCGTCTTTGTCGTTTCATTTATTATTATTACTCGTTGTTCTGAACATCTTGATAGATCTCGTCCTCCTTTAACAACATGTTTGGAATGCCCTGATCGATCAAGTACACTCTTTGACAGTTTGGACATGTCAGTGTTCCTGTCATGACCTTGACCTAAAGTTGATTGATTGTTTGATAAGATTAGACATGATCTATCTTCATTCATTCATTCATGTATGATACCTACGTTACAAAGTAGATTATATAGATTCTTTAGGAACTCCTCATCCTCATGAGACTTGTCTGTTACTTCGCCCAACTGTATATTAAACTGTGAGAGAGTGATGCATCAGTCAGTATTGATGAACCATGGTGATACTAGCATATCATCAATCAACGTACTTGCTTGGCAGCCATCTGTATACCATTCCAATCGAGCTTGGACATTATATTCTTGACAAACTCATGATTGAACTCTTGATTCAATGTGACAACATCCTTAACCTCTAACTTCAAAGGGAAACCTCTTCCCACACACTGTCTCTTTGTACAAGCCATCATATTATATGTTAGAATCTTCATCTTTTACTTCTTCTTATTCTTCTTTGTTATGTATATATGTATATATATCTATATTAATAGTTTGTTATTATAACTACAATGTTTATCTCACTTTGTTCCAAAAAGTGTCGTTCGTCAAACACGAACACCCCTTCAACAACCAAATACACATTCATACACATACATTCTGATGTTGACGATGATGACAATGATGTCATAGATATATATATGTTTATTATTACTACTTAGAACTTGATACGATAGGTACCAGCATGCTTGAGATGCTCGATCTCGTCTTCTAGTGGCTCCATGATTGTTGGAAGATGCTTGGCGATGGAAGGTCTCTGGTTCATGCGATCCAACCATGTCATGACATTGGGATACTTCTCATGATGTGGAAGGAATCCCTCACGAATGTATACAGCCCATGCATACACTGCCATATCAGCGATGGAGAATTGACCACCGGCAATCCAATCCTTATCCTTCAATTGTTGATCCAACACAGTGTACAGTCTATCGGTCTCCTTGTAGTATCGTTCCTCAGCGGCGGGCACTGCCTCGGGGGCAAAGCATGAATAGTAGGTGTACTGGCCGTTCATTGGGCCCAGGCCGGAGATCTGCCAGGCCAACCATTGGAGGACGTCGGCATGCTCACGTGGGTTGGTCTTGATGTCTGGAAGGAACTTGCCGTGCTTGGAGGCGAGGTAGAGCAGGATGGCGCCCGACTCAAAGATGGGCAGTGGTGGACTGACGGTGTAATCAATGATGGCTGGCACCTTTCCATTTGGGAATGTCTTTTTGAATTCAATCTTCTTTGGACTCTCGTCATTGAATATATCAATCTCCTCGTACTTGTAATCAATTCCAAGCTCATCAAACATAATCTTTATCTTCCATGGATTGGTAGTACCGCATCCATAGAACAAGTATGGCTTTCCTTCGTTAAGGATTTCAGAGTTTGAAGTAGTAGTTGACATTTTAAAAAATGGTAATTATTATAATATTTAGTTGAATATTTGATTGATTGATTGTTTGGTTGTAGTTTGTTTGAATATGATATTGACAGTCTTGATCAAATTTAGTTTAAATAGGATATCAATCGAACAAACAGTATATTCCATTGATTGATTAAATGTAAATGCCCAATATTTGACGTTCCATATGGAATTGGATATTTTTATGTTTGTTCAAAAATGTTCATAAATAGAAGATCAGCGAATGTCCTTCCATTTCGAAGTTTCCCGATCGGTCCGACCAGTATCGTTACTTATACTTTCGTAAAATATATTATTATTATAAAAACTCAATCACATATAGGATAATATTATTTTTATATTATTATATTTATTATATATAATAAATATTAATATGATCAATTGGAGTTTCATATGCACTATCGTAATAATCACAAAGTGTGAGCGTGGTAGGGGTTAGTGCCATCAGTGTTACTCTAATTGATGGTAACACTACAAAATAAGGGCTCAACTCTATTGATGACCAAGTGTGTGTACACATACACAATCATTAAATACTTGTGGCCACATGTGATAATTGTATGTGAATTCTTTATATGTAAAGTGTATTTACAGGCAGTAGCCACTATTCATATGATACAACAATTACCCTACACTCTCTTCACTACATTGTATGATCTAATTGATCATGTATTATTATTCACTCTGATTGATTGATTATTAGATAAAGATAGAACCATTTATTAATGGTTATTCCTTCGAGTATGACTATAAAGTCTATAAATCTAATATCAATATTTGTCATTATTATTATTATTTCAGCGACTACTACTAATGGTATGATTCCATCCAGAAAAAAATCTCAAAAACTAGTGAACTAATCTTTAATCAAACAGCTGATAGATCACCATTGGCACCACAATGTCGTAGTTATAGTTGTCCGGTGGATCAGGTGTGTGTAGCATGTCTTGGAGCACCTATGTGCATGCCGATATGTAGATTCCTACAATGTAACACTCCAAACACTCAATGTACGATTGCTATTGGTACAGATGGTCTGTTTGAGCCAAGATGTATCAGACTTAGTCTTCCGACCTCATCCCCATTATCAACTACATCTGCAACATCTGCAACATCTGCAACATCAATACCAACAACAACCACAACATCAACACCAATGACTACATCGGTATCATCAACAACAACATCAATACCAACTACTTCTATACCAATGACAACATCTTCTTCTGAACCACCATCATCTTCGGATTCACCATCCTCTGAATCATCATTATCATCTGAATCACCTTCATCTGATTCAGAATCTATGTCCTCAGAGTCAAGGGGACCTTCATCTTCAGAGTCTATTTCATCTTCATCTTCTGTGGAATCAAGCGAACCAGGTCCAACACCAAAACCAACTTCGACTCCCACTCCTCAATCATCAGAGCAACCAACAGAACCACCTACGGAGCCACCAACAGAACCACCAACAGAGCCTCCAACTGAGCCTCCCACTGAGCCCCCTACTGAGCCTCCAACCACCAAACCAACTGAGCCTCCTACTGAGCCTCCAACGACAAAACCAACTGAGCCTCCAACAGAGCCTCCAACTACAAAACCAACTGAGCCTCCAACTGAGCCTCCAACGACCAAACCAACTGAGCCTCCAACTGAGCCTCCAACTACAAAACCAACAGAGCCACCAACTGAACCTCCAACTACCAAACCAACTGAGCCCCCTACCGAGCCACCTACCGAACCACCAACTGAGTCACCAACTCCTGCACCAACACCAGTCAAATTCGATTCTTACTTTGCCCAGTCACATGTGCTGCCGCCTCAAGGAAAGCCTTGGAATCTCAAGGGCCAGAAGAATGAGCTTCATCTTACCGGCGATCGTGATACACTTCTGATTGTCAAGGCCAAGCCAGTCCCACCTACCACAACAGGTAGAAAGTTCGTTCGCAACGCACATGCAGACGACTTTACCGCCCCGCCCAAGGTCGACATCTACACACCAACGGCTGCATGGACGGTCAACAACCCAAGCGCTGTGGCATTGGCAACAACACTCACAACCAACCCACCAGCACTCCTCCCGCCAACCGAGTCCAAAGGCGACCCGGTCTTCACCAATGCCTACTCAGTGCGCATACCTCGCAAATTCATCAAGCCTGGCATGAAGCTGGTGGTCGATGGTGACGAGACCCAGGCCATCTTCCCCAAGGTCGGCATGGACAGCACGATGAAGTTGTTCATTCTACCAATCTATTTGCTTGGTGCCAGGAAGGGCGAGGAGATACCACTGAGCAGGCTGTACCCTGAGGAGGTCAACAAGAAGGCAATGTTCCAGGAGTGGCCTTGGGCAAATCTCGATGTTGGCATGCATCCAATGTGTGACCTGACCTCGAAACAAATAGCCATTCAACCAATCAACGGCAAACAGGCATATAAGATGGATATGACCAAGACATTATCAGATCCAACGATACTGATGCCAAGTCTCCTTCCACTTCTAGCTGCCCTACAAATTGCAAGTTGTGATCAGTTGACTAACATGTTGTACTACGCTCCATTGATTGTCTTGGATGGACCAACTGGAAACAATATCAATATCCCATCAGGACTTGGTGGCAACAGAGTTGGAACAGGTGATGCAGAATACACCGGTATATTCATCCAAGAGATGGGTCGTGCCATGGGTGCCCGTGTAAGTGTCAATGTACCCTCGCCTCGCTCATTCACTCACTTACTCATTCAATCATTCAATCAAATGAACATATATAGAATGCTGGCGATGCCTATAATGATGGAACATATCCTTATGTGGATGGAAGTTTGTTTGGCTCGGTCAATGGATTCGATATGGATCACAATGAGTTCTTGACCATCTTTATACCTTCAAACTCAACAGACTATGCCACATGCAAGACTACTAATGTGTTGAAGGATGGCAAGTGTGTGAAACAGGATCCAATGAAGGATGGAGCAGGTGATCAATCAAAAGGCTACATCTACACAATGTTCTCAGACTTTAACCAAGGCCTGTTCCAACGTTATATCGAAGGCACATTAATATACCGCCCTGATAGAGATGTCTATGAGTCATGGGATACGACCAACCTGGCATGGGTCGAGCGTCCAAAGGTACTCACTCGCGACAAGGGCCTTAATGGTATCAATGATGGCTTGCCCAAACAACGCAATGCCTCCATCTACACAGTGGTCATGCAGTACAACTCTGCTGTTGGATCGACCTGTGGCGCGGACTGTTCCATCGTCTATCCACTGTCCCAAAAGCACTTTGGAAACATGGCCGACTACATCGATCCCAACGACCCTGTTCAGCTCAAGAGGATCACTGATCCCTCTGGCGACCTGTCGCAGTTCTGCTACGCGTCTGGCTGTGACTACACGATACGCGTCACCTATGCCGATGGCACCAAGTGGACCAAGCTCCAGCAAAAGGGACAACGTGTAGCTTCCCAGCCAACATCAGACACACTTGATCCCGAGACACAAGACCCAACCAAACCCAAGAGTTTGGTATGGTTTGTTGAGAACTTCCCTGCCTTTGTCAATGGGGACATACTTCCAACATTAGTCGAGCTACTCTGGACACCCAAAGGATACTCGGGTCCAACGCCATCCAATGCCAAAGTACTTCTAAGTCTTCCTGTATAAAGAATCATCGTCATCAGCAATAAAGAAGAAGTAGAGACGGCAAGTGATTGTAGAAGTGAGTGAAGAATGGTCCAACTTCCAATTTTTGAAAAAGACGATGATTTGATCATTTTGTGTGTTTGACATTACTTCTGATCAACTCGAGTTCCTCATTCAATTACAATCGTACACATACATACATATATACTTTATACAAGATGAACAATCTGTCTATAAAGTCACTGACAAGATCATTGACCACCTTGTCAGTAGCCACAGAATCACCTCTATTATACAGGTATGAATGAATGATCGATCAATCACTCAATCAATCTATGAAGCGATGATTAACAAAGAATGAATCAAACAATAGGAACTATGGTCGTGTTATAGACACTATTGAAGTACCAGAAGGACTTGAGAGGTTTAATAGACCACATAGACGTCAACCTACACATGCTCGCAAGCGTAGAGTAGTTAGATTGATTCAGACTAGAGCCAATCTTAGACTTAAGGAGCATCAGAAACCTATTAGCAACTGGCGCAATGCACCACAGAATCATCTGCCCAAGTTTGATGAGAGCAAGGTCAAGCCAAAGATCGACTACAAGGCACGTGTGGATCAGCGACTCGACGAGCCATTCGGCTGGAGGAAGCGTCAGGAGCAGCGCGAGCAGTTCATCAAGCAGAAGGAGGAGGAGTTCCTCAGCCAGCTGCGAGTCAAGAGAAGTCAGCGTGAAGAGGAGCTGCAGCGAATGAACGAGGCCAAGCGCGAGGCATTGGAAGCAAGACGTCTGCAACAACAACAACAGACACTGCTATCGACGTCAAACTAAAGCGAGCGAACGAATGACATAGACAACAGATATATATATAAATGATGATGAATCAACGATTAAGATACACATAAGTATACACTTTATTGATCAATCAATCAATCGATCTATGCCAGGAGACGAGTGATGAATGTGAAGAAGGCAAACTCTGGGCTGGACAGACCACACTCGTAGACGAAACGACTGGCGAGGTAGGCGCCAAAGATGGCCTTGACGTAGGGCACGGGAACACGCTCGACAATAGCATCAACACCAACAAGACGAAGGAGCTCGGGTGGACAGGCGGCGGCAATGACCTTCTTTCTGAGCACAACGTTGTCCCAGAGTGGCGAGCTCTGGATCGAGTCGTTGAGCGAGTTGATCTTGTCTGAGATCAGGTCGGTCAGGATGGTGCGTGGCGTCTTGGTCTTGGCGTTCTCGCGCCAGATGCAGTCAAACTCGAGACGGGCGTTCTCCTCAATCGTGCGATGCACGTCACCAATGTACGCCTGGTAGAAGGCGGGCACGACGCCAGCCTTGACACACATGTGTTGGTCAAACTCGGCGTCGTTGAGTGCAAGCGCGGACAGGACTTCGAGCGACGATGATGTCACACCTCCCTTGTTGGCTGAGGCGTCCTTGAAGATGATGGCACCCTTCTCCTCGAGGATGAGACGGGCCTTTTGAGTGAAGAACAGGTTGGCGCCCTCGACGATGATCGGGAAGCGGCACTCACCATTGCTTGTGAACAGTTTGTCGACGTTGGTGATGCCAACCGCTTCTGGGCGACCACCACATGGCACAAAGATGTCGGCGGCGGCCAGTGGGTGCAGATGGAAGTTGTTGCGGAACATGAGACCGCTCTCAACAAACTCGCCACCTGGCAGTGTGACGTCATTCTCGGCTACGTCCACTAAGAAACCATTAGCGCTCAAACGCGTCTTGTCAAAGAAACGAGCCATCTGACGCTTGCCGGCGACACGCTCCAACTCCTCGCGGTTCAGGCCCAATGGGTCGTAGAGCACACCACTGCCATCGACAACACCGATTGTCTTGTCTTTGGAGATCTTGATCTCGTTGGAGCCGAGGTCACCGTCTGGACCACCAGTCTGGAACTTGCTGCATTGAGCTTCGTCGCGACCAAGCTTGGCCAACGTGCCAAGTACGTATTGATGTATCGAGCGAGTGGTCATGCCGTACAGGTCGTGAGGGATACCACCGCGTGTCAATGACTTGCCAGTGGTGAAGGCTTTCCAGAAGTGTGCCCCGCGTGCCTTGGCATGCTCCGAGGCCCAGTCCATAAAGTCTGCTGTGCCCTCGTCTGGGCCGAGGAAGAGGATCTCCTCGCGAGCATAGTGATCGACAATCTCGACGTTGGGCAGGAGCAGGTCGAGCAAGCCATCAATGTACTTCCTAAAGGCCACCTCAGCCTTGTTCTGGTGGTCGAGACTGAGTAGCACTGTTCCCTTGCTGCCACCCTCGGGTATGTCCTTGTTCTTGGACTGCTGTGTCGAGGCCAGATTGTAGTTCTCATCGAACAAAGACGAGCTGTTGTGGTCGTACTGTGTGCCATTGAGAGCGCGGATGATACGAATGCCACCACGAGCAATGTCGCGGAAACGGATGTGGAAGCCACGGAACTCAGATCCCACGACAAAGAACACGGCAAATGGACGTGAGGCGTACTCCTTGGCCGAGAGGAAGCCTGGGTCCAGACGGAAGGACAGGGCAGTCTTGGTCTGCTTGTAGAAGTTGGTCTTGAGGAGGTGTCTGTTGAAAGAGAGCACAGCGCCAAAGATCTGAGTGTCGAGCTCGTTGTTGACTGAGCGCTTGATCTGGGCTAGGATCTCCTGGCCGTGGTTAACGTCGTACTTTAGTGCACCGCCAGTGTTGGAGGCGTTGTGGTAACGCTCAAAGTCGGTGTATAGGAGCTTGACAAGCTCGGGGAACTGGACGATGGCATCACGCACACGGCCCTCGGTGAAGGTGTCCTTGCTTAGACGGGTCTTCAACTGGGCGAGCATGGACTGCTTGGCAGGGTCGTCACCAATAGCTTGTGCCAGGGCTGAGTACTCGGTGGCATAACGGTTCAAGAACTGATAAGCGAACTTCCAGGCAACGTAGGCATATGTCACCTCTGGGAAAGACAACTGATGAGACAGGAACAGTGGAGTCAATGAAGTACGTGGGAGTACGTATACCAGTGATGCCTACATTGATTGATTGAATGAGCGTGAGTGATTGAGCGATTGGAATAGTTACATCATACAAGGTGGATACATACCTGCTCAGCAATCTTGTTGATGAGTGTGTTGATGTCAACCTCGGGGTGGAGTGGACGGAGATAGACAGAGTAGATGACGATGCCATTGGAGAACTGCTCGACGTCCTTGTGTGTGGCGTACATTTGGTGGAAGTGGTAGAGCTCAGAAATGGCCGACCAGTATGAGTGGGTGGATCCACGACGGTGGGCAATGACAAGACGAGCTCCATTGGACTTGTATGGGAAGTGCTGGATGACTGGTCCCAGACGATGTACTGCCTGCGACATGATGTCCGAGTAGATGGTCTTGGTCTCCTTGGAGGCGCGTGCCAAGAAGTTGAGATCGCCAACTTTGTTAAGGTCGGTCTCCAACTCTGATGTGACGTTGCTGTTGGCAAAGACTGGCTTGGTTAGATGGTAGAGACGCAGATGGATGGGTGCATCGACCGACACTGTGCCCGTAGTACGGTAACAGGCCAGACGGAAGCCGTGTGGCGCATTGACATCAACCTTAGTAGATTGGTTTCCCTCTCCAAAGTACTGAGACTCGATCAGTTGCTCGATGGCCATGGCTGGAGAGTCGCGCTTGCCTGGGTTGGAACGTGTGATGAAGGTGGCCGAGCCCTCGGTCTTGGACTGCAGCTGGATCTCCAGCTTGGAGCCGGTGGCATGTGAGATCATCTTGGCGGCATAGAGCGACAGGATGTGCTTGGCAACGACCAACGATGGAGTGCACTCAAAGTAGCTGTTGTCGAGTCCCAGCTTGCAGTAGAACCAGTTGACCTCGTCGTCGATGCGAGACTTCTCAATCAAATGCTCGGTGGACAGCATGGTCTTGACCTCGTGTGCCTGCTGCTTGAAAGGGCAAGCCTCGAGCAAATCCTTAATTGGCGAAGCAACATCCTTTGCACCAGCGGTGAAGTAGGCCGGTACCTTATTGGAATGAATATTTTGTGTTATCTCTTGACTGGCAGAGAGTGATTCAATCATTCTTTCTTTGTTTGTTTGAATATATCTATGTATAACAATATGTTAATGTTTATGTGATTGATTGATTGATTGATTGATTAGAAGATTGATTGATTGAGTTGATGATGGATGTTATGCGTCACCTCACTCTCTAGCCTTTGTAAGTTGGTTGGTAGTTTGATTGACCGTCTCTCTATTTAACCTTGCTAGACCATCCATGGTTCCCTTGTTTCTCCCAGCACCATCACTCACTTATGATGAATAAATAACCTTTGGGAACTCGATCAATCACACACCCATAATGATCGACTCGAGTGTGTGAGTGTGAGTGAAGGGATGTGTGGTGTGTGGTGAGTGATCAATGATGTTGTGTGGGGAAATTTCAATTCCAACGTGATTTACCACTGATTAATCACAAGAATGATCAACCTATTCCAGTGAGAATACTCATACAGATAGATAGATAGATACACACTCTGTATATCAAGTGTTGCCAACACAACATTCAATCACTCACTCGCTCACACACAAGTTCGATGAATGTACAAAGGTCACTTTATGTGTGATTGATGATCATAATGAATCAATCAACGACATTGATTGGTAATTGCCAACCAAGTATACTTGTGTGTTAGTTAGTTGGTTAGTTCGATAGGATAGGTAGTCGTTTATGGAAGAGCGGCAACGTAGGCCAACAAATTCTTGAAGACTGGAGTACCAAGTCCAGTGATTGGGTCCCAACCAGCGGTGGCGTAGAAGCCGTCGGCCTTGGTGCAGCACTCCTCAGTGCAGAGGTTGTTGCCAATGGTGATGTCGTTGAAGCAGCTGGCTGGTGCACTGTAGAGCAATGGGTTGATGAAGCCCAGTGGACTCTTGCCGGCGTTCAGACGGAAGGAGTTGAGCAGGGCGATGATACCACCCCAGACTGGAGTCGAGGCGGAGGTACCGTCGACGACCAGCGAGCTGCCGTGCTTGTAGATGACGTAGTTGTGGCCGAGAGCGGCAACGTCTGGGAAGGCACGGTTGGAGGCGTTGAACTTGGTCGAGTCTGGGAGGACTACGCCCGAGCTGAGGTAGGCGGCAACTTGGGCCGACTGGTACGAGGGCATTGGGGCGTAGGTGGAGAAACCGCCACCACTGGTGATGAGGGCCTCTGGGTGCGAGCACACGATCTCTGAGGTGGAGTTGGCGCACTTCTTGTCAGTGCAGAAGGGTGGGATTGCGTCGTCCGACTGCTGGCTGGCGGCGGGGGCGGCGGCGAGCATGGTGGCACCGACGGCCAGGACGTATGGTGACGAACCTGGGAAGGTGTTGGACATTGGGGTCTTGGTGCTGAGGCAGTCGTTGTTGGAGTCACCTGGGGCGCCCTGGTCACCAGAGGCGACGACGGTGGTGATTCCACGGACTCCCATCTTCATGAACTCGACGTTGACACGGTTGATGTAGTCGGCGTTGGTCTCGTTGCTTGGGCAGCTGACCAGCGAGCAGGTCATGTCCTCGGGCCAGCCCCAGGAGATGGAGACGACGAGGGGTGCGGGGTAGGTCGAGGCCATCTCGGCGACGAACTCGTACATCCAGCCATCGACAACCCAAAACCAGAGATCGGCAGACTGAGCGGTGGCGCCACCGTACTGGACGTCGAGGATCGACTCGTCGTCTGGCAGGAAGGTGTCGAAGCGGCCGACGGTGTGGGACACGTTGAAGGGGGGAATGCCCATGAACTGCGAGAAGGTCACGAGGTCGGCGGGGAGGAATGCGTGGTCGTTCTGGAACTCAGCAAGGCAGAGCGATGAGTTGGCGTTGTTGGCGTAGCCGGATGGGATTCCGTACACATTCTGGATGGTCTCGGGGATGACGTATCCCTTGTCGACTGGGGTGGCACCGGCGGTGACGGTCTGGCGACGGGGTGCGGGGCGCTGCTTGGTGTATGGGAGCTCGGTGATACCGGCGATCATGTGCACGGCGCTGTCAAACTGGGCGGGCACGGTGTACATCTCCGAGGCACGGATGATGTTGTAGTTCTTCTTGATCTTGTGAGCATAGACGTACATGTCGACGGCAAAGATGCTCTCGATGGCCTTGACGGTGGCCTCAGCCTTGATAAAGTCGCGGTGGTTCTCAATGTTGAAGGCGCCGCTCTGGGTGAGGAAGGCGACAATCTCCTCAGAGACGTGGTTGGCGGGTGCCACCAAGTCGAGGATCTGCTCAACGCTCCAGTGCTTGCCGTAGTTGGCCGACGAGGGGTCGGACACGTCGTACAGGGTGTTCTCGAGTACGTCAATGTTTTGCTGGCGGAGTGCCACGCGGAACTCCAGCACCTCGTTGGCTGGTGCTCTAACAGTCTGTCTCCAATGCTTTGATTGACGCTCAGCTGCTGTTGAGGCAGATGCCAACAAGCAGAGTGCAATAATGACTGATACAAATAACTTCATTATATATTATATATGTTTGATTGTTTGATTGAGTGATTGATTGATTTGTTTGATTGATTGAGTTTTTGAGTGAGTGCAAAGCTGCAAGGCAATGGCCTAGGCCGTGTCCGTCCCTCCGACAAGCACTGCACGCATACAGCAGCAAGTGACCCAATGATGGGATTGTTGGATGGACAGTCGTGTGTGTTTGGCCCCCTTTGTCACTTCATGATTGTCATCGTGTTGCGCGTTCATTCATGCCAACATTGGTACATCCCACACACTCTTGATGGATATTTTAGTGAATTGTTGAGTCAGAAGACTCCAAAGAACAAGGTTTGGGTAACTGGGGAGATAATTTAAGGACTCAAACCTTCTTCTACACATTCCAAACCATTGAATAACTTTCAATCTACTATTCCAATAGTTAGTTATAAATATACACGATCAACATCATATTTATAAGTCCCTTGTCTCTTAGTTTAGAATACATTCTCCAAGGTGCTTTACGACCTAATTTGGAATTGATCATCACTTCACCATTGTGATGATCACAACAACATTCATCTCATTCATGCACTCATCAAAGGTTGTATTCTTTGGAGTTGAATCATAGGACACATAAGACCTCATTGGATGTTGTCAATCTTATGTGAGTGTTGGAATAGAATGAATGATTGAGTGAATGAATGAGTGATTGAAACCGATTGATGAACTTTGATAAGACACGGAACTTCAAAAAGTTATTTTATTTCTGTTTGGAATAAAAAAAACCAAATTCTCTCACCCTCTTCGCGTTCAAGTTCAACAACTCACTCACTCACCAACATCTCTATCTCACCGTCTATTCATTCCATTCACTCACTCACTCATTTATTCTTTGTTTGATAACTTTGTATTATATTTATATATTTATATATACTTATATATTTATATATAATTATAATATATATTATTATATAGTTGTTGTAAGAGTAAATAGAATAGATAGATAAATATGGACAGAGAAAGTAGATCAAGGTCTGGAGAGAGACGTGCCGATTCAGGCAATGGAGAGCGTGGAAGTCGTTCGAGAGATCGTTCAAGATCGAGATCAGGCGATAACAACGGTGGCAACAACAACAACCGTGATAGATCAGGATCTCGCGGTGGAGCCCTCGCTGAGGGACTCGAGGACCGTCGTATCTACGTTGGTCACATCTCAACCAAGACCAGACGTGACGACATTGAGGACAGGTTCAGAAAATTCGGAAAGATTCTAAGTCTTGATATCAAGGCTGGTTATGCTTTTGTTGTAAGTTATTTAGTTTATTATTTGTTTGTTAAATATTAATCAATCAAATAATCGATCAAACAAATAAATAGGAATATGAGGATGAGAAGTGCGCAAATGATGCCATTCAAGAGATGAATGACATGGATATCGATGGATCAAGAATCCTTGTTCAAAAGTCACATGGCGGAAGAAAGAGAAACGCTGATGAGTGTTACATCTGTCATGGAAGAGGTCATTGGTATGTATTATTATTGATTGATTGAGTGATTCATTCATGTACTTACTATGTATTCATGTTCACATATTTAGGGCTCGTAACTGTCCAAGGAACAACTCTAGGTAATTATCTCCTCTTTAACCCTATCCCCCAACAACAACCAACTATCACCGCCGGCCTCGTCTCGCCCGCTACACGCCACTATCCCATCATCCCCCATGTCATCACCTCCACCCAGGTAGCAAGAGAGAGAGAGAGAGAGAGAGAGAGAGTACTAGTACTGAGATATCATGATTGTGTTGCTATGCTATTGCTACTGCTGCTGTGTTCGTCTATCGCCATCATCACCAACCACCCTCGCACCGCACCGCACCGCAATCGCCGTTCGCCATCCGTTCCCCGGCCCGCCCCGAGATGAGACCTGGAGGAGATCGAGCCCAGTCCATCGTCGTCGCCTGCCCCCACTTGCTGTTCACCATCTTCATCATACTACTGTGTTGGTTGTTGCTGCTGCTACTTTTGATGTGATGGATCTAGCCCAGCCAAGGCCATTGAATGAGAGGTGCTCTTGAGAAGGCCAGTGAAGCTGAAGCTGAAGTGAAGTGAAGTGTTGTCTAGCGCGCCTCCCTCCAACCACAACCAAATCAACCAACCCAACCATTCAATCAATCAAATGTTGTGTGCTATCCATCCATCCATCATCCCTCCGCCATTGCCAAACGCTCCTGAGCTAAGCTTTGAAGCAAGCGATCGATCGACGAAGATGAGCCGAGACTGCCCCATCCTCCCTTCGCCAACTCAGTCCGACGGCCATGCCATGCCATGCCATCCCCTTTGTGTTCAATGTTGTGTTGCACCAACCCCCGAAGAATCCAATGAGCATTCTGCTGCCGGGAGAATCCAATTCGAATGAGAATCGTCGCGAGGCATTGTTGCAAGTACATCATCCATCGCTCAAACAACTAACAAACCCTTTTGATCACCCTCATATAGCCGCGACGTCAAGTGCTACAGCTGCAACGGATACGGTCACTTTGCTCGTGACTGTCGCTCGGCCTCGGGTGGAGGCGGTGGCGGAGGCGGCCGCAGGGATTCGTACCATCCCTACCGCAGGTCGAGCAGCCGCGACAGAAGAAGAAGCAGCAGGAGCAGAAGCAGAAGCAGAAGTGGACGCAGAGACAGGAGCAGAAGCAGAAGTGGAGGACGCAGAGACAGCAGACGCGAGAGAGACAGAAGCAGAAGCAGAAGCAGAAGCGGACGCAGAGACAGAGACCGCAGAGACAGGAGCAGGAGCAGAAGCGGCGGACGCAGAGAGAGGAGAGAGAGGGAGAGAGACAGATCCCCAGCGAGGAGCTCTCCAGGCAGGAGAGATGGCGCCACCGTTTAATGATCGAGTTGTTAAATGGTAATTAATGTACTTGCTAACAACATTTAGTGATGCTGTCGGTTCGCTTGAGCAATGATCATGATACTTGCCCAACGACCCGACATTAGCATGTGCAGTGGCGGCAGAGTATATATGTGTATGTGTGTTTGTCGGTGTTGATTAGTTAGTTAGTGTTTGTGTCAACGCAACAGAAACAGCAGCAGCAACAGCAACAACAACAACAGATAGGAATAGAATAGAATAGCAATAATAAACTTCAAATCAATGATGTATTGATCTTAACTTCTTTTTCTCTTTCTTTGATCTTGACCATAACCCTTGCCTTCTCGCGCTCGACCCCCACACCCACCATCTTGTGATCGCGCCATCACAATGTCATTAAGCCATGCCACACCCATCAATCAATCAATCAATTACTTGTACAATAACTATAACATACACCTACAACTACTACAACTACAACATACATGTACATATATAATATAGAATGAACAGCCCTTCAAAGTTACAACAACAAGCGCAACAGCAACAACAACATCTTATAACGGCTGAGGAGAGGTTGTTGTTGGATAGTATTGGTGATGAGGATGAAGATGATGACAATCATGATCTAAGTAATAACTCTGATGATAATATTGATACTTCTCATGATAATGATGTCGACCCTATCGAGCGTGAGCTGCGAAGGAAGATGCTGTCAATGCTGACAAGCAGCACAGGGCAAGGCATCAACAGTGACAATGCCAAGCATCATCAACAAGCGCGTCCAAATCTACTCAAGAAGCACCAACATCAACACCAACAACAACAGCAACAGCAAGAGCATGTAATGCACAACAACTCAACTAGCCTCAGCAACACCATCAACAGCAGCAAAAGCAAGAGTGTTGGTGGTAGTAGTAGGGCTGGCAACAACATAAGGAGCAACAACAGCAGCAACATCAACAACTACGATGGTCTCAGCGATGCAGACGATACATTTGTTTGTTGTGAGGGTCAGCGTATTGCACAGATGGCCTTGGACAACAAGTGGGTGGTTGTCGCCAACAACTGCGTGCTGAAGGAGTATAAGCTGTACGCTGTTGAGGAGTGGATATTCAAGAGCAGCCGCCTGTGGTCGGCTGTCGAGTACACCGGCAATCAGAACGATGAGATCAAGGTCAGCGTGGTCAAGGCTGGCCCCAGCGCCAATGCATCACAGATCAAAGCCCTGCAGTCGATGCTGTCTAAAGCGCCAAGTGGATCATTCTACACGATCCGCACTAAGATGGGGCAACTCGTGTTGGCCAACTCATCAGTGTCGTCGCACTTTGGCCTCAATCTCATACCCATTGAGAAGGGTGACTTTGACAGTCACATCGATACTCTCAAGCTCAACCTATCGCTCAAACGATTGGGTTGCACACGACCCAAGTACCAGCTGTCCACCACACTGCTCGATGTCTATGAGAAGTCGCGCTTCGAAGCTTTGGCTGGCACGGCAGTCACCAACCTCATGACCGTCACCAGCTTTGTCAAAGAGATTCAAGCTGCACTCTCCCATCTCAACTATCTTCCGCTGCTCACCAAGATTGATGGTATCTACGATCAAAAGACAATCAATGCAGTCAAGGCCTTCCAGATTGATTATAACAAAAGGAATGCAAGTGATGTATGTTTACCAACCGTCCAGCCATCCATCCACTCAATCAATCATTCTAACTAACATTATCCAATGATTATGTAGATACTACAAGTTGAAGGAAACATTGATATACCCACATTCAAGGGTATTGTAACAGAGATAATGACACTCAAGAAGAAGATTGAGTCACTTGGCTTCAAGACACCAGACAATCCAATCAAGAACTACATGGAGTTCAATGAGCTGATGAAGAATTTCCAGGACTCCTATGGTATCTACCCAGATGCACCAGGAAAGAACATCCTTACATATTTGGAGAATGTTAGCAAGGTAACAAACTATATGCATCGGATTCTAATGAATGAATGACTAACCAAAGAATGCCAATGATTCAGCACGCAACTTTCTACCACGACAATGACAATGACGATGACAATATGAGTGAGAAGAGTGAGAAGAGTCTGGTGGACAGTACAAATAGCTTCAGCGAGTCAGAGGGCAGCTCAGGAGATGTAATAATGCCCGCTTCACCATTACAACTAAAGAGACCATCGGCAATCACCAATGCCTCAACACCAACATCAGATTATTCCAGGCACTCTTCACCAATGCCTCCAAACAACAGCTCTTCCAGTCCATTGTTTTCCTCATCTCCCATTGTACAATCACAGAACTATCCATTGGTGCGATCAACGAAAGGACTGATCTTGGACTATCATCAACATCAACAGCCCTCCCCACCATCTCATCAGCCAACACTTGTACATCATCAACCACCACAATCTCAACAACAACATCAACAACATCCTCAGCAACATCCACAACATGGACATATGCCTGGTGCGATCCATGTTGAGCAACCACACCATCCTCAGCAACAGCAACCATTCTTCACTGAGGAGATGTATGACGACTATGAGACACCAGAGGATGCCGAGGAGAAGCAGAAGCTTCGCGAGACCATTGTTAAACTGGAGAAGATGATGGACACTCAACAGGCAGAGTACGATAGACTCAAGAAGGAGTTTGAGGAGCTCAACGACAATTATGTAGAGCTGCGAGAGCAGTCACGTCGATCGATTGCCATTGTATCCACCAACGAGCGTATATTCCAGGAGACTCACCACCGTTGGTCCAGGACATTCCACAAGGAGCTTCCAGAGATTGAAGAGAAGATCAATCAGAATGTGGACACTATTCAATCTTATTCCAACAGGGTAAGTAATTGTTTGCTTGATGGTTGGTTCCACAAAGTACTAACATCCCCTGATAATGACAGATCAAAAGGTTGGAGGACATTGTCATATCTGTACAAAAGAAGAACGAGAGGAATGTGTTTACAGTGCTGTCATCATCACTGCTTAGTATAGTCTCTCTTATTGCCGTTGGTTTTGCCTATCTAATCATGTTCTTCCATGGACTGAAGCGCAAGTGGTATCCATCTTCCAAGCCCAAGTCATCCAGTGAGGAGATTCAAAGATTCATATCCAATCAGAAGCTCAAGGTCTCTGAGTTAATAGAAGACCTGGATGACAATGACAAAGATCAAACTGAGGATGTCGTCAATGATAAAATACAATAGTTGGTCGGTTTACAAATAACTACATGAAGCTGTTGATTGATTCACTTTGTTTATTATATTGTTGTGACATTGATCGTTTAGAACTCTCTGACATTTCTACAGATGCCACATCCAAGTGCAAACTCGGTACCAGTCTTGGCATGTTCAATGTGGAGTGGACACTCGTCACCTGGCAACTCGATACCTCCTGGACCCACAGGACATGGAGGGTGGCTGGATCGACTAGTGAGCTCAGTGTGCTTGTTGTGACAGGTCTCGCAGAAGTGATGTGTTCCGAAACAGTACCAAATGGCAACAGAGCAGCAATATCTACACTTGAACTCCAAATAGTCCTTGCCGTGCTTGGGACAGATTGGCAGTACATCGTCGGAGGAACAGCCTCCACAAATGAGCTCCTCTGGGTTGAACTTCTCTGGCGATGCCATGTTGGCAGCACATTGGTTCGAGCCTCCAAAGTATGGTTGCTTGCATTTGAAGCACAGGTAGTATGCAAACTGTTCCATGATGTATCCCTCCATGTTGTTCTCATACGAACCACCTGGGAGCAGCATTGGGTCCTTCTGGATGCCAAGGAAGTCGATCCTGAGTTTGCCCTTGCGGATGATCTCACTGCCAATGTGCTCAATGACTGAGGTCAGAGCCTTGAGTGTTGGATGCTGGATTGACACCTTACAGATTGGGCACTTGGAGAATCTGAGTGTGATTCTTGCTCCAACCCATCTGGCCTCGAGCAAGTGCTTGATACATGTGTGATGGAACACATGTCCACAGTCCAGTTGGATGGATGGGGCCTCTGACAGACACTCAGTCCAGCACACCAGACAAAAGTCGTCGGCGTCTTGTGTGACCTTGAAGTTTCTTGTGAGGGGCGCTGCATTCTCTGGTCTCTTGCAACCGTGAAGACAGGGCAGGCACTCCTCCTCATCGCGCACACCATAACAGTAGTGTCCACATGGGTGTACCTTGGTACAGTTCCTTGGGGCCTTCTCCCTGCAGTCAGCGTTTGAACACACATTGGAGATACCGTGCTTGGGGATGAGGTTCTCAAGGTCCAGCTTGCTGTGACAGAAACGACATGTCTCGGAGCTGGACAGGTTGATAGTCTGGATAATGGCCTTTTGCTTCTCATTGTCCAGGACAAACAAGGTGGTGGAGAGCTTGAGACGAACACACGACTCATGAATCTCAATGGTGATGACATCGTTGAGCAGTGGTGAGCGTTGATGGTCGCGCTTGGACTTGGGCATGTGAATGACACGGTCACACTCTTGGCAAAGGTTCATCTGACAGATGCTGCATGTGGACTGTGCCTCAGTGACACCGTCGTCATGGTTCTGGCAAGTCTTGATCTTGCTCTCAGAGTTGATGTTGGAAGAGTTGATCGAGGTCACGATCTTTTGGTTGTCAAAGGCGATGAGCAGGCCAGACAGTGCAGCCCAGAATGTTGGTGTGACCAAGTAGGTGTTGACTGGCATTGTTGCGGCATTCCTCATGGACAGGATACAGTTGACAATCTCAGTCTCCATCACTTGGCGCCACGACTCGGACTTTGAGATGAGCTCCTTGACCAGCACCAACAACTCCTTGCCATTCTCCAATGGGAAGTCACCCTCGACCATTGATGGGATCATCGTGTCGATGGTGTACACTTGCTTGAGTGTGTTGGATGCGCCCTTGACCTGGACGTTGATTGGCTTGGCGATCACCAACAACAGATACTGAGCGAATGAAGAGATTGCCTGTGAAGCAGTGGGTAGGTCTTGGATAAACTCGGCAAACAGTGCGGGCTTGAGGTTGACTAGCATCCTCTTGCAGATGTTGATGCACAGGTGTTGGATGCGGTCGGCACCCTTGTGGATCAGTGGCAGCAGGGCAAAGATGGACGACTTGGAAGGGATGAATGACTTGCCCTCCTCTGACTCGAGCAGAGTGGAGAGGGTAGTGAGCAGCTCATAGAGGTACGAGTCCTTCTTTGGCATCTCCTTGATGGTCTGCCAGCCGATGCCCTCGAGATGCTGGATCTCCTTTTGCACCTCTGAAGAGATGAGCGAGAAGATCTGCTTCTGGATCTTTGAGACACCGGTGGATGACAGAAGGCCTACGACCTGGTTCTTGAGATCCTTGGAGATGTTGTTGTTGACGTTGGCGTTGATGCCAAAGATCTGGAAGGTGAGCAACTTGAGCAGGGCCAGGGTGGCGTCGAATTTGGCAGATGGTGCCACTGGCAGTAACTCCTGCTTGTCTGGGACCATGATCTTGAGCTGGCGGACACGGATCGATTCGAAACCTGTGAAGGAGATCAAAATGTTGCTGACGAGTGCGCCCTCCAATGGGATCACCTTCCAGCCAACAAAGTTGTGGCCAATCTCGTGGACCTTGGTGATGTCGCTGTGGCTGCTGTTGAGGCCGGCTCTGATCTTAACAGTGAAGATCAGGTACTCAGCGTCTGTGTTGTCAATGTAGAGACAGATCTCCTGGACGGGCGTCACCTTCTCAATCGTGACGGTGATCGTACCCTTTTGGGAGGCCTCCCAGAAACTGAGCGTAGAGTCATCAAACAGCGACGCCATCATCTCGGGCGACTTGGACAGCACGACCTTGCACTTGTTGGCAATGTTGACAAACGATGAGTTCTGGACGGGAACGACAATGTCGCTGGTGTTGTCAAAGACGTTGGGCGATGAGGCAATGGACAGGGATGTGGACGAATGCTCAATCAACTCGAGCTCCTGTGGCGACAGACGCTCCTTGCCCTTGGACTTTGGCGTGGATGGGATCGACTTGTTATCATTGCTATGCAGCTCAGACAGAATCTTGGAGATAAGTGGGAAGATCTCACTGGTCTGGACAAAGGCGATGTCCTCGGGCAGCAGGTGGATGGAGAAACAGGACAGGGCATTGAGGATGATGGCGTCAGAGTAGTGGCCGTGCTTGATACGCTTGGAGAGTGTCTCGAGGAGCGTGTGGAAGTGTTGGATGAACTCCTTCCTGTAGCGGTGGTTGATACAGCTGGATACGGCGAGGTTCTGCGCCACGCTGCCCTGCCAGTCGGCTGGCAGCAGGTCCTTGGACGCCTGGTTCGAGTGCAGGGTCGTGGCCATCATCCACACGACGTTCTCAAGTGCAGACGGCACCTGGATCATTTCAATGAGGCGCGACCACATCTTGATCGAGTCAATCTTGGACTGATTCTTAGCGTTGGTCGTCTCGATGATCTCCTGGAAGTTGATCTTGGTGAACTCGTCCAGGAAGAGGGACAGCAGTCCTACGCTGATCGGTGATCTGTTGACCACGCCATTCTCTGCGTCACCCTTGCCCGAGCCTGCCGAGGAAGATGCCTTCTTGTTGCTCTTGTACTGCAACAGGTTGTAGGTGCTTGTGTTGATGTTGGAGGAGTGCATAAAGTCCTCAAAGCTGTAGTTGAGTGAACGTCCTACGCTGTCGGAGGGGGAGGAACTGGAGCCACCAGCATCTGATGCAGCTGGTTGTGATGATGAGCTGCCGCTGGAGCCGGCGCGGGAGGCTGGGGCGAGGGTGGCGATGAAGTCAAAGAGGTAGTCAAACTTCTCAATGGGCAACACCTTCTTTCTGGAGTCGGACTCGCTGGTCTCAAAGGGTTCGTCTCCAAACATGCCCATCAATCCGTCAAACTCTTCAAAGTCGACCACCTGGCGCAACGACCACTTGTTCAGACGTCGCTGGATATTGCGCCACAGCTCAAGGTAGGGCTTGAACTGGTCGTTCTCCTTGCAATCGGCAAATGACTTCTTTTGGTTCTTCAGAGTGTTGATCACCGTGGCAAAGTCGGACTCGGCATTGTTCAGTCTGAGTATCTCGACAAACAGCTTCTTGGTGATGATGGACCAACCAACATAGTCGATGTATGTTGAGATGTTCTCCTTGAGGTTGGATGCGGGAAGTTGTGCGGCATCAACGGGAACATCCTCTTCATCCTTGTCGTCATTCTTGGCCTCGTCCTCAACCTTCTCAGCAACATCAATATCAGCTGATGGTTCTGGCTTGTCATCGTCATCCTCATCGTCCTCACCATCGTCTTCACCGTCATCCTCCTCCTTTTCTGGGACCTCTGAGACCTTGACCTTCTCCTCTGCTGGCTTGGCCGCATCCTCTGGGATAACTGAGGATGAGGATGCCTCATTGTCGGTCTTCTTCTCGTCGTCGTCGGTGAGCATAGAGTCGTCCCAGTCGGAACCGGCGCTGAGCTCGCCCTCCTCTGGCTCGGAGGACTCAGAGTCGGATTCAGAGTCTGACGAGTCGGAGTATTCGTCTTCATCCGAATCATCATTGTCGTTCTTGTTGTTGGCCTTTTGCTCTTTGATGAACTTGGCCATGCGCTTCTTGCGTCGCACCAACAGAGCGAGACGGCGGAGACGAAGCTTGTCGCCAATGGACTGGAGATCGTCAATGCTGATGGGGAAGTCCTTGAATTTCTCTTCGATCTTCTTCTGCTTGGACTCGGCCTTATCAGCGTCCTTGGCATCGGCATTGTTGTTGTTGTTGTTCTCGTCCTTGTTGGCGTCTTCTTTGTCCTTGTTCTTGGCCTTGTCCTTCTTGTCATCCTTGTCCTTGTGCTCAGCCTTCTTGTCCTTCTTGTCCTTCTTCTTGTCGTCCTTCTTGGCGTCCTTGGCATCGGCCGCGTTTTGAGGCTTGCCAAAGAGCTCCATGCCGACTGTCTTGAAAAAGGTGCTGAGCTCATCGCCAACTGTGCCACTCTTCTCGTTGATAAAGTCGAGCAGAAGAGGGTTGCTCACGCCGTAGCTGTGCTTGGGGTTGGCCTCCAGCTGATCGGCAACCTTGCCCCATACGATAGAGAAGAGTTTCTCTGAGCGCTGCACTTGCACCGACTTCTCGGATGGGGCGGCGTGGTCGACCTTGATGTTGGATATGTCGAGCTCCTCCTCAAACTTGTCGATGTTGTTGATTGAGTCCTCTTCGTCATCCACTTCGTCCTCCTTCTCTTCGGCGTCGACGACCTTGTCTTCGTCCGATGATTTTTCCGAGTCTGACTCGTCTTCGTCCCATCCATTGCGACGCGCCCTGGCCTTCTTGGGGACCTTGGCCTTCTTGGCCTTCTCCTCTTTCTTGTCGTCATCTTTCTTGCCCTTCTTTGCGGCGGGCTGTGCGGCCACCTGGATGTTCTCAAAGAACTGGCGACTAGAGATCTGGGCGATGTAGAATGAGACCTGACGCTCCAGCTTGCTCAGAGGGTAGTCGTCATCCATGTCGATCACTTCGTAGCCTGTGATGTTGGCCATGTATCCAAAGCGGTCGATAGCAATGTTCTGTGGGTTGGATGCGGTCTGGAAGTCAAAGATCAGGCGGTTGCCTGGCACAATGAAGGCTGTGGCGGGGTAGTTCTTCATGGAGAATCCGTTCTTGGTAATCGTGCTGTTGTACTCGCCGTTCAGCCAGATCTGCAGCTTGTCGGTCTGCTGGCTGGTGATGGAGCGCGGGTCGAACTGGATCACCATCCACTTGACGCTCTTGGGGAACTCGACAATGTTGGTCTGCTTGGCGCACTCCTCGTAGGGGTGGCTGCTCTCCATCTTGATCGTGTGCTTGCCCTCGTAGGGCAGAGCGGCCGGGTGGCGTGGCTGGAATGCATGGTTGATCTTGGTGGTGCACTCGAGGAACTCGAGAAGACGCTTCATACGTGCGGGGGCTTCCTCAGCCTTGCCAGTGTTGGCGTATGAGTCCACGATAAATGGCAGCAGGGACTGCAGGAAGTAGTCGTTCTTGATAGACTGCTGCAGGGGTGTGTTGTCAAACTGCGCAAGGTGTTGGCAAGAGTTGAACAGCTCGCGAAGGATGACGAGCGAGCGGTCCAGCACCATCTTGGAGACCTCGCGTGTGCCCTCGATCATATTGTTGTTGATGTCCGTTGTCTTGGGACTAGTCTCAAACTGGAAGTAGATGACGGGGATCTGGCCACTCTGCACAGACGTTCCGTTGTCCGTACCGTTGGTGATATGCGTCGTCGAGAACTTGAAGTTGACACCCTCGGCATTGACGCTGTCCTTGCCCTTGTAGCCACTGGACGATGAAGGGCCAGAGATCTTGGTGTAGATCGAAACGTAGTCGCCAGCACGCAGCTGGAACGGCTCGGTGAAGTCAATGCGCTGGATATGTTTGTTGGTCTTGTTGGTCCAGGTGGTGGCCGTCTGGTACATCATTGGCGCGTTCAAGCCGGGCGTGAAGCCGACCTTGGCCGTGTAAGTGCCCTTGTCACCATAGAGACCGACACCCGTGACGTAGATTTCGCGGTCCGTCTTGAACGAGATGGCGTCGACCATCTCATCGTACGACCACGACGAGCTGACGCTGTTGAAACGCGACACGTTGAACACCTTGGGCTGGTGGGCATTCTGCTCCTCAGACTTGGTGATCAGCGAAGACGACCAGATCTTCTTAATGAGCTCAATCGACTTGGACTTGTAGTCGTCCAGCAGCTGGTTGTTGGAGCTGGGCTCGGCAGACAGCGCGTCTGTGATGAGCTGCTGTGGGCGATCGGAGCAGATTGACATGAGCACCTCAGAGAACAGCGGCAGGATGTCGTCGCTGGCCTGGGCCTTCTGCTTGCCCAGCTTCTTGTTGGAGGTCTTGCAGCGATAGATGATCGTTTGGACGTGGTCGTAGAAATAGACCAAGGCTGGGTCGATGTTCTCGCGTGAGAATGCATCGTCCTCAACGGGGATGCTCAGCAGCGACTTGACGTCCAGTTCAAACATCGACTGGAGCAGTGCGGTGAGGATGTATGGCGCGCCGTCGAGCTCGGTAGCGCCGCCATACTTGATTAGGAAGTACAACATGTGGATTGCGCTCACCTGGAGGTTGGGCGTGTTGTAGACCATTGTGAAGCTCTGGCAGAACAACTTGTTCATCTGCTTCATTACGCTGAGGAAGAAGGCGTGGTCCGAGGCCACGTGCTTGAACAGCGACTCATGTCTGAAAGTACTGTGAATGAAGCCAATCACTCGGCTGCAGTTGACAGGGTCCTCCAACAATGTCTTGATATTCCTGCCCAGCAAAGAGAGTGCTCGGGTGAGTGGCTGCTCAAGGTATGAGAGCACGTCGTTCACCTTGTCCTTGGCGCCATTCTGCAGTGAGCGATTCATTGAGATACTGCCAGCGAACTGGTCCCACATAGTCTCTACCGAGTCGAACAGGTCGAGAGTGGCGTCGTGTGTCAGGGTGACCTCGGGCAGTGCAGGCGAGACAAAGGTCATCGAGGCGCTGGACAGCTCGGTGAAAGACAGACCATAGAGCATCTGTGACACCTGGCTGTACTCCACTGGTGTGCGGAAGTCAAAGTTGACATTGGAAACGTTGATTATAGTGTAGGCTGTGCTGGGCAGAACGAACTTGATGTTGTTTGAGAAGATATTGAACTTGTACTGGATGCCCGTGCGCAGCTCGAACGCCTGGTCCAGGTCGAGCTTGGGGTCCGTTGTGACAAACTTTTGGTTGTGGCGCTGGGTGCCATCGCCAGACTCTATGACGACGTTGACCTCAGTGTTCTCCTTGAGGCTTGGGAGGACGAGACCCCAGAGCAACACTGGACGATCCACACGGAGGAACGAGGTGGACACTCGCATCATCTTACCCTCCTTCATCTGTTGCTTGGCGATCGTGAATGTGATCTTGGGCTTCGACTTGATATAGTCAGTCTGTGGCGAGGGTACCTTGATCACGCGGTGCGATGGCTTGCCATCCTGGTCGAGGGCATCGAGCAACGCATTGACCAAGACCAAGTTGTCGACCTTGTCTCTTGGGCTAACGAGCTGTACGCGTGGGTTGAATGGCACGCTTGGACGCTCTTGGTTGGCGATGAAAATGAGGCGTTGGGTGGCAGTGTCGAACTCAAAGCTCGAGTTCTTGGACAGGTGGAAGGGGCGTGGCGTCGGGTTGATGGTGGAGGCAGTAACCAGGTCGAGCGACTTGGTGCCGTTGTGATAGAGCTGGTAGGCGTTGCCCGGTAGGAATACTCCGAGGAATCCACGCTCATCGCTGATCGCTTTGACACTGGGCAGTGATTTCCTCAGAGTCTTGGCGTTGGTGTTTATCGTTTGCTTCAGCACGATGAAGCCGTACTCACCGCCGCTGACGTCCATGATCATCTCCTCTCGCTCGTGCAGTGTGTCCACCTCGCCAAAGCCTGCGTACAATGTGAAGTTGCAGACCTGCTTCAAACCCTTGATATTACCCGAGTAGTAGAGCTGGTTGGAGAGGCCGACGCGAGCCATCACCACAATATAGGTGAGGCCAATCTCGATCTTTGTGACGGCCGATGTGTCAAAGGGCGCGGTGATCTTGGTGAATTCCTTGGTGTTCTTGTAGTGGCCCGTTCCAAGCTGGCCAAACAAGTTGTTACCTTTGGCGTAAATACCAGTGTCAGTGACCACAAACACCGAGGAGTAGGCCGCTTGCAAGTGTAATGTGTTGCCTGTGATATCGGACAGGGGCTCGGGACTGTCCAAGCTGTCCAATGAGACAGCTTCGCCAGACTCTTTAACCAGGTAGACCTTGGGCGTGATGGCATCATCGTCGAATCCAGACTCGGTGGCGGCGATCGACTTAATCTTGAGATCCTCAGTGATTTTGGCATGTCCAGTCGTGGGTGCCATGCCCGGGTACTTGATGACGTTGCCAGCGTCGTTTAGTGCGTACAAGTCTTTGTTGACGAGCACACCGCCAACAAAGATCTGGTCCGTCTTCTTGTCGTCGCTCTCCGTCTTTGCCAAGCCCAACTCGCTAAAGTTGGCTGCGTTGGAGGATGAAATTGGGGCCAGCTTGTGGAAGAGTCCACTATCGTCAATGACCAACAACACAGGGTCTATACTAATCACCTTGGACACCTTCTTTGTCTGATCACTGAAGCTCAGTAGCAATGGCTCACTCTCTGCAGTTAGTATATCACTAAAGTATTGATTGATTGATTGATGGTTAGTTGATTGATCGATTGATTGAATGAATGAATGAAAGAGTCTACACATACTTCTTGCCAATAAAGAATAGGTTGTTGTCCTTGGTCAAAAAGAAGAGTCCTCCGCGAGCTGATGAGTAGATCTTGGCGATTTGGAAGGAGGTCAACGCTGCGATGATCTTGGGATCTTCCTTCTCACTGATGATCGATGCGTTGATCGGCTGCAATGTGTTGGTGGTATTGTACAGGTTGATTGGTACCGAGACGCCATCTTGCTCGAAATGGCCCTCGTCCGAGAGACGCAGGTATCGCAGTCTTGTCTGTGGGAACACGGACGACTGGTCCTCCACCATCTCTATCACGCCAATGCGCTGGGCCTGTGCGTCGGCAAACAGCGTATAGGGACGTGCACCGAGAGCCACGTCGCCGCGCTCCACGCTCACATAGGTCTCCTCGAATGAGGAGATATTCAGCTGGGCGATAAAACCCGTCGACATGTCCAGACTCCTAAAGTATATAGTGTCGTCGAATATGATGATCCACGACTTGCTCGCTGATGACGATGATGAAGATGAATGTGCAGCGGCAGTCGACGAGGAGGAAGAGCCCTCGCCATCATCATCTGCGGTGCATGGACGTGTGTGATAGTCCTTCTTCCATTGAACGACAGTATACTGCTGGCTGTTGGTCAATGCCAGCTTGAGCAGACCGAGGTTGCAGTGAACAAATACAAAAGGTCCATTGGTGGCCATAGAGTAGACAGTGGTGACCTCGGCGGCCTTGTCCTTGCTTTCAAACACGATACTCTGACGGAAGTCGAATCGTTCCAAAGGCAAGTAACTCTCGTCGTACTTTTTTAGGTTGGCTGGCAAACTGATGATCATGTGATTGAGTGAGTGAGTGATTGCTGACATTCAAGCGTGATGGTAATTGAACTTACAATGATTGATATTTGGATGTCAAGATGAACTTTACAATGTTGAGAGTGAGGGTTGGATGATTGCGTCCAATTACCAATGACACGAGAGCGGACGACGCCACCAAGTGCTCGAGGTCGTTGTTGTTGGAATGCTGAATGATGTTGATGAGGAGATCGACCGATGTCTTGATGAGCTGTGCCGAGAACGAATACAGTGATCCTGGCTTTACGTTGTGGAAGTAGTCCTGAAGCAGTTGGAAGCCCCTCTGACGAATGACGTCGCTCTTGTCGCCGAGCAGACCAAACAGAAACTGGAAGAACAGCTCGGATGACTTGATCGTGTCGAGTGCCTGCTGGCTGACTGGCGACGAGGCGTCCGAGTCACTGCGTGGGGCAGGCGAGGCGCCGTCCTCCTTGGACTGGGTGGATGACGGCGCGGTGGATGCAGACGATGTGGTGGTGGAGGTCGAGGACGAGGAGTCCTGCATTCGGTCGGGCAGGAAAGACACTGGGTTCTTCCAGAGTATCTGTCGCATGTGCAACAATGCATTCGAGTGCGACATTGGTATGGACGATCGGAGGGATAGGAATTTGTTTGATGGCTTGTCCTCGTCGTCATCAGCCTTGTCCTTCTTCTTGTCCTTCTCCATCTCCTTGTCGTCATCGTCACCATTACCATCGAGGTTGGTGTAGTAGTCTGTATGCTTTAGGACCTCTTTGTAGAGGTGCAGGAATCTCTCCAACTGCACGCCCTCAATCAGACCATTATCGCGGTTAAAACCATTTGAGCCATCCTGAAATGAAGATGTGAATGAAGCTGGAGAGGCATAGCCCTCCATCAATCCAACAACCTCTGTCTTATTCAACACATCACCACTACCATCACGTTGTTGTTGTTGTTGTTGTTGTTGCTCCATTATTAATGTATAATGTTGTTGATGTTAAATGTTGTTGATGTTTGAATGATTGATTGAATGATTGATTTGAAAGTTGTTTGGATTATGATTATACAACAATCAAAACAACAAATATGATATATGTACACTATATATCAATATAATAATAGTGTATGTACGTCCACTTATATAATATATATGTATGTATGTTGAACAGAGATAGATTAATGTTTGATTGAAAGATTGGATGAACAGAGATGAAAGAGTTGAAGTCAGACTTTGAAGAATGAACCACACCTTTGGAGGATATTAATATGATTTTGAAATTAATTGAGAAAGTGACTTCAAGGTCATCCGATCAAGCATGGTCGTCAAACCCTCGACCTTACCTTACCTTGTTGTACCCATATTGTAGGAGTAGGAGTAGTTGGTCATTCGTTTAATCATATTTATTGATATCGTCCCGACAATGACACTCTTCATGGCACTGGGGACTTGGTAACTGCTGATGCTACATTGGCACATAGTTGAGTGGCTAATGTCACTGCATGATTGATTACCATCCATGCACTATTACCTCCACTATTACTATCACTTCTTACTCTATTGGCTTCCAAGTGGAGTTGGAGGTTGGAGTTAGTTGTTGATCGATCCAATCTATCAATCAAATAACAAATGCTTACTATTACTACTATTATTACTATTCTTGGACTTGCTGCTGCTTGTGATACTATCGTTACTTGATGAACTACTACTACTGCTGGTAGTCTTGCTGTTGTTGTTGTTGTTGACGTTGAACTTGTGACTACCATTGATTATACTTAATACTTGATCGAATGGCATGAATCCACCTTGTAGTGTATCCTTGAGTACGAGTGCAACTTGATCACTTATGCGTCTGATTCGATAGAATTCATTACTGCAGTCCATAATGATATTGGTCATGTTTGGTGGCAACTTGAATGATGGCGACAAACGATGGTATGGCAGAATGAAGTGTGTCACTGATGGTATCTGCTCGCGATTGACCACCTGCCTGAAGCATGTGCCCAGCTTGAGTAATGTGACCGACTCGGGAATGATTCCAACGGGTATGGCCTGATTGAAGCGCTGTCCAAAGACTAGAGCGGCTAACGACTCGGGGAACGAGCCGATCTCGATTCGCGAGTTGAAGTTGGCACCAAACACCAGATGAGTAACGCCCTTTGGGATGCGACCCGCGTGCAGTGACTGATTGAAGGCGTCACCAAACGTAAGATGAGTGATGGTGTCTGGCAACACATCGCGTCCAATCGGCTGATCGAACCTGTCACCAAAGGTCAAGTGCCGCACGTTCTTTGGCAGCGTGTTGGTAGTGAGCGGCTGATTGAAACGGTAGCCGAGCTTGAGATAGGTGACAGAGTCGCCGAGACTGCCCGACAGGGGCTGGTCAAACGAGTTCTCCATAGCAAACTCGTGACTTGTGTACTGTGAGTGCAGCTCGTTGTAGTGTGTCAGGTCGATCTGATTGAAGCTGCTGGCGGGGTCCAGCCCAGACGACTCGAATGAGGCCGAGTGTATGTGTTGGCCAAACACTATGTGAGTGAGGTCTTCTGGTAGCATCCCTGGCACAATCGGTTGATTGAAGTGATTGCCAAATGTGAGCTGCTGGACGTTTGGTGGCACAGTGCCACGCTCCAACATGTGATTGTAGCCATCACCAAGGAACAGACGCTGGAGGGAGAAGGGCAGCACGCCAGGCATGAGTCGACGAGTGAAGCCTGAACCCAAGGCCAACACGATGACGCCCTCAGGCACATGTCCAAAGTTAATCTCCTTATTGAATCGTTTGCCAAACACTACATGTGTAACAGTCGATGGGATTGCACCATAGTTCAACGATCGATTGAACTCCTCGCCAAAGAACAAATGAGTGATTGTCGAAGGAATTGCACCTGGCACAATATCCAAATTATACGACTGTGCCAAGCATAACTTTGTCATTCCACTTGGTATACATCCATAACTCAATGGATCCTTCTTAATGTACAAGTATTCATCTGATTGATTGATCAGTGAGTGTTAATGAAAGTGTGAGGGGTATCACGAATTTAATTATACTTGACATTAGTACATACTCTTTGGCAACTTGGAGGCATGATCATCATTGAGAATGACTTGTATCTCATTGTATGACTTGATCTTTAGTAGTTTGGAACGTACAGGTTCTTTGAATGTCAAGTACTTGTTCCTATCTGTATACAATCGTTTACAAATTAATGTTAAACATATTCTATCCACATTACATTCAAGGTATGATACAATTATCTGTAAGATGTAATGTGAGAATATCATTATAAAGTGTAGTTATAAATATATTTACAGATATTAGTTAGTTATTATTATTACAATCAATTAATAGAGTAGAGTTATTCAATTAAACCAACAATAAAGTGATGGATGGTCCCAGGCTGGGACCCATCAATCAGCCAGTCTGGCATTCATCAAAAATCAGAACTGTGTGGGTGAGGCTGATCAGATGGTCATCGGAAACGACAAGTGTGGGTATGTGACTCAAATACAATCATTTGAACTAGCTCATTCACAGATTAGATGTGGAAACTAAAAGGAAGGCAAGTATAGTTTATTTGGATAGACGAGCTTGGACTTGACTATGACTTGCATGGCAGGCTTGATGACAATGTCAATGGGCTTGAGGAAGAAGCCTGTAGTGTTGCACTTAAAGTCAATCTTGGGCTCCTCGAGGAATGATATCCACAGTGGTATGGCCGTGCCCGGTTGGAATCCAAGCATTAGTATGCCCTTTACCGATGGGTCGGTAATGGTGGCCTCACCCGAGATACCCTTGACTTCAATAAGCAGTCGAATCTTTAGATCCTTTGGTGCGAGCTCCAGTGCAAACTGAGCCTGATAGGCGTCCTTGGGGAAGATGGCCTGCAGCTGGATGATGCTTTGGCGCTCGGTGAACTGGTCGGGGAAGGCCTCAGGCATCGATATCTCCTTGATCGTGATCTTGACTGTCTTGAGCGCCGTGTTTTGCACCGAGTGCAAGATCGAGTTGAGCGTGTGGATAAGCGATGTGATGGGCTGGTTGGCCGCCGCCAACTCTTGTGCGGCAGACTTGGAGCCCACGGCCATGCCATCAATCTGTGGCCGCTTTTTGTTGTGTGGCTCAGTCAGTTGGTACATCAACATTGTCGTGGCGGATGCATCGTCGGCCACTGGTGCGTCCATGTCTAGTCCGCCCAACTTGGAGACGATCTCGCCAACCTTGTCGCTGTCCCTGATCAGCGTCTGCAGGAAGCGCTTGGCCTCTAGTGAATGGTAGGTGGCGGGCGAAAGCTTGGCCAATCTGGTCATGGGCGCCACATTCTTCTCCTTTCGTATATGCTTGCAGAGCTTTGAGTCGTTGTGCTGGTAGATACGCTTGATGAAGTAGACCACAGAGTGTTTGATCACCTCGCCATTGTCCATGTTGGCCATCGAGTACTGAATGTCCAATATACGGACATAATGTTTGATCGTGTCCTTGATCCTATATGGTTGTGATGAGGACGATGATGATGCTGACAATGATGCAGATGCCGATGATGATGTTGATGTTGACGATGATGAAGAGTTGGCAAACACAGGTGATGCAGCTGCTGAGATGAATGAAGATGCGCCCGAATGTCCACTGACCAATGAGTTGGGCAAAGTAGTGAGTGTAGACATGAGCTTGGCCACAACAAGCATCGTATATTTCAATACTGATGCATTCAAATTGTTGGTCATGGATAATCTGACCAAGCTCTCCAATGATATGTAGATACAGAATTTCTCTGATTGATGTAATTGATTGAGTGAGTGGAATGGTCCCAGGATCACCTGCGACGGACATGAATACTTGTACTTACCAATGTTACAAAGATAATACAATGTCTTTAGGGACTCGAGCATCAAGAGTGTGTTGGGGCTGGAGCGATGGATGTAGCTCTGGACGAGTCTTGCCATCCTGATCACCTTGTTGATGTCTTGAAGTAGTAGCATGCTGGATACATGCGAGACATTCCTGCCATAATATCTCAAGGACTGTACAATCTCCAGTTGGAAGTCTGCCAACAAATCATTCTTCTCTCCAATGTCCAACAACAAGTCCAACAACTGTCCATTGTAATCTAATTAATGTGATGCATGAGTGTTAGCAAGTTGACGCGCCACTGGAGGAGGAGGATGGACAATATGAACATACGATATTTGAAGCGATAAGATAGTCGCTTGAGAAGGATACGCATGCTCTGCCAGTCACTGCAGTCTGGATCATAGTCTTGTGGAGTGAGTCGCTTGGCCATCCACTGATCTGTGAGACGGAAGCGGAAAATGTGACTACCGCCAACCCAAGCACAACCATTGTTGTACAACAACGTGGAGTTCATGTCTTCGTTCAGCTCTATACATTCAAAAACGACTTGTCCAGTCTGATGATTGTTGTGTCAGTCTCGGCTGGATCTTGATTGATCAATGAGATGATGTGATGTACGTACATTGGTTTCATAGACGGACACATGGTTCCTGTGCAATGCCCAGACATGGCCATTGAATAGATTGAACGATGTGACAGGATGTGTACACTCAAACCTTCGCTTGAGCTTCAATGTCTGATGGTATTGATTGCGTGAGTGAGCGAGTGATTGAATGATTAATCAGGCTTGAGTGAACATACCTCGAGACTCCAGAGCGAGATTGTGTTGGGAAGGTTGGGCGAGAAGAATGTGTTCTCGGGCATGGAACATATCCAAAGAGTGTTGCCAATGACTGCCATGGCCGATATCTGATGATTGTCAACATCAATCAGATGACATACTTGGCCACCCTCCCAAGGTGACCATACTATCACCTCGGCATACGTCGTGGCGATCAATATACGCTCGTCCACCTTGATCAACTTGCTAAACTTTCGCATGGCCTTGAATCTCTTCAGCTTCTGTTGGTGATGTGTTACTTCCACCAATGACTCTAGATAGCTGTTGATATCAATGGCCTTGGAGCGATGTGTCTACATGTGTGCGTGAGTCGTTAGTGGCGTACCTATCATCAGAACATGTGACCATGGTACTATACTTACTGTGACGTCTAGGATGCTAAGTGTTGTTGCTGTCTCATTGTGGCCGCAGTAGAGAAGGAGGTTGTCCGTCACTTCTATCATGTTGTGGATGGGCACGGGCGACGCGTGCACAAAGATAACGGTGAAGTCTGTCTTGTTCCATGCGGTGATCTTGCCATCCATCGATGAGCTGTATATAGTGCGTCGCGATGGGTTGTACACCATTGATGTGATTGGTGCATTGTAAGGTTTCCACTGCGAGCCCTTCTTGATGCGATCCGTGCTCTGGCTGACAGACCACGTGACAATGTTGCCCTGGCTATCGCCACACCATATCTTATTCTTGCTGACAGCTACCATTGATGTTACGTGGCCATTTGTAATGTTCTTTATACGATCGGCAATCGATGCTCCACACATGCTGATTGGACGACTATGTTGTTGTTGCTGTTGGGTGTTTGGCGCGCCATTGGCAACACCATTCTGCTGTTGTTGCTGTTGCTTATCATTGATATTGATGACAGCTGATGCCCTCTTGTTGATTATCGAGGTGACCACTGCCTTGGTGAGTGTGTTCCTGTATGACTCTGGCTGAGGCTGTGGCTCAACGTTGTTGCCATTGATGCTACCATTGATGCCGTTTGTGTCAAGGTAGTTTGGATCATCCTTGGATACTGCGATGGACACTGATCGCGGCTTGGAATTGGTGGATGTTGATGATGATGAAGATGATGAGAAGACTGATGTGAATCGCTTGGGATTGACATTGGTAGTTGTTAATGTTGAAGTTGATGGTGTCGGTGCAGAGTTTGGAGGAATGACTGGCGCGGATGTCGGTTGTTGTTGCTTCTTAAGAATTGATTGAGGATTGGATGATGTTGTTGCCAGGTTTGATGCTGTGGGTGGCGCTGTAGTTGGTAAAGCTGGAGTGGTCACCGATGAAGTTGATTGAGTTCTAGGTGTTGGTGGTACTGGCATTGATTTGTGTCCTGTGGATGGAGGCGAAACTACCACCTGTGGCACAGGTGGCGGCTGTTGTGTGGTCGTGGTCACAACGGAAGCCGTAGTGGCAGCGCGATCCCTAGACTGGCGCGATGATGAAGTAGTTGAAGACTCTGACACTTGGATGATACATGAGTTGAGAAAGTTGATCCATAGTGCCATCTCATACTCTGAGTGTGCGGCCAGATGATAGACCTTGTCTTTGGTCTGTATGTCCAGCAGCCATTGTTGTGAAGATGATGATGACGATGCCTTTGGTTGTAGGATGGCTTCGACCGGTGCCATCTCAATGCGGCCAAGTGGCACCATTGCTGCAGCGGCATCCTTATCAGTCTTGTAATATGAGAGACCATGAGTGTCCAATACAAACCAACGTTTCTTCCATGCCGATTGTTTGGACAATGCCGCAAAAGTCTTCTTGGCTCTCTTCATCAAGTAGCCTGAATGTATAAGAGTGGTGTCGCCAGTGGACATGGGGTTGGCTGGCATGGTCGTGTTCGTGGTCGTCGTGGTCGATGTTGACTTTCCATTCTTTGATGTCATGGCTATGTGTGTATGACAAGTCCTACTTGATCAATCAATCAATCAATGTCTCTTCTCTTCTCTTCTCTCTCCTTCTCTCTTCTCACTTCTCTCTTCTCTATCTCTCGCTACACAATCTTTGTTGAATATTTAACTTATGCAAATGATTAAGTATGATTGAGCCCCTGTTGTAATGATGGCGAATGATTCGCTACAACAGGTCGTTCAATCACACACACTCTCACAGTTGTTGGAATGATCAAACTCTCACTTTTTAGTATCTTATCAACACTTTACTTGATTTGGATCGATCCCCTGGGGCACTTGTGGGGGGATCAAGAATGAATAGGTCTCTCCTGAAAGTGATGAACAGAATGGTGACACGTTTGCTGATGTTGTTGATGGGGCACTGCACGGACTATTCCTCAGAGCAATGTTTCTTGTGCAGCGAGAATGAATAACTCTCTTCCCTATTCTTTGTGCCTCGTTATAACTATCAATTCTTTAATGTAGTAGACTGCAGTCTACTACACTTTAATACCTTGTTCCAACCCAATCATTCACTCTCCTTCATTCATTCTTTCTGCTTATCATCGTCATAAGGGTCGGGACCATTCTTCGAGGGTTGGGGTAAGGGTAGGGGCGAGGGTAGAGAAGGGGTTGGAAGTAGAGTGTTGTTAGGGGGTAAAGTCAAGTCAATGATGCCCATTACATTCATTGACCAAACAGTTACATCTTCATCATAATAATATCATATACATATCAGTACTAGTTACTAACAGCGACAAGCAATGCTTGCTGCAACCAAATGGTTTATAAGGGGATTGACAACATATACAAAGTCATCATTCGAGAAGAAGAGCACAAGATTCAATAGTGATGACCTTCAAGCAATAGATTACATCAATACATCTTTCGTTGTAACAGGTGCCAATAGTGGCATTGGTTACGCAACTGCTCTAGACCTTGCTCGTATGTAGTAGTTACAGTAGTTACGAAGTCATCCATTCAATCAATCAATCATACCAACACTCATTCAATCAATCAATCAATGATTAGGAAAGGGAGGAATTGTACATATGATATGTAGAAACAAAGAAAGAGGTGAAGAAGCATTGGCGAGGATTGTGGAGCAAAGTGGAAGTAATAGGATACATCTACATATTTATGACCTTGCCCTGCAGAGTGAGGTGGTTAGAATGGCCAGACACTTTGTTGATAGAGGTATACGCATCGATGTGTTGATACTCAATGCTGGAGTAATGATGCCAATGAGATCGACTACAGTGGAAGGACATGAAGTCACATTCGCCACCAACCTGTTGTCACCATACCTGGCAACGTCATTGTTGTTAGATCATCTGCGCGACACTCACACCAACAACACGGCGAATAAGGCGAGAGTGATCTTTGTGTCGTCTGGAGGCGCACTCACACAGCGCATGACCTCCGACTATGAGTTTGTTAACATGGCTGGACGTCGTTGGAACGCCGTCAACACCTACGCACAGACGAAGCGTGCGTTGATCTATCTGGCCGACCTATTTGCCGAACGCTACAGCGATTACAACACCAACTTCTACTCGATGCATCCTGGCTGGGTGGCAACGCCTCAGTTGGCAACTGCCATGCCAACGTTTGCCGTGCTTACCAAGCGAATCCAGCGCACACCTGAGCAGGGCGCCGACACTATCATCTGGCTGGCAGTCTCCCCCACTGTTGAAAGCGAGAGTGGTGGCTTCTACGAGGACAGGGAACTAACTGCCAAGCACCTGACCAAAGACACAGAGTCGACGCGCGATGAGATCAATCAACTGTGGAGCTATCTTGGAAAGTGCTTCCAGGAGGCAGAACAGCAGCCCAAGGACAATGATGGCGAGGCTGATCAAGACGACCCCAAGGTCTCACATCAACAAGATGAGGAGCCAGCAGAGTTGGTCGAAGGCGAGACACATCCAAATCGATGAGCTAATGATCATCGATCAATCAATACAGCCACAACACATGTATATAGTAGTATCCAAGCTATGGAAGCTTTATTACACTTCCATCATGAATGGAATAGGTTGGCGACGCACGATAAATAGATAAGTTATGTATAAGTATGACCCAGGACAGAGCGTGAACCAAGGTTAACAGTTGTCCGTGCTAATTGAAGCGTTGATGGTACGCTTCTTGTTGTTCCTGGTGGAGACACCGGGTGGAGAGTCTTGTAGGGAGCAGTAGCCCTTCCAGGCGTTGTAGGAGCCCTTGCCCAACTCTGACTTCATGGCCTCGATCATCTCCTCCAACTCTGACACACGTCTCTGCAGACGATCATTGTCGGTCAGTGTATCAATGAGGCTGACCTTCATGCGCTCAATATCCGAATCATTATCAACACGGATCTTTTCCATGATTCTCATCTTGTCTTGCATCAACTGGTACTCCTTCTCCAATTGCTTCTTCTTCAACTTCTTGTCCTGATGTTTGATTGGTTGAATGAGTAAGTTGAGTTGGCGTGGCGAAGGTGTGGCGTGGCGTGGAGTGGAGTGGAGTTGGCGCTACTTACACCTTTGATTGGAGTTGAGAAGAAGGACTTGCCTGAGGTTGCCTGTGGTGCCATTGGACTGGCGGTAGATTGTTGGTAGCTGGAAACAGACAACATTGTTGATGTGGCTGGGCCGGCAGTGTAGGTGGTTGTCTTTGTAGGTGTGAAGGCAATGGTATATCTTGATGACTTGGGGCTCTGAATGAATTGGATGTTAGGAAATGAACAGGTTGAATGTATACCTGGATGGAGGACTTACCAATGTGGTCACTTTGGTGGCGCTGTTGGTGTTGACGTTGTCGGTGGTGGCAAATGACTTGATTGGTGTGGTGGATGAGGTGAAGGCAGATGTTGACTTGATTGGTGTACTATTTACAGGTTGTGATTGAATGGTGGTGGAGTTTGATGATCCTGGAGAGTTGGTAATATCATACAGAGCAGCCTCAGCGTTCTTTAGAAGTGCCGATGTAGTCTTGCGATGTGACTTTAAGTTGGAAGTGGTGGACTTGGATTTGAATTTCTGTTATTGTCAAGTCAATCAATGATTGATTAGTAAGTTAGTGCCGATCAATGAGTTAAGGAAGTTATAAAGTTGACAAACTTACATCGTTCTCTTGATAATCAAGATATGAGAGGGAATCCATGTGTGCTTTTGAACTCATTGTTGTTGTTGTTGAGATTGATTAACGCCTGTGTGAGTGTTGTTGTGTGTATGATTGGTATATGTGTGTAGTTGGATACTTGAAGTGATCAATTAACCGTCCTGTTAGTCTTTAATGATAACAACAACATGATCATACTGCTGTTTAACACCTCACAACAACATTGTCTCCCGCTCTCTCAAAGTATTATTTGGGGGGTTCTGTTTCAAACGGTTACAAAATTCAAATTCAAATTTCAAACAGGTGTCGTAAAGTCATCTGACGAATACTTCTATCTTGGGCAATTCACATAATCACAGGATTACCTGAACCATCTTCTCATTGACAATCACTCTCTTTCGGTGTAGTTTGGTATTGTTGTTATATCCTCAACTGAACTATTGGTGAAATAGTATCATAATATTGAAGTTCATTCACGAACATTGGTTGTATTCAATAATGAACTTCATATATACCAATTGGGAGTTTATGTTGGATCATTATTATTATTAATTATTATCATTAATTATTTGTAATAAATGTTTACCCCACTTTACAGATCTTTTGTTCCCAAATTGGGTTGGAGGTCTCTAACATTCAAACAATTGATTTGGAATTGGATGGGTGGGTGTGAGTGAATAGATGGCTTGAACACCAATCATCTTATGATAATTTGACAAGTATTGGCTCAAAAGATATTTGTTGACTTGGAAGGTGTGAGGGAGATGGATGAAGTGAATGAATGGTGCATTAACCATTTAAACATCAACAGAGTGATTCTGATTCATTACATATTGTGCTCATCACATATATAACTTATTACTTCAATCAATTAATAACATAACAACAATGGAAGGAGAAGACGTTCAAGCTTTGGTTATCGACAACGGTTCCGGAATGTGCAAGGCCGGTTTCGCCGGAGATGATGCTCCACGTGCAGTGTTCCCATCGATCGTCGGTCGTCCAAGACACACCGGTGTCATGGTCGGCATGGGTCAGAAGGACTCCTACGTCGGAGATGAGGCCCAGTCCAAGAGAGGTATCCTCACCTTGAAGTACCCAATTGAGCACGGTATCGTCACCAACTGGGATGATATGGAGAAGATCTGGCATCACACCTTCTACAACGAGCTCCGTGTCGCCCCAGAGGAGCACCCAGTCCTTTTGACTGAGGCCCCACTCAACCCAAAGGCCAACCGTGAGAAGATGACCCAGATCATGTTCGAGACCTTCAACACCCCAGCCATGTACGTTGCCATCCAGGCCGTCCTGTCCCTGTACGCCTCTGGTCGTACCACCGGTATCGTCATGGACTCTGGTGATGGAGTTTCCCACACCGTCCCAATCTACGAGGGATAYGCYCTCCCACACGCTATCCTCCGTCTGGATCTCGCTGGTCGTGACCTYACTGACTACTTGATGAAGATCTTGACCGAGCGTGGATACTCTTTCACCACCACCGCCGAGCGTGAGATCGTTCGTGACATCAAGGAGAAGCTCGCCTACGTCGCCCTCGACTTTGAGGCTGAGATGCAGACTGCTGCCTCCTCCTCTGCCCTCGAGAAGTCATACGAGCTTCCAGACGGACAGGTCATCACCATCGGTAACGAGCGTTTCCGTTCCCAGAGGCCCTCTTCCAGCCATCCTTCCTCGGAATGGAGTCTGCCGGTATCCACGAGACCACCTACAACTCCATCATGAAGTGTGACGTTGATATCCGTAAGGATCTCTACGGAAACGTCGTCTTGTCCGGAGGCACGACCATGTTCCCAGGCATTGCTGACCGTATGCAGAAGGAGTTGACTGCCCTCGCCCCATCCACCATGAAGATCAAGATCATTGCCCCACCCGAGCGCAAGTACTCTGTCTGGATCGGAGGTTCCATCCTTGCTTCCCTCTCCACCTTCCAACAGATGTGGATCTCCAAGGAGGAGTACGACGAGTCTGGACCATCCATTGTCCACAGAAAGTGCTTCTAAGCGACCAGTCCTTCCACTGTTCCCCATGTTGTGTCATTAGTAAAGTGATAGGCTCTGTCACCTGTCCATATGGTGCAGTCAGTCAACTGTTGATTTCATCCAGTTGTCTGATTGTCCTGGACATTGTATCCAAACAAATTATAATATTTCTTTTTATTTAATTTTATTTATTTGGGATCATTCCTCTGATTGTGATTGAATGAGTGAGTGCACTGACTGATTGATCAACGAATCAATCACAATCAAACAAACCACACACACACACACACATATACACTAATTATAACATTGATCGATCTCATACAAAGTGAGTGATAGAGAGTGTGTGCATTATTAGATCATCGTTTACCTTACATTCGTCATCAATCATGGGTCATCCATCATGTCGCCGGTATCTACTCGCACACACATAAGTGACTTGACTCGACTCCAACTATGATGATTGAGATGGAGTGCACATCATCATCAGCTAGCCAGTCAGTCAGGTCAGTCGGTCGGCAGTCAGTCTACCCAAGCATGCCGACACACACATCCATCAATCCATTCAATTCCCCCTATCTCTCCTCTATCTGTTTGGTTCCTAGACATGTCATCCCCTATCTCCAATCGATTGACCCATCGTCTGTCCTTCCGTCCGTCCGTTCCTTTCCAACACAGCAACTACTACTACTACTAGTAGCAATACTATAATTAGCCGTCTACCTATGTCTATCCACTACTCTCAGTCAATCACTCAATCACTCAATCAATCAATCAATCAAGAAGTAGTGATCGATTACTATACTACATTACATTATACATACTTGTCAAAGACAGACAAACTTAAGATCAATGATGGAGTATAAACAAGTGGAGAAACAAGTAACTAGAGATTCCAAGCTCAAGCATCTCACTCACAAGGTCTGCAAGCGAGACTTGTGCTTCACCAACCTCAAAGTGAACACATCAGCCGAGGAACTGCTCAAGGCATCCAAATCACTCTTTGCCTATCCATCTCCAGTCGCAGGTACGTTGTTCAATCACTCAATCATATATTGGAACTATTCCACTCACTTACTCAATCAATCAATGACTTTCCAGGTGGATCAACATTGTCTATCTCTAAGCTCAGTAGTTATGGCAAGGCTCCAGACATGCCATTCAGTTTGAAGGGACATACGGATGCGATAACATGTTTTGAGTTTAGTCCGTTCAATGATAGGGTGATTGCGACTGGTAGCAGAGACTGTACTGCCAGACTTTGGCATATCGACGATGAACTGGACATGCAGCCAAACACATGGGTGGAACCCCTGCTCACACTGCCAAAGCAGGCCAAGAGGTTCACTGGCCTGTATTTCCACCCATCTGTAGACTCATTATTAGTGTCCGCCACCACGGATTATGCCGTCGATTTATGGGACCTGACACAGGAGGGCAGGGTCATCCAGCGAGTGACCGGCGCGAGCGACACAGTCATGTCACTGTCGTGGAACACGTGGAGTGGCGGAAATCAATTCGTCACATCATCCAAGGACAAGAAGCTTAGGATCTATGATCCACGCGATGCATCAGGTGTGCCAGTTCACGAGATAATGGCCCACGAGGGTGCGCAAGGCTTCAAGACAGTGTGGGTCGATGGCAATGGATTGGACTTGATCTGCACGGTTGGCGTCAACAAGAGTGCACAGCGACAGATGTACTTATGGGACACGCGCAACCTGGTGGGCAGACCGCCCATCACGCACAACATCACCAGCGATAGCAGCAGCCTCAACCCATACTATGACTACGCCAACAACCTGATATACTTGGGTGGCAAGGGTGATGGAATCTACTCGGTCGAGGTGGACAGGAGTGGCGCCCACGCAATAGGCAAGGCAACATTTGGTGCGAACAATACAGCGACAGCGATATCGATGCTACCCAAGACATGTTGTGACGTGAACCTATGCGAGATCAGTAGGTTCCTGAGACTGTCCAACAACAATCAAGTTGAGATGGTGTCTTTTGTTGTGCCTCGAGGCACTACTGGTAACAAGTCATCCAACAGCAACAACAACACGATGTTGTTCCAAGAGGACCTGTATCCACCAGCACCATCTGGTGATCCGACCAGTGATGTCCATCTTTGGCTTCAAGATCGTTCCGCCAACTTCAAGCCCCTGACTATATCCATGCGACCCGAGGGTCAACTCTCCATCTACGAAGTTGCCGAAGAGCAAGGTGGAAAGAGCAAAGAGAAGGACAAGTTGGACCAGATTGCCGCCAAGCTAGATGTACGTTACTCACTCAATCACTTGCTCATTTTGTCGATCAATAGATCATACTTACTCACTCACTCACTCATTAGGAGAGCACATTCATCATGGAGGGATATGTAATGAATGAGGTTGAAGGATGGCTGTTCAACTCGTTCGAGTCGAGATACTTGAAGATCTTGAAGGACAGATTGTATTGTTTCCGTGCCGAGGAGTCCGCCCAAGCAGAGTGGGACACGTTGTTGGTCAGCATTACAGACATACAGAAGGAGCAAGAGTCCGATGATACTGCAGCTGGCACTGATGAGAACACACGACCACATCGATTTGTCATCACAATCAACAAGGACAAGCAGTACAAGATTGAATGTAACACTATGGATATGAGAGATCAGTGGCTACACTCAATACAAGCACATCGCGACTCAAAGATCACCGATGACCTCATGGACAGTCCAATCTCTGCTTATGTTAACGACTTGTTGGTCCAGCAACAGGTTCAGAACCTGAATATGGACGATCAGACATCATGTCATACTGATACCCCATCCCAGCCTCCTCCAATGAACATCAGTGGCGACGTTGACCAACGACCAGTACTCAAACGAACACATTCAATATTGTCCCGCAACCCATCATACACCTCACTAAGGATGTCTGGCAGTATGACTCCTCCATCATCCAGCGGCACACCTCCATCATTCTCAAGAACATCATCAACTTCATCATTACTTGGTGCATCCTTCGACTCCCCGTCACCATCATCAACATCATCATCATCTTCCAAGAGACAACAAGTTATCATCTTTGAGGGCGGGTTGTATGAGTTGGTCGATGGCACACCGGTGTCTCACATCGAGAAGTGGTACACTGTGACCGACAGCAGTATGTTATGCTCATTCAAGAGTGCTGAGCAGGCCAAGGGTGACGAGCCATTGGAGACCATTCATCTGGATCGTGCGATATCAGTGATCAGGACCAAGGATATATTCAAAGTTGATGATGGCCATGGCTACAGCTTCCAGCTCACCACGCCCACGCGTATAATGCATCTCCTCGCCAAGACCAAGAATGAGATGAAATCCTGGATGTCAATGTTGCGTCAACATCTTCTTGGAAGTGGCGAGATCAAGCCTCCTGGCTCAGATGGAGGCGCTGACTCTTTTGACAATGATGGCGCGGATGAACACGAGGAAGACGACTCAGATGATGAAGTTGACGACCAGGAGAGATGTCTAGATGGACATATGTTCAGGAAGCTCAATGGAATGTTCTCGACATGGGATGGCTGTTATGTACACCTGCTCGAGGAGGACCTGTTCATCTCTAAGAACAAACATGCCGCCACTCCAGAGCTACGTATCCAACTACAGTCAATCACTCAAATCAACAAAGTGTCCGCCAATGAGTTTGAACTATGCACGGGCCCATCCAACGAAGTCGTGTGCAGTCTCAAGACGGTTGAGATGGCCGACGATCAATATGATCCATGCGCTCATTGGATAGAATCACTGGAGATTGGTCGAAAGCGATCGATGGATGTGATCAAGATGTTGGGCATCACAGACCTCAAGTCCATGGCCGAGGAAGATGAGCGGTACTTGGACCTCAATGATGTGAAGAATGGCAATTGCAAGATATTGATGCAGGTCAAGGGCAGACGCAAGATCAGGGTGGTGACGACCAAGCTTGAGGCCAGTTCATTGAACACCAACAACTCATTCGTATTGGATGCTGGACCCAAGATCTACATATGGGCCGGCGCCAAGAGCTCACGTGTCAACAAGGCCAAGGCATTGGACTTTGCCAACAGGATACGAGAGAAGGAGCGTGGTGGCCGTGCCACTATCATCCAGTTGGACGAGGGGAAGGAGGACTCGTGTCCCGAGTTCCGAGACCTCATCGTGGGAATGGGCGAATCAACTCCCGCGACCACGCCAACACCCGACGAACAGGACATGGCCGCGAACAAGATGGTCATATATCGCATTGGAATGGACATCAAGCGCAACTGTCTAAAGGCACGACTGGCATGGGAGGGCACTGATTGGAGGCTCCCAAAGAAGGAGCTGCTCTTCACCAAGTTCGTCTATGTCATTGTGTGCTGTGGCAGCGAGATGTTCATTTGGATTGGCAAGGAGTCGGCATCATCACAACGCAGGATGGCACATCGTGTGGCACTGGCGTTGATCGACGCGGACAAGGACACCAACACGGACATGCCATCATGGATCAAGATCACCAAGATCAATGAGTCGGGCGAGACCAACCTGTTCAAGGAGAAGTTCTCAAACTACCCTGGCATGCTACCGATCAGCACGTCAAAGATGGATGTGATGCCAAACATGGTGGCAGCCACAAAGACCGACCACTCAATAGAGCACTTGGTGGCACTGATGCAGCGCACGCCACCCAATGACGCGGAGAAGATTGTTACCTCGCCAGATGTGGGCAAGGTCAAGATCTGGAAGATTGACGACTTTGAGAAGGTGGACCATCCGCCACATCTCTACGGCCAGTTCTTCTCGGGCGATAGTTACATTGTGTTGTACAGCTACATGATCAGCAACAGAGAGATGCATATTATATACTATTATCAAGGTCGTGATAGTACAACGAATGAGAAGGGCACGTCGGCCTACCTCACAGTGGACCTACACGATCAACTTGGTGTCAACTGTGTACAAGTGCGCGTGGTCCAAAACAAAGAGTGTACCAACTTCCTCAACCTATTCAAGCGACGCATGGTTATACATCGTGGAAAGTACCAGCCACCAGCCAATGATGATGGTGCCAGTCCGACCGCGACCTCTCCCGTTCAGGCCAAGTCGCTGTATGAAGTGAGAGGAGGAGTGTCCAGCCAGCCAGTGGACATTGACACGAGGGCCGTACAAGTAGACCTCAAGGCATCAATGTTGAACAGCCAGCACACATTCATATTGAGCATCTCCGAGGACAACCATGTTACCGTGTGGCGTGGTCGATACAGCTCCGAGCCAGAGTATCAATGTGCCCTTGCCATTGCCAAGACCACACTACGCACGGACCTCGGCACTACGTTCTCGTTCATTTCCGAAGGTGATGAGCCAGATGGGTTCTGGAAGCACTTGGATGGCGCGCGGAACAAGGAGCAGGCAATCAATGATCATCAACAGTCTGAGGGTGAGGTCGCGGTCTCAGTGGCGCTACCCCCAAGACTATTCATTTGTTCCAACTCCACTGGCATCATTGAGATCACTCAAGAGGTCAGATACTCGCAAGATGATTTGGACACGAGCAAAGTGATCATTCTGGACGTGCACACTCATTTATATGTTTGGATTGGAACGAGGACAAGTCACAAGACCAAGAAGTTGACGATGGAGACAGCCATTGAGTATTGGAGGAGAAAGCAAGGGGAAGGCGATGGTGATTTACACTCTAGAGTGTTGGTGATAGAGCCATATCAAGAGCCATTGGAGTTCAAATCATATTTCAGAGCATGGACCAGCAATAAGTATCCAAAGATCAGATTGGGCATGCCAGAGAAGTGTGGTGTGGTAGTGATGGATAAGCTCAGGGAGTATCAGAAGGAGGTGTATCAATATGAGGAGCTGCTGGCTGATCCACTGCCAGCTGGTGTGGACGCCACCAAACTAGAACTATACCTGCCAGACGAAGAATTTGAGCGAGTGATTGGAATGTCAAGGAAAGAATGGGACAAAGTACCAAGTTGGAAACGAGAGAATATCAAGAAATCTGTATATTTATATTAAAGTTGTACAAATTGGCATTATCCATGTATGATTGATCGATCAAACACACATCATGATCAGTTGCCCACACCTGATGGAAGGGTTAAACTTTAACGTTCATCATTCAATCAATCATTCAATGTTTTAATCATTATCATACATCATACATATAACTACAGCCTCACAACATCCTGTACTCTGGAAACTGATCGACCATTGAATCACCATCAAAGAAGAATCGAACTATCAATGTAGTGACAAGTTGAGGATTAGGTGCGATATAATAACTAGAGTAATCTCCCATATCTATATAGTCCTCATCAGATTCATCATCGGACTCGAAGAACATATCAAATGAAGCCATGCGGTTGGTTGACAGGTCCATCGTGAAGCTGAAGCGTCCTTTGAAGTGCCGGGGCAGTGATGGTGGACCAATAGGTGATCGCGAGACAATCTCAATCCATTGATCAGAATTATTTTGATTGATGTAGGACTGGAACAATTGTGCAAAGAATTTGTCATAGCAGTGCCTATCAGGGTTGCGTTTAAACTTGCTGACTCCCACACTGGTTGTCCCAGATTCAGTCCAATGTGAATCAACACACTTGGTGGAACCATCAACAAACTTGATGTGCTTGGCGTTTGGGGCCCTAATCTTGATCAGTCCAATCCGGCGGTATTCTAATAGATTGATTGGTACCTCCAATGATTCAAGTCGGTCCAGACATGTCTCGAGATGTTCCTTGGGTATGTAGTCCAAGTTCTCTGCTTTGATATGAAGTGGAGGTGACTTGAACAGACAATGTGTTGAACCAATGTGTTTGATCGTACATCCAATAAACAGCTCTGGTATAACAGTGTTTGACATAACACTGGACACTGCTTGATGGAACTGTTTTGACACGGTGGACAGCATGACAACCCATATGGTGTTCCATGCTGAATGAAACACCAGGAAGGTAACAATATGTTTGATGATCAACGTCGAGAGTGAGGGTATGGGAGTGGAGGATGGCGATGGCAAGGGCAATGATAGGGCCTTGGGTCCTCTCCTGCCAAACAAGGGCGCATCGAGTGCGGTCCTGGCAGGTGATGTCTGTTTGTACTGTTTGTAGAGTCGTTGATGATGTTCAAACACATCATCTCGTTGAACGTTATTGATTAGTTGTGACTTTGTTGTTGGGCAAGTTCGGCCAAAGAGATGTTTGTCCAGATGTCGATACTTGAGCAAGAGGAATTTGGGAGCAGCATGAGAACATTGCCCAACAAAGTCCGTAAGTTGTCCAGACTGGAATGTGAAATGTTTGTTGATGTAATCAATCCATAATTGTTCGGACTCTGGACTGGCGTTAAGGTAACGACTGTATGATGCCAGATTATGTGGCGCCACTGGAGCAGTAAGATCTCTGATGAGTAGTGAGTCCAACAATGAATGATTGGTGAATGCCAACAGGAATGGATTGTCCACGGAGGTCTTTTGAATGATATCCCTATGTCTTACAATGAATGATTCGATTGATTGCCTGCTACGACTAATGAAGTCATCTTGGTTTGGTCGTTGGTACCCGGCAACTCGCAACAATCCTGTTATTGCTGCATCAATGATGTCATTACGTCGATCATACTTCTCGGTTGCCATGAGCTCTGTTACTCCGAGCAAACCTTCGATTATCATTCCTAGTTGAGTGTCCGTGATCACGTCATTGGGTAGGAATACATATTGTGATGGAGTTGGTACATAATTAAGTGATGGTGGTGATCCTTGTGCATCCATGATCATACGATCACTACTGTGTGTCCTGCGCAGACAAGCAAGGTGTTGGTATTCAGTGGCATATTGTTTAGTTTGCTAAGGAGTGATGTGATGCTCTCATCCATGACACCAACTGTCCCACCAAGGCAATTTATGACACTTGGTAACAGGACGAGTTTGGTCAATCCCTTGTCAAGTGTAGCCATTATATATTGTTCACAATATTTGTAATACTGATGATTGAATGAGTGAATAAGTGAGTGAGTGGAATAGTTCCATAGATTGATTGATCATACATACTTGTTGGAATGATTGACCGAGGCGAGTAATTAGAGTGATCATGTTGTCCAGGTTAAAGAGATGGAAGAATTGGAGACATTGATCGATTGATTGGATGAATGGATGGAGTAGTCGGAAGCCAGAATTGATGTTACCCCATGGCGAGTTGGGTCTGGACATCTCTCTCAACTTGTTTATCAACCATCGTTGGTTGGTGTCGTTGTTGGGAGGGTCATCCAAGATGATGCGTAGCACATGGGGCAGATTTGTTTGGCACATGTTTGATATCAGGTCGACACCATTAGCGCATCTGTCAATGAACTTTAGTACATATTGTTTATGATCGTTCAATAACATTGATGATTGTTTGTCAGGGATGGTACTCAGGTACTTCAATCTGGTCTTGTCATATTGTACTCTTTCAGCATCACTCCATTTATAAACAGCGTGTTGCTCGTCGTCCAGGAACCATTGTGTAAGCTCTATCTCAACAAACTCTGATCCAAGCACCGACTTGACCTTCTCCAACAAGCTGTTATCAAGCTTCATCATGTTGATGTACATGCTGAACAATCGTTGGCGGTGGACATCTTGTTGCCACTGGCCAACAACATTGTTTTGTACATTGGCGTGAAGAATGTCCAGTGTCTCACCCAAGTACAGGTACTGGCAAGTGGTTCGACCAAACTCTGGCCAGTTGCGTGTGCTTGCCACAAAAGTCCACAAGTCAACAAGTGCCATGGACACATCAAGCAGAGCTCCTGGTATATGTCGGTTTCTTCGCCAATCGATCTCGATATATTCTTGATTGTCAAGATGGCAATGAGGGAAATATCCATATTCAGGATCAGTGATTGTGTGCCATACCCTTGAACCAAATCTGATTCCACAGATCAATTGTAATATCTTGTCTCGAGAAGTTTGATCGATCAGCTGACTTCTAATAACCTTTGTTTGATAGTGTATGATTAGTGATCACATGTGATTGGAATGATTCCCGCATGACTATGATCAATCATATATATATATACCTTTGAGAGGAGTGGTAATCCATCGAGAACTTGGTCTATCATGAATGGAAGTTGATTGAGTGTCGACAGTTTTACATCAATGGGTATGGTTGTACTGTCCTTGTGACTCAACCATAACAACTCTATGTCTTTGAGTACATCATCCATGTTTGATTAATTGATCGATCACATGTCAAGTTGGCATCTGCCACCTTGAAGGGGCTTTGTTGGTCTTTTTTGATCAGACTAGGTTAGTGGGGTTGATCAAAGTTTGAATCAAACTTGACCTTTGACTTAATGAACTAACTACATTCACCATCAATCAATCAAAGAGATAGATAAATATATATAGAGATAAAGATAAAGATATAGATAAAAATGTCTGATCATAATAATAATAAAGATAAAGATAAAGATATCAGTGATGATAGTAATAAGGAGATCGTCAAGAGTAGTGCAGAGAATAACAAACAGATAATGAAATTGTTGACCAATATGAAGATTGATCCTGATCAACCTCATCCATTCTGGGACACACAACCAGTGCCAAAGATCGATATCGTCGTGGAGAAGAGTGGACCCATCGAGATCAAGACATTAGACGACGTCAGAAAGGAGCCACTGCCACTGCCCGACCTTTTCGAATGGGTTCATATCAACATCAATGACAATGAACAGGTATGTTTGATTGATTGATCGAATGACGAATGATCACAACACTGACACATGCAACAAACATACATATACTTTAGTTGCAGGATGTATATCAATTACTTAACGAGAACTATGTAGAGGATGATGATAACTTGTTTAGATTTGACTACTCTGTTGCCTTCCTCAAGTGGGCCTTGCAGCCACCTCACTACCTCAAGGATTGGCATATTGGAGTGCGCGTCAAGTCGTCAAAGAAGCTGGTCGGATTCATCTCTGGCATTCCAGCCACGATCAACGTCGACACAGACATTGTCAAGATGGTCGAGATCAACTTTTTGTGCGTCCACAAGAAGCTGCGCGAGAAGCGTCTCGCCCCCGTTCTCATCAAGGAGATCACGCGTCTGGTCAACTTGCAGAACATCTGGCAGGCGGCCTACACCGCCGGCCTGGTCATCCCCAAGCCCGTGGCCTCCTGTCGCTACTTCCATCGCTCGCTCAACCCCAAGAAGCTGGTCGAGTGCAACTTCTCCGCGCTGCCGCCCCGCTGCACCATGTCACTGCTCATCCAGCTCAACCGAGTCAACGAGAAGCCCAAGTCTGCGACGATCCGCCCGCTCACCAAGGAGGACGTGCCATCGGCCTGCGCACTGCTGATGACCTACCTGAGCAAGTTTGGCGTGTCGCCCGTCATGACCGAGGAAGAGTTCTGGCACTGGCTGCGCCCACAAAAGGACGTGGTCAACTGCTACGTCATCACGGACGCCGCCGGCAAGGTCACCGACATGACCAGCTGGTACACGCTGCCCTCCTCGGTGATTGGCAACGCTAAGCACAAGACGCTCAAGGCAGCCTTCTCATTCTACAACGTGGCCACGTCGGTACCCTTGATCGACCTGATGGCGGACGCGCTGCACTTTGCCAAGAAGTCGGATTTCGATGTGTTCAACTGTCTCGACATCATGGATAATGCGACATTCCTCAAGGATCTCAAGTTCCAACCTGGCGATGGCAACCTACAGTACTATCTCTACAACTACTCCACCCCAACCAAGAAGCCAGCCGACATTGGACTTGTACTGCTCTAGATCAATTAATCAATCAATCATTCATTCATTCGTTCCTTCAATTCAATTCTAATACACATCAATAGTAGCATTGAGATTACAATATATGGTGACGATCGATACCATTCATTAGATGTATACCGAGTGATTACTTAATCCAGATTGTCTCGTATGAATTCTCGATTGTTTCCAGGGCCAGGAACACCCGGGAAATATCATCATCAGACATAATGTACCATTTCTTACCATAGCGCGTCACCTTGAGATGCCTCAGCGTCGTGTTGATGACTTTGAAGCGCTGATCCTGGGGCACATCGAATCGTTCCAGATTGGGATTGGACGCGATCATGTCTGCGTGTTCAACCTCGATAGCTTTCAATAGTTTGATCTTCTTGATCGTAGTGTTGGCTGCATACGCCTGAGCAAAGCGGTGCTCTGTGTTTGGATGCAAATAATCATCAGTGCCTCGCTCATAGTCTTCTCTGAATTGAATGCGTAGCTTGCGCAATGCTGGTAGTTTGTTCAGGAATGTGAAGTCGGTCATGCGGTGACAGGAGATATCCAACTGTGTCAATGTGTTGGACAGCGTCAGAGGATCGATGCGAATGGTTGAAGAGTCGGGTCGACATTGTCCTTGCCGCATGCCATCTGCAACGAGGTGAGTGTGTCCTTGTGCGCCAACAGTATGTTGGCATAGTTGCTGGGCTTATTCTTCTTCTTGACTGCGGTGGCATCTACCTCCTCCATATTGATTATGTAGCGACGAAGTGGCGTTTTCTGCATTCCACTGGGATGAGCTTGAAGGCCAATGATGTGACCCTAGCTCGCCAGTTGGTGTTGAGACACTCGATGGTCTGCTGCAGACATTCATCCGACGTTGCATTGTTGAAGACCACTGTAACGTGGCCAAGACTAAAGGTGGTGAGCAGTTCCTTGACCTCAGGTGTGAGGGCATTGAGGTCCAAGATATCCAGTCGGTAGCGTCGAAGGATGTTGGAGACGCCAGATGTGTTTCGCTTGTCCGCAGTCTTTAGAAGCCAGTACAATTTCTTGACTGAGCAGTTCAACGGCACCCTGTAACCAAAGTTCATCTGGCTGAGTATCTCAGTGATGATCACGAGCCATTTCTTTGATAAACAACATAGATTGGCAATATCTTTCTTTTTGAACTTGCAACGATAGTTCACGTTAATCACCAGCAGTATTATTTTCTTTTGTACAATCAGTGGCAGTATTGGCAATGACAATGACATCCTGTTGTTATATATATATTTACAATTATCTTTTTGGAAAGTTACATTTAATGATTGATTGATTGATTGTATGATCAATTAATTTTGATATCATGAGCACCCACCAACCAATACAATCAATGTACCACTCATCAGAACAACAACAGAAAAACATATATATATAGAGATCAGGATGTCATTGCCAGTACTGCCACTGATTGTTCAAAAGAAGATAATGATGCTGGTTATTAACGAGTTGTATCGTTTCAAGAAAGTGATTGCCAATATGTGTTGTTTGTCAAAGAGATGGTTGGGTATCATGACTGAGATACTCAACAACATGAACATTTGTTACAGGGTGCCGATGCACCTCTCTGTAAAGAAACTTTACTGGCTACTAAAGACAGCGGACAAACGACAAACTTCTGGGGTATCCAACATCCTTCGACGCTACCGATTGGACATCTCGGGCCCAAACGCCCTCACGACTGAGGCCATGGAGCTACTCACCACCATTAGTCTTGGCCACGTGACCATAGTCCTCAACTATGCAACGTCCGTTGAGTGTCTTCAGCAAAGGTCATAGACGGTTGGGAAAACCCAGTTACACCGACAACACGAGGAAAGGTTGCTGGCCTCGTGGCCACGCAATATAACATTCCAAGTAAATGATTAATCATTAGATTGATTGATTGATCTAATATGGATGATTGAACAATTGATTGATGATTAATTGTGTATCTTGTCCAGTTAGAGGTAGTTGTGTTGATCAAATGAGTGCTCTGAAGGTCAACCTCAAGTCAAGAGGCCGCACCCACACAATCAGTTTTTTTATTTTTTTGAAATTAATTTGATCAACTTCAAAATGACTCTTGGAGGCACGCTTTGTGATCATCACAAAAACAATCAGATTGCATGCACTTGAAAGGTATCCTATCCTGCCCTCTCATATTATTACACACAAATATATAGATATATACAATGATGATGATATCAAGAGTTTGTGCAGTTATACTGCTAGTCTCACTCATTGCCATCGCCATTGCCAATGCAGAGATCGGTGGCAAGCGAACCCTGGTCGTTCTGGATGGTGATGATATCAAACAGTCACATTCAGCATTCTTCAAGCAACTTTCTGGTATGACCTATTGATTGATTGATCATGTGCATGTCATGGCATGCACCATGTGACTGACAGCATGCTTGGACCTATCATTTCTAACACATCATCACACACTTGATCAATCAACACAAACAGACAAAGGATATCAGTTAAACTACGTACAGGCTAGCGAGCAGGTCAAGCTTGAGAAGTACGGAGACTTCTTCTATGACAACCTTATTGTATTCGCACCAACCTCTGATGGTATGATCAACGGCAGGCTGCTTGGATCAACCATTCAATCACACTCACACTCACACTCACTCCCAATCAATGTACATTTAGATATTACTTTGACATCGGCTGACATTATCAACTTCATTGACGCTGGAAACAACGTCTTGATGGCTGGAGACTACATTGTTTCGGACACCATCCGTGACGTTGCCTCTGAGATTGGCATTGATATCGAGGATGACAAGACCAACGTCTTTGATCACTACAACTTTGACAAGGTATGCAGACCAGATCTTTGGCGGGACACCCAGGTCACTTACTTACTGACTGACCATCCCAAACACCAATCAATCACATGATCACTCCACACACATGATATACAGTCTGAGTCCCAACACAACTTGATTGTTGGCGATCGTTTCATCCAGGACTCATCAATCATTCTGAAGGATAAGAAGGCACCAGTGTTGTTCAAGGGTATTGGACATTCCATCCGTAACAACCCATTGAACTACGCCATCTTGACTGGTGTGTCCACCGCCTACTCTGCCAAGCTGAGCACCGGTGCCTCCACCAAGCTGTACGGCACCTCTGTAGGTCTGGTCTCTTCCCTGCAGGCTCGCAACAACGCCAGAGTCACATTCTCTGGTTCATTGGACCTCTTCAGCGACAAGTTCTTCCAGTCCTCCATCAACTGTGACTGTGCCCACAAGTAAGGATTCATTCATTCACTTATTCATTGTGTGATCACTCACTCTAACACTTGTCCCATCATCATCAAACAGTGGCCAGAAGTCAGGAAATGCCGAGTTTGTCAACAACCTCGTGTCATGGACATTCCAAGAGAGAGGTATTCTCCGCTCATCCAACCTCGTCATTGCCAAGGGTAACGACACCGACCCATCCATCTTGACCGTCAAGGACAACATTGTATGTGTTTGATCGATCAATCAATCATCAAGACCAGGCCAAGGCACAGGGCCCAAGCCCTCAATCAACTCCTAACACTCACTCAATCACTCAATCACTTAGACCTACTCTATCAAGGTTGATGAGTTTGTCAATGGTCAATGGACACCATACGTTGGAACATTGGAGCTGCAGATCATTATGTTGGACCCATACATCCGCACATTTATCAAGGGCAACAAGGACGGCGTGTTCTCTGCCGAGATCCAATTGCCAGACGTCTATGGAGTGTTCACGTTCGAGGCCACCGTCCAGCGTCCCGGCTACGGCAACCTGGAGACCATCATCAGACATCCAATCCGTCCCTTCCGTCACGACTCGTACGAGAGGTTCATCCCCTCGGCCTTCCCATACTACGCCGCCGCCTTCTCCATGATCAGTGGCGTCTTCGTATTCAGCATTGTATTCCTTCTCCACAAAGACACCAAGTAAACCCTTATCCCGTGCGCGGCCCATTCAGTCAATCAACCAAACCAATCCAATCAATCTATCAATCAAATAAATCAATCATACCTTAGTCCTCGCTCCATTTATTGAATGCTACATCCATCATTGATTGATTTTACCCATCCTTTTTGGAGTATACACCAGTCCAGTTGTGGACTGATCGTGTTGCCACCATTGCTGAGCTTAGACACGATGTGTCCTGCAAAGATCTCTGCGTTGTAGGTCGTCTGGCCTTCCTCTATCTTGAGAGGACACGATGTATACCCTCTGGGTATGTCCTCGATTGGTATTATTGGCCATGGATGGTCCTTGATTATTGTTTGACCGAAGGAATATGTCTGTGATTCACCTACCCATTCACCTTGCTCGGTGAAAGGTAAGAATGTTGTGATCCAACCAGAGAGTGTGGCGGGACCTGAGCCACCCGATTTATGGTTTGCAATCCTGTTCCACCATTCAACGTCAGGAGTGCCATTCACTGACTGGATTATCTTGTCCAGCACGGGCATTAACATCGTTAGCCACTTGCCAATATGTTTGTATTTGTTATCAAACTCCAACAATCTCTGTGCTCGATCAATCAGTTGTTGCCAGTCATCGACCGTGCCCATCATTGTAACCTTGGGCAGTCCGCACATTAGTTGTACCTTGTAACTAAAATAGTTCTTCAATGCTGACATCAGAGTGAATGCACCAACCAAACGATCAGTGCTTGTTGTCGTTGAGAAGTCTGGCATCACCCAATCTCTGATCGAAGGGTCTTTGATGTTTTGGGACAACTGCTCTGCCATCTCCAGGGCAACCTTCTCGTAGGGTGCCGTTAAGAGTTCTCCTTTGAGTCGGACAACAAGTTCGCGTTGTCCATCAAACGGCACAATCTTTGACCTCAACTCCTCAGAGTTGGCATTGATGTAGAATGAGAACTGTGTCATCACTGCCAGCCAGATGTCATCGGGTCTGATCACCAAGTGCTTGTGAGTATTGTATGCCCACAACACAGAGAATACGAATGAGTTGATACCCAAGGAGCAAGTTGAGCTAGTGTCTGCAATGCTGGACTTTAAGACTATTGGCTCATTGTAGAATTGAGGCGTAATGTACTCCTTTACATTATGAACTATGTTGGACAATTCGGACATCTCATTGGACGGACCTCCAGCACTTGCAAACAGAGAAGAGTATTTGAATGGTTGTGGAGTTGACAACTTAGTTGATTTTAATGCTGGTGTTGGATGTGCCTTAGGGTCTACGATGAATGTATGGGCAGAGTGTCCATCAAGTTGGTGATGTCGGACCGTCGATGTTGATCTAGGTGCTGGCGTTGGTGTTGTTGTTTCTGTTGATTTAGAGTAAGATTGTAATACCATCAAATTCTACTCTGTTTAGAAAGAAGTATATGTTTGAATGATTGATGAACGTCCATCCTTATAAGTATATCTTATGTTTCCCTCAAGTCGGCAATAACTCTTGAATGGTCCACGTGGACAAACTTCGTTGACTAGTGAGAGGTGTTATTTCGAGATCTCAGGAAAACACACTTTTCCCAAGAGATAGAGAAGGAGGAAGATGGATAATAAGAGTACTTCTATTACATGTGCTGCACATGGTAATAAGAGATACAAGTTCATATGTATACAATGCTCAGAGCTGATATGTTCATCATGTTTAGTGCTAAATCATAATGGTCATCGATTAGACACTGTAGATAATATAAGATCATTGATCAATCAATGTACATTCAATGAGTTGTTCAATGATAGACGTAATACATTATGGAATATAATGAAGGAGATGGCAATGACCTATACATCACAAGACAAGATAAAGACAGAGGTGACTGAGCACTTCAAACAACTACATGATCAACTGATCATTGAGGAGCATAGAATCAATCGGCAACTCATCGATGAGATGGACAAAGCAACAACTACAATCAATGATATCATCAAGGAGTTGAACAACATTGATGCAATATTCAATTGTTCAAGCATTGGACAGTACATACAATCTGAAGACAGCTCACTTGTGGATTGGATCATCAATAGTAACTCATTGGAAGAGTTTATTTCCAATAATGTACCAGAAGGTCCTGCTTTGCTACCCTCCGATCAAGAAGTCGCATTGGATGACTATGAGTTGTTGGGAATGTACATAGATGCACTACGTCACATTGAGTCAGCATCGTACAACCTCCCCGAGGCCTACCATCTCGAGGTGAGCAGCTCATTGCTGGAGAGCACGAGACAGACGTTATACTCGTGCTTCAAACTCACCCATCACTACAAGGTGTTCTCAGCCAGTCTAAACGACACGGCGCTGTTCGATCCTCACACAGGCGAATGGACAACAATTGGCAAGGGTCTTGACATAGAGACAGAGAATGAGCGATCGGAATCAATGGTGTATGCGCGAGGCAATGTCTACATGTTTGGCATCAGAGATTCATCGACATACTCCCGCTTCTCAATGTCTGAGAGGAGGTGGCATCATGACATACCAATCGTTGGTGTGCAGGGAGGTCGATGCATATCGGTGTGCTACGATGGTCATAAATACATCTATCTGCTTGGTGGACAATTAGACAGCGCGCTTCAACCCCTTGATCGAGTGGATCAGTTCAACATCGAGACACAACAATTCAGTCCATTATCAAAGATGGTGGAAGGCACTCGCGACTCTGTTTCCTTCCTCCACAAAGGACAGATCTACTCATGCACTGTAGGAGCGCGGGGTCTAATCCCTGCGCTAATATACACTAGTCTGTTACAGTCTGGCGGCCCTTCGACAAACCTGTGCACTTATAACAAAAACCTCAAGGACATCATGATATGTTTCTATGGTGGTGATGACGGAGCTGGGATAGGCAAACTCTACATTCATGACGATCATAATCAGATGTACTTGCTATCGTTCAATGAGAATGACAACAAGATCACACAGCTCACACAGCTCATTGGAGGAGAGTGTCCTATCGTACCTTACAAATGGCCCATTGTTGTACCAGGCTTTAATGCAGCCATCCACCTTGGTGGAAAGGATCAAAACTACAAATACTCATTCTCAAATAACAAATGGTCACAAATGAAGCATATAGACAATGTTGGGACTAGAAGAGGCCATCTTCATTGTCTGTTGTCTCCTTCAAACTAAACAATGTGGAGCGAGAGAGTAAGTGAGTAGTGATGAACCACCTTTCTCGCTCGCGAATGAGATACAGATAATAAAGCGTTATACAACAACTGAGCACTTCAAACAACTTCATGGTCATCTCATCATTGAGGAGTATAGAATCAATCTGCAACTCATTGTTGGAATTGAACTACATTGATTCATTGTTCATCTGTACAAACTTTGGACAATACATGCACACTGGAATCATTGTTGAAACGAAAAAAATTGTTTTTATTTCCAACTTGGACTGATTCCACCAATACAAGGTCTGATCTTAATGATGCAGTTCACCAATGAATAGGTTAATAGTATTAATCAATAAAATCATGATTTTTTTAATCCTAACTTATAACTTCAAAGTCAAAAGCCACGTTGACATCTGAGATTACGAGTATCCAGGTGAGACTTTAGTATCCAGGTGAGTAAATTACTATTTATTAAATTATACTTATAGCTATATATGATTATTATATATTATCACAACACATCCAAACTTGTTTGTGATTGGATTGATTTGGATGGGGATGGGGGATGGTATTATATGATTTGATTGATGTAAAATGTCGCATAGTCTGTTGATGGTGGATTGTCTATGATGTGGTGCTGCTATACAGTTGTGACTCTCGATCGATGAGAGTCTTGTTGAGTGCGACGGCCAGGTACTTAAACCACTTTGTCGCCAAGGAAGGGCTCAGGTCAAACAGGATATTTACAAACTGTCCTTCGATCGCGTACACCTCGACCTCGCTAGAGTCGGCAATGACGTTGGCTGTCACCTCGCCACTGAGAAGGTAGGTGATCTCTCCAAATGTGTCGTCCTGCTTCATCGTTCCCAGTATGACGGATTGCATCTGGCCAGGCTCCCTTGGGTTGGGCACCATCTTCTCGATGCGACACACACCCTTGGTGATCTGGAAGATCTTCTGAATGCGGTCGCCCTGCTTCACGATCGGCTGGTCCTTCGTGTAGACCAGGAGCTTTGAGCCCTCGCGACCAATCACCTCCCAATCCTCCTTGGTCAGCTGGTCGGCCTTGTTGTGGTTCTTGGACTTCATCGTCAGGTTGTTCTCCTTCTTGCGCTCCTGTTGGAGCTTCTCCTTGATTTGATCGGCACTGGTCGACTCCTTTGACGACTGGAACAGACTTAAAATGAGATGAAGTGCATCCTGTTGGTCCTTTTGATTCTGGAAGATGAGACGATAAGCGCGTGTACCATTCTTGATGCGAGTGATCTCAAGACCAGTGTTGTTGGCAGTGAACACATCCTGCATCTCCTTGAAGGGGATCTTCTTCTTGGTCTTGTAGCCAAAGAACTTTGAGTAGAAGCAGACGTGGCCCTGTGAGATGTAGCATCGGCCGGAGCGCGCCATTGAGCAAGGGTAGTCCTTGATAACGATCTCGTCGTGCAGGGAGAATCGGCTCCAGAACTCTTGGTCGTTCTTCTTTGTGCCGGGCTCGTTGAGCTGAGCCATCGTCTGTGTCCTGTTGACCTTAAGCGAATCCCTGTTGCTGCCCTCCTTCTCAGAAGAGCCTCGTGGCGTGAGGAACGTTGAGCTGCGCTTATCAAGGCGAGTGAAGAAGTTCGAGCTGGTTCGAGGGGATGTTGGCGAGGTGGACTGGAGGCCAGTCAAGTTGATGGGTGGTATTGATGGCGAGGATGATGGAGTGGAGCTGGATGACGAGTTTAGCAATGGCGATGGTGATTTGATGGGCGACATCACCGGTGATGAGGTGGGCGTTGTGGCTACGGGCTTAGATGTTGGTAGATTCTTTAGTCTGGCTGCCAACTGGTTGGCCATAATCTTGTAGAACTTGGCGCCCAGGCGTGGATGGGACACAAAGAGGTGGTTCAGGAATGGAATGTCCATGACGTAGAGGTCGGCCTTTCCATCGACCACGACGATGCGCGCTGTGGTCTTGTTGCCCAGGAATGACATCTCACCAAACATCTTGGGTGCCTCCATAGTAGCAACCTTGACTGACTTGCCATTCATCTTCTTCTCGACGCTCAGCGTGCCGGTCTTGATTCGGTAGAGGTAGCTGTTGATCGTGTTCTCCTCAATGACCACGTCGCCGTGATGATAGGTGATGACCGTGGCATTGGTCAGCAGTACGGACCAATCGCGCTCAGTGAGCTCCTCGTGTCCATAGCCAAGAGAGTCTGAGTTGCCCAATGCTTGATCGCCTTCCTTCTGGAGATCGTCGCCAGCGGTGCCGTTGATCTCGGCCTCCACTTCCAGTCTGCGCTCAATCTCAGATAGTCGATTGATCTGATGATAGTCGAATGTCTTCAACTCGCTGGCATACTGCTGGTACCATGGCAGGGGTGTTGTGCTGAGGGGCGGACGATAGAAACTGGGCAGGTCCTTGAAGTCCTTGAAGGCCTTCATGAGCTTGGACAGACGCTTCATACGCAGGATGTTGGCCATCTTCTCGCCGCCACTTGATACAAAGGTTGGGTTCTCTGTGCTGGTCTGTGAGAGGTCGGCAATCAATGCGCCAAGGAAGGGAATGGTCGGACAGGTCTGTCGCGTCATATAGGGCGCCAGTGTTGGGTAGTTCTGAATGACTGAGACGGGCAGGCCAGAGAGGACGACGCGAAGTGGGTGGTAGTTGGCCTCAGGCAACATCATACGACTCAGCTCGATGAAGCATTCAAAGTACTTGACGGGCAGGCGATTCCATGATGCACTCAATCTTGAGATAGGCTCAGAGTGAAGGGCGCTCAGTATCTGCATGATGCCATTGAAGTTCCACTGTGAGAGATACTCGAGTGCGATCTTGATGTTGCGTTCTATCATCTCGGCACGCGAGCGAATGTCGCGCTGCTTGACAATCTCTGTGGCGACGAGCATCGTCATCTTTTGGAACCATTGGAAGTATGTGCAGATGTTGGGGAAGTTGAGCTGTCTAAACTTCTCGGGATCGACATCGTCGCTGGTGGCCAGGCCGACACTGAAGCCGAGCAGGTCTCGGGGATGTATCTTTTGCATCATGTTGAGCTCTAGTGCTGTGTACTGATTGGCGACAAACTCGGCGTCGTCGTCGTGGAACACGTAGAATATGACCTGGCTATCGATGAACTTGGACTCGTTGCCGACCTTGGTCAGCGTGACCACTCCATCGTCGTTGAGCGCATTGATGAAGTTCTTGGCGAGGAAGTCGATGCCCAGCTTGCCGGCCTCCTCCCTCGAGGTGAGCGCGGTCTTGACGATCCAGTCGACGACGTCGGCACCAGTGAAGCACCTCGTGACGATCTTGCCCTTGTACTTCTTCTCGCGCAGGGGCACACCGTAAAGCGGGTCGCGAATGGCGATGGCCAGGTTCAAGAAGGACTTGACGCTCTGGCCAGGGACGGTCGCGGCTATCGACACACTGGCACGCCTCATCTGACTCAGCTGGCTCAGCTGGGACATCTGGCTGCCGACACTGGCATTGGACGCCTCTGAGTAGTCGCTGGTCGACGAAGATGTCAGAGATCGGCTCATTCGCTGGCCGTTCATAATCACTCGCATGTTGTCCTCCTGTTGGATCAATAGCAGCTGGGCCTTTTGTTGCTCCAGCTTCTCGGGATCGTGTGCGTCCAGTGTGGTGCTGACCGATGCCACAAAGCCGGGCTCATTGGCATAGCACATTTGTACAAAGTCGTCCATCTTGGTCAGGAGCCAGTTGTCTTCACTCTGGAACTCAATTGTTGTGATGTCGACGCTCCAGCGTTTGATGAAGATGGCCACACCATTCCTTATCGCGACACGACGCTGCTCGAATCTGCGCATGGTGAGTGGGTCGGCCTTGTCAGCGCGTGGTCCAAAGTAGCGCTTGACCAGGATCTTGAACACCTCGACGGGTGTGGTGAATGATCGATACAGGTATATGAAGTCGTCGATGAAGCTCTCGTCCAGTTGTGTGACGTGCACACTGCTACTCGTTGGCTTCAGTGGCCAGTGCATGGGCTGCAAAGCCTTGCCCGCTGTGTCACTCCTCTTGCGTCCGACGCCAGAGTCCTTGAAGTCTGCCTTGGTGGGGGATGTGGTCGAGACCAGCATTCCGCTGTCATTCCTAGTCATTAGCTCGATCATCTTGTTGAGTGTGGCGGCCGTGACAATGGACACGGGTGTAGACATGTGCTCGGCGTCGTCATAGCCAAGCAGGATGCCGCGTTGGTCGTCCTCGACAAATGGATACGGCTGCTCGAGCTCTTCCTCTGTGAAGATACCCAGCGTGAGCATATCGTCGTGCGTGATGGGCAGCTCATCGCTCTGCTCTCCCGAGGAAATGGATGACGAGCTTGCTGTGTGGTGGAAGCTGGCGTGGCTGACGTTGTTCTGCAGGTTGGATGATACGCTGGATGACAGGTCACGTGACTGCGTGAGATTGCTTCCGACGCCGCTGGTGATTGGTTCGCTGCGCAGGTTGACCGCGCTGGTACTGCTCCAGTCTGAGAATGATTGTGAGCGCGTCTTGCGCACCTGGTTCCTGATGTGTGGCGGCAGCGTCGAGGAAACTGGCGCGAACCTCTTCTTCAGATTGCCAAGTGTCTCTACAATCGATGCAAAGGTTGGACGCGAGTTGGGCTCGTGGGCCCAGCATGACTGGATGAGTTCGACGTACTCTGGTGGGCATGAAGCTGGTATGGTGGGTCGCAGGCCGAGGATGATCTCGTCCTCCAGCTTGGACATCCACTGGCCAAAAGCAAACTCGTCGTAGGGATGTGCGCGGGTGTACAACTCCCACAACATGATGCCAAAGGCGTAGACATCCGATGGCTCTGAGTAGGGCATGGAAGCCATGACCTCGGGCGCCAGCCATAGTGGCTGGTCGACGCAACGTGCCAACGCGGCACCACCATACAGCTCGGTGGATGTGCCATAATCGATAATTGTGCTGACGGGGTTGTTGCCCTCGACAAAGCCATGCATCAGGATGTTGGGACTCTTGAGGTCGCGATGTATCATTGGCGGGTTGTGTGAATGCATGTGATGCATGCCCTTGGCGATCTCGGTGGCGATCTGCAGACGCAGGCCCCAGCCAATCTCGATCAGGTTGTTTGACAGCAGGTTGTAGAGACTGCCATGCTTGACGTACTCGAGCGCCATGCACAGTGGCTGCAGACAGTAGCCAGAGATCTTCATGACGTTGGGGTGGCTGAGACGACTCATTGAGTAGACCTCGTGGCTGAACTCCCTAAACACTCGCAGACGATCCTCCTTCTTCTCGTCCTCCTGCATGTTGTCCGCGCCAATTGGCGGTATCAGCTTCTTGAGTGCAACGATCTCTCCATTCCACTCGGCCTCGTAGACGATGCCAAATGCTCCCTTGCCCACCTCCTTGATGATCTTGATGTCCTTGAGGTCGAAGCGTGGGCGAGGTATGTCCACCATTGCAATGTCTGGGACGAGCATCTCGAGTGGCAGTCTGTGTGTTGTGCCCTCATCATGCTCGTCCTGTTTCCTGTGACAGTTGAGTATCGACTTTCCATCCATCATAGCTTCCTCGCACTCCTCAATTGTGAACAGCGTCGCTCGCTGATCATACAAGAATGAGCATTCGAAGCAGCTTACATATCTGTGTTCGTCGCGAAAGGAAAGGTGTGAATAGACATCATCGTGTGGCGACAGGGCAGGACACTTACCGTTTGATATCAAGTCTGTACCATTGTGAAAAGAGTGATTCGATCGTATCTGTTACAATGCGCAGCAGTCCAACGGGCTTGGGGACACCACGCACGTTCACTGTGAGTATCTTCTTCACCTTGCCATTGGCCTTGCTCTCCTTGAGCTCAATGAGTGCCTCGTGGCCTTGATTGTTGGACACGATGACCACGTGCTTGAGACATGCCTCCACGCGAACAAACTGCAGCAGACGAATGATCAACTTGCCAAAGAATCGCTCGGGGATGAATGGCAGGTGGTATTGGCGATTGAGTCGCATAATGTCTGGGTCGTCAAAGTCCTCCCATTGTGACACTGTGTTGCCATTCTCTGGCAGTAGCGCGGGGACAAGATGGCGGCTCTCACCCGGGGTCTTGGGGTCCTCCTCCGAGTGCGAGGTGTCCTTGGCCGAGGATGTGATGCCTAGCTCCTCCTTGGATAGGAGGTGATGCGACGCCGGCAGGGGGAACGAGATCTCGAACGCGTGCATAATGTCCAGCAGCGAGGAGTGCAGATGCTCGGGGTAGTTTGGCGCCTTCCAAATGCCGGCCAGATGCGACTGGCGGATGATACCGTTCTTGAGCGCGATGGAGCGTGCTGTGATCAGCGAGGTAAGACAGTTGATGATCCACTGGTGATCCAGGATGACCATCTTGCCCACGGTCGAGTTGGGGTCGTTAAAGTACATGATCGAGCCAATGTTGTGCAGGAACTCTGTGGCGCGCTGTATCTTGACCGAGTCCTTCAGGTTGCAGATGTTCGCCAGGTTGATGTACTCCTGCCAGTTCATGATGGGCGGGATGCGCTTCTTCTTGGCCTCGAGCAGCGCCTCCTCAAACGTGAAGAAGCTGGACGGGATCTTTGTGCGCAGGATCGGTTGCGACTTGACAATGTCCTCGATCAGCTGGCGCAGACGGTCCACGTCGTAGCCGGTCGTGCACGACACTGATATGATGGCCTGGATCTTGGTGAACTGCTTCTGGAACGATCGACTGATGCTCTCGAGAATGCCATTGACCTTGTTGATGTCCTCGAAATAGTCGATATGTGTGCCAACGAGCACAATAGGTGAATTGGGTGCCACCGACGTGATCGAGTGCAGCCAGTACTCAATGACGGCCAGCGTGTCGCCGCCCGACAGGTCAAAGACCAGTACGTACACCGACCGCTCCGACACAAACAGCTGGTTGGTGGCAAAGTACACCTCCTTGCGAGCAATGTCCCACGTTGAGACGGTGAATGTCTTGCGCTTCCTATCCTCCTCGTCCAGCACTGCATCAAACTCGTGCTGATCTATCTCTATTCCCTCCATCGATGATCCACTGCTGCTCTTCTTCTTCTTGCCTCTAATACTCTGTATAACTGATGACTTGCCAGCTCCAGCTACATCATTGATTCATTAAGTGAGTGAGCTGTAATGGGTCGTGCGAATGAATGAATGACTACTTACTGTTTCCAACTACGATAAGCTTTGAACGAAGACATGGTCGCTCACCTGTCTCTAGCTCGCGAAGGAAGAGGACGATGTCTTTGAGACCTTTGCTGATGACGGATGTGGGTGGTGTGATGATCGGGTTCTGTTTGATGTTGAGGGTCTTGAGCGAGAGCAGCGATGAGATCGCCGTCGGCAACTGTGTCAGCTTGTTGTTGTTGAGAGAGAGCACCTCAAGCTTGGTCAGACGCTCCAGGGGACACAGCGACACCAGATGGTTGTTGTCGGCCTCCAGACGCTTCAGGTTGACGAGGCTGCCAATGGCCGAGGGCAGTCCCACCAGTCGGTTGTTGTCGAGTATAAGCACCTGCAGCATCTGCAGCTTGCCAATGTCCTCGGAGAGCGTGCGGATGTTGTGATGCGTGAGCACCAGCTTCTGCAGCCAGATGAGCGAGTAGAGCGAGGGTGGTAATGTTACAAGTTGCGTGAAGCTCAGATGGTACTCAAACTCGATGCTCTGCTGCTGCTGGTTGGAGTGGAGCTGGGCGCTCGGTGCGCCGCTGCTGCTGTTGCTGTTGCTGTTGCTCATTCCGCCGTCCGCCTTGGTGATCGATGCGAGCGTGCCACTTGCGCGACTGCCGCCCGCACTTCCCGATCCCATTATAAGATTGCTATGCAACTGAACTATATCCTTGATTGAGTAGTTGGCACCGCTGTCTCTGTTTGATGACGATGATGATATATGTTGTGTACTGCCACCCATGCTGCTCATGCTACTGCTCATGCTACTGCTCATGTTACTACTGGTGCTGTTTATGTGTGTGTTGCCGCCGCCACCTCCACCGCCACCGCCGATGGCCATCGTGGACATTGTATGTTGGAGCATTGAGTTGCGATCGGATGTGGAGATGTTGTGCGAAGCGATCACGACGAGATCCTCTGGCGTAGTGAATGTGCCATCCTTCTTCTTGAGTGATAGGTTGCGACCTTGAAAGGATAGAATAGATCGATCGGCACGTAGATACGCTTCCTCCTTTGTCGAAGTGAACTGATACTCATGGAATCTGAATTGATTACTCTGCTTTGTCTTTTGCATCTTATCTCTCTATCTGTATCTCTCTATCTCTTTATCTCTTTATCTGTATCTGTTGTTACAAAAGGGGGTGGTGTAGTCACACCTTTCTTGGACCAAATGTTATCGATGATGTTGATTATGATTAGATATATTGAACAATAAGACGATAGTAATAATATGTGAATGATATAATATAGGATATGATTGATTGATTGATTGAATGAAAGAGTGATAATAATAAATGTATATGAATGATGGATAATGAGATGAGATGCGCGTGTATTCAATCATTCAATCATTCATTCTTGCAGGCGAAACATAAGCTTTGGGTCTGGTTTGGTTTGGTGATCGAGTGGTGGGCATAAATACATCATCAAACAGAACAAACAGCTGAGCCATCTGTTCCGATCTTGCAAACTTTGGACCTAATTTTGTGAATAATCAATCAAAAAATGGTGGGGGTCTTGGTCTGTTTGTCTTCCATCAATCAATCGCTTTGCAACAAAAAATAGAGGTTTAGTGTGGGAGTGGTGCTCGCAAAGCGATGGTGAATGGATTGATGGATGGAGGGAAGACAGAAAGACAAGACAAAGTCTGATTGGTTGAGGGGAAAGAGGGGAATGTACATCAGTTTGAGAGATTTATTGATTATTGATCATGGTGAATCAATCAGTAGGAGTTGGTTGTGGTGTAGGACTCTGCACTATACAACATCTGTTGTTGTTGATGATGAAGTTGTTGATGGTGTGGAGTGTAGAATGATGATGTTGAATGCGCAAGGTTATTGTTGTTGTTGGTTGAAGAGGACAATGTGGAAGTTTGTTGGAACTGAACATTGTTGTTATGCTGTTGTTGTTGTTGATGAACTTGTTGGTTAACTAACAACTGTTGTTGTTGTTGTTGCTGCTGGACGTATTGTTGTGTTTGCATCTTGAGGAAGTTGATCACTTCTGGATGTATTAACTTGGCTGTTGGTGCTGCTGGAGGAACAACAGGAGAGGATGTGTGGAGGGCGGGAGGAGGGGGAGTAGCGGTGGTAAAGAAGAAGTTGTTGTTATATGTATTATTGCTATTGTTATTGCTATTGTTATTGCTATTGCTAATACTAATGGTATTATTATTAGTATTGCTATTGCTGGAGTTGGAGTTGGAGTTGTTGTTGGTGGGGATGTGAGTTTGGGTTTGAGTTTGGGTTTGGGTTTGGGTTTGAGTTTGTGTGTGAATTGGAACTTGAGACTGAGACACTTGTTGATGAGCATGATTGGTCAACTGAAGTTGTTGTTGTGGAGGTTGTGGAAGTGGCAGCATTGATGATGATTTGCCAACCAGCGATGCATCGATGTTTGGAGACATGTTGAACATTTGTTGGACATAGGGCGACTTGATGAGATTCAGTCCGATCAAACGATTGATCACAGCTTGGTTGGGGAATGAGCATAGCTTGAGCAGACGGTCATTGGTGTAGCGCAACTCCTGGGGGAAGCCCAACTTGGTGGCGATTGACTTGGACTCGTTGGTGCAGCAGAATGACTTTTGCAGACAGTCGTGGATGTCGGACTCGTTGCGGTTCATGCTCGAGTTGAGCTGCATGGCCTTGGCAAACAACAGGTCGGCACGGGTAAAGAGCAAGTGGATGAGTGTGCGCTGTGTGAAGGACTTGGCCTTGATGTCGGGGATGCGCAGGAGGTATGACTCAGCCTTGTCCAAGTCGTCCTTGCTCACTTGTGTGGACGAGCCCATCATGGTCTGGGCCGAGCGGATGTGTGCGCGGTATATTCCATTGACACATCTGGCGTTGACATTGTCGTCATCATCGTCGCCAGAGTCACCCTCACTCATACAGCTCTCATTCTTGTCCTTGGTATACTGGTCGCATGCCTTCTTAAACAGGTCCAATATCTGATTGCGCTTGGTAACTGGATTGATTTGTTTGGCCACTCTGTTTACCATGAACTCGTCTATGATTGATTGATGTGCTTGTGTTAGTTGGGTACAGATGGCAAGTATCATCAAGATGATGTTGGAGTACATACCATAATCATGTGCGGCCTGGTTGTAGTAGTATTGGCCGCGGTGGAGTGAGGACAAGTCCATCTTTTTCTCAAGGAACTTGCATGTATTCAGATGTAACTTGGATGCAGTATAATTCTTGTGATATCTATATATTACCGACTTGAGGTAACTAACTTTGAACCTAATTAATGATGAGTCAGTATGATTGAATGATTGAATGATTGGATTGACGCGGAGGTAAACTTACAAATTCTCCAAAGAGAAGTGAAGTGTTAGGGCATTGTCCATCATCTCGAATGACTTGGAAAAGTCACCGGTGAAGGTGAAGCCAATACCCTTCTCAATCATCAGGTCAGAGTATATCTTGGGATCGTTCTCATATTGCTTCATGTACTGTTCATACACCTTGTCCAACTCTGACCAGTTGGCACCAGACTCTTGTAATCTGGATATATAGCATGACAATGACTCATTGGACTTGACATAAATGTGGGATACTTGATTGATTGATTGATTAAGTTAGTAATGTGAACTTGTGGCCATGATGATGGAAGGGATACATACTTGATTGTGGTGATGATGTTGGTGAACCCTTGGACTTGGATCCAGATGATACACCTCCACAATCAACCTCGTCGCTAGAGGATGAGGAGGAGGCGCCGCTACCTGGTGTGTTCTTTTTCTTGGAGATGCCATAGTACTTGACATCAAAGACAAGATTCAGATCCTTGAACACAAGCTCCTGCTGATTGGGTAGTGGCTTCATGATCACGGAGCACTGCAACTTGTAGACGCCAGTGTATGGCAAGTGGATGGCGGGGAACTCGGCCTGGCCGCGCTCCATCAGTGTGGTCAGGTCAAAGCATGACTTGATGGTCTCGAGTGGGCGCTGGTCCTTCTCTTTGTTTTCCTTGCGAGTGAAGGGGCTGGGGATCCAGTGCGGGAACACACTGTCCAGCTTCAGCTGGAGGGGTGGATGGTCCATGCACAGACGGTTCGTGTCGCTCTTGTAGTAAAGGAACACACCAATGCTCTGCTTCTTCTTGGAGGCGTAGATGGTTGGGGAGCAGTGGAAGAAGTAAGGGCACTCCATTGGCTCGCTGGGCGAGGACGTGGGCGTTGGGGTCAGGGGTGGCGTGGTGGGAACATTGCTGCTGGCATTGGACAACACCTGGTGATGGGACATCCAATCATCACTGCTGGTGTCGGTGGGGGATGACATGGAGGAAGCGGCAGCACTTGGACAAACAGTGTTGGCGGCGGCCGTGGTGGGATGGTACATCATATTGCTGCCACTATTGTTGTTGTTGTTGCCAATATTGATGGTGGCGGGGATGATGTCCAGAGGCTGTTGGACATATGTTAACTCGGGATTGCTCATTGAGTAGCTGTTGGAGCTTGGATACAGCTGGCTCATGTCAAAAGGCATGTATGAGTACATGTTATCATTGTTGTTGTTTTGGTTGTTGTTGTGATTGGCGTTACCAATAATGGCACATCCATTATGGTCACCAGTGATGGTGTTGACCGTGGTATGTTGCTGTTGTCCAGATATAATGGATTGCAACTCATCAGTCAACAACATATTGGTTGTGGAGTCATTGTTGTTGTTGTGGTTGTGATTGTGGAGTCCGAGTCCGAGTCCGATGTTGGTGGTCTCTGGCAACTGATCAAGTGAGGACATGTAGTAGGTTGTTTGGGGCATTGGAACCAAGGCTAAGTCTTGGTCCTGTTGGTAGTAGGACAGATCTGACAATGGTGATGACAATGAAGATGTACTATCACTATCATTATTACTATTACTAATATTATTCATATTATTATTAAATAACATTGATTGATGTTGTAGTTGTAATGGTTGTGTATTCAGTGGTGGTTGGTATTGTTGTGGTTGTAGTTGTTGTTGAAGTTGTTGATGTTGTTGGAACATATTTGTTGGTACCAACATGGAACTATAATATATTGATTCCATGGTCTCTATCTCTCTATCTCTAAGTATGTGTATATGTATAAGTATGTATTTGAAGGGAAGCAAGTAAGTAAGCAAAAACTACAATGAAGATGATTGATTGATTGAGTTGACCCAAGTGTTCGAGAGAGGAAGAGAGAAAGAGATATCGTTTGTTTCGATCTTGAGAATGAGTGAGAGAGTAAATATCCGAATGGCTGAATGAAGATAGAGTAATAGTTGTAGTGGCGGCAGTGCAGGATGTGGTAGTCGTTGTAGGGCTGAGCAGGGATCATGGGGGTGACATTAAGCTATGTTGGATATTAGTTAAGCTTGCTTAGCTTTGATAATAAAGATTGTTGTAGTGCCTTCAATTTAGTGATATGTGTGTGTTTGTGATGATGATGGAGGGTAGGACATGAGACGTCTCATTCGCGATGCGATGCACGAACCCTGTACCCCTCCCTACCACCCCCTCCCCAAGAGGCCTCCCTGGCTGGACTGGCCTCGTATCCAAACAAACCAACACTTCGTTTCGTTAAACGATCCACATTAAAGTATGTGTGTAAACCTAGATGTAAAACAAGGTGGCAAAATGAGATATTAGGTACACAAATATCTCACTGTTTTATTTGATTCGTTTTACACAATCCCTTTAGTGATGTGTTATGTGGGGTAGGTCCACGGTTTGATCTGATCAAACCATCACTTTATCAAAAGTGATGTGTGGACAAACCGCACACGAATCATCCTAAAATAAAAAAACAAAATCCCAACAGAAACAAACAGGATTCTTGTGAAGATGATGTGAGGTACTTAAAAAAATCATGATCGTTTTTATGATCACACCCCACAATAAAATCCATTCTAATCATTGAAACGGTATGAATGATTACCCAAACACAGGAGGATATGTGTGTGGCCCGGCCCCAGTACCCAACAACAACTACAACGCGATGCACCGAGTTTGTTTGATTATTGGATGATTGAATGGCATCACGTGCCTTGACCCCGCCCCATAGGCCACAACCAGGGCATGTGCTCCCCTTTTAATGATGTGTCGATGAATTATTGTAAAGATCGTTGACTTGGTGATTGAATGGATGGATGTGATGACTGGTCAGTCCAGAGTGTCCGCCGAACGAAGGGCAGGGGATTGAAAGAAAGCCTCAAGATGGATATTCGGGGACAAATATCATGATCATTTTGGTCAATTCACTCTTTTTGGAGATGAGAAGGTGTTTGTTGGTGTCATTCTTGTTTGATGTTGTAGTGCGTGTGTGCGTTGGTGATGGTGATGGTGAAGTTGGTGTTGAAGAAGTTGGTGACGAAGATTCTTTTGAATGGTTGATTGTGTGCATTGAACAAACGATGATGATGAAGACGAATCCAAAGGGGTGGTGAACTGTTTAAGTGAATGATCGGAGTTGAACTCGGGTGACTGACTACCAACACTTGATTGACAGAGACAGACGACAGACGGAAAGACAGATACCAAAATGTACTCGCTCGAGTAGGACCACGCACTCACTCACGCCCTTGACTCTGCAAGAAGACATTGACTATCCCAATAGTTCGCGAACCACTACCCAGATCCCAACAAAGAAAAGATCATAAGATGATGATGAAACCCTGTCATTTCAAGATAATAACATTGATTGATTGATTGATTCATTCTCAAGTCCTGTTGGTAATGGGGATGGAATATGATCGTTAGTTCTCGAACGCCACCCACTTGATTTACTTACGATCAATCTCATTGTAGATAGAGAGAGAGAGAGAGAATATTATTAATATCTATATGTTATCATGATTGATTATTGAGTGAATTGATGGATGGATAGGATAGATGTTACTCATAATGTTCTGCGGAATCCAATGGATAGATGAACCATTGGCAATGTTGCGAGTGGCGCCGTTGATTGTGTTGCCGTATGCAGGAACAATGCAATAGAACAACAATGATATGATGCCAGCCATTATACTATGATCAAACATATAATTAAGGTAAGGTGATGTTATTTGATCAGATAGATGGTTGGCTGGTCTTTGTTAGAGGGGGTGGGTATGTGTTTGTTACTGATTCTGATCACCCTCTCATCACCGACAATAACACTCACATAATCACACATCATTTAAACTGAGAGTAAGGCACACACACCTAAGCTTAAAATGGGTTGTGTTGAACTCAATCACTCAGATGCTCTGATGATACAAAATGGTTGGATGTAGATGGATGGATGGACTGTGCTCTCACATGATCAATAGAGGACCACCATCCAAGTATGTGCTTCATTTATGGAGAGGTAAGCAGGACCTCTACTTGTTATGGCTGGTTCACGATATATACTTCACACTCACTCACTCACTTAGCCGCTCTGGATCATCAAGTGTGGGCATGGGTGAAGAGTTAATGTAGCACACATGGAATGATCAAACAACAACAACAACAACATCAACAACAACAACATTAAGCGTATATATTTAAGCAACATACATACATGCTGTTGTGTTTAAGAAGGAATGAACCAAGGCCACTGGTAGTGCAGCACTACCACACGATCAAGTGCTCAAAGCTCGCCCGCCAACCACTCCACCCCTTCTCCCTCTCCGCGCGTAATGCTCTCTCAGCAGCACATGATCCAATACGATAGGCTCTGGCCAGCACATGATCAGTAGGTGTGTAATATAGAAGGAGGGAGAATGATGAGTGAGGAGGTGGAGGAGGTAGCATACTGTGAATGGATTGAGTGATTGAGTGAATGAAACACACTCCACCTCCTTTAAAGGTGACCTGACCTGACCTCCTATCCTACATCATACTACATACATACATACAACTAAAGAGCATCAACAACAAGCCAACAATACAACACAACATTATACACAATACACCAACAACAAACAACAACAATCATTCAAACAGCTGTTCTCTACTCTAATCACATCACATTTAACAAATAGCCTCCTTTGTTGTAGTAAACATATATACTAACTAGTTAGAGATATATATACATTAATAATTATTATTATTTAAACAAGTAAACAACAAAACAATACAAAGCTAGCTTAACTCCTTCTCAACAACAACTACAACACCCCAGCAACAATGAGAATCATCGCACTCCTGGTCATCCTGATCGCTACCTTTAGCGTCATTCAAGGTAACATCCCCATCACATAGATAGTTAGAGTTGAAGTACATTAATACTAATCATTCATTCATTCACTTCATTCAATCACTTCATTCATTATGAACAATGTTAACAATCAATATTATTATTAGCTAAGGAACAATGTGGAAATGCCTTCTGTTTGGATAACTACTCCTGCAAATATATCAACGGCGTCCCAACATGTGTTTGTAACGACGAAATCACACCTCCCAATTGGCAGACGCTCTGTGCCGGCGTCTCCTGTCCCGAACACTATGTCTGCGCCGCCGTCGGAGGCATTGCCCAGTGTCTGTCAAAGATCCCACAGGTGTTGTCGACCACCGCCTCGACCACCGCCACCACCACCGCCACCACCACCGCCACGACCGGTCCAATGACCATCGGCCAGCTCACCCTCTCGGCCCAGGGCTCCTGCGCCACCAAGGTCTGCGCGTCGGGCGAGGTCTGCTGCCAGCCATTCTTGCACCTCGAGCCAACCTGCCTCAGCTTGTGTGAGTTTGCCAACTGTGCCGCCAACCAGCGCTGCATCCTCAACAACGGCGTGGCCACCTGTCTTACCAATCTATAAGTGTACTTATCACCGGTGTGAGGCGATTGGATATATCTTTGAAAGAGTTTACAATCAAGTCATGGTGATAATGGTAACAATCAGTCATTATAGAATTAACGACCGGCAACTCTTCACTTCCACCTCCATTCAAAATAACAAATAATCAAACACTACTCTTACCTCTCTATCTCTCTCTAATAATAAAATCACAACCAATGATTATCATGTTCAATGTGTCGTCCCATCCATTATTATACTTTACATCTTCCATGTTTCCAGGATCAATCAAACCTGGATTTCAAAAAAATGATCATATTCTTGACTTCATTCAATTAATCAATCAAAGATGGATAATAAGTATGACATATTGTTCAGAAGATTGATCAACAATCGTTATGTATCAACTCGGTTGTTCATTCATGTACATACACGTCAAGTTGTTAACAAAAGGAGGTAGCAAAAGGATACAGTACAAATACCTGATCAATAGATGGAATGATCTGTTGGCTCATTGGATCAAGTGTGTAAAGTCACGCTTCAATGAATGGATTGAGACAATACAGGATGTGACCGAGTTTGAATGTGGAGCATTCGACAAGTATAAAGGACATGAGTACATCATCAAGTACATCATCAAGAACCAACCAGAGACATTCAAGTCATTGATGATATTGGATGCAATGTCATCGATTGGAAGAATGGACCTCGTTCAATACCTTCATGACAATGGTGCACCGGCAACAACGAATGCGATGGACCATGCCAGCTCATTGGACATGTTCCTCTTCCTCCAACAACATCGAACCGAGGGTCACTCACGAATAGCATTGGAGGTCGCCTCGATCAATGGTTGCCTGCCCCTGGTAGAGTATCTCTACAACACTGCCATCGACAAGGTGGATGACATTAATACGCTTTCCTGTGCCGCCTATGGTGGACACCTAGATGTTGTGCGTTTCCTCGACGAGCACAATCTTGGCAATGAAGGATGCACTTCAAATACAATGGACCTTGCTGCAGGTAAAGGGCACTTTGAGGTACTCAAGTATTTGCACGATAATAGAACAGAGGGCTGCACACCAGTGGCCATGGACGACGCAATATCGAATGGCCACTACGACATTGTCACATTCCTCCATGAGCACAGGACTGAAGGCGGCACAGAGAATGCGATAAAACAGGCAGCGGAGCATGGACATCTTTCAATCATTCAACTCTTTCATGAACAGCACCGCACTGAGAAATGGACTGATGCATTGTCACGCGCAGTGTCTAGTGGACATATGGACATTGTCAAGTATCTCCATCTCAATCGCACTGAGCCGTGCTCAGGGGATTCGGTCGCGTTGGCGGCATCTCATGGCCATTTTGACATGATACTATACCTTCACGAGCAAGGATGTGACTCATTCATATCTAATGTGATGAACAGAGCTGCTGCCAATGGCCATCTGGATATAGTCAAGTTCCTCCATCAACACAGGACCGAGGGCTGCACGACCAATGCGATGGACTATGCAGCAATGAGAGGACATTTGGACGTCGTCCAGTTCCTTCACGAGCATCGCAGTGAAGGATGCACGCGCTACGCCTTGGACCAGGCCGCAACGTACGGTCACATAGAAGTAGTGAAGTATCTCTTAGCCAATCGAACAGAGGGGTGCATTGAGTTTGAGATGACTCCAAAATACATCTATAGGCGCACTGAGTTTACGGTGGACAATGCAGCAGAGCATAGACAGTGGGAGATTGTCAAGTTGTTGAATGCAAGGGGAATCCAGGGTAGTTACAAGGCCATGGACTATGCGGCGTTATACGGTCGTTTGGATATGGTGAAGTTCCTTCACTCCAACAGCACTCATGGATGTTCTTCGAAAGCGTTCAGTTATGCAACAACCCAGAAACATTGGGATATTCTACAGTTCCTTCAAGATAACTGTAGTTCTTTCAATCAAAAATAAAGTTGTTTGTCCATCATGTGATTGATCACACTCACACACTCAACCAATCGATCGATCAACTATGGATACTAAGTATGACATTGATATATTGTTCAGAAGATTGATCAACAATCGTTATGTATCTACTCAGTTGTTCAATTGGATACATTATATCAATGACATTAAGAACAATAGTGACATCAAGCATATGATCAAGAGATGGAGTGACCTGGTGGCTCATTGGATCAAGTGTGTAGAGTCACGCTTCAATGAATGGGATCAATTATATAATGAACCTGTTATCGAGTTTGAATGTGGACCATTCAACAAGTATCAAGGACATGAGTACATCATCAAGTATATCATCAAGAACCAACCAGAGACAATCAAGTCATTGATGATACTTGATGCAATGTCATCGATTGGAAGAATGGACCTTGTTCAATACCTGCATGACAATGGGGCATCGGCAACAACACACGCGATGGACCATGCCAGCTCGTTGGACATGTTCCTCTTCCTCCAACAACATCGAACCGAGGGTCACACATGCCAGGCATTGGAGATCGCCTCACACAAAGGTTGCCTGCCGCTCGTGGAGCATCTCTACAACACCGCCATCAACAAGTTGGATCACAAACATGCACTGGACTTTGCAGTCAGAGGAGGACACCTGGATGTGGTGCGCTTCCTTCATCAACACGGCCTTGGCAGTGGAGGATACAACTCGAGGACCATGGACAGAGTGGCAATCAGCGGTCATTTGGAGCTGCTCAAGTATCTACATCACAACAGAACTGAGGGATGTACGCCAAGGGCAATGAACGGTGCTGTATATAATGGCCACTATGAGGTGGTCAGATTCCTCCACGAGAACAGGACTGAAGGAAGCACAGTTATGGCGCCTCGACAAGCAGCAAAGGATGGACATCTCTCAATCATTCAACTATTCCACGAGCAACGTCGCACTGAGCCTTGGAGCATCAATGTTATGTCTGGCGCAGTGGCTTCGGGGCATCTCGATGTTGTGAAGTACCTCCACGAGCATCGCACCGAGGGGTGCACCTCAAACTCAGTGATGGAGGCAGCTGCTGGCGGACATCTAGACGTGATCCGATTCCTTCACGAGCACAGACCCAACGACTCATCTATATTCACACAAGGTATCATGTGCAACGCGGCCAAACATGGACATCTCGACATTGTAAAGTATCTCCACGAGCACAGGACTGAAGGCTGTACAGCGCATGCGATGGACAGCGCAGCACTTGAAGGCCACCTCGAGGTGATCAAGTATCTTCATGTCAACCGAACTGAAGGCTGTACACCGTTTGCCATGCACTACGCCGCTGAGAATGGTCATTTGGAGATAGTTCGCTATCTTGTTGAGAATCGCACAGAGGGCTGTCAAGAAACAACAATGGACTATGCTGCGACTAATGGACATTTGGCCGTCGTCACCTACCTGCACCACGCACAGAAGTTGAAGAGGACGATTGGACAATTGGACAATTGCTGCAGTACTGGGGCTATGGACGGTGCAGCGGGCAATGGATACCTGGACATCGTCCAATTCCTTCATTACAATCGCACTGAAGGCTGCACACCGGATGCAATGGACCAGGCTGCCCACGATGGATACTTGGACATCGTTCGATTCCTGCACGACAACAGAACAGAGGGATGCAGGTTGTGGACCATGGACACTACCGCCAGGTATGGTCATTTGGAAGTGCTTAGATTTCTCCATGACAACAGAACAGACTGCTGCTGTACGTTTGAGGCCATGAACAAGGCGGCAGCCTATGGACACTTGGATGTTGTCCGCTTCCTTCACGAGAATCGCAGTGAGGGGTGCACAACCCGCACTTTGGACCAGGCTGCAAGGTACGGTCACACTGAGATGGTGAGGTATCTCTTGGACAACCGAACAGAGGGATGCACTGTGGATGCCTTGAACTTGGCTGCCAGGCACGGACATCTGGGTACTGTCAAGCTGTTGCATGCGAGAGGAATCGAGGGCAGTGACCAGGCCATGGAGTACGCCGCAGAGAATGGACACGTGGATGTATTGCGATTCCTTCATTTCAACAGCACTCAAGGATGCACATCCAATGCGTTGGCACTGGCTGCCGCGAATGGCAATGTAAGGGTAGTCCAATTCCTTGTGCACAATCGAACCGAAGGTAATATCGACGATGCACTTACTATCGCCAGCAGGAATGGATACAGTTCAATCGTGAAGTATCTCAAAAAGCACAAACAACATTGATCTGATCGATCAATCCAGTGTACTCAACTTGTGACCTTGCAAAATAAAGTTGAGGCCTTGCCTCATTCACTCAATCAACCAATCAAACAAAATGATCAATTAAAGATGGATAAGTATGACATAGATATGTTGTTCAAACGATTGATCAACAATCGTTATATATCTACTCAGTTGTTCAATCATATACATTTTATAAGCAACAGTGGCGACAAGACTAAAGTCAAGATCAAGATCAAGAGATGGAATGACCTGGTGGCTCATTGGATCAAGTGTGTAAAGACACGTTTCAATGAATGGAATGAGGGGTGTAGAGAATCACCAATCGTGTTTGAATGTGGACCATTCGACAAGTATCAAGGACATGAGTACATCATCAAGTATATCATCAAGAACCAACCAGAGACATTCAAGTCATTGATGATACTTGATGCAATGTCATCGATTGGAAGAATGGACCTTGTTCAAAACCTTCATGACAATGGTGCACTGGCAACAACACGCGCGATGGACCATGCCAGCTCGTTGGACATGTTCCTCTTCCTCCAACAACATCGAACCGAGGGTCACACATGCCAGGCATTGGAGATCGCCTCACACAAAGGTTGCCTGCCGCTCGTGGAGCATCTCTACAACACCGCCATCAACAAGTTGGATCACAAACATGCACTGGACTTTGCAGTCAGAGGAGGACACCTGGATGTGGTGCGCTTCCTCCATCAACACAGCCTTGGCAGTGGAGGATACAACTCGAGGACCATGGACAGTGTGGCAAGCAACGGTCATTTGGAGCTGCTCAAGTATCTACATCACAACAGAACTGAGGGTTGTACGTCAAGGGCAATGACCGGTGCTGCATATAATGGCCACTATGAGGTGGTCAGATTCCTCCATGAGAACAGGACTGAAGGAAGCACTGCGGAGGCGCCTCGACAAGCAGCAAAGGATGGACATCTCTCAATCATTCAACTATTCCACGAGCAACGTCGCACCGAGCCTTGGAGCAGCGATGTTATGTCTCACGCAGTGGCCTCGGGGCATCTCGATGTTGTGAAGTACCTCCACGAGCATCGGACCGAGGGCTGTACAGTGGAATCGATGGATCGAGCAGCACATAAAGGCCACATCGAGGTTATCCGATTCCTTCATGTCAACCGAACCGAGGGCTGTACACCGAACGCCATGCACTACGCTGCACAGCTAGGCCATCTTGATGTAGTTCGCTATCTTGATGAGAACCGCACAGAGGGATGTCTAGTTAACACCATGGACTTGGCTGCGACCAATGGACATCTGGCCGTCGTCACCTACCTGCACCACGCTCAGAAGATGAAGAGGACAATTGGCCAATGCTGCACTACTCTGGCTATGGACGGTGCTTCCACTAAAGGACACGTGGAAATCGTCCAATTCCTTCATCACAACCGCACAGAAGGCTGCACACGGGATGCCATGGACGGTGCTGCCATCAATGGACATTTGAACGTAATTAGTTTCCTCCACACCAGCAGAACAGAGGGATGCGGGCCATGGGCCATGGACTATGCTTCCAGGCATGGTCATTTGGAAGTTGTTAGATTCCTTCACAACTATTTAACAAAGTGCTGCACTATTGATGCCATGGACGGTGCTGCAGCAGGTGGACACTTGGATGTGGTCCGCTTCCTTCACGAGAATCGCAGTGAAGGGTGCACTGTACGAGCAGTGGACCAGGCTGCAATGAATGGTCACAACGAGATTGTGAAGTATCTTTTGGACAACCGAACAGAGGGTTGTACAAAGGAGGCAGTGGACTGGGCGGCCATGAAGGGACATCTGGATACTGTCAAGCTGTTGCATGAGAGAGGAATCGAGGGCAGTGACAAAGCTTTGAAGTACGCTAAAGAGAATGGACACTTGGATGTATTGCGATTCCTTCAAGTCAACAGCACTCAAAGATGTGCATCCAACGCAGGATATGGCATTCTGGACAACATAGAGTAGTTGTTCCGCTCACTCATTCATCCAATCAATCCAATCAATCAATCTTTAATTCATTCATTCATTCAATCATGGGGTGCCCTTCCAACGTAGGTCAATAAAGTTCTTCAGATGGAAGAGGTCGATCATGACATTGGCAGAAGTTCCTTCAGGTACTCCATTGATATCTCCATTGTAGATATCAACCTTGGGAATCTGAAGAAGATAGATTGGATCATTTGCAGCAGCAGGTGGTGTGTTGACGGCAATTGTATTCCCAGTCACTGGAGGAAATTCATAAGAGTCTGTGTACCTAATGGATAGAGAACAAGGAGATGTTCCAAATGAAATGACTTGTGCTGGTCTCTCAGTGTGTGGCAGCTCTGGTCTGGTGCCCTCCAACAATCATTCCAATCGCTTCGCGATTTTCATTCTTCAATCAATATTCTACTATTAATATTATTTATTAAATTGTTAATATTGGTTGGGTATTAAAAAAAAAGAGAGGGAGGGAAGGGAGGCATTGGTGAAGATATTTTTAAAAAAAAAATAAAAAAATATTAAAATACTTTTCACCCTTCCTTCCCTGTCCTCCCTGGAACAAAAATGAAGGGAGAGGTATTAAAGGTCTGGAATTATAATTAATATTAATAAAGTCTTCACCAGTCCTTCCCTTCCTCCCTAGTGATGATTGTTAAGGGGAGAGTATTGGTAATGATGGTAGTAGGGATGGAGGGATGTTGTGGTGAAGATTGTATAAATATTTATATAATTGATCAGATGATGAAGGCACCTTATAAACTGTAAGAAGGATAAAAAAATATAATATGCAGTATAGATATAAATGATTGTAGAACTAATTGATTTCCTGAACCAGATTGATTCTATCAATAAAAAAAGGGAGGAGCATGAAATACAAATGAAGGAGAAAATAGAGTGATGATTGTTATCAAGGAACATTGTCTAGTTTTCAGGAACAACGAAATAGATTTATCCACAGTTGTGACCCAGAAGAGAGACAACATTTGTCTATGTTACATCATTGCATTATAGAATTGAATAGTAGGATAGCAGCAAATGGGAAAGTAATCAACAAATTAAGAACTGCCATCAATTTATTAATACCAGAGTTGTACTGGTTGGAGTTTTCAATGAATCAATATATAGCCAAATTATTATTTAAGAATAAAAATAATATAGTAATATAACATAACAATGTCCTCATTCAAGATCAAGTACCAATCAGATCCGGAGTTCGGTGAGAAGCACAAGGCTTACCTGCGACAAAAAATTTTGTGTGAGTGTGGCTTCCCAATTGGGATAACAAATATCCATCGCCACAGACAAGGCAACATTCACAAACAGTTGATGGAGCAACAAACAAATAAATAATATATAATTAATTTATCAATTAGATATATATAACAATGGATCGCAACAGACTTAACAGCATCGGCTTCAAACAATACAAATTCAGAGGCAACTACACGCGTGATCAGATCGCAGATAAGGCTCAGAAGTACAGTAATTACTTCTACAACAGGGGAGTCAATCCAAACACAAGAGTTGAAGTAGTGCTGCCATATCCAGGCATCAATCAATTTAGATCAGGTAAATTCACAAAGGTAGGTCATCCCATCGACATGTTCCATCCTCATGATTATGATGGTGCACCAATAGACGAACCTGACACATTCCAATCATTCAGCATATTCGTACAGAAGGCTAATAATCCCAAAGCAGGCGGATGCAACAGTGAATGGAACAACTGTCTGTATCACTGTATCAAGCAATGCTATCCAGACATTGTCAACACATGTAATGCACCACTGCGACTGAAGAAGTATCTCAATCTTGATGCCAAGGACCCTGGACTACACACTCGACAAGACAGACACATACCAACCCAAGGGCATAGCAATCAAGAAGAAGGATAGAGTGATGAAGCCTGTAGCATTCAAATACGCAAGCGACGATGACAATGTCATCATATATGATGCTACTCAGAGCACGATGAGTAGAGAGCAGTTCATCCGTGAGAAGAGCAGGATCAAGTCCACATATCAGTTCATATACTCAGAGGATGGAAAGACACTGGAACAAACACTACAATCATTCATCACCGACGCTGGATCCAGAACACATACAACAAGATGAAGGCGAGTGGATATCCAAAGCATCACAAGGACCACTGATGTTTGCTGAACAATACCCTGGTCCTCTCTACAAGTATGCAAGATGTACGCAGCAATACTCAAGAGCAACAACTTCATGATCCCAATCAAGCATGGTATGATGTATTTTTATAATGACATCATCAAGAAAGGTTACGCTGGCTCAGCTGCCAATCTGTCAGTTGTTTGAACTCACCAAATGCTTGATTGGTAGAACGAGAATGATGAGTTCGATCGTGTGGCAGTGATGCAAGCATGTATACCCAAGTCATTCTATACAGTGCCAAGGAATAGAAATACATTTACACTTAGAGAAGCTGATCAGGATGTACTAATCACTGTACCTGTTGGCAACTACAGTAGACTATCATTGCAAGACACTGTACAGACATTGTTGAATCAACAGTCGCCTAATCAGTTGACATACGCAATCACATGGCCAACATCAAAACAACCTAATACAGGTAAGTACACATTACAGTATCAACGACAAAGGATGGTGTATCACTTGTATTCAACGATGCTGACCTATTCCATCATCTTGGTTTCAATCAGGACTCTGTCAATCCATTTGTTGGTGGGGCGTTGACTAGTGCCAATGTCATTGATCTTCAGATAGAGAACATCTTGTACATTCACTCTGACTTGTGTAGCAATGGATCTGATGATGTTCTACAAGAAGTATGTACTGCAGGTGTACCTGACTTTGCGTATGTCAATTGGACTAATCTCAACCTGGAGGCATACTCCAAACAGCTAGTGTCAAAGACCAAGAAGACGTTCTATATATATCTGAGTAACCGCTCGAGACCAAGAGTTGAGGAGGCCGTCCGTATGTCATAAAGATTAAATAACAATATTCCAGCGATTGTCCTTACACTTTGGAGTGGTATGACAATTCAACAAGTTCATAAACCTCTGTACAACAACAACAACAACAACAACAATGCCAGAGTGGTATAGGTGGTCTTGGTGAACGTCAGCTCTTGAGTTGAGGAAAGGTGTCCCATCCATTTGGCTGCCAGGTACTCGGGTAAAACGAGGGCCCAACGACAGATGTGTGAGACCGACTGGGAGGTTGGGCAACGGCTGGTTGAAGGATGAGTGCTGGAGTGTGAGATCGAGGTGTGAGGATGACAGTGTTTCTCTGCTCAACGGTTGATTGAAAGACTCCCTCAACTCGAGACATGTAAGCGACGACGGCAAGTTGGACTTTGCCATCGACCCTGAGGAGGTTTATTATATTCAATTGTCCATCAATCACAAGGGTGTCCGATAGAGTCAAGTACCTTCAGCTCGGGTGCATCGACACGTTCGAGTTGAGCAAGGGCATGCTCCCGTCGTCGGTCAGGACACTGGTCATGTCGATCTACAACCACGATTTGATACCAAACGATATCCCAGCATTGTCACATCCTTAGAGTTGATTGGATACGCATGTCCACTGGCAAGGTGAAGATCTTCACTGAAGGTGTGCTTGAACAACAATGTGTTGGACAGTCTTGTCAGTTGGTATGTTCGGTTGCTCGATGCCAGTTTAGGTTAAGGTGACCTCACACTTGTGAGCAACATACCAGCAATGATGTTAGTTGTAGTTCGTTTTCGAACCCCCCACTCATTACGTCGACATGGGTTATTTCCGATCGGGGAATGAGGCAAAGTCGAAACATGACAAGAGCTCATGACAGGTCGATCATGTCATTTGAGACAACATCAATATTTGTAATACTTATAATAATAATGGTGATAATACTCTCTAGATTGCTACTCTGTTCTCTGGCCATTTTGACTTTGACCGCCCTGCAGACGCGGGCCCAAGACACCTACTACTATAACCTCAACAATTGCTGGGCTATGGGCATGGAGCCAGATGCTCTTTGTCAAATCGGCGTGCAGGGCAACGAGAATGGCGGATGGATCAACTCCAATAGTCCCACTTGCTACAACCCGCTGGATATCATCATCGTGTCCATGATCGGCTTCGACCCGCAATCATCGTTGCGAGTGGGCATCAACCAATGCCAAGCGAGCTCCATCAACTTTGTAGGGCTCCAGGATAACAATCAGGCCGATCTGGAAGTCTACATGCAATGGTCGAGCCCCTCCATCAAATATACAGCCTCGGGCAATGTCGCGTTCACTACCAATGCCGGTGCGATGTACATGGGCTTGCTGGAGTTGACCAACGGTGCTTCGTTTTACTCAACCCAGACCTCTTCGATTCAATCTCTCAATCTCACCAACAAGTCGGTCTTCTCGGTGAACGCCCCGACCACAGTCACCACCTTGGCCGTCTACGACTCCACCTCCTCCATTTATGCGAGCTTGGGTTCTGTTCTCACAGTCAGCGAGTACGCCAGCGTGTCTGGTCCGGTCACCCCTAGTGCCATTAGCTTTGCCAAGGGTGCCACGCTCAACGGCATGGTTGACAATGGAATGTCATACATACAGAACTCCATGTACACCCTTGGAGCCTCATCAGTTGTGAATATGGACAGCCCGGTGGTCATCTCCCCAGATATTGTGCATGCCACCATCAAGCCCCTGGCCACGTTCAGCTTCGTCTCACCCTCCACAATCACGAACTTTGGAGACAAACTCAACCTTGTCGTGCAGGACCCCAACAGTGCGGGGTTGGTCAACATCTCGATGACATCGGGTGCAGTCAACTCCCTCACGCTCAACATGGGCCCCGACTCAGTGTGCCAACTTCAAGGCCAATTTTCCATTGGAACGTTTGGTGGGTCGAACACGGGATATGTTGTTGTCACCGGCAAGTCAACAATCACTCTCCAGCTCAAAGACACCTTGTGCGATACGTTGGTGGATGCAGGCAGCAAGCTGACAGTCATTGGCCAGGCAGGATTGAAACCCACTCTTGTCAGTGGTCTGGCCGTGGCAGACTCTTCAACTCTGGTAATCCAGCGCGCCACAGTCACAACAGACTTTGTCAACGTCACGTCGGCGTCCAAGCTGGTGCTGGACTCCAGCTCGATGGTCGTGATACCCCAGGGCGATGACCTCAAGGGCACATTCCAAGTGTGGCCAGACAGCTCGGTCGAGTTCAGGGACCCCCCTGCCTTCCCCATTGTTGTGCCCATGCTCGTCACTGAACTCACCGACATGATGTTCCAAGGTTCGGTGGTCATCTCCTTCTCACAGAGTCATCCAGCGCATGTAGCCTACAGTGTGCTCAGCTTTGTTCAGTCTGGTCAGAACACTATCATTTTACCGAGCCAGACGTCGGTCAGCCAACTGTCCTTCCCTACAAAATCCTCTTTCCACTACAGCGTCAGCAACCTCGACGGCAAGACCACGAGTTTGGTTGTGGAGATCTCTGGTTTGACCATTGGTGCGTTCATTGGTGTCATTGTCGGAAGTGTTCTTGGAGTTGTGGTGATTGCCGCTTTGATTGGAGGAGTCATCATCTACCGACGCAGGAGGCAAGCTCAAGGATACTCCAAAGTCAACATCAACGATGACAACGAGTAACCGCTTGAGACCAGGAGTTCAGCCGACAGTTTTCAACACTGGCGCAAGCGACACCACTCAAATGTGTCATGAGCGGTCCCCCTTTAAGGGTTGCCCATCTTGCTCTCGTTCCTGGCCAAGCACAGGTATTATTTATATATTAAACATGATCCAGTCGACAGCAACAACAACAGCAGCAGTAGCAGCAACTACAACAATAATATATAATTTTTTTATTTAAAAAATATCTTCACCAATGCCTCCTTTCCCGCCCTCTTTTTTTTTAATACCCAACCATATGATCCAATCTATCTTCTTCAAATTTAATTATTAATATTAATATTAACAATTTAATAAATAATACTAATAGTAGAGTATTGATTGAAGAATGAAAATCTCGAAGCGATTGGAATGATTGTTGGAGGGCACCAGACCAGAGCTGCCACACACTGAGAGACAACACCTCTCACAATCAATAGTCCTTCGATACAACAATGCCAATGCTCTGAAGGGTGAGGGATCTATTGCCCTCAGAGGAAAGATCTTGATACAAATAACGACTTGGATATCAGTGAGATTTGAGAGGTACCAACATGCCTTGTGATGAAGGGATGATAGAGTTTGAGATTCTCCAACCTGGAAGACAAAAGTGGGGTATGGTTCAGTTCCAATGGCTGTCAGACCACCTTTTAGTACCGGGTTGGGTCTTCCAGATGGGATGAGAGACCTGTCAGCCTCTGCACCACTTTCACCTATTAACATGGTCATTGATCAGGAGTCAAAGAATGAATCCTCTGGCAACTGCAATGCCAATATGTTGAATATCCATCCAGCAATGCTCTCATGAATGCTTGTTATTTTCAACTCGTAGATGAGTACCTCCCCGTCTTCGAACCATAGCCTGTACCTAAGATCTTCTCTATCATAAGCAATGTATTGGTCAAGAGTGATTTGGTCACAAACTACATAGTGATCAGGTTCATCAGGCTTATCATTCCAATTTTGGATCAATGGTAGATAGAGCTAGTGTATGAATCATTGAGTGAGTGTTTGATTACTTCAAATAGTGAATAGTACTATACATACAGCTTGTATTCGTTGTAGCCAGTTTCCCTCATGAATTAGAACATCTGAAGATGGTGATGATGAAGATGATGTTCATACATTAGCCATTTTAAAACAAGTAAATACTAAAAGAAGAAGAAATAATTATATTTTAGAAAAATGAATAAAATTATGTTTTATATATTTTTTATTTTATTTTTTTAATGATTATCATCGAGAAAATCGTGTCGTGGATCGAGCTCGATTGTCCTTTTCATAGAGTTGTCTCTCTGTCACTGATTCCCCAGTTGTCGGAAGAACTATTGTCGTCTGGTCATTTGTTCCGGAGATTGTAATAAGAATCCGCATCACATAGATTGAGTTGAATAGCTTTCAAACATTCTGAGTTTGATTGATCACTGGTAGTAAAGGACACCATGACAATGTAGTTACCTCAAAAGAAACAACTGATCAGTTGATCAAGTTATTATAATACCAACAAAAGCTGGCAAACAAATATCTTGACCTGTGATCTCTACATTTTCATTTGGTTAACCCAAATACATAAATGATCAACTCAAGAAATATTAATCATTTAATCAGTCAATCAATACATCTGTGCACTGTATTTATATAAGATCTCACCTCACTCTATCAGTCCACTCATTCACTCAATCAATCAATAGAACCATTCCAAACACTCAATCAATCAAAGATGGACAATCAGTTGAATGACATTGAATCATTGTGCAGACGATTGATCAACAATAGAGTATTATCAACGAGGTTGTTCAATCATGTACATGATATACATGTAAGGGTGTTGTCATTGTCAACTCGCAAGTCATCATCAACTCCGTCGCAGTCACAGTCACAGTCACATGACCCAGAGGTTATGAGATGGAGGGATCTAAAGACACATTGGATCAGTTGTGTAGAGTCACTCTTTGATGAAGTCAACATTAAGTTTAAGTGTGGACCATTCGACAAGTATCAAGGACATGAGTACATCATCAAGTACATCATCAAGAATGAGCAATTCACATTCAAGTTATTAAGAACATTGGATGCAATGTCATCGATTGGTAGATTGGACCTTGTTCAATACCTTCACCGCAATGGTGCACCGGCAACAACGAATGCGATGGACCATGCCCACTCATTGGATATGTTCCTCTTCCTCCAACAACATCGAACAGAGGGTCACTCACGCCGAGCATTGGAGTTCGCCGCACACAATGGTTGCCTGCCACTAGTGGAGCATCTCTACAACACCGCCATCGACAAGTTGGATCACAAGAACGCTCTGGATAGGGCAGCACGGGCAGGTCACCTTGATGTGGTGCGATTCCTTCACGAACACAATCTTGGCAATGAAGGATGTACCTCTGACACAATGGACGCTGTAGCAGGTAAAGGTCACTTGGAGGTGCTCGACAGAGGCCATGGACAGTGCCGCATCGAATGGCCACTACGACGTCGTCAAATTCCTCCATGAGAACAGGACTGAAGGAGGCACATATCAGGCGACGATACGAGCAGCGGAGCATGGACATCTTTCAATCATTCAACTATTCAATGAACAGCACATCACCGAGCCATGGGACAAAGATGTGGTGTCATTCGCAGTGAAGCATGGACATCTGGACATTGTCAAGTACCTCCATGTCAATCGAACTGAGCGGTGCTCAGAGTATTCGGTCAAGATGGCGGCGCTCAATGGCCATCTTGACATGATACGGTACCTTCACGAACAAGGATGCAACTCATTCACACCGGATGTCATGGACAAGGCGGCTCTAAATGGACATCTGGACATTGTCAAGTTCCTCCATCGAAACAGAACCGAGGGCTGCTCTTGGACTACTGCGATGGATGGTGCAGCAATGAGAGGCCACCTCGATGTTGTCGAATATCTTCATACCAACCGAACGGAAGGCTGCACAAATGAAGCCATGCACATGGCGGGAGTCTATGGACATTTGGACATCCTTCGCTTCCTAAATGAGAACCGAACGGAAGGATGTAAATCAGACACAATGACCTGGGCGGCAATGTTTGGACATTTGAACACAGTCAGCTATCTTCACAAGAATCGTAATGATTGTAACATTACCGAGGCGATCAGAATGGCTGAGAAAAAAGGACACCAGGAGATTGTTCGTGTCCTAAAAGGCACCAATTAGGCTTGTCTGTGATGGGTGCTATGCTGGACTGGGCTAGGCCTAGGCTTGGCCAAAATGATGATCATTTGGACATTGTCCAGACAGTTTGGTTCATGACCATACCATCACAGACGATGATGTTTCGTTACCAAAAATATAGTGTTCCATTTTGATCACCTGATCGTTCATTTATTTGATCAACCTACCAACACACTCCAGTCCAGATCAAACAACAATGATAACAAGTACAACAAAAACAAGAACAAAAGTAGCCACTACGTGATCATTAGATGGAATGAACTAAAGACAAATTGGATAAGATTCATCAAGACCTACTTCAGTTATTGGGGCAAAGAGCAGCATTTGGACAAGTTCAAGTGTGGACCATTCGATAAGTATCAAGGACAAGAGTACATCATCAAGTACATCATCAAGAATGAACCAGACATATTCAAGTCATTGATGATATTGGATGCCCTGTCATCGATTGGAAGATTGGACCTTGTTCAATATCTTCATGACAATGGTGCCCCGGCAACAAAGAACGCGATGGATCATGCTGGCTCGCTGGACGTGTTCCTCTTCCTCCAACAACATCGTACTGAGGGTCACTCACCACGAGCACTTGAGAATGCGGCGCGCAATGGTTGCTTGCCACTTGTGGAGTATCTCTACAACACTGCCATCGACAAGTTGGATCATGATGATGTACTTGGTATCGCGGCCATATCAGGACACCTGGATGTGGTGCGATTCCTTCACGAACACAACTTTGGCATTGATGGAGAATATTCGACCGTGATCATGGACAAGGTGGCATGTAACGGTCATTTAGAGGTGCTCAAGTATTTACATTTCAACAGAAGAGAGCATTGCACCACTGATGCAATGGACAAGGCTGCAAAGAATGGCCACTACGACGTCGTTAGATTCCTCCATGAGAACAGGACTGAGGGAGCTACGTATCAAGCCACATCACAAGCAGCAAGAGGTGGCCACCTTCCAATCATTCAATTCTTTCATGAACAGCATCGCACTGAGCCATGGGACATAAATATAATGTCGGGCGCAGTTACTGAAGGACATTTGGACACAGTGAAGTACCTCCATATCACCCGATCCGAAGAGTGCACAGAGTATTCGGTCGGATTGGCGGCAGCCAATGGCCATCTTGACATGATTCGATACTTCCATGAGATTCAACCCAACTCATTCTCAAATCGTGCGATGAACTATGCATCTCGAAGTGGGCATCTGGACATTGTCAAGTTCCTCCACGAGCACCGGACTGAGGGCTGCACAGTGGTCCGGTTCCTTCATAACAAAAGAACCGAGGGCTGCACGACTGAGGCCATGGACAATGCTGCATCGAATGGTAATATGGACGTTGTTCAATTCCTTCATTACAATAGAACAGAGGGCTGCTCGATTAAGGCCATGGACACTGCTGCCTCGAGTGGCAATTTGGAAATTGTTCGATTCCTTTATGAAAACCAACACAAAGGATGTAGTTTGGAAGCTGAGAGCAATGCAGCCAAGAATGGTCACACAGAGACAGTGGAGTATCTGTTGGACAATCGAACAGAGCTAAGTCCCATTGATGCAATGAATATGGCGTCCGAGAATGGACTTTTGGAAAGAGTCTACTGGCTGCGCGCCAGAGATTCTAGAAAGGCAATCAGCAGCGTAGTTGCGGCTGGAATCACTATAATACTTTCCATATTGGCCACACTATTATGGGCCAATGGAATGGAATGATCCCTATCAATCATATTAAAGCCCTCCTTCAATCTTGTTACAAGTTTGGCAAGCACTTTCCAAACATACATTTATTCCTTACAAGTTGAGGTATGATACATTGTTGGTCCATGACATTGGCATTGGTCTACTGCTGTCGCCACAATGATTGCCAGTGGCCTGTTGACTGACTCGAACTATACATGAGGTGCCTTGATACGATGTGGCCACGTAGATATTACCATTCTCTAAGTAGGTCATATCATTGTAGATTGAGAAGTTAACCTTGTTTTGATGCAACAGTTGTTGTTGTGACTCGAGTGTCGGCGATGAACTGGACGACGTACTAATGCCATTATTACTGGTTTGGAACGTTGGCAATGATTGTATGATGTTACCATTGACCAACGTGCGTATCTCTAGTAGCTGGCCTGACACGCCCAGTATATAGTGTGGCGACAGTACGATGGCCTTGGGTATGGAGCCCCACTTGATCTCGTAGTTACGAGTGCGCACTCCACGCTCATCGACAAAGAATCCAATGTTGTTGAAGCAGAGGAAGATCTCGGTGTCCAGCGACATTGCACGCACCGGCTCGCTGTCGGCCTTCTTGTACAGCTCCTTCATGACGCCAGTGTACATGTCGAACAGCAGGAACTCCTTGGCCAGGCCAATGCACACCATGCCTGGGGCCAACGCGCACACCGTCTTGATCGCATCATGTGCCTGCATCTCCTTGCTCTTGTGGAACTCGCCATTGTGCCACTCAAACATCAGCAGTGTCTTCTTGAGAGCCACATATAGCAATGTGATGTTGTTCTTGGCCAAGGACTCTGAGTCGGGGCTCTTGCTACCGCGCAGCTTTGACATGGCAAACACTGTGCAGCCCTTTGAATGTTCCAAACGCTTGGGTGTCGGCTCGTTGTTGTTGGCTGTGGCTGCGTCGGGGAATGCTCGACGAGTGCACTTGTGCGTGTACTCTTGTTGCAGCTCCTCCAGATCAAACATGTGCAGGCCCTTGGGAGTGAGTACAAGTACAATGTTGAGTGCGGGCACCACTGTCAACTTGCTGGCACCCTTCAGTCTGGCCACACGTTGGTAACAGCTACTGCTCTCATTTGATGAGGTACCATTCTTAAAGATATAAATGCCATCTGTTGTGGCAAAGATCAAGTTACATGTGATACCGTCCGATTCGATGACGTCCACACAGTTGATACTATCGAATGCTTTGGAGAATAGTATGTCTGTTTCGAATATCTTGATTGATTGATTGATGTGATGGAAGTGTTAGTGATGCCGCGAGTGAGCAACAATTGGATGTGATGTGGACACACTTACATTGAGTGACTTGCTCGTCTCCTTGAGGCCAAGGTTGCCGCTGGCAAACTCTTTGGCGCGCAACTCATTGCCTTTGGAAATATGATGATTGGTATAGGACGCTGATCTTCTTTTGTTGGCCAACTATGTACAGATGTTTGATGTTAGAGTCTGTCCAGTGTGAGGGAGGTATGATCGAGAGGATGTACTTACATAGTTGGGTACGGTACTTGTTTGTTGTGCTGCATAGTACTTCTCGAATATCAATTGTAGATGTGCTTTGAATGTCCTCTGTAGCTTAACTGTGAATGATGGTGCAGAATGTAATGCTGCTCTTTGTCCATTGACCACTAGATTGATTGATTGATTGTAAGTTATGGATTGGTTATCGATTCATACATTGATTCAACCTACACTTGGCCATCAGGAACTGTTTGAATGAGTGTTTGGGGAATACTGCCGGGAATGGCATTGTTGGACCAAAGTTGGCGATGGTGTCCTTGAGTACTATTTCCAACTTGTAGTTGTCGTTACCATCTGGTCTTACAAGTGCTATAATGTCTGTGATCATAATGAGGCATCAGTATGATTGATGCGGACAAGACAAGACATGACAATGCTGACTTACGATTGAACTTTGAATTGATTGATGATACCTCCCATGGTATAAAGTCTGTGTTTGAGTTTGGATCAACATCATAAAAGATGACGATCACAATGTCATTACCAATATGTCTCTTTCTCTCTATTTGTTGTGTGGCCTCTGGTGCATAAGGCAACATAGTTGACACATGGAACATCACCTGATAGTCCATCCAGTTGGTATAATATGAGTGTGTTCCAGTTGCATTATCTAAATATCCAATTGAGTTAGTAGTGATTGAATGATTGAATGATTGAATGATTGAATGAGTACATACTTGTAACATCAAGACCACCTCTATAACCTTTGAACTGCTTCAACTCGACCTCATTGCCAATGAGCTTGAGGAACTCGTGGTAGCGCTCACTGCCCTCGCAGTTTTGGTAGAACTCGTCCTCTTTGGTCTGTCCTTCTTTGGCCAACAGCATACCAATCTTATAGTTGCGTTCGATACGTGATGCCTCCAACTCTTTAAAGTCCTGTAGAATGTCGAGTGATTCAATCTCTTTTAACTTCTTGAATTGTAACTTTGGTGCGGCCTTCCTGACAATGTCCATTGTGGATGGTGCATGTCTAGCCTTGCATTGAAACATCTGTTTCTCAACGCCATCGACTGTCCACACAATGACCTTGTACGACAGATCACCAACATGTGTCTCCTCCTTCAAAATCGATACTCCAAACACTTCGCCAGTGACCTCATCCGCTGCCAAATAGTTATGATGCTCTGTTCAAACATTTGATTGATTAGTATATGGATGGAATGATTCCATCAATCATCCTAGACTATATTTACTCTTTCCAAGGAAATAGTTAAAGTACCAGAGGACGCACTCTTCGGGGTTCTCGACTGTTGGTGTCTCCACTGTGTGATCCAATGATTCGTCTTCCAACACAGTGTCCTCGCCAGAACACAAACATCTCCATCCTGCTGAAGGACATGTTATACAATACTCTGCGCCTTCAGACATGTTGTTTATGAATGGCAGTGATGATGATGTTGACTCCAGCTTAATATATATATTATTAATTATTTGATTGATTGATTGAGTGAGTGGGTGTTGGATGTTGGAAGTTGGATAAATAATACTGGATAATGGATATTGGAAGTTGGAAGTTTGTTTCCAAGTTATTTAGGTGGCTGAGGTTGGATAAAGTGTGTGGTTAGAGAGAGTTCCAATCGAGGAATTGAACAACAACAACAACAAGAGGATAGAATAATAATAAATGGTCTTGAATTATTGTTGTTGATGTTGATGTTGTTGTTGCAATGGTGATGTTAATGTTGGTGGTGGTAATGGTGGTGCGTGTCCTATCATGTCGCCAATGCTGTTGCTGCTATGTGACTTTGGAATCAACAAACAATCAATCAAACTAACAAGACTGTAACATTGATCAATGATCACGGCAGACAGACTGGAGCACACAAGTTATAATTAGAAGTCACTGCCTTTTTCTTCAACTTGATGTTGTTGGGATGTTAGTTGGAAGTGAGTGAGTGGTGAGTGAGTGAGTATTGAGTTAGACAATGGCTTGCAATCAGTCTTTGGTATTGTGTATCAATCGCGATGTGATTATTAAAGTCTGTATTGTTGATTGATTGATTGATAACACTAGCATAGTGCTCCGAGTTACAACTGTGTGATTGAAATAGGCAATCAGCTGTGTGTGTCACACTCTGTCCATCCCGATCAATTAACACACCGATCGAACAGACACACACCTTCACCCACTTTAGTGATGATCAATCGATCATTCACACACTAACACACACATTGAAATGCGAATTGCGAGTAGGGGGACGGGCATGCCAACACTTACTACTTCTGTCTCTGTCCTTGTAATGCTCTTGCTAGAGTAGTAGTACTACTGTAGAGGTGATTGACTGATTGATTGGATCATAATAATGAGTTTGATGGATTGATCACCAGGTTGTTGATTCCATCGAATAACTTACATTCGTTCTTGGGTCGACCCAATTCACTTCAAACACACACCTCTCTTTTCTGTGTCCTCCTCTCTTAAGTTGTTGAACACTCGTTTACTGCTTGATGTCCGACGTCTAGAGCCTAATGATAGATCTTTGAATTTGACAGGTTACCAGAGTATATTGTCCTGAATGAATGAATGCCTTATTGGAAAGTAGACTCGTCCTCTTGTAAAACGGATTGATGGATGTATTCGTTCGAATGTATAATATTATGTACAGTTAGTCAAAGAACGATATTTCAAATAACAATGTTGTAAACACTTGACGGACTGTCTCTCCAAATTGAACTTACTTGCTTTGCCCTGACCAAGCCATCCATCAACACAAGGCCATCAATGTCATCGCCTTTCTGGTGTCTTTGGGGGGTTCTGATGTGATCGAATTCACCCTATTTTGGTCATTATCACATTGTTTGTGTGAATGATGATAGAGAGAAGTGTGAGAGGCTTTCGTCTTTTCTTTGTCGGGTGTTGTGTGGGATTCCCTATCTACGATTGCGATCCCATCGTGATAACCTACTTTAGGCTGCCACTGCTACTCACTGCCTCATCAACAACAGTTATTCTTCCCCAAGATCGACATCTACTCTAACACACACATAACAACAACAACAACAAGGGTCACATCACCCAAACAGATAAACAAACAGCAAAGTGAGGCAATCAATCATCTTCATTCTTTCTTTGATCATCGATTGCTTGGTTGGTTGGTTGTTTGGTTGTTTGGTTGTTTGGTTGGGTGGAGGCAAACCAAACGAGATGTGAGTATCCATTCCTTCATCCAACACCATCATAGTCCGCTCTCTTTACCCTGAGTCAATCCAAGGAATGAATGAAGAAAACTAATGTCTTGGCTTTAAAGAGGTAGATTGTTCCTATAGACTTGATACTCACATTATCCTTCCAAACAAACTTGAATGAGACTGTTCAACGACATCAACTATGCAATACTCACGAGCTTCCCTCTCTCTCTCTAATAGTGATTAAAGTGATATGAATTGATTGATTGATGTGAGTGAGCGAAGAGCGAATGAATGATTCATCAATATGGCTATGGATACTCAATAAGGATAAATTTCCATATTTGGTATCCTTTACCATATATAGTAATCTATACCATACTTATCAATCAAGTATAATGTTGACAGGGATTGTCATCAAGTATAAATACCATGGTTCATCCAGTCATTTAGTATCATCAATCAATCAACTCAATCCAACAATACTATTACTCATCTTATTTATTCAATCTTATCAATCAATCCAATATGACAATCATTGGTATGTATCCTTGACCATGGTCACTCCTCTCTCTATTCAGCCATCCTAACACTAACTTGTATTCCACAATCACTCATGTCTCTAGCCAACTTGAAGAACCTTGCTCAGCCATTGTCTGCCATCCAGAATGCCCAGTCCTTTGCCTCGTACCAGGGAGCCACGTCCACTCAGTCCGTCAACGAAGTTGAGTGCTGCCACCGCAGGAGAAGAGGAGTGAACATCAACATCATCGTCGGCGGCATCAATGGTTGTGGTTGTGGTGGATTTGATGGCTTTGACGGCTTTGATTGAGCGCCACATCATGGCTCTCCCGTCAGAGTCCAGTATGTGCGATCAATAAACTACATCATGTACTGTTGTCCATTTAACAACATTCACATCAAGTTTGATCAGAATGTATGTAATTTAATATTGATTGGCGTCTAGACGTTGACAACTGGACCGCACTCCTCAGCAGCAATACATGAGTCCATGGCCTCAATACCTTCCTTGATCATAATGTCATACTCGGTGTCAGTGACGTTGAATGGTCCAAGTGGTCTGGTATCGGTGGCAGAGGTCAAGACTGCAGTGATGGAGAAGTGATCAGACCATCCACATGAATTGGCATTGAATAGCAACTTGCAGATACTTGGTGAGGCATCGATAATTGCACGACCAGCATCCTGCTCGACCCAAATAGCGGGACCAGCATCAACAATCTGAGCCTTAATGCACTTCTTTGATGCGGTGCACAGGTTCAAGTACTTTCCACATCCGAATCTCTGAGCTATTGTTTTGATTGAACAAAGGGGATGAGTGAGTGGATTGATTGGTGGATGGATGGATGGATAATTACAATCAGCCGTGAAGTAGTGAGTGCCAGAGCAGTATGGAGTTGGACCACAAGCACTGGTGGTACCACAAAAGTCTGTCAAGTAGTATTCATTGTTGGATGGGATAGAACAACACATCTAAATAATAATAATAATTAAGTTGATTAGTACCGTGAATGCTATAATAGTTCAATGGTATATCAACATACGTTTCCATAGCATGGCCTATATTAAAGTTGGGTGATTGATTGATTGAGTGAGTGTGAGTGATTGAATCTTGTTGATCATTTGATCATCTTTGGAATGAGATATACATACTTGGCACAGGTGAATCCGGCATAGGTGGCAGTGGCCAAAAGAGAGACCAACAAAGCGATCAACAAAGTTTGTCTGAACATTGTATTTGGGTTAAGTATGTGTACAAAGAGATTAAGTAGTGAGAGAGAGATATATTAAGGAGAAGAATGAACAAATGAAAGATACTTAAAGCCCTATCCCTAGGCTATTGACACTAAACACACATCAAGATTGACAGGACCACGCGCCTTCTGGTCTCATGTTGGTCATCCAACTACCTAGATATTTTTGCAAATGGGCCATCTTACTGTTTTGGTGCCACAAAAACACAAATATCTGATGGACCAGGTTTGGGACCCAACCTTGTTCACAAAGGGTCTGACACTGGGCAAGACAGAGAGAACCAACATTATTAATATATACCAGGATAGTTAAGTGTATCTTACCATTGATATTATATATTCTGTGTAGGTAGGTTGTATGATAGAGTAGTAACGAACGAACGAAGTTTGGAAGTTTCATTGACTTAGTACCTTGCTCCAGAGGCACCACCAAGCAGACGCATCTCTCGTCTGAAGGCGGCAACGTTCTGTGTGAACCTATCTCGGTTCTTTGTATCCAAGTTCTCAACAATGTCCGCCATCAACTGTGTGAATATTGTCTCTATCTTGTCCTGAGAGTTTGGATTGAGTTGAGCGAATCTCTGTTTGACTGATGAGAATGTCTATGAATATGATTGATTGATTGATTGAGTGAGTGAGTTAGTAATCATAATGAACTGATGGATTCCTGGTTAACTTACATCAGGTACAAATACAACACAACCCAACAATGGCTTGGAGACTGACCACTGGTTGAGGTTGTCTTCGAATATTATTACGTTGAACAACTTGTCAACGATCTGTGGAAGTAATGTTGGGTTCTCAGTGAGATGGTTGTGAACAGTCTTGAGTAGCAATGAGTCCTTCTTCTTGGTATGTTGATAGCACAACGTGATGATCTTGTCCAGTGACACGCAGACCTGTGTCGAGATCGATATCTCCTGGCTGTCAATGCCACGCAGGATTGAATACATGATCAGCGCAAAGTAGTTGGAGTTGAGCTCGATTATGGTCTGTGTGTGGCTGCTGCACAGTGCCTCCATCCACTGCATGTATATCTTGGAGACCTTGGGGAAGTTCATGATCTCATCCATCGTGACCGACACGAGCAACTGCATGGTCATGTCGAGCAGGTTGTGGAAGGACTTGTCGCCAAAGTATTCAAACGCGCCAAAGTTGCAGTAGTTGCCGGTTAGACACTTGGTGAAGATGGACATCAGCAGACTGATGCCCTTGAGCTTGTACTTGTACAGCTGTTGCGATGTGCATGGCAGGTTGATGAGCAGCGAACCGTACGACGCCAGGATCTTGCTGGTCTCCTTGAAGATGATGAAGCCGTTGGGCGACGATGAGTCAAAGTTCATGCGCGCCTGCTTGTTGTTGGTGTACTCGGCGAGCAGACGGAGCACGGCGGTCGTCACCTCGGGGCAGTCGTAGTAGGCCGTGATGATCTTTTGGAGAACTGGGAACTTGGTGTTGAGCATCTCAAACACCTGGCAGTAGAACTTCTTGTTCATGGCCGATGAGGTGAGTCCGCGCAGGTCGCGCATCAGTCCAATGATCCTGCTCTTTGTGTCCTCTGAGCGGAACACATCGATTGATTGAATGGCGTGCAGGCGGCTCAATGTGTCCTCGAATGGCAACATGAATTGTTCAAAGTAGTGAGTGTTCTCGTCAGTGAACAGCAGTTTGCCAATCGCTTGGTACAATGTCATCCTGTGTCTTGAGTTTGGGTTGTTGTCCAGGAAGGGGAATACCTCGGCCTATGTATGTATCACGTGATTGAGTTAGATGTGAGCGATCAATCAAGTATAGTTGACTAACTTACACCATGGTTTTGAAGTAAGTCGTGAGTGATTGGAGTGTTGAGTAATATCTTTGATGTCGAATGTCCATTGACTGAGTCCCAGAACAACTCCAGACTCCTCTTGATCACATCATCAGCATCGCACCAGAACTTACAATTGAATCCACTATATGATTGAATGAGGGGAGTTAGTTTCAAGCCTGGCCAATCCTTGCCCTTGCCATTGAACTTGATCATGTTACATTTTCCTGATAATTGAGTAAAGGATGGTGGTGTGATCGGTCGCTCCTAATAACTCGCTGATCCTTGGATACACCTTTGAGGACGAGAGTGTATTCTCTCCAATGTATATCTTTCTGAAGCTTTGCATGAAGTGAATGATCGATAACTCCAATGCAACTCGACTTGTACGTCCATGAGATGATGAGGGGTCATGCTGCAACTTCTTGTCGCAGTAGTCTATCAACTTGAACACTCTGACTGAGAGGTCGCCATCCAGCGAGTCGTACTCCTCCGAACTGTTGACTGCAGTTCGACCAGTGATCAAACAACCAATGATGTATACCAACCATGCACATTGTCCTAATGAGAGAGGGGGAGAGGGAAGGGATGGTTCGTTTGATTGGGCTATAGTCATACTCGGTCAATCATCTACTTACTTTCTAGTATGGTCAGATTGTTTACACTTGTCTCCATTGACATCTTCTGAGTGGTATGATCAAACATTTGGATGATCTGTTTGGCAGTGAGAGCATAGGTCAATCGTCCAAGATATGGAATGTGCTCTTTCATCTCAACCATCTTGTCAAAGTCCATCAAGTTATCATCCTCATCGTCCAAGAATGATGATCCATTGACCTTTGAATTTAGGAATGCTTCCATGATCTGTAGATAGTGTCAACGTTTAATATCAATCACTCGAGGAGTACTTGAGCAAGAGACATACCAATGGTGTATACTTCTCCAAGTTAGCCTTTGATGTATCGCCCTTGATATATATGATGGACGAGACGAACTTGGACCATAGTGAAAGTAGATAATGTATACTGTTGGGAGAGAACTACAATGGGTGTCAATGATCATTCCAATCAATCAATAAATCCTTGGACCTCAATACATACTTGTGGATTCTTGAGTGTTTCGATTGTGAATGCAGAGAGTAGTCCAATCCACTCTTGGTAGCCTTCGATGGCCACCAACTGACTGAGTAGATAGTTGGTCTTGATGCGCTCGAGTATACGACAGAATGCCAGATGGTTGTTCTCAAAGTTCAGACCAATACTATTCTGAAGAATCTCCCTTGTACCCTTGAATATATTCGTGATGAACTTGGTACGCTCGTCCTCTGATTGGAACAATGACTTCCTTATTGAGGCAAAGTGTACCAGACATTCCAAGCTCTAAAGTGTGTCATGGCGTGGCGTTATCGTGTCGTGTCGTGGTAAGCAATGGGTCACATGACTGAGGGATGGAGAGGACAATACGATACCTTGGGTGAGTAATGGGTCTTGTAGATCCTGAAGAATAGCTGTGTTGTGTTGGGATCATCAAAGATGGACTTCCAGTTGCTTGGTATTTGGATGGTCAGTATCTCCTCGGAAGTATCGATCGATGTCGTCTTGATAAAGTCAAAGGAAAGGCATGACAAAGATAAGTCCATTGCATATTCCCTAATCTTGTCGACTATTGAAAGGTTAGTCATCCACTGCCAGCCCAACCTCATAATCATACTTACTCTTATCATTCTTGTCAGGCGTGTTGAGAGTGTACTTGAGCGAGTCGATTGAGATGGTGAAGAACTTCATGAGAACGTTGTCACGAAGTGATATTGAGAGGTTGCGATGTTGGGAGGTGGAGAGGTGGTCGCCAGCCTGCTCGTTGAACTCGCATATGATGTCCTTGAGCACACGCAGTGCAATACAATGATGATCGGGTGACTTCTTCATAAAGTCCTGTATTGACTCTAGGAATGGTGCCTTGTTCGTCTCCTCCTGCCACGAGAACTTGAGCAGACGAGAGTACAACTTTAACAATGACACCCAACTGAATATCTCAATCTGAGGCAGTGACTCCAAGTAATACCATATCGTTGTCTCTGTGTTCGATGATGATGATGTTAGGGTCGTTGGAAAGAATGAATGAATGTATGGAGTGATGACTCACTTATCTCTGTTCGTTGGACGGCTGGGATGGAGTTCCAGTATTGAGTGACGCAACGGAGTAGGCCTCGGCAGACTTGAGCAATCACATATGAGTTCTTGGAGAACTGTAGGATGGACTTGTACTCAACCAAGAAGTTTGGATTGAGGAAGTACTGTTGTAATATCTCTTCAATACGATTAGCATCCTCTGGCTTCTGAAACGAGTCCTTACACAGTCTCTCGAACTTTATATAGTCATCATGACTCTTTATAGACATTCCTTATATCCTTTCTTGATGATGTTTGATGATGATGTTATTTGATGAGTTTGATGATTGTAGTAGTAACTGTATTGTTGATGAGTTGATGATTGTAGTAGTAACTGTATTGTTGATTGATCGGAGTAATAGAGTATATGACATTAAATTGAATGAATCTCATCAACTTCATCATCGATCAAATATCTTGAAGAGCTTGCGCGTGGAAGTTCAAAAGTCGCCACACGTTGCGCGGAAGTTGGAAGTCAGGCAACACATGTTGGCGTGGTAGTCAGGGGCTGGCTACACAACATTGGTTCATTCTCGGTATTAGTTAACTATATATCAATAGAAGAGGTTTATTGACAGGTGGGAGGGAGGGAGTGAATGAATGGTTGGTTGAGGGAAAGAGATTACATGTACTTCTTGTCTCTGGCGGCCTTCTGTCGCTTGCTAATCTCCAACTCTCTCTTTCTTAGACGAATGCTCTTGGGTGTGATTTCGATCAGCTCATCATCCTTGACACAGGCAATGGCTTCCTCAAGCTTGAGTGTGCGTGGTGGCGACAGCTTGATGCCCTCCTCCTTGACGGTCGTTCTCATGTTGGTCAGATGCTTGGTCTTGACTGGGTTGACGTCCAGATCGTTCATCTTTGAGTGCTCTCCAATGATCATACCAGCGTAGACTGGTGTGGCGGGGGCCACAAAAAGAATGCCTCTGTCTTCCAAACTGCTGAGTGAGAAGGCCGACGTGACTCCCTCGCTCATCGAGATCAGCGCGCCCTTCTCGGTGTTGTCCATTGGACCCTTGTGTGGAATGTACGAGTGGAACAGATGGTTGAACACACCTGTGCCCTTGGTGTCGTTGATCAGCTCGGCTCGCAGACCGATCAGACCACGCGATGGCACCAGGAACACCAGACGCGCCTTGCCCATTGACGACTTCATCTCGATCATGTCTCCCTTGCGCTTCGACAGCTTCTCAATGACCTGGCCAGAGTATTCGGCATCGACATCGATGATGACCTCCTCCTGTGGCTCGAGCGTTCCGCCTGTCTCTGGGTCCTTCTTGAAGACGACACGTGGCTGCGACACGGCGACCTCGAAGCCCTCGCGACGCATGTTCTCGAGCAGAATGCCCAGCTGCAGCTCTCCTCTGCCCTTGACTTCGAATGAGCCCTCGCCCTGTAGTGTGACCTGCATCGAGACGTTGCTCTCCAGCTCCTTGGCCAGACGCTGCTTGATCTTGAGTGATGTGAGCTGAGTGCCCTCCTTGCCGGCAAATGGACTGTTGTTGACCTCGAAGAACATGGCAAGCACGGGTGGGTCGATTGGTGTGGCGTAGATTGGCTCGGTGACTGTCTCGTCGGCCAGCGAGTTGGTGACGGTGGCCGTGGGGAAACCGGCAATACCGATGATGTCACCGGCGGCACCCTCGTCCAGAATGAGACGCTCAACTCCGCGACGTGCAAAGATCTTGGTGACCTTGCCCGCCTCGACGAGCGCGCCAGTGTTGGTCATGACCTTGAGTGGTGTGCCAACCTTGACCTTTCCGCTGTATACTTTGCCCGTGACGATACGGCCGACGAATGGGTCGGACTCGAGGTTGGTCACCAGCATGGAGAATGGGCTGTCGAGCTTGACGTCTGGCTTGTGCACATAGTCGATGATCGTGTCCAGCAGTGGCAGGATGGTCTTTTGGTCGTCGCCGCGGCTCTTGACAGCCCAGCCCTGGCGGGCAGACGCGTATAGGGTGGGGTAGTTGAGCTGGTCGTCGTTGGCGCCCAGCGTGGCGAACAGGTCAAAGATCTCGCTCTCGACCTCGTCCACACGGATGGTCGTACGATCCATCTTGTTGATGACGACGATGGGGCGCAAGCCGGCCTGCAGGGCCTTGGACAGCACGAACTTGGTCTGCGCCATGGGGCCCTCTGTGGCGTCGACCAGCAGCACGACGCCATCCACCATGGACAACACACGCTCGACCTCACCTCCAAAGTCACCGTGACCTGGTGTGTCGACAATGTTGAGCTTGTGGTCGCGGTAGGATAACGATGTGCACTTGGCCATAATTGTGATACCTCGCTCCTTCTCCAGGGCGTTGGAGTCCATCACACGCTCGGTTGACTGATCGTTGAGTGTGCCCGACTGGCGCAGCAGCTGGTCGACCAGCGACGTCTTGCCGTGATCGACGTGAGCAATGATGGCGACGTTTCTGATCTTCTCGATGGGGCTTGTGGCGTAGTTGCGCGCGGCACCCATACCATGCAGCATCATAGCTGGCTCGACGGCACCAGTCAAAGTCGTCATTGACATGTTCATTCTGTTGTTGATACGTCTGAATGGGTTGGCTGTCGAGTATGTCTGTTGCTGCTGCTGTTGCTGCTGATGACCTGTCAAACTGCCTCTGATCACTGAGCTGCTGGCGCTGAGTGAAGTGACCTGTCTCATCAGGGGGGATGAAGCCAGGCCTCTTCTTGTGAAGCTACAAAGGCTGTTCATTTTGGTGTATGTATAATATATATATGTGTGTGTGTGTTTGAGGCTGGTGGAGCTTAGCTTACTATCTCTGAAAGACGACAGTCAGATCAGACTGAATGTGGGGTACGCGTAGTCGTCATGATTCGTCCGAGCAAAAGTGGGGTTGCCTCGAGGCTTAAATTTAATTCAAAATTAATTCAATTTGATGCTCACTCGATCAATCAATCTAAGTATGTAGGTAATATATTCCCTGAATTAATAAATATCCTCCAATATTCAATTTCCGGATGAGGGAGTCGGAGTTCATTGGAGTCATCTTGTTTGATTACAAATTGATTTAAGTCTTTATTATTAATTTAAATGAGTTATAGTTGGTGGTAATAAATGTATAAATAGTGATATTTAAATATATTTGATTAAGTTGATCAGTGTGTGAACGGAGGGTGAAGAATGATCATGTTTATTTCAATCTTTAGTTGGAAGGACTACCAAACTGATTGAGTGATGGTAGTTAAAATTATTAAGTTGATTAGAGACATGTCACACATACACATAGACACCAACATTGTGTGATATCATAGCAAGCACTTAGATGTAATAGTTGTAACAATGGGGCCGTCGAGAATGTTTGGGAGCATGTTCATATTAGTGTGATCATGTGATCATGTTGTTATAATTCTGATTATAAGTGTGTGTGTGTGTGTGTGTGAAGTGGTAGGGGTTGTAAGTTGGATAAGTGATCATTCATTCATTATTATTTATATTGATCAATGTGGTGGTTAGTGTTAAACAGGTCCACCTTTATCTTTATCTAATCTTATACATATGTATGACCTAACCGGCATGGCATGGCATGGCATGGCATGGCATCCCGTCAGCCAGTCAGGCAAAGCTAAAGATGTGACAGACACGGATTCCAATGTTTATAAACATGTGGTTGTTGTCTTTCATTCCAAGATCAAACATACATGTTTAGACGAGAGGTGTTTGGATGGTTGTTGACGGATCCTTTACACGTTCCACCCTACATCTATACCCAGCGACGACTCTACTTCAGCATCACCGGACTACTACTACATCCTACCTACCTACTTCTAATTATAAATTATAACTTAACTCAACTTAACTTTATATCATCATCATCTATCATCAAATTGATTGATTGATTGATTGACTTAAGATGCTCATTAAAGAGGTTGAGTGAGGTGGTTGTTAGTGGGAATGATGGGATGAATGATACTGTTTACATGATTGACTTGGGCAATTCCCTTCATATAGGACTCTTTCTAGTTTGATATTATTAATTTTATTTAAACTACTTTTAATATAAATATATATTTGGAATCCAGTTTTGATTTATAACTCAAAAGAAAATGGTTGGACTAACATTAGTATGGGCAAAGGAACCAAATAATAATTATTGGTGGCCTGGAAAGGTATGTCTTGTACTATAGTATGAGGTCCAAGATATTGATTCGCTAACTTATTTAAAATTTCATGTGAATGATCAATCTGGATATTTTGATTGATCGATCACCTGACACTCTTAATTTATTATAAATCAAACAAGCTTACAAAGTTGAACTCTGAATTGGATACAGGTGTCAATGACAAAAGAAGACAAGATTGTCTATTAATCCATTTCTTTGGAAGTCATCTAATGTATGTTTGTTTGACTTGGAATCATTCCAATCACTTCATCACACCTTCACTCACAATCACTCAATCAATCAATACATATTGACACACCAATCAATCACATGACATAATATGATATAGACACTGGATCAAAGAAGTAAATATAAAGGAGTACTCTGATGAGTATATGAATCAAGACTTGCCACGCAGTCTATCAGAGCTGTTTAGGACTGCTTTGAGAGAGGCCGAGGAAGCGTTGATTGAAGATGGCGTTGGTGGTGGTGGAGGCGGTGGAAGGTCAGTTGGAGGCACGCCATCAGGAAGAAGGAGCATTGACTTCACATATAGTACAAGTGCAAGCAGCAACAGCAACAGCAACAGTAACAACAACAGCAACAACAATAGTAGACATGAGATGATGATATGTGAGGAGGACGATCAACACAGCTCATCAGATCACCATGTACATAATGACGAAGACTATGCAAGTGATGACTTTGACTCACATATCCTAACGAGAATGAAGCGTGCTCGTGATGATAGTGGTGGTGGCAAGTCATCAACTCAACAACATCAAGATGATGAACATCATCAACAACAACAGCAGCGTCAAACATCAAGATATCATCCTCCTCATAATCATCACTCAAGTCAACAACAACAACAACATCAACAACATCATCAACAACAACAGCATAATAACAAGTTACCACTTATTGCTCCAAGACAATCAACAAATGTCCATGGCGGTGGTGATGGAATGTCAATCAGAATGATACATCCAAGTGAGCTAGAGCCAGATGATCATGAAGACAATGACCATCATCATAGTCATCATAGTCAAGTGGTGCACCATGATGGAGCCAGCGAGTATACTACATCATCACAACCAATGAATAAGAAGCATAGGGTCCATGGACAGTATGACGCCTTGCCTCATCAGAGAGAGGCGGTGCACCAAGTAACCTCAGCTCAGTTTGAGGACGAAGATGAGGAAGAGAATGATAGGTCATCATCATCAGAGAATGAGTCGTCAGTCCAACTGCTTCATCATCATCAGCACCATCAATCCAAGCCATCTCAATATCACATGATGGCCAACGACATGTCATCCACATCACCCATGTTGAGTTCAAAGAGGCCACATCAACCGCTAGCACAACAACAACAACAACAGCAGCAACAACAACAATTGCAGCAACAGATGGCCAAGCCACCAAGGTCACCTGGCTTAAGTTCCAGGACCAAGCCAGTATTGCTCACAAATAGTCCAAGCCCTTCAACAACAACATCTACTACTACATCGGCCAATCCAACTTATGTTGCCAGGGCCATGGCATCGCCCCAGACACGATCCACTCCGGCTGGCGCAACAATTGTACCACATCCAATGCTCCAACGATCAAACATGCCGAGCAGCTCACCAGTGTTGCCATCTAAGCTACCTCAATCAGTTGTCTCGGCATTGCTTCAGAAGAAGGCGTCGATACAGGCCAACCCGAATGTGCCTACGACCGCCCAACTACTTGGTGCGCCCAACCCACCATCGTCCTCCGGCTCGCCCGTCATCCATCCCAAGACCTCAATCACACTGTCTATCCCACGCTTCAAGAAGGCGACTAATGGCGCAGGTAGTGGGTCAGTGTTGGCTTCTCCGCCCATGCAGGCCAATGGCATGCCGGCCTCCAGCCAGATGCCCGGCATGCCTGGCGCTGCATCGCCCTTCCACCTGCCACAGTATCCCAAGGGCACATCGATCTTCCCTCAGTCACCATCACTTACACATCAACGGCCCGTTAGACCAGGTGGCGCGATTGGACATCACCCAGGATTGGACAATGGCAAGGTGATACTTGATAACTCGCACGCGGATGGCGACCAAGGACATCACGTGCCCATGGCCATGTCGGCACCAATGGTTGGCCAATCATTCCCATACATGCCCATGTTCCCTTTCCCGCCATTCAGTCTCAACAACACGTTGAATATGGAAACAACGTTCAGCAGCCCGTTCAATGGACGTCTGGCGATCAAGGGATCGTTTGACATTGGCTTCCAAGTCGAGGCTTCGTTCATGGGTCGGACTTTCTCGGGTGTTGTCACTGATGTTGCTCAACAACAACACCAGCAACAGCAACAACAGCATCCACAGCCAGCTGTGCCTCGTCCGATGACCCACTATGACATGAACCTTTTTGAAACTTACAGACAATGGCAGGAAATGATGGCCAAGAACCCAAGTCTCCAGACCCCATCACAGTCCAACAATGCTCAACAACAACATGGCTCATCATCATCGAACAAGTCCGCCACCACACAGCCATCTCCATCGACCAAGGGACAGTCCAACGGTGGCAATCACTCGTCAAACTCAACGCCACTGCAGGTGCCCAAGACACCAAACATTGTGATCAATATAGCCAAGGACGATCAGGCCCCGCCATCGATTGAGACCAACTCCAGCTCAACGTCAGTGTCGCCATCGCATACATCCGTGGCTGACAACCCTCACTTTATCCAGTACAAGGAGAACGCCTTCCAAAAGCTGGAGCAATACCAGAAGATGCAGGTCGTCAACCTTGTGGCCAAGCAGGATGAATCATTGAACGCGCTGCTCGAGCAGTATGAGAGGGCCCAGGACGAGGCAAAGGGCGACGCGGACAAGCTGGCCAGTCTGGAGAGCAGGTACATCGAGGACAGTCGAAGGATGTTGTTGGCACACAAGGAGCAGCAGGCACGATTGGACACTACACATGCGCATCAGTCCTCCAAGTTCCTGCGTGAATGTGAGCGACAGTGGAGTCTAAAGTACAACAGCAAGTCGTCCTCACCAGGCCAGCTGGACTCGGCGCGATCCGGCGGTGATGCAAGGTCGCCCCTTGGCTCGCCCGCTCTCACCCCGTTCATCTCGCCGTCGCCATCACCATCCCCATCGCTCTCGTCATTCCTGAGCACCAGTCCCATGGTCACTCCGGCATCGTTGCTCAAGGGTAGCTCGCTGGCACCTGGTTCAGTGGGCAACAGTCTATCTCTCTCACATCATAGTAATGGTGGCAGCGGCGTAGGCGGTGGCGGTGGAAGTGTCAGTGGACCTAACACAAGCCCATCAAGCGGTGGCAGTGGAGACGTACCTCCCTTGTCCCTATCATCAGCCTCTCCTCCACGCTCACCAAACAATCTAGACAAGTTGGCTCAGTCGCAGCAGCAACACAGTTCAAACAACAACAAGAAGTCACATCATGTAGATGATTGTGAATTGAATGAGGAGACTACAAATGTAAATAGGAGTATCAGTAGCAGTAACAGTAGTAGCAAACAAGCCCAGTTAGCCATTGTAGAGTCTTCTTCAACAGACATAGCTTATAAGTAGGTGGCTTGCCTTGCATATGTGTCTTATGTTCACTATTATTATAATAACGAATAATAAAGGGACTATTATTTATCGGTTGAACAATATGATGAATAGTAGATAATATCTTATCACTATCTGCTACTAGTTGTAACCTTAATTAATATATACAACACTTTTTCTTCGCGCAGTTGCCCAATCATTTCAAAGAGTCGTCGCTGTCGCCGTTGTGGTGGTAGTTGTAGTTGTTGTTGTGGTTGTGGGGTGCGAAGACAACACAACCTAGAGTCACTTCTCTTGACCTCTAACAAGTACATTATGTATGTTAGTCATGTAGCAGTAAAGCTGTAATGTATGTTAGATATAGATAGTTAGATAGAGATACTACTTTATATATAAAGTACAAAGACAAAGACATGATTGAAGATTATAATGTTGCTGTTATTGGTGCTGGACCTTCTGGTTTGGTAACATGTAAAGAGTTGTTGGATTCAGGACTTAGACCTATTGTGTTTGAGAAGAATGATGATATTGGTGGAGTTTGGAATCCAAAGACTGGCTCAACATGGGATAGTCTACATGTCAATCTATCGCATAACACAATGATGTTCTCTGATTACCCTTGGAAGGAGGGCACCTACTCGCATCACTTCCCAAGTGCCGCCGAACAGTTCAACTACCTCAAGAGCTACGCACAGCACTTTGAGCTGCTTCAACACATTCGCTTCAACAGCCGTGTGACGCGTGTTCAGCAGTGTCAAGACCCGGTCAATGGATGGGAGGTGACCTACGAGCAGGCCAGTGGCATCGAGAGGACACAACGATTTGACAAGGTTGTTGTGGCCAGTGGCATGTTCCAGAATCCAAACGCACCAAACCTTGTGGACTTTGAGAAGTACACAGGACAGGTCAGTGTGGCCAAGGACTACAAGAACGCACTTCCCTACCACAACAAGAGCGTGGTTGTCGTTGGTGACAGTTACAGCTCGTTCGAGATCGCCGCAGAGATTGCAGAGTGTGCACCGGGCTCAAAGGTCGTTCATATTATTCGACGCATGCCATGGATCATGCATCGCATGTTGAACAGGCCCAAGCCACCTGGAGTCGACAACCTGCCCGGCGCACCCATTCACCCTCTCGACTTGGTGTTCTTCAATCGCGAGGCCACAGCAATGATTGACAGCATGCCTGGAGGCATTGCTGCCGATGCTGCCTTCAAGAACGGCTTGCTCAACATGATATGTGCAGACCAACAGCTCAATCAGGACCTGCACAAGGACCCAGCTACACTCCGCGACCTCTTCATGTGCACATCAGACACATACACGCGAGTGTACAACACTGGCAAGATCCAGCTACTCAAGGTGCCCGTTACCAGCATCAATGGCAAGCACTTCACTTTCGAGGATGGAACAACCTTTGACGCCGACTGTCTGATCATGTCTACAGGCTACCAATACCAGCTGCCATTCCTCCCCAAGGATGTGCAAGATGCCATGGAGTATAACCCAAGCAACAGATTGTTGCCCATTATACTGTACAAGAACGTCTTCCATCCGTCATACCCTACACTTGGTTTTGTGGGTTGGTTCCTCAACACATACTTCCCGATCATGGAGTTGCAGGCTCGTTGGATATCATTGGTGTTTGCCGATGAGGTGTCATTGCCATCACGCGAAGTCATGGAGCAGGGTATGGAGGAGGAGCGAAAGATTAGGGATTGCACCAGTGTCAGACCTCAATTCCCACACTCAGATTATACAAAGATTGGTGATTCTCTGGCCAAAGAGTTTGGTGCATTGCCCAACTTTGATCGTATGCAGTCTGAGGATCCAGAACTCTACGCCGCATCGTGGCGACAATACGCTACATCTGCTATCTACAGACTTGAAGGTCCACATTGCAAGACAGAACTTGCTCGACAAATTATCCAAGACCTTACTACAAAGTATTATACAAGTTCCTAATTGTTGTACCATAACAAATAAAGATGATCAAACATTGACCCTCTTTGACTTCAAAAAGTGATCATGACCCAATTTGGATCTCACCCCGCTTCACATCACTCTTCATCAAAAGTCATGACTCAGCTTGCCCACCAATCTCTCATTCATTCAATCATATACACATACACAGATAGACAGTGATAGATATATATATAGAGCGACATGTCTTTGATACAGAGACTAAAGAGCTTTGATGCATATCCAAAGACTATTGATGACTTTCGCATCAAGACATATAGTGGTGCTTTAGTATCACTGGTCTCTGGCATCTTCATTCTGTGGCTCTTCTTCTCACAGCTTAGTATATATCTTACAACGGACACTCATCATGAGTTGTTCGTAGACACCAACCGAGGTGATAAACTGGCGATCAACATGGACATCACTTTCCATCACTTACCATGTACATGTAAGTGTCTCTTCAAGGCTCACTCACCTCACATCGATCAATCGATCAATCGATCATCGACCTAACAAACTCTCAAACATCTCTATTCAATCATTCAATCATTCAATCAATCAATCAATCACATATCATAGTCTTGAGTTTGGATGCAATGGACGTCTCTGGCGAACATCAGTTTGATGTGGCTCATAATATCTTTAAGAAGAGACTCTCGCCGACGGGCGAACCTCTGCCAGATGCACCACGTCGTGCTGATGCGATTAATGTAAAGCCACAGGAGAATCAGGATGATAAGGTGGAGTGTGGAAGCTGTTTTGGCGCTGTGGAAGGATGCTGTAACACTTGTGATCATGTGCGCGATGCCTATCAGAAGAAGGGCTGGGGATTCGACCCATCGGAGATCCCACAATGTGTGCGTGAGGGCTTCACCAAGAACGTCATCGAGCAGAATGGCGAAGGCTGTCAAGTGTACGGACAGATCCTAGTGAACAAAGTGGCGGGCAACTTCCACTTTGCACCAGGCAAGAGCTTCCAGAACCACCACATGCATGTTCATGACATCCAGTCCTTTAAGGGCACCTTCAACATGTCTCACACCATTAACAGGCTATCCTTTGGCTTTGACTTCCCAGGTATCAAGAACCCCCTGGATGGCGTTACAAAGACTGAGAGTAAGTCAACTATGCTCGGGTTGCCAATCACGTCACTCACTCACTCTTTCATTCAATCAATCATAGTCGCTGGAACTGGAATGTTCCAATACTATATCAAGGTGGTGCCAACTACTTATGAGGGTATAAGTGGCCATGTGATCGCTACCAATCAGTACTCAGTCACTGAACATTACAGACTGCTGGGTAAGCAGGGCGAGGAGCTGTCTGGACTGCCGGGCCTGTTCTTCATGTACGACCTATCACCCATTATGATGAGGGTTGTTGAGACGAGCAGATCGTTCGCCACCTTTTTGACGCGTGTCTGCGCCATCATTGGAGGTGTGTTCACCGTTGCTGGAATCTTTGACTCCTTCATCTACCAGACGACCAAGTCATTCAAGCGCAAGGTTGACCTTGGCAAGGCATCATAATTATAGGTCATCATCATGGATGACACCTCCCCTCCCCTTTGCAACCAAGTCACTCACTCATCATCATCGACAACAATACATTTAATATAATACAAAGTAGTATGTAAGATTTACTTCCACCTTATGGTTCATCATTTGCAATTGGAACTGGAGACAATCGACTGAAGTGACCTCGTTGGCAGGATGGTGTGAAGCCAAGCGGCTCTAATGTACTCACCAACAATTGATAATGGCCACTGATTGTGAAGGATATGTTCAACAGGTTGTTGAATATCGGTTGGTTAAGATGTGCGGCAACTCTCTCCAAATGAGCTCGAAGTGATCTGGTGCCATTGGATGCTTCAACTGTTGCCATTTGACAAGAACTGTAGAATACGAAGTGAAGTGATTTGATTGATGTTTGCACCTTGGGCAGTATATACATGATATCTGTGATGTCTTCAATTCTGATTGTGAGTGTTTCCAGATGTTTGGACTGTCTGAGAAAGTCCTCCATTGAGTCGCGAACACCTTGGATGAAGCTCGTACCATTTTCTTCGAATGTGATCGAGAGTGATGTGAGATTGTTGATCATTTGTTCAAGGCAACGAATGTTAATATGTTGACCATAATGATCCTGGTATGAATATATTCCAAGTGATGTGATGTGACTTAAGTCGACTGGGTTCATCTCCATCAGTCGAGGTAATTGATCACTCAAATAGATATTATTGATATCCAATGTGTACTGATGACCATGATGATTCAGGTTTGATTGTCCTTGTTTAAGCAATGTGAGTATCATTTTAGATGATTCCAACAAGTAGTCAATCTTTTTGATCAAAGGTTTATCCTTGACATAATGATCCAAGAGTATTTGTAATCGTTCTTGGTCAATATCTGGTGAATCTTGGACCATTATGTTGATTGGTTGTCCAGTATTACTGAATGGTAAATCTCTACTCTCAACAAACTTGATCTGACAGAGCCGAGGAGCATCCACCAGGTAAAACATGACATTTCCAGTGCCATCCCAGGGTTCAGAAATGGCGAATGGCACGATTAATGACTGGAGATTTTCTAAACAGGCTGAGACATATTCATCTGTAATGTGAACCAAGTGTTCAATCGCAATGTGAAGTGGTGGTGTCTTGAATAGACAATATTGTGATCCAATATGATTGATCATTGAGTGAATGTTCAATGTTGTGATCACATTGTTGGACAATGTCATGCTGACTGCATTGTGGAACTGTTTGGAAATGGTCGAGAGCATCAACACCCATTCCATGTTGAGGTGATCGGCCAGAACAACCATCTCGACAATCAGTTTGATGATCAGAGGTGGGAGTGTTGGTTTTGGTGTTGAAGTTGAAGTTGGATATGAGATGCCACTTACTTGGTTGTATGTATATCTCATGACTGGACGTGACTTGTTCTCTCTTTTAAATGATTGTTGTTTGAATTGATCGAACTGCTCACTGTAATGATTGTAATCTGGATGCTCATTGTCCACCCTGTCCATCACTCGTGTCTTGATGTCTTTGAATCTTCTTGCCATGTAGCTATCTCTGGTGATGTATGTGTAGAGGTATTGATGTTTGAGAAGCTGGAATGCTACTGCAGGATGCAGTTTGGGCATTCGATCGTCCATGATGATTGTCTCCAAGATATATGAGTATTGATAATGTCCTTCTGGATCTGGAAGTGCATTATTAATGTCAATGAAAGAGATCCATTGATCAACTGGATTGATGCTTGTGTTGATCAATTCGTATATATCTTGATGGCTGTCTCCTCCCTCATAACGATTGATGTAGTCGACCACATGATCGTCATCCAGGTATCCTAGTCTGTTGCACTTGATCATGAAGTACTTGTTGGAAGGGATGTAATACCTGGAAGGGCCATGAACAGTCGGAGTGCCTCGCCCACTATGTCTAATGTACCGATTGATCTCTGATGGATATTGATCAAACATCTCATCGATGAGTGAACGATAGTCAATACTGTTGTTGAGTCGGGACATGATGGCCAATGCAATATCGATCATGTGCGTTTTCTGTCGATTGGACATCTCGAATAACTTGATTGCACAACTGATGGCAAGTTCAATATCTTTGAATTTGTCCAAACAAAGATTCTCTATTGTACCAAGAGGGATTGAGTCACATACCCGATCAATCACTCTCAATGTCAACGATGGCTGAATGGCACGTTCCAAAAACTGACTGATGCCATCAAGTAGCAACAAATCTTGATCACGTGATTCCCTGCCAAAGCCGTATCCATAGATGTGCCTACCAATATTGAATATACAATCCATTACTCTGTCCTCAATCTATGGGTTGGTGAGTATTGGTTGGGATGGATGTTGTCAGTCTGGTTGATTGATCAATGATTATCCTTTAAATCACTACATCTTCACAAATCCATATCCAACTTACATGGATGAATAGGTCAATGTCGATCAACTTGATGAGGGCATTCATGTTGTTTACATTCAATAGTCGCTTGAAGCAATCAATGAGATATGGTGAGTGGAATGATCGAATGAAAGGAGAGAACACAACAAATGCTTGATCGGAGGTTGGTCTTTCAGATATCTCATCAATCAATCGCTGTTGATTGGATTGATTATCAATCACATCTCCAATCTGTTCCATCATATATGATATTGTGTTGCCATGTCTTAACAGTAAGTCATCTGTCACCAATGATGATACAATCGTGCTACATGTGAGTGAGTGAGTGAGTGATCAATCAATCAATGAGCGAGTGAGTGATTGACTTGACATACTTAAATATATCCTGCTTATGAGTTACAAGTTTGTCGGGTAGACATCCCAACTTGGGTATGATTGAGAGGTATTGGAGCTTGTGATCGATTGATGTTGATTGATCAAACAACCATTGATTAGTTGGTTTGAATGGGATGTCGGGGAACGATATATGTGAAACGATGGGATGCAGTGTGCCAGTGCGCTCTGATGGTCCCAAGAATGAATTACCTTCCACAAGGTCACAGTCATTGAGCACCTCCATCTCCATGATGATCATAAATGACTGTGATGTGAACTTGAACCTCTTTATCATGACCACTGCCATTTGAAGTTTATTCAAACTTCTCTCATCATCATCCTGAGCAATCTGATCATTGATCATCGCTGGTATATAATGAATGCCATTAGATAGTACCATGCTGATGAGTTCAATATAATGTCACCAGTTGGTGAGTCAGTCATTCTGGCAGTGAGGTTGATGTATCACATGACATACACATATCTATTATGTTTGATATTAGGATGGTGCACTCGGAGAACAATGTCAACTTCATGTATTGTGTGGATGTCTCTAGTTTGAGTGAACTCCTCAAGGTAGTAATCCAATGTCATTATATCTTTGGTTTGATTGAATGAAAGTGAGTCATTACCCTCATCTGATCACTTTTTTGATCAGAACCATCACACACCCACAAGACAAGATACATCAGATCCAGTAGTGACCAATTCAAAGAAATTAATATTGCAAACGGTACATTAATGTAGTATGTTCCTTCATTTCAATGGGCTGATGACAATTGGAACTGGAGACAATCGACTGAAGTGACCTCGTTGGCAGGATGGTGTGAAGCCAAGCGGCTCTAATGTACTCACCAACAATTGTTGGTTCAACTTGTGTTTCCCTTGTTGGTCACTGACGAAGGAAATATGCAAGAGGTTGTTGAAAATCGGTTGGTTAAGATGTGCGGCAACTCTCTCCAAATGAGCTCGAAGTGATCTGGTGCCATTGGATGCATCGATTGTTGCCATTTTATAAGCACTGGAGAATTCGAAATGAAGTGATTTGATTGATGATTGCACCTTGGGCAGTATACACATGATATCTCTGATGTCTTCAATTCTGATCGAGAGTATTTCCAGATGTTTGGACTGTCTGAGAAAGTCCTCCATTGTGTCGCGGACACCTTGGAGGAAGCTCGTACTATATTCATCGAATACGAATGAGAGTGATGTGAGATTATAGAGCATTTGTTCAAGGCAAGGAATGTTAATATGATGATCACGATACTCCGGGTGTGAATATATTCGAAGTGATGTGATGCGACTTAAGTCTTCTGGGCTCATCTCCATCAGTGGGGGCAATAGATTTTTCCAATAGCAATCCATGATATCCAACGTGTATTGATGACCATAATGATTCAACTTTGATTGTCCTTGTTGAAGAAATGCGAATATCATACATTCCAATGAATATTCAATCATTTTGATCAATGGTTTGTCTTTGACAAAATGATCCAAGAGTATTTGTAATCGTTTTTGGTCAATGTCTGGTGAATCTTGAACCATAATTTTGATTTGTTGTCCTGTATTAATGAATGGTAAATCTGTTCTAGAACACTCAACAAACTTGATCTGACTGAGCTGAGGAGCGTCCACGAGGTAAAAGATAACTTCTCCAATGCCATCATGAGGTTCGGAAATTGTGAATGGTACGATTAATGACTGGAGACCATCCAAACATGCTGAGAGATGCTCATCTGGAATGCGCATCAGATGTTTCATATCCATGTGAAGTGGTGGTGTCTTGAACATACAGTATTGTGATCCAATATGATTGATCATTGAGTGAATGTTCAATGTTGTGATCACATTGTTGGACAATGTCATGCTGACTGCATTGTGGAACTGTTTGGAAACTGTGGAGAGCATCAACACCCATTCCATGTTGAGGTGATCGGCCAGAACAACCATCTCGACAATCAGTTTGATGATCAGAGGTGGGAGTGTTGGTGTTGGTGTTGAAGATGAAGTTGGATATGAGATGCCAGGCACTTTGTAGTATGTGTATCTCATGGCTGGACGTGACTTGTTCTCTCTTTTAAATGATTGTTGTTTGAACTGATCAAACTGCTCACTGTTGTGATTGTAGTCTGGATGCTCCTTGTCCACCCTGTCCATCATTCGTGTCTTGATGTCTTTGAATCTTCTTGCCATGTAGCTATCTCTGGAGAGATATGTGTAGAGGTATTGATGTTTGAGAAGCTGGAATGCTACTGCAGGATGTAGTTTGTGCATTTGATCGTCCATGATGATTGTCTCCAAGGCATATGAGTAATGATAACCTCCTTCTGGATCTGGAAGTGCATTAGTGATGTCAATTAAAGAGATCCATTGATCAACTGGATTGATGCTTGAGTTGATAAATTCATATATATCTTGATGGCTGTCCCTACGCACATTATGGTTGATGTAGTTGGCAACATGATCGTCATCCAGGTATCCTACTCTGTTGCACTTGATCATGAAGTACCACTTGGGCGGATTGTAATATCTGGAAGTGTGATAAAGAGTCGCAGTGTTTCGTACATGTCCAATGTACCGTATGATCTCTGATGGATATTGATCAAACATCTCATCGATGAGTGAATGATAGTCGATTCCATTGTGTTGTGACACGTTGGTCAATGCAATATCAATCATGTGTGTTGTCTGTCGATTGGACAACTCGAATAGCTTGATTGCACCTCTGATGGCAAGCTCAAAACAATCGATTTGGCCCAAACCCTCAATAGTACTAATAGTGATTGAGTGGCGAAGCCGACCAATCACTCTCAATGTCTGTGATGGCTGGTTGGCACGTTCCAATAACTGACTGATGCCATCAAGTAGCAACATATACTGCTCATGTGATTGGCGGCTGTATCCATTGTGGTATTGACTAACTTTGGATAAACAATCCATTACTCTGTCCTCGATCTATGAGTGAGTGAGTATTGGTTGGTGGAAGGATGATGGTGTCAATCTAGTTGATTGATCGAATATCCTATCATCACAACCCACAGTAAACTACTTACATGAATGAATGAGTCAATGTCGATCAACTTGATGAGGTCATTCTTGTTGATAACATCCTCGAGTCGCTCAAAGCAATCAATGAGGTGTGGTGAGTTGAATGATCGAATGAAAGGAGAGAACACAACGAATGCTTGATCCAATGATGGTCGATCAGATATTGATATCTCCTCAATCAATCGCTGTTGATTGGATTGAATGCCAATCACATCTCTAATAAGATCCATCACAAATGATATCGTGCTGCCATGTCGTTCCAATAAGATATCTGTCACCATTGATGATACAATAGTGCTATATGTGATTGAGTGAGTGAGTGAGTGATCATTCAATCAATTAGCGTGTTTGAGTGACTTGACATACTTGAATATATCCTGCTTATGAGTTAATAGGTTGTCGGGTAGACATCCCAACTTGGGTATGATTGAGAGATATAGGAGCTTGTGACCGATTGGTGTTGATTGATCAAACAACCATAGTTGGGTTGGATTGAGGTCGGGGGATGATGATATTGCCACAACTCTGGGATGCAGTGTGCCAATGCTCTCTGATGGTCCCAAGAATGAATTACCTTCCACAAGGTCACAGTCATTGAGCACCTCCATCTCCATGATGATCATATATGACTGTGATGTGAACCTGAACCTCTTTATCCTGACGACTGCCATTTGAAGTTGATACACACTTCTCTCATCATCATCCTGAGCAATCTGATCATTGATCATCGCTGGTATATAATGAATGCCATCAGATAGTACCATGCTGATGAGTTCAACGTAATGTCAGTGCCGGTGTTTGGAGTCAGTGACTCATTGAGGTCATTCAATCAATCACCCGACATACGCATATCTATTATGTTGGATTCGAGGTTGGTGCACTCTGAGAACAATGTCAACATCATGAACCGTGTGGATATCTCTGGTTTGAGTGAACTCCTCAAGGTAGTGATCCAATGTATATCTATGATCCAATGTCATTATCTCTTATCTTTGGTTTGATTGATTGGTTGAATGAAAATGAATCATTTCCCTCACTCTCACTCATCTGATCACTTTTTGATCAGAACCACACCCACAAGACAAGATACATCAGATCCAGTAGTGACCAATTCAAGGAAATTAATATATTGCAAGCGGTACATTAATGTATTATGTTCCTTCATTTCAATGGGCTGATGACAATTGGAACTGGAGACAATCGACTGAAGTGACCTCGTTGGCAGGATGGTGTGAAGCCAAGCGGCTCAAAAGTACTCACCAACAATTGTTGGTTCAACTTGTGTTTCCTTTGATTGTCACTGACGAAGGATATATGCAACAGGTTGTTGAAAATCGGTTGGTTAAGATGTGCGGCAACTCTCTCCAAATGAGCTCGAAGTGATCTGGTGCCATTGGATGCATCGATTGTTGCCATTTTATAAGCACTGGAGAATTCGAAGTGAAGTGATTTGATTGATGATTGCACCTTGGGCAGTATACACATGATATCTCTGATGACTTCAATTCTGATCGAGAGTGTTTCCAGATGTTTGGACTGTCGGAGAAAATCCTCCATCGAGTCGCGAACACCTTGGAGGAAGCTCGTACTATATTCCTCGAATGTGATCGAGAGTGATGTGAGATTGTTGACCATTTGCTCAAGGCAACGAATGTTAATATGTTGACCATGGTAATCCCAGAATGAATATATTCGATATGAGGCGATTTGACTTAAGTCCGCAGGGTTCATCTCCATCAGTCGAGGTAATAGATCACTCCTGATGCAATCTTTGATATCCAATGTGTACTGACGACCATAATGATCCAACCTTGATTGTCCTTGTTTAAGCAATGTGAGTATCATTGTAGATGATTCCAACAAGTAGTCAATCTTTTTTATCAATGGTTTGTCTTTGACATAATGATCCAAGAGTATTTGTAATCGTTCTTGGTCAATATCTGGTGAATCTTGGACCATAATGTTGATTGAATCTACAGTATTACTGAATGGTAAATCTGTACACTCAACAAACTTGATCTGACTGAGTAGAGGAGTGTCCACGAGGTAAAACATGACATTTTCATAGCCATCATGAGGTCCAGAAATGGCGAATGGCACGATTAATGACTGGAGATTCTCTAAACAGGCTGATAATTGATCGTTTTGAATGCCCACCAGATCTTTCATATCCATGTGAAGTGGTGGTGTCTTGAATAGACAGTATTGTGATCCAATATGATTGATCATTGAGTGAATGTTCAATGTTGTGATCACATTGTTGGACAATGTCATGCTGACTGCATTGTGGAACTGTTTGGAAACTGTGGAGAGCATCAACACCCATTCCATGTTGAGGTGATCGGCCAGAACAACCATCTCGACAATCAGTTTGATGATCAGAGGTGGGAGTGTTGGTGTTGGTGTTGAAGATGAAGTTGGATATGAGATGCCAGGTACTTTGTAGTATGTGTATCTCATGGCTGGACGTGACTTGTTCTCTCTTTTAAATGATTGTTGTTTGAATTGATCGAACTGCTCACTGTAATAATTGTAATCTGGATGCTCATTGTCCACCCTGTCCAACATTGGTGTCTTGATGTCTTTGAATCTTCTTGCCATGTAGCTATCTCTGGAGAGATATGTGTAGAGATATTGATGTTTGAGATATTGGAATGCTACTGCAGGATGTAGTTTGGGCATTTGATCGTCCATGATGACTGTCTCCATGAAAATTGAGTATTCATTGTATCCTTCTGGATCTGGAAGTGCATTATTAATGTCAATGAAAGAGATCCATTGATCAACCGGAGTGATGCTTGAGTTAATTAATTCATATATTGTTTGGTGATCTCCACACTGATTACGATTGATATAGTTGACCACATGATCATCATCCAGGTATCCTAGTCTGTTGCACTTGATCATGAAGTAAATGGGGTAATATCTGGAAGTGCCATCACCAGTATGAGTGAGTCGGTCATGTCCAATGTACCTTGTGATCACTGATGGATATTGATCAAACATCTCATCGATGAGTGAATGATAGTCAAAACTGTCATTGAGTCGGGACATAATGGTCAATGCAATTTCAATCATGTGTGTTTTGTGTCGATTGGACAACTCGAATAGCTTGATTGCACCTCTGATGGCAAGCTCAATATCTTTGATTTTGTCCAAATAAATATTCTCTATTGTACTAAGAGCGATTGAGTCACATACCCGATCAATCACTCTCAATGTCAATGATGGCTGATTGGCACGTTCCAATAACTGACTGATGCCATCAAGTAACAACAAATAATGATCACGTAATTGGCTGCCATAGGGGAATACTTTGGATAAACAATCCATTACTCTGTCCTGGATCTATGGGTGAGTATTGGTTGATTGATGGGGAGAGGATTGTGTCAGTTTGGTTGAGTGATCAACTGTCCAATCATCACAATCCAATCACTTACTTGAATGAATAAGTCAATATCCATCAATTTGATGAGATCATTCTTGTTGATATTATTCTCGAGTCGATTGAAACAATCAATGAGGCGTGGAGAGTCGAATGATCGAATGAAAGGGGAGAACACAACAAATGCTTGATCCAATGATGGTCGATCAGATATTGATATCTCCTCAATCAATCGCTGTTGATTGGATTGAATGTCAATCACATCTCTAATCAGCTCCATCACAAATGATATCGTGCTGCCATGTCGTTCCAGTAAATCATTAGTCACCAATGATGATACAATCGTGCTACAAGTGAGTGAGTGAATGAGTGAGTGATCAATCAATCAATCAATGAGCGAGTTTGAGTGACTTGACATACTTAAATATATCCTGCTTCTGTGTTACAAGTTTGTCGGGTAGACATCCCAACTTGGGTATGGTTGAGAGGTAAATGAGCTTGTGACCGATTGATGTTGATGGTTCAAACGACCATTGTTTAGTTGGATTAGGGCATGATGATATGGCCATAATGAAGGGATGCATGGTGCCAATGCGCTCTGATGGTCCCAAGAATGAACTTCCCTCCATATCCATCCCCATGATGATCATAAATGACTTTGACGTGAACTTGAACTTCTTTATCCTGATAACTGCCATTTGAAGTTTATTCACACTTCTGTCGTCATAATCAGTAATCTGATCATTGATCATCGCTGGTATGAAGTGAATGCCATCAGATAGTACCATGCTGATGAGTGATGTCAGTTAGTGTGTCAGTGAGTTAGGTTGATGTATCACATGTCTTACACATATCTATTATGTTTGATATGAGGTTGGTGCACTCTGAGAACAATGTCAACATCATGAACCTTGCGAATGTCTCTGGTTTGAGTGAACTCCTCAAGATAGTGATCCAATGTATTTCTATGATCCAATGTCATTATCTCTTATCTTTGTTTGATTGATTGATTGAGAATGAATCATTTCCCTCATCTGATCACTTTTCAATCGGATTCCCACCCCCACCCCTACCAGGGTGATCGATCAATCAATTCGCGAACACATTTATTTGACCAACGTTTGGATCATATACAACTGAAATGTCCTCGATTAGATGAAGGTCGGTATCCAAATGGTGCCAATGCACTGGCCATAGTTGGTAAATCTAATAAACTGGAACGCCATTTTTGTGTATCTGTTTTGAATGATAAATGTTTGAGGTTGTTAAATAATATCTGTTTGGTTAGATGCGTCATAACTATATCCAAATGAGCAAAGTGATCGAACACCAATCAATGCATCAAATATTGCCATTCGATGAATATCTGTAAATTCCAAATTGAGTGATCATATTGATGTCGGTACCTTGGGCAAAATACTCATCGCCAAACTGATGTCTGTCCCTCGGAGGACCATTGGAAAGTCTCTGTTTGATGATTGCTCAACAAATTTGATCTTTTTAAGATGAGGTACATTGAGTAATAGATTGTTTGAATTGTTCGTATTATAGTCTGTGGTGATCGTTCTCTGGATGCTCTCGATTAATCAAGGAAACCAAAATATCTGTTTGTTCCTTGAGAATGGATGGATCATAGTAAAATAATATATGTCTGTGATATTGATATATGCGAGGCTCTTGGGTAGTCGACCCATCTTGGGTATGATTGAGAGATATTGTAGCTTGTGCTCTAATGATGTGGCTCGACTAAACAACCATTGTTCAACTGTATAACTGTTGTTCAAACAGTGTGACATTGCCAATACTATTGGATGTAGGTCACCAATCTGTAGTGTATCATCTTCATCCTCCTCGATGCCAAAGTCAATCAAAGATCGCATCCATCTCCAATATGATCAAATATGACTCTGATGTGAACTTGAACTTCATTAACCTAATGACATTAGGGTGACGAACTTTATATCATCATTACATTGATCTTGTATGATTCCTGGTATAAGTGTATACCATCAGATAGTACAATACTTGATTGATATGTTAGTCACAGCATACTGTCAATCAAACATATCAATCAATCAATCAAACAAACTAGACATACTCATATCCATTATGTTGATGTTGAACTTTGAGAACAATGTCAATGTCATGGACCTTGCTGTCTCTGGTTTGAGTAAACTCTTCAAGAAGTTGACCAATGTCATTATTCTTATCTTTCCACGTGTTCCAACTCATGTATCTCTCTAACATTCATCTTCTTCCAAGTTGTTGAAAAGGTAGTTTCAACTCATCATTGTTCACACACACCCACACCAAGTTTGATCACACACTTCCATCAAACCCGAACCACAACTTGAGATGTGTTGGATACCGGCACACCAATTGGAATTTTCATTGCCGACAAAACATCCTCAAAAGATATCTAAAACGTGTGGGTTTCATCAACGGCAGGGTCTAAAGTTGCAACGACCTTTGTTGTTTCATTCACCAACACATCCATCCATCCTCTTCATTCATTCATTCATTCAATCATTTCAAAGCAAACAAACAAGGACTTGTCAGTTGTAACATTAAACAGATAGATAGGATAGAGAGAGATATATAATTATGGACGCATTCAACCCATTGATTCCACAGATTGTAACACAGGTAGACCATGTCTATGGCGATGTAGAGACAAACACCGCTAGATATGCTGCCCTCCAAGCTCGCTTCCAAGAGCTCTACAATGAGAAGCCTGTATTCTACTTCCGTGCACCAGGTCGTGTCAACCTCATCGGTGAGCACGTTGATTACAGTGGATACCCTGTATTGGTATGTGTACAATACAATGCACTTGACATGACATGACATGACTCTAACAATCAATCAATCAATCAATCAATATATTAGCCATTTGCTTTGCAACAGGATACTATTGTAGCTGTATCATTCAATCAACAGTCATCGACTCAATTAAATGTACATAATGTGAACGGCGAGCAGTTCACTCCACTCACTGTGGACATTAGCCAATCGATTGAGATCGATTTGAACAAGCATCATTGGACCAACTACGTGCTGGCTGGTTGGAAGGGCGTGCAGAACGCCTCACCCTCCACCACACTCAAGTCACTCAACCTCCTGTACAGTGGCAACGTGCCAATTGGCTCGGGTGTGTCCAGCTCGTCGGCGCTGGTCTGCGTGTCCACACTGGCTTTTTCATACATACACAACATCACATACACCAAGGAGGACCTGGCCAACATCTCGGTCAAGTGCGAGCGCTTCGTCGGAATTGAGGGTGGTGGCATGGACCAGGCCATCTCATACCTGGCCGAGGAGAACACTGCCAAGCTCATCGAGTTCAACCCACTGCGCACCAAGAACGTCCAGCTGCCAAAGGGCGTGTCGTTCGTCATCAGCAACAGTCTGGTCGAGTCCAACAAGGTGGTCACTGGCGCCTTCTACTACAACCTGCGTGTGGTCGAGTGTCGTCTGGCCGCCGTTGTCCTCACCAAGAAGCTGGGCTTTGACTGGTCAGCAGTGCGCCGTCTGATCGACGTCCAGAAGCTGTCCAACCTCACCCTCGACCAGCTGGTTGCCGCCACCAACGAGCACCTGCACGTCGCCCCATACACTCGCGAGGAGGTCGCCACAGAGCTTGGCCTCACCGTCGAGCAGTTGGTCGCCAACTACTTCCCATCGGGCATCCAGGTTTCTGCCGAGAAGTTTGAGCTCAACCGTCGTGCCGTCCACGTCTTCTCAGAGACATCACGTGTCTACAGATTCGCTGAGCGCTGTGCCGCCGAGTCAACTGACCACACCGCCACCGCCATCGACCTTGGCCGTCTCATGGATGCCAGTCACGAGAGCTGCGCCACTCAGTTCGAGTGCAGCTGTCCCGAGCTGGACACCCTTACAGCCGTGTGCCGTAAGGCTGGCGCATATGGTTCGCGTCTGACCGGTGCCGGTTGGGGCGGTTGTGTCATCTCGTTGGTGCCAACCGAGTTGGCTGCCAAGTTCACCGAGCAGCTCCAGACCGAGTACTACTCGACCATCAAGTCATTGCCAAAGGAGCAAGGCGCCTACCTGTTCAGCACCACCCCATCCAGCGGTGCATGTGTTGTTGCTCTCCAACATTAGATTGATTGATTGTTGATCAATGATGAGCTGGGGAGTTACCTTGCATGCTACATTATAGTAATAATAATAAAAGTACTAAAGAGATAAATAAGACATGAATCCAGTCAATGGTATGGCAATGAATGATTGATTGATTGATTGATCGTTTGAATGTTATTGTCGTTGGTAACAAAGCTGAGGATGGTCTTTGACTTTAAAGATGGACGGCAAATGGATATTGTTTGTCTTGATGATCGATCGGTCCTTGGATGTAACTTCTCCTTTTAAGATTATAACTTGGTATTAACTACAGCTTTGTGGATGATGTGTCACTCTTTCAATCAAACAATGGTCCTATCGGTCGGTCTCTTTCATGGAATGCATACTTGTTGGAATGTCGTCAATTAAAATATGGAAGCGAGGATGAGCTGGTGCGGATGACTGCGCCACTCTCCCAAAACATCGGCTGGCTAGAGTTGACTCGAGGGTCCAGTGGTGGACCGCGTGGATCAAATGGTTGGGATTTGGTACGAGGGTCAACTGGAGGAGGTGAAGTTGGTCGTGGAAGAGTGATCATTGTTGTCGTTGTGTTGCCATTGGTATGTCCACTTCCACCACTTCCACTACCTTTGCTACTACTACTACCTTGCTTGCTGCTGCTACCTGTACTACCACTGAGGCTGTTGTTGCTCTTGCCCTTGCCAGAGCAACTTTCATCAGTGTGTTCAGTACTGCCACACCTCCAACATACATTGCGAGCGTTGGACTTCCTATGATAAACTGGTTTCCATTTGAGAATGCTTGGCACTGCTTCATCGACCCTATTAATCTTTCTGTCTCTGTCTCTGTCTCTTTCTCTATCTCTGCTCTTGCTCCTACTCCTACTTCTGCTTCTATCTTTGCTCTTTGATTTGTCATGCCTACCTCTACTACCACTCCTGCTCCTACTTCTATCATACTTGCTCCTACTACTTCTCTCGGAACTTCTGCTGCTCCTCTTCCTGTCTCTGCTTCTGCTTCTGCTCCTGCTTCTACTCCTGCTCCTCTTCCTATCCCTACTTCGTTCTCTGCTTCTACTTCTGTCTCTTCCTCTATCTCTGTCCCTGTCACCGTCCTTTTTCGCTTGAGCGACGCCATTTCTCTCGTGGAATTTCCTAATGTTGAGGTTGTAAAGCTCCTCGCCACGCTTCATCAGCTGGTTGAGCCTGTGTTCATAGTCTCTGGAAGAATCTCCACATTCTTTGGCGGCGTTGGCAATGAATGTGTCATCTCGATACTCGGGTCGCAGCGACAGTACATACAGCCGGATAACAAATGGACTTGGTCTCAACTCGTTCAGCTTCAACGCCTCCATGAACTCGTGGTTGTAACGAGTGCCAGGTCCATTGACATTGGCCTTGGTGAGTTTGAGTAGAAACTGGGCGGGATAGGTGTCTGGATTCCTGTCGTAGGCCAAGAATATGCATTCCTTGAACTTGGCCCATGTCGATGGCCGGTGTCCACCAGGGTAGTGCCTGGATATCTGCTCGATCTGATTTGGAAAGCGAAGGCCACTGATGAACAGTTGTATCAACTGCTTGTCATTGACTCTGGCCATGAACAACTCCTCAAAGTTGCTGATGGTCTTGCGTAAGTGTGGAGGACTGTTTGGTGTCAGTGCAAATTGGCCGCGTATCCTCTCGACGAGGTGCTCTGGCGGCATATCCGAATCAACACGTGGCGCCTCTGGTGGAGGGAGGGTGGGAGGAGGAGTGGATGGACGAGTGGCAACTGTAGTTATCTTTGTTTGAGCTTGGTCCACTGGAGGAGGTTGTACAACTTGAGGTGGAGGTGTCTGTACTTGAGGTGGAGGTGTTACCTGAGGTTGGGGTTGTGATTGTACCAAAGGTGCCTGAACTTGAGGTATCTGGGCTACTGCTGCCGCAGCAGTAGCCTGTTGTGCACTCAATATAAAGTTATACTTGAGTTTGACGCAGGTAATGAGTGCATCAACATCGGATATTACACCATTGATGACCATGAGGAATATGTCTTTGAATGTCTCCTTGTTCAATTGTAGATTGCCCAATGTTCTGGATATCTCCTTGTTGATGAACTGTTGAAGATAAGGTGCGATCTGCTCGCGACACAAAGCTGGAAAGCGAGGGAATACTCTGCGACCATATGCATCGATCTTCATATAATTCTCCAGATTGAAGTTGTTGTCAAATGGAATCATTGGTAATTGAAGGTCTAATGATGGTTGTTGTTGTTGTTGTTGTTGTTGTTGTGGTTGAAAGACGGTCATCACTCCATAAGGAGTGGAATTGGGAACATTTACATCTGAACTATTACCGTCGGTTGGCCTGTTCGATGTTGTTGTAATCATTGTTTGTTGTTGTTTATATATATATTAATATTTATTATTTATTAGTTATTAGTTATTGGTTGTTTGTTGAGTAACTAATAATCAATAAATCAAAAGTAAATATTAATATTATTATTTGTTGTTGTTGATTAATGTTGATGTTGATAATAATAATAACAATAATGAAAGGTATTGTAAGAGAGACAACAAATGAGTAACTTCAGTCGATGCTCTAGGTGGGTGACAATCGGTCAATCAATCACCCCCCATTCATCCAAGTGTGTCGTCTATTAATCACACCACCCACATAACCCAAACGAAACAGGTCGACTGGTCGAGACTTTTCGTTCGAGTTTGATAGTCAACAGAGAGTGAAGATATGAGTTGCTAAGAATAGGTTTGTGAAATGTGTGTGACATCACTTTGGAAACTGTTGCAATGATAGGTCCTCTCTCAATGTCTCTCACTGTGAGACCCTCCAACACAATGAACATAGTATCAAACTGTTGATTGTTCATTGTGTTGGAGGGTCTCTTTTATTGATGAGTGATGTTTATTTAATCACCTCTGGAAACACCAAAGTTAAAATGTTTGTTATTTGATTGATTGAATGTTTGATTGATTGAATGAGTGATTGTGATGACACATACACACAATGATAAACAACAGATAATTGGTGTTGCCAACACACTATGTTAGTTATTGACCGATCCTTTATTCTAATCATCCATCCAAACACACACACACAAACACACACAGACTCAAACAGACGCATAAACACTCAAAGGACCTAACAAAGGCATTGGAAGCCATTTGGGATGGAGTCACTGTGGATATTTAATTTTGGATGTTTTTATCAATTTATTTTGCAATCAACAAACCAAACCAACCATGAATGAGAAAGAAGGGACCAATAAAAGAGAATCATCTTGCTTTAGGACATTCATTCATTCATTCATTCATTCTTGTACATGCCCAACAAAACCAAGTAGACAGGAGATAGAGATAGACAGATAGACACTCAGATAGATAGATAGATATTGGATTATTCCATTCATTCATTCAATCAATCAATCAAAGTCATTGGATACAAGAAAGACATTTGACTCTATTTATTCAAATACATGTATTATTAGTTTACAAATTAAAAGACAACCAATCTAAACAAGAATGTAAGTAGTACTAGTTACTTTGTATTATGTGTTTAGGGCGTCAGGACTCGCGAGTCCTTTGGGATAGGCCCCATTGTTTGAGTGTGGGCCACCCCACCACACAGACCCAAGTCCAAGTTGGACCCCCGACTAATCATTGGAACGACGAATCACTCAATCAATAATATAGAACAAACAGAATATAAGGTTGACAACAACAATAATGTCATTATATAAGTGGTATCAATCCAATAATAATGTGGTCATCAGTATCGACCTACCGGATAACACGACACGTTCGGATATAGTGTCAGACCTCTCGGCGGACAATGTTACAGTGTCGGTCGGTGTGGTGGGCTGTGTGACTCACATCGAGGGCACGCTGTTTGCCCCGGTCAAGGGCACAAAGGTGGTGCTCAAGGAAAATATAGCACTGATCTACATGGAGAAGGCTCAGCAGGCCAACAAGTGGCCAATGCTGCTGGCCGACGCCACCCACCACCAGCGTGCACGTGTTGTCTACGACTATGCCGGCCAGGGAGACGAGGGCGAGCTTGCCCCGCTCTGGGTCAACGAACTGGTACTCATCATAGAGAAAGACGAGTCGGGCTGGTGGGAGGGCTCCAAACTCGAGCAGACCGGTGTGTTCCCAAGCAACTTTGTTGAGGCCTACGATGCAGATTATCAACCTCCAGAGGGTATGTACGATGTTTATTGTCATCAAAGTGAGCACATACTTACCTTGGAATGATTCCAATCAATCAATCAATCACAGATGTTGATCTATCTCAGGAGCTTGCCAAGTCGGAGGAGTCACAGACAATGAACTCGATGGCTCGTATTGGAGGCATTAACATTATGGGTGCAGAGTTGAAGAACAAGTTGAACTTGAGAAAGACTGCCGCACTTTCAAAGGATGAGGTTAAAGAGGCCAACAATGGACCAGCACAATCACCAGCACCAGCACCAGCAACATCATCATCAGCATCATCATCAGATAGTGAGAGCAACACTCCAGCACCAGCGCCCACGCCAATTGCTGTACAATCACCAGACAAGGAGGTCTCAAAGCCTGTGGTCAAGAAGCCACCACCTGTTGCACGAACATACTCTACCACCTCCACTGATTCAACTTCATCTTCCTCATCATCATCAACACCAGCTCCAGCACCAGTACCTGTACCAGCACCTCAGGTTCAAGCACCAGCTCCAACTCCTGCGGCAGCATCTGCCCCAGCTCCAGCACCAGCCCCAACCCCTGCTCAGCCAGCAGCTTCCAATCCCCCACCTCAACAGAGCAAGCCACAGCCACCTCCACCCCAGCAACAGCAACAACAGCATCAAGAGACGTCTGAGAAGGGCAGCAGTGGAGGTGGACTCAAGTCCTTGTTCAAGAAGCCACTAAAGATCATCTCGGCCATCCATGGCATGGACTCATCGGAGAAGTCATCACATCATCAAAAGGACAACAAGATACGTGCTATTGTCTTGTTCGACTTTGAGACAGAGGAAGCCGGAGAGTTGGGACTGACAGCCGGCGAGACGATTACAATCCTGGCCAAGGACAACACTGGATGGTGGCAAGGAGTCAACGCACAGGGCAAGCAAGGATGGTTCTCGCACACCTTTGTCGAGGAGATCAAGGAGGCGCCACAAACATCATCCAAGGACAAGGAGAAGGATAAGCCACAGCAGCCTCCAAGAAACTTCCAACAGAATTCGACCCCAGCACCAACGAGCGCTCCAGCCGCCGCACCAACTTCAGCACCACGCCCAGCGTCGCCAACCACAGACGCCGACGCAGAGGATGAGGACTTTAATGCGGATGCTATATTGAGCGAGATTAGATCGCCAGACTCTCAAAAGTTGGAGCATGTCAAGAAGCCTGTGGCCGCTCGTGGCCGCAAGCCACCTTCAAGATCGAGAGCTTCATGTTTGTTGTCGCCAGAGGAGCGCGAGGAGCGTGAAAAGATGAGGTCACAGTACTACTCTGTGTCGCCACTTTCAAGCTCGGGCAACTTTAATGAGATGTTGGGTGAAGCATCTGACGAGTCGACCGAGTCTTCTGAGGCCCCTGCTGCAGCTCCACAGCCCAGAGTGCCCACAGGCGTCAGCCCATTCAACCCTGCTGCTGCGATCGCCAAGGAGATCAAGGAGAAGAGTAGCAGCGGTGGCCCAGCCATGGCTAACAAGTCCGATCGCGACAAGATTCGAGCACAGTTCTTCTCTCTGGCCCCAGCCAAGAGAGCAGCAGAGGCTCCAGCACCACCTGTCACCAGCATCGACAATGAGGAGGGTAGCTCGGCTGAGAGGGTCAAGCCACCACCCCCAGCGCCAAGACGCGCCAACCCAACACCAAACACAGCAGCCCCTGCTCCCTCAAGTGGAGGCGCAGGTGCTGCCGGCAGTCCAGCGGTTATCTCAACCTCTGGCGAGATTGGACCACCACCTTTGGCAGACATCAGCGCAGCTGAGCAACAACAGCAGCAGCCACAATCACAGCCAACACAGCAGCCACAACCGGTTGTCATGAAGCCCAAGCCACCAATGATAAAGAAGCTTGTGCCACGTCCAGTTGCGGCGGCTGCATCAGGCGAACAGGCATCAGCCTCATCACCTTCAACACCAGCAGCGGCAGGAGCACAGATCAACCTACCACAGCTCGATGACGACGGATCCAACAAAGAGAAGGCACCTCCCAGACCAGTCATCAAGCTGGTGCCCAAGCCCAAGCCCGTCCCACCACCCTCAGCTGCAGCTCCACAACAGCCAGCAGCAAGCAACACAGATGCCCCAGCTGCCAACAACAACACAACAGACTCTGTCGCCACACCATCGCCAGCCCCACCAGTTGCTGCCAAGCCCAAGCCAGTGGTCGTGCGCAAGGAGGCTCCACCTCCCAAGCCAGCTGCACCAGCTGTCCCAGCGCCTGTACCAGAGCCAGCATCAATCCAAACACCACCAGCACCAGCAGTGGCCGCAGCCATCGAACAGCCTGCCACTACACCTGCACCCGCACCTGCACCTGCTGCCGTTGTAGCAGTGGAGCCAACGCCATCGCCAGCGACACCAGACGAACAACCAACACCTGTAACAATAGTACCATCCCCAACTAAGCAACAACGTTCACCGCAGACGACATCATCGCCAGCATCAACCCCAGCTCCAGCCCAAGCCCCAGCCTCCCCATACGACTCAATTTTCAAGGAGCTGGCCGCTGTCACGAAGCAGGTGTCATCAATCTCCCTGCCCAAGAGCACATTTGGTCATCAGTACCCCGAGCTGGCCGAGTCGTTCCTTTCCGTCTCTGCATGTAGCGTCGACGGCAAGCAATGGAGCAACGACAACGAGCTGGCCCACAGCGTCCGCATCCCCCTGTTCCAGGTGGTCTGGCCCTACATCTACTGTATCCTCGCCGACGAGATTGGCCAGGATGAGGTCGACAAGTACATTGGCGACCAGCCACTCGAGTCGCGCTTCGATCGCCCATTCACACAGCAGAAGAAGGTGCACAACGCCTTTTGCCAGGGCGCCGCGCTGACCGAGTCACACCTGCTCTCCCAAAAGTATCCCAACGCCTCGGCCAGGATCTCACACCTGCTCGCACGCATCCAGAAGCTGGTCAAGGGTCATGTGGCCTGTGACATGGGCTGCTACCTATCACAAAAGGCTGATGCCTCTGATGAGGTGACCACGGCGCACTTGCTCAAGAGTGCCGGACTTCTGAAACAGCCAGACGAGATCATTGATATTTATTACCAACTCAACGCGATCCAGTTGAGCACGTCTCAAATAGCAACACTTGCTGTAACCTTTGCCGCTGATGGAATAAGTCCTTTGACCAAATCGTAAGTCTCGCGACCATCCACACAACTTTGGAATCATTCCAATCAATCAATCAATCACTAACACTGGAATCATTCCAATCAATATAGGTGCTTGGCCAGCAAAGAGATTGTAAATAGAATACTGTCGTCATTGAAGAATAACAACGTTGATCCACTCACAAAGAGATTGAACAACGGTGCCGAACAACAGAAGTATGAACTGCTGTCAATCCAGAGTGATAGTGGCGTGATGATCTTGGTGATACCAGGTGTTATGGGTGTGGCCGTGTGCACTCAATCGGCCAAACAGAACGATGTTGCCGATCCACCAGTTGGCATATTCAACAACGACAAGCACAACGAGTTTGCACAGCAACTTGCCAAGGCAATCAACAACTAATCCTACATCCATCACCATCTGCGTGTCCTCATGTCCTCAATCCATCCATTCATTATCAATGGTTATTTATTAAAAGAGTATGATCATAAGTCAATCAATCAATGAGACACTATTTATATCTCAAACAAGAAAAAAACATGTACGAAGATAAAAGAATGATGTGTTGTTGTTCTAATAATCCTGTGATAAAAAGGATACATTGGTGATCACTACATGGAGCGTTATTGGGGCAAAGTAAGAAAGCAAAAAGGGGTGTGCCGTTCATTGAAAAGGTTTGTGCCCAAGCAAAAGCGCGAATGGGTCCAGTCTGTGGTCCTCCTCCTTTGTGATCAACAATAGCTGCACGACATGTTACATCATTCACCCGCCAAAGGATTCCAAGGAGTATTGTCTTAGAGTGTATTGTTATCAACACAGTAAACATTTACATTTACATTACTACAAACGACACAGTTAGATACTAATTCTGTACTTGTACATACACATAATTAAGATATATACAGATATATAACATACATACAACAATAAAATGGCAACAACTGGTATAAAGAAGACTGTCAAGGTTGTGGTTGTAGGAGATGGCGCTGTTGGAAAGGTAAGAAGATGTCATCTATGACATACTATATCACACTTATCCCTCAAACTAATCAATCACTCCACAATCCATCAATCAATCAATGAACAGACATCATTGTTGATCCTTTATACTACAAAGGCATTCCCAAGGGAATACGTACCAACTGTATTTGGTAAGTGAATTGGATCAAATGTTTGATTGAATGATGGATACTAACTTTGGATCATCCGATCGTTTGGAAATTAGACAACTTTAACTGTTTGGAAATGTATGAGAACAAACCAGTGAACTTGGTACTCTGGGATACAGCTGGACAAGAGGACTACGATAACCTTAGACCATTGTCATATCCACAGGTACGTCCAATCACTCATTCAATCATTTAATCAACCTTACTCAATCACTCACTCACTCAATCAATCAATCATACTTGGAACAGACTGATGTATTCTTGTTGTGTTACTCAGCAGTCAATAGGGACTCGTTTGATAACATAAAGTACAAGTGGCTGAAGGAGATCAGCCAGCACAATGCAAATACTCCAGTGCTGTTGGTCGCCACAAAGACTGACCTGCGAGACGACAAAAAGTACCTGGCCACACTGCCCGAGTCACAGAAGCCAGTAACACGCGAAGAGGGAGAAGCACTGGCAAAGGAGGTGGCAGCAGTCAAGTTCTTGGAGTGCTCCGCACTTACTGGATTTGGAGTCAATGAACTGTTTGCCGATGCACTCAGGGCTGCGTTTGTCAAGCAACCAGTTGCAAAGAAGTCATCAACTGCATCGACGGCGGCAAAGGCACCCAAGCCAACAACAGAGAGGAAGTCAAGTTGGGGACTTTTCAAGAAGAAAGATAAGGATGCCGACAAGAAGAAGGCCACTGCTGCCAAGTAACCTGCCTACATCACTCCAATCAATGATTTCAAACGCCTGACTATCCGTCTTGTCATTGTTATGGAGCGTCAACGCGCTTCAGACTGGCAGGGAAGTCGTGTATAATTTTATTTATATTATTATTAAAGTTCTTTGGTTCAATCTTATGTTCCAAATCCCATCTGATCGTGTAAAGTAATTGCCAAAGTACACTACCAAGAACACAACATTGATTGTCATTGAATTATTGTATCAAGAGTGGCCATTAAACGCTTGAGCGGACTGCCAACAACAATAATGTCGTTGGCAGACCATCCAAGCGTGATTGACTTCCCAATTTATTGATTATCATCGTCACTCATTAAGTTCCAAATTGATTGATTGATTGATTGAATGTTTATCACACCTCGCATCTTGTCATGTCTACTTACTTACCATTCAGCCTTTGGGACCAAGAGTTGGGGAGGGATTAGAGATGAAAGGGTGATGGATGAGGGGAGGAAGGGGAAGGGGAAGGGGAGGAAGGGGAGGATGGAGGAGGAGGAGGAGGACTTTATTGATCAACCCTGGAGTAGATGGTTGGACGTAGAGGGAGGACTGAGGGGTTGATTGGTGGAGGAAGAAGAAGATGTTGGAAGGAGGGGAAAGAAGGAGAAGTCGCTCGCGCTGATGTGTTTGTTGTTGAATTGAGTGGAGTTGATGGGATACATTAACTAACTAGTGGCAGAGCTCTTCCTCTGCGATTTGATCGGCAACACGTCTTTTGCCAAAGAAGAAGTAGCCGGTGCCTATGCCACCGAGTGCACAGATACCTATGCCTGCATTGAACGACATGACCATAAGCATGATAAAGTAATTGATTACATACTGAATGATATGAGTGATGGTCTTCCAATAGTGCGTGGCTCTAAACAGTGTCCATGTCTTTACAATAGACGATGTTTGAGTAGCTGGTGAGCCTTCAGTGTCTGAGTTGATCAAAGCAGTGGTCTCTTCAATTTGTGATTTGTCGTCTGATTGATGATGTTTGAGTGTGTGAATGTGTGTTAGTTAGTGAGTGAGCGATTGATTGATTGTCAGTGTGAGACTTACAATTCAATGAATGTCTGTAGGATGTAAGGAACTCTGAGAAGAGTCCCATGAAGAAGACGAATATCAGGGTACCAATATAGGCACCTGCACTATCTGTTATCCATCCCTTAAACAGAATAATCTGACCATGATAGGTCCAATGGAATGCGTCGTTCATCATTTAATATAAAATTTATAAGTAGTATTAGTAGTATATTACAATTAGATATATAAATATATATTTGTTATTATGTGTATATAAGTTGTACGAAGGTTACGAGAGTAAATGGGGGAACCTTTGGACAAAACACAAAGGACACATCCCTGCCGCATGTCGAGAGAAGAGGTGGAGAAAGAAGCCTGGCACCAAAAAAACAGTCAAAAGAATCTTCTTTCGCCCAAAATAACGCATTAGTTGGTTGTGTTGAGGACCAAAAAAGATATTATTATTTAAATGTACTTGTTTAATTATAATATATCTGTTTAAAATAGTTAATAATAATCTAATATCTATCAATCTAAAGGAAAGAAATTAACTACATCCCAGGGGATGTTGGTAGTTCTTGAAGTGTTAGGTTGTTTGGTTTGAATTGAATTGAATGGAATGATAAATAAGTTCATGCGACATCATATAACTTGGTTAAGAGTTAGAAGGAAGGAGGACTCTGTGATTGAGATGCATCCATCAATCGATGAGGTCCAATGTCATTTATTATTTGTTGTTGGTGTAGGTGTTAGTAGAATGTAGTAGAGAAGGAACAACACCATCACCAAACTTCAAACCATTTCAATCACGACCTTTCAGGTGATCCAATCAAAATCATTCGCACACATATACACACACACACAATCATTCAATCAAAGTAGTTAGTAGTTTGTTTGTTTGAATAAAACGACCTTGAAAATCAACAAGTGATGACCTACCTAACTCATTTACACTTTGATTATCTCATCGCCATGTAACAACCCGTTTGTTGACAGTAGACATGAACCTGACCATGACCAGACCAGACCTTTCCAGACATAAACAAGAGCTGGCTTGAACCTCACAATAGGTCTGTAGTATGCTAATCGCCCATACATGTTGGTGAACCAACTTCCCAACCTGTGAAGTATTTTGAGCACATCACAGGAGATTTGTGGAATGGCCAGTGATCGGGCACCCCTACACGTCAGGCCAGTTTGCCTGTTCGCCAACCCTAAGGGCAAACCCCCTACCCTTGCAGGCCCCTTCTCTCCAATGTTCTCAATGATAACACATGAGAATACATGAGCCATTCTTGGCATCTGGATGTATCATCATCATCATCACACATCATCCATCAATCCAATCCATCCATTCATTCATCAATCAACACTTAGTATCTCAGTGTCTGTCTATCTTCTGTACTCTCTTCTGACAACTCGTGAGAGGATGGTGATCATCCCTCTCCTATACTCTACTCTTATCGTCTGGTTTGTCCTTATGCCATGTACAGGAGGGAGTCTGTCCTGTCAGTCTTCTGTTCGTCATCTATAAATACACATACTAGTATCACCCATTACTCAATCATTCATACTCCAGTCTATAGACGCTGTTCAATGCCAATATCAATCGACCTATCTATCTACCATCCACTGTATTAACGTCAACTACAACTAATATTTACATACATTCATATATACTTACACCTACAATGTCTACATTGATACCACCTCAATGTTATTGTGATCCAAGTGTTGTACTTGGTTATTGCCATGTTGATGGCTGTAAAGCATATGCTGCCATCTATTTGATAGTTTGGGGCGCCTCAATGTATGAGGGCTCAAGACGAATCTATACCATGCGTAAAGTTTGGAGAACGGCCATCTACTGGAGCAATGTGTTCCTGACCATTGGAAGCACCCTGAACTTTGTTCGCCATGTAATGTTGCTGGCACGCGTCGTTGAACTCTACTCAATGGCCGTGTTACTGACGTTTAGCGTGGGATTCTGGGTCAATGCCTACCTGCTCATCCTGGTGAACTGGTGCGACATTATCATCAACATCCACTTCAAGAGCGCATACCAGCGTGCCGTGCGCATTGTCAAATGGGTGATTGTGGCCTTCATCGTCCTGCACTTTGTTGGCTGGATCATTGCCGACACCATCTACTGGCCAGCCAAGTACACCAACGTGTTCATCGGTATCTACGGTCTGGGAATCACCTGCGGCTACATCCTATTAGGCTTCCTCATCTGGCGCGAGTACTATCTCGTGTCGCACATTGCCGCACATGGTGACAGTGCCATCCTGGTGAAGGAGAAGATCAAGAAGATCACCAAGCTGACCGTGTACGTGTCTCTGTCGGCAATGTTGTTCACTCTCACCATGATAGTGTGCACCAAGATACTGCCCAAGAGCAATGGAGGTGCCGTCGCCTGGATGTTCCTCACTCGTCTACCATTTGCCATCTTCATCTTTGTGATGCATATCATAATGGTGCCATCGAAATTCGAGCGTAAGGAGGCGTCCAAGCGTACGGAGGAGACAGCACAATGGAGTGAGAAGATGAACAAACTCAACTTTACCGACTCTGACTGTAAATCAATGGACCAACAAGGTCTGGCTGAGCCAACAGTACTCACAATGCAAGCAACTCGTTCTGGTCAAGAAAAGGAGAGTACAGGATCTTCTGGCGAGTCTGATGTATAATAGTAGTAATAATAAATTGTAATAATAACCTTTAGTCTATCAATCAAACAGGACTGCCTAGCAGTAGTTGAGTCGTTGGAGTCAGCTCCTAACTTATGGGATTGTGAAGTTGACAGTAGAAGTGGGGTTGGATGTGGATGGAAGGTTTGTTGGAAGTGAGAGGTGTGGGTTGAACAAGCTAACAAGGTGAGGTGAAGCTACAACCCTCGCAAAGGTTGTCATTCGTAAAGAGCACTACATATACACATACATACACATACACACAATTGTACTTACTTATTCATTCGTCGTTGTAGTGCAAGGTGGTTGTTGTTCATCTGTCCATTCATTTGTTCATTCACTCACCCAGTCTTTCATACCAAAGCCAAACAAACAGATACGCAAAGATATTATTATAGTTTAATATATATATATATATATATATAAATAGATTATAAGTTAAGAGATAGTTAGATACTTTAGAAGAGATGAGATTAACAGAGTTTCGTGTAATTCTACCATTGACTGTTGAGGAGTATAGAGTTGGACAGCTTTACTCTGTGGCAAAGACTAGCTCCCAAGAGACAACGGGAGGTGAGGGTGTTGAAGTCATCAAGAACGAACCATACACTGATGATCAGCGTGAAGGACAGTACACTGAGAAGATATATCACTTGGGAAAGTAAGTCATTCATTAATGATTGTTGGTTACATTGACAGTGATTGACTCAATCAATCAATCATTCAATCAATCAATCGATCAAATTAGTCGTCTACCTGGATGGGTACGCGCGATATGCCCAGCAAGCGCACTGAAACTTGAGGAAAAGGCTTGGAATGCTTATCCATACTGCAAGACAGTACTAAAGAGTCCATTTATGGGCGATAGCTTCAGCTTCATCATCGAGACACGTCATGCTCAAGACAATGGTACCCAAGAGAATGTAAGTTATCACATTGTTGATGTCCACTGATTGTTGTTGGCACGCAGAATGGATCAATCTAACGCATTAAAATCACGCGAACACAACAGATCCATGGCCTTTCAGAAAAGGTGCTAAAGACTAGAGAGGTTGAATATGTTGATATCACAAACGCTGTGGATAAGAAGGAGTACAAGGCAGAGGAGGATCCAACATTGGTCAGATCGGAGAAGGCCAACAGAGGTCCATTGGTCAATGGAGAGTGGAGAGTAAGTCATTCATGGAATCCATTAAGCACCGAGCTCCTACTTACACACATCGCACAACAAACAGACTAGCACAGCACATCCAGTCATGTGCTGCTACAAATTGGTAACAGTCGAGTTCAAGTGGTTCGGTTTCCAGACCAAGGTGGAGAACCTGATGATTAGGATTGAGCGCGATCTCTTTATGAAGTTCCACAGACAGGTGTACTGCTGGTTGGACGAATGGTTTGGCTGGACGATGGAGGACGTCAGAAACTATGAGGACAGGACCAAAGAGGCACTTGCCGCCCAGTTGGCATCAAAAGAACCATCCAAGGCCAAGCCAATGGATGATTAGTCTGGTTGGCCAGTCAGTCAGTCGCCACCTCTTGTAGCGTTTACATACACATCCCCCGCATCTATTGCCTTGCCTTGTACAACAATGGAATGGAATGAAGTCGTAGGACATCTTTATGAACTTGAACTTGAAGCACAATCACTTTATTGGCACTTTGAATGGATTGCATTTGGATTGGGTTGGATTGGTTGTGTCCATCTTCTGGATTCAAAGGATATGGTGTTGGTTGGACGAGGAGCTCAAGAAGCAGTCCTTTGGAATGCTATCCATTAGTGATGAGGGTCCATGTTTGGTGCTGGGTGATGGAGCGGAAGCAGCAGAGGTGGCTGAGGCTGTAGTGGTTACAACCGCGACTGAGAGTGTTGGACTGCCAAGTGTAACAGTGGCGTCCAAGGTGGAGGCGGAGGAGGGGGAAGAGGAAGAGGAGGAAGAGGGGCAGTTGGTAATTGCACTTCCAACAGATGGAAGTGTTGATAGTTGTTCGAATCGTACTTCTATAATGTTTGGCGATTGGTAAGTGAGTGTTGGAACTCGAGGCAAACAATGACTTGACAATGTACATACTCTTATGATTACGAACATCATGACGATCATCGTCTTGTTCTTGAGACTTGGTAGACAACAGGGGACGCTTATTATTGTTGTTGATGATGTTGTCCCTGCTGTTGACATGGCTCTGAAGGGAAGACGAAGTTGGATATATGGTATTGAATATAGTTGGCGAGGCGGGTTGCACCGCGGTGATGGTGTCCATGCTGGACAACAGTGAGCCGACTTTCTGTGTATAGGACAGGTCGTTGCCGAGATTGTCGCGCAGACGAGTGATGGCGAGCTGTCCTCTGCACAGAGGGTTGTCGGTGATGTGTTTGCCAAACAAGCCAGAGAACTCGGATGACAGGCGATGCTTCAGCTCGAGCACGGTGAGGTGTGAGGGCGTGAAGATGCTGAACTTGTACGCGCCAGACACGACTTGGAGTTCCAGGTATTGGTATTGGTATTGGATGGCTGCGGCTGTGGCAGTGGCAGTGGAGGGAGCTGATTGGGCAGCTGGGCTTTGGAGACTGTCCTCCGTGGCAAAGGTGAGGGGTGGAGGGGAGAGCGTTGGGGAGGAGACTGGCGAACATGGATGTGTGAGCGGGGATGAGACGATACATTGAGGAGTTGATACAGTTGAGGAGACTGGAGATGGTTGATTATATACATTGTTGTTGTAGTTGATTGGGAGTGGTGTTGGTTGTGCGATTGGCAGAGATATACAGGTTGTTGTTGTTGGCTCGCTGGCAGATGATGAGATGTCGGAGCCAGGAGTTGAAGGGTTTGATTCGGATAGGAAGTCGAGGTCAAGGAGGTTGACGGCAGTGCATGAGAACAGAGATAGGTCTGTTGGACATAGGTTGTCGAGGTCAAGGAAGCTGTGATCGCTGAACATCAGGCTGGACATGCAATCATTGATGACGGCTGTGGCGGGGGCGGAAGATGAAGGCGACCTCTTGTGGGTTGTAGTGACTGGGGCGGTGGAGGTGGAAGGACAGGAGTAGGATGGATGGCCATTATCCTCTTCAGTGTTATTGGCAGTGGAACATGGATTTGGAAGAGCGGCGGCGGCAAGGGCAGAGGCGATGGACAAATGTTCACAATCGATATCAATCATTATATATTATATGATCAAAAATGGGAACTTTGGGTTTAAAATTGATTGGTATTGATTGATTAAATATTATATAAGTTATATATATCCTATCTATCTGTCTGTCAGTCTGTCTATCTCTGTCTCTCACTCTTCTCTGAACAAACACTGAGTGATCAGTAATGTTGAGTGATCGATTGATTGATTGGAGTGAAGGAGCGTGAGTGGTGGATGAGTGAGTGGTGAGGGGTGTCGTGTGGTTCTGGTTGTTGGGGATGTGGTGGTCCGGAGGCGGAAGAAGGAGGATATGATGGTTGGGTGATTGAATGATTGACAGAACAGTATAGTAGTAGAGCTAGAGTAGTTAATTATATCTCTTGCCAAAGGGTATGGTATAGTCTGGTTTGGTATGGATGTTGGTTGGTTGGGTAGTATGGGTTGTTTAAAAAGGTTGGTGGACCCAAGACTGTTCAAACCGAGTAACTGAATGAATGAACGGGACAAGAGACACGGTCTCAGAGTCAAGAAAAGGTAATAGAGAAATGTACAGAAGGCAATAAAGATGTAACAGTGCTGTGTGTGTGTGTTTATCACGCGTGATTGTGTGTGTTTATGATGATGGTCGATATCTGTCTGATTGGCGTGTGGCTATTAAATGATGGAGCTTGGTTGGGGCAAGTGAGAGGGAGAGAAGAGACAGTCGACTAAGATGAATCTTCAGGTCTGTTCAAGCTTTGGCCCGCTACACTCTCTCGGTGGAGTTATTGCATTGCCCCAAGGTAGGTAGGTTCAGATGTTGCTTGCTCTAATAAATCAGGTAGAGAGAGGGAGGGAGATGGATGGTTGAATCATTCATTCAAATGGAATGACCTAATGTGTCTGTTGCGTGGGGTGATTGATTATTGGCAAGATGAATTGATCACCCCCATGTGATGCCTATCACATTATTCATTCATTCTCTTGGCAAAGGGTCATCATTCCGTCAACACCACTCGCCCACTTGGTTGAACCATGCTGGGGCAAAGGTCCCCCCAAAGCCCGTGTCCATGGTCCTCCAAAGTGATCACGCAAAACAAACAATCACACGCTTCACCATCTATCTGTGGACAAAACATGGACCAAACCTTTTGTTCCATTAATACTATCGATCTGGAAAAGAGACAGACCTGGGTTAGGTAAGGCCTTGTGCCAATCAGGTGTTCCCATCTTGATGGTGTGATATCTATCTATCTTTCTTTCTCTTTGTTTGTGTGTCTCTATCTATCTCTGTTAGACTGAGATAGATAGATATTTAGATTGACAATGGTCACCATTCATTGGTCCATTACACGCGCATGGGATCTGTGACAGACGAGTGTCCACACCAGTCCCATTCCACTTATGGTGGTTGGTGTTGGACCATATGATATGGAAGTGAATGAGGTATGGAGCAGTCGATGGCGAAATTGAATTGATAACCAATGGGTGTTGGGCAATGGGCTGTAGTTATTTGTTGTTAGTCATTCATTAGTTTGTTGGGTATGGTAATATCTAATTGATCAATCCATCAAAAAATATATATACTTGCCGGTTACCAGCTCCCGAGTGGACACGAATGGGAGTTGCAGTGCACTTCTTCCTTTACTATTTCCTGTTACCGCAGGCTACAGACTCAGCCCTTGTCTGTCTGGCACTGGATGGGTAGTTAAATACGGGGGTGTTGGTGTTTATTGTTACAAATACAACCTGCTGGTGTTTCATAATGGCCATTGCTAGACTAGATAATGATGATTCCATGGTAACCATTGTTGTTGTTGCACCATCAATCATTGTAGTATCTCTCTATAATTGGTCATTATGATGTTCCTGCAGTTGTATGTGATTGTTGTATGTGTTGCAGCGCAGTGTTGTTATGATTCATCGACAGAGTATAACATGGCGGCGAATGCTTTATAATCGATGAAACCACTGTTGGTTGGATCAGCTGCTGCAAAGAACTCTTGAATCTATGTAGTAGCAAGTTGTGTAAGTGTTTAACATTTTGTTCAACTATGTCTCATGTTGTTGTGATGTGATGCATACCTCATGCTCAGACATTGGAAGACCGTCTCTCAAGATTCCTCTGAACTCCTCAACACTAACGAATCCATCGTAGTCGTTATCAAAGTTGTAGAAGGCTTCGATCAGCTGTGATTTCTCGTCAGACTAATTGGTGTTCATTGATTGATTGATTGATTGATTAGTCAGTCATTCAGTCATTCATTCATTGATATGCTATATATATATATGTCCATCACTAATCGATTCCTCATTCATTCATTCGCTCGCTCTAAGTATCTATTGTGGTGTATTCTGAATCGATTCATGTTCTGTCGCGTCTTGCTAGATATAGTTCATACCATTGTTTAAATGATTGATTATATGTATTATATATATATATATATATTATTAGTGTACAAAAGGGTAGTAGTTGTTAATGAATGAATCGATTCATCAAATCCCCTTAGTCTATCTGCAAAAAATGACACCCAACAATGAACCCAAAAAATCCATTAATTGGTGTTTGAAATTATTTGAATCAATTTTTTATTATTAGTGTGAATGTGGGTCATTGACATCTGATTGAGTCCATGACAGTCGGTTATCATTGTTTGATAGAGATAATGAGTATTTACTCATCAATTGAGTACAGTGTTGTATTTATGTAATGTCATTATGAGGAAGATCAGTATGTGAACATTACTCCTCTTAAGTTCCATATGAAGGTGGAAGAAGTCATCGCCATTCGTTGTTAGAATGTTGTCAAGGAGGACACCACACACACAACATTGTTGTTTTTAGTTGAATTTAATCCCGCCCTCGCTGCTGTGGATAAAAGAAGAATTGGACATGGTACCAACCTGGGCCTGCAATGATGGTTGATGTCGTGTGTATGGTGAACGTGCGTATTTATGTGTACATACATCTTGTATTGTAACTTGGATGGTCCTTTCCTCACTTTATCATGTCCACTCATTCTTCACCTGATTGGGTAGTACGATAACTTCTAGCCCAATCCCCAATCACATTCATTCATTCAAACAATCAATCACATAACACAAAGTCACATGAGTGAATGAACAGATAATAGATAGATAGAGCATCAACATCAATCATTCATTCATTCAGTTCATTCAATCAGTTCATTCATTCAATCAATATTATCAACATTCAATCAATGATGTACACACTATATCTCCAATTCCAGAGGTTCAATCAATTCACCGACCAATGGCAATGGGATCCAGAGACCACAATGCTTGCAAACTGGAAGTATCCAGCATCAATAGCTATTCTCTATCTGTTGGTAATCCATGGATTGAATGTAAGCATATTGGATTGGAACTATCCCATTCCCCACACAAACTCATACTAACAATCAAATCAAAGTTATTCATGAGAAATAGAAAGGCCATGTCACTTAAGGGTGTATCAATAGTACATAACATCAACTTGATGACATTATCCATCGTTATGATGGTGGGAGTATTGGATGCCGCTTATCGCCAGGCACAGGAGGAGGGCGTTGGATCACTGTTTTGTGAACGATCACCAGCAGCCGTCAACGGACGCATTGGATGGTGGATCTACGTGTTCTACCTATCCAAGTACTACGAACTGTTTGACACGGTGCTGCTCAGCCTCAAGAAGAAGCCCATCATCTTCCTTGCACATCTTCCACCACATGGTGATGGTGCCGGGCACGTGGCAGTGGCTGAACGACCAGTGGTTAGTGGGCAGCTGGTGGTGCACGTTTGTCAACTCGCTGATCCACACGGCCATGTACTACTACTACCTGCAGGCGTCACTGGGTCGCGAGTGTTGGTTCAAGCGCTACATCACATCGGCCCAGATCGTGCAGTTTGTCACTGGCTCACTCATTGTCACGCGTTGGTTCATCATTCGCAAGAGCGACCAATGTCAAGGAGGCATCAGTCCAGCCATCGTATCATACATTGTCAACAACTTTTTCATTCTACTCTTTGTCCGTTTCTACATCAAGTCATACAGTAGTGGCGGCAGCAACAACACTCGACCTTCATCAAACAAGCTCAAGGAATCGTCGACTTCATCTTCATCGGCATCAACAGGAATGATTCCAGACCAAACAACATCAAATATACATACCAAGAGTGATTGATTATATGTGCTATTTTCCATTATGATTGAAAAATTGATTGAGGTTGGACATGTGATTGATCCAGTATCCCGATTCGGAAGTCCCGAATGAGTTGAAGTTCGAATGAATTTTAAAATGTTTGTTTCGAATTAATTGGATTTACAAGATTGTTTTTCGAAAGTTTGGTGTGGGTCACGATGAGCAACGTTTGTTAACAACTTTGTTCAACAACACATAGTCGAACGAATAGAGGTAACGTTGTTAGTATGTGTGTGTGTGAATGAATGAATCGTTTTCACAAAGATCAACAACATGACTTCAGATCAACAACAACAACAACAACATAGTATATTAGAACAACATCACGAACAACATCATCATCTACATCACGATGATAATGATGAACTGCCACATCACTTGGACAACAATGACCAAGATCAACAACATCAACAGCATCACTTGGTTGGAGAGCATGAGAATGTAGATGAAGACACTGTCGTAGGAGACGAGATCAACTTGTCACATCATGTCGACCAACATCAACATCAACATCAGCATCATCAACATCACCTGCCGCCCGATGTGATCAGTACACATGATGGTGTCTCTGTTCAGATGTCCATCACACATAATGAAGCACATGAACATGTACTGGACGAGGGTCTACCACTTCACCATCATCAACACCAACATCAGAGTATCACCGACATGCATCACCATCACCAACATCAACATCAACAGTTACCACAACATATGGAGGAGGGCGAAGAGGAGGCGGTAAATAGTGCCGGTGGTGACAATGGCAACTCACTGGACATGGATACCGAGGCGTATCAAGTACAGCATGGCACTCATATCGTTGAGACAATGGTGCACTTGGATGAGCAGCATAGCCACCACGAGGGCGACCATCTCACTGGTCACACTGAGCATCATCAAGAGTCCACCATGCAACAGATGACTGTGGAGCAGCAGCAACAACAACAGCAGCAGCAACAGCAGGACAATCAAAATGATCAGGTCGCCCAGGAGACTGTTGTGCTTCAGTCTGAGGAGGTACAGACTCATGAACAACAGATGGCTGTGGAGCAGCAGCAACAACAGCAACAACAACAACAGACACAACAACAATCATTGGTGGTGGAGACTCATCCAGAGCAACAACAACCACAACAACAGACATTGGTTACGTCTGCGCCACAACAATCGACGGCTCAACCAGACACACCAGACAACACACAGCCAATGGATGAGGAGATCAGTCTTGGGGGAGAGATGTCAATAGACCAATCAACTTCGGACCTCACCCAGATGAAGCCCGAGCGACAGAGGACCTCAAACGCCATCAAGCAAAAGAAGTACCGCGAGGGACTGAAGAAGAAGCAGGAGGACGTCGACCGCCAGATGAAGGACCTGATGGATGAGAACAGGATGCTAAAGATGCATATTGAGCGATGGAAGGAGGTTGAGGTCGAGAAGAACAACCTGGCAAGGGAGTTGCAAAAGTTGAGAAACGAGATTGAGTATGGGCAGCAACAACAGCAACAACAGCAACAGCAGCAGCAACAACAACAACAGCAACATATCGACCTGACGGAGCAGGGCGAGATTGAGTTGGGCGCCGAGTCCAGCTCAGGTCAGCAACACCACGAGCACATAGCCGACAACATACTCCCGCGCTACAGAGACGAGATCGTACATTTCAAAGAGAAGAGGAGACATAACTTTGTGCCGGACCAGCACGAGCCCCCTCCCGACGAGGCCCCTCAGGACGACCAAATGGTGATCGAGACCTATCCCGAGGCGGAGAGTGGCTCGGCGAGTACATCGACACCGGTGGCCGCGACGACACAGCATTCCACCAGAAGAAGAATCGAGTGTAATGGCGTTGGAGACGAGTTCTTCCACTCGCTCTTCCGAAAGGAATGGTTCCCAGCATTCAGCGAGACCACCATCATTCACTTTGAGGACGAGCTCTATATCAACTGCAAGGCTTTGGACTGCTTGGATCACTCTGGCTTTGGCGTTTGCTACAGGTGTGGCAGCGTGCGCACCCAGTTCCTACAGAGACGCGATGAGCAGTTGTACTCTGCGGCAGCAGCCATTGCCTCGACAAACGACTCACAGCCAACGGCCACCAACACATATTTGTCCAACTCAACATCAACAGGCATAGTCACCTCCACTTCATCAACATCATCCACAGTCACATCCTCAGCCGCAAACAATCAACAACAATTAGTATCTTCCTCTCCGCCTGCCTCGCCTTTGTCCGCTGGCCAGGCAACCACGCCATCAAAGAGAAAACGCCAGAAGAAGGACACGCCCCCCAAGATGCCAAGCGAGCCGGCCACCGCCAAGAGGGCAACAAAGAAAAGGGCCACAAAAGAGAAGCGAACAGACTCAACCCTAGCTTCCGAACAATCACAAGTCGAGCAACAATCCGAGCCAGTTTCAGACCAAACGGCCAGTGAGCAGCCCTCTGCTGCAGCAGTTGCCGCCGTCGAATAAAGCCTATGTACATCATAAGAATGAGTGGAATGAATGAATGTTTATATATGAGTAAGGGAGGAGGTGGATGGTCGTTAGGTTGGCGTGAAGTAGAAGGCCACAACGATGATTAGGTAGACAATGACAAGGATGGAGCCAATGAAGTAGTTGGTCTTTCCATTGGTGAACACCAAGTTCATCACAACGACACTGAAGAACACAACAAAGAAGTCCATGAAGGGGAAGATCAAAGTGAAAGATCCTTTGCTGCTCCTATAATATTGTGAATGATTGATTGGATTGATTGAGTTAGTGGAATGGTTCCAATGTTGGATTGATCATGATGAAACACATACAGATGGTTAATGATGGCACAGATATAGACAAGCACTGGCATTTGGAAGAGTGTGATCTGGACGGCAGCTGACGCGCCAATCTCAAGGGAGAGAGGCATGTTGTTATGGATGGCAAACTGGATGGCGTTGAGGTACTCGGCTGCTGAGGGGATGATGCCAAGGATGGTGACACCGAGGAACTCGTGGGTCAGACCGAGCGTGCTTACGACTGGATCGATTGCCTCCACCATCTTGTCTGAAACTAGCGCAAACATTGTAGTGCAGAGCAAGAGGACGACGATACATTGCTTCTTGGACCAGATGACCTCAGTGCCATCGGACTCAACGTGATGCTCGTCCTTGATGGCGGGTCCTCCGTCAACAGGATGCAAGATATGAGTGTGAGTCTTGAGTGTGAACAGCAGACCAATGATATAGGCCAGTGGCAGGAAAGCAGACACGATGTACATCAGTGTTCTTGCCTTGCCTGTGTAGACGGGATCAGAGTCCAGGCTGTTCTGCACGTATGCACACGAGGCACAGTTGAGTGCACCATTGACGTCGACACAGTTGCCACACGTGAGATTGTATGCGCCGTAGATCTTGTAGAAGATTGTCGGTGTGAATGTTCCGACGACGGCCACCATCAGCAACACGGTGCTGACACCCATGACCGCCGGGTTGAAGCGCTGCTCCTTGTGCTTGATGCCTCCAATGACCATGCTCAGACCTGGAATGAGAAGTAGCGCGCCAAGCAACGAGCCAGTGATGGCAGATCGCGCCACATCCTCTTGGGCGCCATTGATTGTGACGACGTAGAGGATCAGCTCAATCATTGAGCCAAAGCTTGCATTGATCAGTGCGCCAATTGCAAAGCTGGTCTGTGCTGAAAGACTTGCAATGGCCATTCCATTGTAGTATGACAGTGGAATAGTCGAGAGCAGACACGATACAAACAGACCAACTGGGTTGATGTGAGACTCCAAGAAGTATCCAAAGACCAGTGATAATATTACAAAAGGTAGTAAATCTAATCATATGATTGATTGTGATTGATTGATTGAGTGAGTGAGCGAAGGTGGAATCATTCCAGATGTTGGCGACGGATACATACTGACCAAACAGACATTCAATCCACTGACAGTGAACTTGTAGTAATAGAGGTTGAATGCCTCTACTGGGAACAAGATGATCTCGCTGTCAGTCCTGGGTATCGTGGACTCGACTCTGAGTGACAGAGGGTCAGTCAACAATCCCTTTAAGATCTGGAAATGTGTCTATGATTGATTGATTGAGTAAGTATATGGTAATCAATCTAATTAATGAATTTAACATACTTTGGCGGTGGGGATCATAATAACAATCATCCATGTGAATATAATAACCATCACCTCTGCCAGCAATAGGAATGGTACACCCAAGATGTACCAGATAACAGTGCCAACGATGGAGACGTTGAGATGTGAGCGATGATGGCCAATTCGTCTAAGAGGCTGTCGCTCGCCCTCATAATTGTGAGACATCAACTTCTGAAGGTACTTTCCAAATGGCCAAAAGACAAAACCCTTCAGGTTCCAAGTGATCTTGGCGTAAGGTATACCAAAGTATGTGATGCTATTGTGTAGAAAGTAAGTGTTAGTGATTGGTTAGTCCATCACGTCATGTGATCGTGTGAGTGAGTGATCGCTCCACTTACAACAAGAGAAGGCTGACCAAGGCAAAGACTACAAAGAGTACAGAGCCAAAGAAGATTGAGTAGAGGTAGTTACCAACGGTGTTGATACTCTTGTCGACAAAGACAGTGTCGGACGCGTTGTAGAGTGTTCTCACCTCGGGCGAGAGGTCCTCAAGACGCTTCTTGTAAATCTTGCTCTTGAAGGGACGAAAGCCAAACATGTGATTCTGGATCTTGTGCTTGGCCTCGATCGAGCTGGTGTCGGCTGTGATGCCCATGTCCTCAGCTGTAGGTGGCACGTCTGGCATCGAAGCGTACAACGACACTCTAGTCTGGCGCAGTTCATTTTGTTCAATGTCATTGTAGTTGTAAGTGTTGTTACTATTGTTGTTGTTGTTGTTGTCGAAGCCACCGCTTTGATTTTTGAATTGGATACGCGAGTTGCTAGAGTGGCTGGACGAATGCTGTTGCTGCTGTGGCTGGTAGTCATCAGCGTTCTGGAACTGCTGTTGTTGTTGCTGCGACGGTGGCAGTATGGCGCCGGTTGCATCGGGTGTGTTGACGATGTGGTAGCTCTCGTAGTAGTGGCCGTCCAAGTTTGGTGAGGAGAAGCCGCTTGAAGAGGCGGAATGGCGTGGGTTTGTTGGCGATGTCGTCGTAGGCGTAGTATAATGAAATCCATTGTGTTCCACTAAATGCCCGTCTGGCGGTACACGATCCCTGTCCAAGAGAGGGATATCAGACATAACGTTATGTAAGTATGATTGATTGATTCACTGATTGATTGTTTGATTGATTATAATATATAACAAATAACAATAACAATTGTGTTTGTGATGTATAATAAATGATACCAACGAGGTGGATGTTGTTGGGTGATTCCAACACTCACTTATCATCATGACTGATCAAAAAGTACCCATGGGATAAATATCAACGATCACTTTGAGTGTGAGTGTTTTGATCATGACTTTTTTGGCAAAGATCAAGTGTTTTTGTACATGGTCAATGGAGGTCCTACCAGGCCAAACAACATTGGTCCAATGCACAGGCACCATCCTGTGCATAGGTCTTCAACTTCAAAAGAGAGTTCTTCTCATTCAGATCACGCCGCAGGAACATGCAATTAATTGCACCATTGCACTTGTACAGTAGTTAGTGATACACTAACTACTATTGGCAATCAATCATGATAGAGACAAGTCTGAGAGACACAACAAGATAAGAGTGTTGTTGGATATGTCTGAAAGCAAGTTTAGGTTAGGTCAGGTTGTTGGACTCCAGGAGTGAGCTCAATGTTCGCAAGCAAATAGCTGTCTGACCTTGGCGAACTGCTGCACATGGTGGCCCAACGCATGCTCCAAAGCCACATGTACGACGTACAGTTCTATTGGTTTCGAACACGAGTACATTGAGAAAATGACTCTGTTGTAGATGTCCGAGACCATCCAACTGTGTTTATGAAAGATACCATTTTGGACGCCTCAACATCCTGAGCCCAATCCACTAGATCATCGACCCAACATCTTATCCATTGCATTGTTTACCACCATTACCTCAACCTCTCCAAATACAGTAGTTTATTATTAGTTCTCTAGAGAACTGGATTGATGGCCAATATTTAAATTTATGGGACTTTTGCTTTTTATCAAAGTGACTTGCTCATTCGATTTACTTCAAAGTGCAAGTTCATTGTGATAAGTATAGATACATATAAATACATACGTACATACATAATGAATACGCCACCTTATTATAATCAACATCATCAGAGGGATCAACACAATCAGTATCAACATCAACATCAACATCAACAATATAATCAACAACAACAACATTATAATCAGGGTGGGGGCTATCCAATACCATCACCATCATCATCATACCAACAACATCTACTGCATCAGCAGCAAACGGGTCTGCCAGGCAATGGACGACCACTCGACTGTGAGGACCAGCTGATACTCAGTCTGCCACCGCATGTGGCAGAGCGTGTGCGACGAATGATCAAAGCAAAGCACTTTGATGCACCAATCGACATACAGTTCAAGTCAGAGCGTGGTCTAGCGTTCACGATCGGCGACCAGGAGTATGAGGGTGCGCTGCTCGACCTGCCCTGTGTTCTCGAGTCTCACAAGACTCTAGACAAGACAACATACTACAAGACCGCCGACATTGGACAGAAGATACAGGTCTATGACAAGGACACAGTTGTCGCAGAAGTCGTACCGCCCAATCACAAACTACCAAGCGGTATCACTCCGCCCACCCGCGACATATTAACAAAGAGACATCGCGAGATAACAATAGAAGTATGTTGTTTGATTGATTGAATGATTGAATGATGTGGCTACATCACATGCTAACATCTCCCTCGCGCGCGCTCAATGAATGAATGAGTAGAAGAAGACAGAGATGGCAAAGACTGAGGAGGAACTGATAAGGATAATCAAACCTGGATATAATGAACAAGAAGAGATTGAGTTCATCACGTTGGACGAGTTGGTTGAGCTGTATGGCGCAGAGCGATTTAGTAATGCGCAGCCAAACTCTATCGAACCAATCATATTTGAAGAGCGTGCTGATGATCAGATCACACTGGACGAGAATGAGGACAGTGCCGACGAGTCGATCAACGCCAGTGACAATGAGAACCCAATGCACGACTTTATGACCAGCAGGTTCAAGGGATCAAACAGATTGCTCAACAGGAACAACAACATGAACAACATGAACATGAATATGAACAACAATAACTATAGACCAGGTGGCTTTGACGATGATATGATGAGCGATGACTTCAACCGACCAACACCACCACAAAAGCGCCATCCAATCCCCTCGCCTGTGGGCATTGGTGTGCGTGTTGGATCAATCGTGGACAGCGAAAGGTCTCCACTGGACATGGTGAAGAAGGAGAGAAAGACAAGGAGTGACAAGGGCAAAGAGAGAGTACCACATCATCTCAGACAACAACAGCAACAGCAGCAACAACAACAGCAGATGTCACATGTTCAGGGTCATGGCCAAGGACATCCACAACCACCACCGTCACTTGGCCAGTCGACAGAGCATCTCAAGATCAAACTGCCAATGCCGATCATGGGACATGCTGGCGCTGACTTTGGCGATGGCGAGTTCAGAGTGCCTGAGCGCAGATCAGTCATGTCACCTGGCAGTGAGCATGGCATCCAGTCACCAACTGGCGAGCATGGAGATGATAGGCGCAGGAAGAGGAAGGAGAGGCCAGAAGATCTGTCGCCAATCGGCAGCGTCTCATCCTCTGGCTCAAGTCACCATCATCGCGAGAAGAAGGACAGAGGGGAGCATAGAGAGCATCGCGAGCATAGAGAACATCGAGATAGAGGCGATAGAGAGCATAGGGATAGAGGAAACAGAGAGCACAGAGAGCATAGAGATAGAGGTGACAGAGAACATAGACATAGGGAACAAAGAGAGCATAGGGACAGAGATGTGCCGCCTCTTGACGATGAGATTGAGCGTGATGTCGAGAGAGAGCAACATAGAAGAAAGAAGAGAAGAGATGGAGAGGCTCCATCTACATCCACGACGACGACAACAACTACCAGCACGACCTCAACATCAATGGGATCACCTCCGCCCCAGTTCAATGTGGAGTCGCCAGTGTCCCACTTCCCTCAAACTCCAAAGACACCATCATTCGTCACGACGCCAACCATCCCCTCAACTCCACCTGCAGTCCAATCACCGCCAACGACCGTGGCAGCCACTCCACAACAACCACCTCACCAAATGCACTATCCAAAGACGCCAGCGACACCGGTAACACCTACTCCAACAACGCCAACCATGTCCAGCGACATGGTATCGACGCCACCTGCCCAGCCAATTGAGTCGGTCACAACCTCCTCATCTGCCGCGTCCGACCTGCTGCAGGTGCGCTCTACACTACGCAAGCTACAACAAGAGGCCGACTCTATGAAGAAGAAGGCTGATGAGATGCAGTCCAAGATAGGTGCCATTCCAAACAAGATCATGAAGGAGAGACAACAGAAGCTCATTGACAAGACGCTCAAGGAGCACATTGACAAGCTGGGCGAGATCGATGCGCTCAAGAGTCTGATCGCTGAACTCGAGTCCTCCTAATCTCCCAGGAGTAGTGCCATGCCACCTTTCTGCATTCCTTCCTTCGAGAAGGTCGCCAATGACGAGCACATCATTCATTCATTCATTGATTGATTGATTAATTGACCAAAGGTCGGCATCACGGTGCAGGGTGGTGACGATATATTTATATCGGTCGGGCGGTCGGACAAGAGATACGCATAGTTAGATATGTTGGTAGGCGCGGGCATGGTCGGTACTACACTACCGTTGGTCGCTACTACTACTACACTTCTGAACACACAAGATGGGCGCCCAGTGACTGCCATGGGACTACAACAATGATTAGCCATGCCATGCCCTCAGACCGACCATCAACAAGATCAAGCATTGCTTCACCGGTCCCCCCAATGCGTGCACACCTTTTGGGGCACCATCATCATTCATAAAAGTGATTGGAAGTTTCAGAGCATACGCTTACGTCAATGTATGGAAGGACTTGTGGGGGCTTCAGAAGGTCCTCCATTGTGTGTCATTGATCATGTGTGTGGTGAGTGTTGTTTGGGGACACACAATGTTGGGAAACGAGGATGTAACATATCATCAGGATACTTTGATTTTATTTTAATCAACATCCTTTTTGTTGTTGGATTCATTCATTGATAATGAGTTAGTGAGTGAGAAAAGAAATGATCTGAACTGGGCAACAATGTTGGTATGATATGAATTGCCGAGACTTACGCTGGATACATAAAAAGAGAGAGCTTATTCAAGATTAACCAACATAAATCAATTCATTCTTTCATTCATTCAATCATTCATTCATAATCAAATCAAACAATCAAACACACACACGTTCCCACCACCACGACACCCACATACTTGGGACAAAGATCTTTCCAATCACTTCTCCACACACAACTAACTCAACAACAATCACAATTCAATCACATAATAATATTTATAACATACACATAACATAGAAATATACCTTTGTATTGCTTGACGACGACGACAAACAAAACAAAACAATAGAATAATATGGACGGAAACACAAGCGAACAGACCGCCCCGCTGATAAGACAGCGAAAGAGCGTGTATAAGTTCAGCTCTCTTACGAGAAAGTACCCTTATGATCTGAACAACAAGGACGAGGAGTTGAACAAGTGTCTGACAATCGTTGATATTATATCATATGGTGTTGGAAGTACTGTTGGCGCCGGTGTCTTTGTGTCGATCGGTGTGGCCATCAAGACTGCCGCTGGCCCTGGCACCCTCATCTCCTTCGTCTTCTCTGCCCTTGCCTGTCTCATCTCTGCCTTTTGCTATTCAGAGTTTGCCGCCAAGATTCCCCTCTCTGGTTCAGCCTATACCTTTGCCTACGTTGCCCTTGGAGAGTTTGCTGGTTGGTTGTAAGTTTAAGATGTTTGATTGATTAATTGATTGAGTGAATGAGCGTGTGACTGACCCTCGACCGTTCATCTACTCTAGCATTGGATGGAACTTGACATTAGAGTACGCGATCAGTGCATCGGCTGTGGCTCGTGGATGGGCTGGATACTTCTCTCAGTTCTTCACGGTGTTTAATGTGTCGACACCAGAGTTTGTCAGTGGATACTCGCTAGACTCGGTGTTTGACATTGCTCCGTTGGCACCAGTGATCATTATCATCTGTACGATCATCTTGGCGTTTGGCGTCAAGGATTCGGCACGATTCAACCTTGCGATCACCACGCTCAACATCATCACCATTATGTTCTTTATCATCTTTGGCTCGTTCTACATCAACACGGCCAACTGGAGCCCATTCCTCCCATTCGGCATGAACGGTGTCTTCTCTGGATGTTCCAAGATCTTCTTCAGTTTTGTCGGCTTTGACTCTGTCACGACACTATCTGGCGAGGTCAAGAACCCCAAGCGTGACCTTCCCCTTGGCATTGTCATCACCCTCATCATTGCCACCACCCTCTACTGTCTCGTATCCCTCGTTCTCTCTGGCATGGTCAACTACACTGTAAGTCTAACATGCATGCATGTTGCCCAAGTCGCCAACCTTGATCAATCACTCACTAACTCAATCACTTGATCACTCACTTAAAGATGGTCAGCGAGGGCTCACCATTGTCTGATGCCTTCCTTTCGTTGGCTGGAATACACCCCGGCTTGAAGTGGGCAGCTCTGACTATTGTGATTGGAACACTGACTTCACTCACCGCCTCGACACTGTGTTCGTTGCTCGGTCAGCCAAGAATCTACATGCAGATGGCCAAGGATGGACTGTTCTTCAAGAAGTTCTCCCAGGTCAACAAGAAGACTCAGGTGCCAATGTTTGGCACACTGTTCACTGGAGCATTCGCCTCTGTCCTTGCACTCGTGCTCAGTCTCGATCAACTATCCAATATGATCAGTATTGGAACTTTGCTTGCATTCACTGTTGTATGCGCTGGTGTTGTAGTACTACGTCTTAGGGTATGTTATTGGAACTATTCCAATCATTCAATCAATCACTAATTCAATCAATCAAATGATCAATCAAACAATGTAGGACCCTGTGACAGGATTGGAGAATCATGTGATCAAGTCACCACTGTTGTTGTTGGCTTTGTACATCTTTGCCTCGCTGTTTGGATGGGCTAGCTCTCGTGGATGGGAGTATGGATGGCAGATTGGATTCTCCGTTCCAATGCTGGTGATCATCGTGCTGTTGGCCATCAGAAAGCAGGTGAACAACCCAGATACGTTCAAGTGTCCATTCAGCCCTGTGCTGCCGTGTCTCGGAATCATTGCCAACACGTACATCATCATGCATCTCGACGTCGAGTCCTTCTACCGTGTGCTGATCTGGACGTTCGTTGGCTGCATCATCTACTTTGGCTACGGTATCCGTCACAGCAAGCTGAATGACCTTGAGGATGAACAGGAGCCAGGTCCCGCCATCAATAACTAAACATGTCACAACAACAACAATACGAATGATCATTTTGAGCAAAATGGGCCCCTCCCTATCCTCCTCCTCCTCCCCATCTCCCTCTCCCTTTGCTTCCTTGGACAATTATTCCCAATGTTGTAATAAACTCAAGGCGAGTCGCATTGCATTGCGTCTCATTCTCGATGACATCGTTGTGTCTCTTCTCTTGACTCCAAGGTGCACAATGTCGCCAAGCATTCGATTTCTTTTTTTTGTGTGGTCCAATACCTTGTCGATAACTTTTTTTTGGGTCGACCCACAGATATTGATATGATCGGCACGAGTAGACCAGGGACCTAGTTCAATTTTTGCACCAAAAAAAAGAAATCGAGCCCTAGCTTGAACACACTATCTCACTAACTTTAATGGGGACGGAGGGTTGTATGTCAACTTGTGTGTGTTTGTGTTATGTATTTGTGTTTGTTTGTTAGCTAGAACAACACATCAGTTCAAACAACGTCGATACTCCCACTCACACCTTGCTTCATTCAATTTGATTCATTAATCATACAGTGTATACATACTTAACTTATAATACTTTAATTACATCACTATATTGAAGTGAGATATCTCATTCATTCATTCATTCAATGTTATAAATACACTAATAATATATAGTATAATTGGATTGATTGATTGACAGCAGATAGAGTAACATACATATTAGATCAATATATACATATATATATACATATATAGCATATAAGTTAGTTAGTTAGGGAAGATATAAGATGACAACCGAATCATCATCATCTTTATCATCTTTATCTTCTTCCTCCTCAGATGACTTTGGCGCAACATGGATACTTGATGCTGCCAATCTTGTCTTTTGTAAGTCAAGCGCGACAACAGCAGCAGCATTACATCGAAGATCATATGATTGATTGATGGATGACTAACATGCATTACTCAATCAAACTCAATCAAACATTAAAGTCCTACAAGCAGGGTTCGGTATGATAGAGGCAGGAATGGTACGAGCAAAGAATACAAAGAGTATATTGTTAAAGAATTTGATTAATACAGCGATAGGAGCGATAGGGTTCTATTGCTTTGGACACGCATTCGCATTTGGACCCGATTGGTCCAATGGATTCATTGGCTTTGGAAGCTTTTTCCTGCGCGACTATAATAACTACGCCTACTGGCTGATACAGTGGGCCTACGCGTCCACCGCCACAACGATTGCAACGGGCGCAATGGCCGAACGCACACAAATGCCCTGCTACCTGCTGTTCTCCCTATTACAGACGACGCTGATCTACCCCGTCGTTGCGCATTGGATATGGAGCAGCGGCAACGGATGGCTGGCCAGCTTGGGCATCGCAGACTTTGCCGGTGGCGCCGTAGTGCACATCGTCGCTGGCGCCTGCGGAGCGTGTGGCAGCTTCTTGCTGGGGCCTCGCATCGGTCGATTCGACCACGACAATGGGCGACCCAAGACACTGCCCGGCCACAACGTCGTGCTGACGTCGTTAGGCGCCATGATCCTCTGGTACTCATGGTACGGATACACGAGCGGAGCATCAATTGGAATGGCGTCAACCATGTCAATATCAAGAGTATCAATTGTTGCAACACTGTCGGGCGCCACCGGCCTCCTCACTGTGTTGGCCATTGGAAGAGTGTTCACTGGACAATACGACCTAGTCAGAGGCATCAACGGTCTAGTAGTTGGTCTAGTATCCTCCACAGCTGGATGTGCCTATATCGAACCATGGGCAGGAATCATTGTAGGATGTAAGTTTGAACTTTGAGGACTATGATGTTGTCTCTAGCCTCATTCACTAACTTACTCAATCAAACTTAACAGTTGTTGGAGCAGTTATATATTATGTATCATCATGGATACTACTGAATTGGGCAAAGATAGATGACCCAGTAGATGCGACATCAGTGCACTTGTTTGGTGGAGCATGGAGTGTGATTAGCTTGGCATTCTTTGCATCACATGGCAAGGCCAATGGTATATTCTATGGTGTAAGTACATCAACCATTCATTCAATCAATCATTCAATGTCACATGACTAACATGACTATTACAACAGGGTGGAATCGGACTGCTATGGGTACAATTGGTTGGTGTCGCGATGGCAACGATGTGGGCTATTTGCGTATCGACAGTGTTCTTCTTGGTGATGAAGTATATGAATTGGTTCAGAGTGGATGTGGACACAGAGTTGGCAGGACTGGACAACATGAATCATGGAGGAGCAGCATATATATTCGATATCTAAATGATCAAACTGGTTGGTGAGTCACCATATATTTTATGGACTGGCCATAACAATCCAGACATCAATCAATCGAGACTTCCCAGTCGACTCAACCAAATTCAAGATCACATGCCCGCTGTCAACAACTCACCTGGCGACAGAGGAAACGACGTTAGACATACACGTCACCACACGTCAAACGAGTGACGTGGGCAACCAAGAACGACCATGTACATGTATGGTTTGAGTTGGGAATGGACATCTTATTGTGTCCACTCAATCAATCATCCAACCAACTACAATACTATTGTAAAGTAAAGCACTCAACAGCACTCGCTCACTCATCCATCACATCGATGGATGATTGCAAGATTGTTATATGAACGAAACGTAGTCAGTTATATTATATGTATCCTTCTCTCGGAAACGACGTCTTTGTTATAATCAATCATATCCCAGTTCTCATAACATCCCAAACCAAGAGGATAATTATGATGGATGAGGAGCATGGGCGAGAGTCCCACTTCCCACAATCATGATACCTCTCATCAGCTACGTTGCTGCTTTTTGTCCATTCGTTTGTCGTACTCTAGAGGATATTGATATTATATTATCTCTTTAGTTCACATGATTGTGATGTTGACGATGATGATCACATGCCAAAGATGACAACATTGGGTTGACTGATCAGAGTGACCCACAAACCATGGCCCCAACAGAACCACCACCACATCATAAAAGACAAGAGTGGTGGTCTCATTGCACACGTTTTCACTCACTTGCTGTGATCTATTCTTTGTGTTTGATTGCATGAAAAGTATGACAGCCAATTAGAAAGCACATCAAAACCTCCTTCACCTTTTCCAAGTTCTCTGCCATTAATAAAATCAATCAGTTTGATGACACACACTCAACAAACACACACATCCGTTGCCTACACTACCACCACCACTAATTTACCTCCTAAACAGGGATAGAGCTCAAAGAAACGCATCGCATACCCTACTACCCTACCCTTTAGTTAGTTAGTTACTACCCCGCCTAGGACACTGACACTGACTCAACAAACAAGATAGAGAGAGAACTTACAGGCAGACACAAACCTGGACCACATTCCAATTCTACACTCTCTCCCTCCCTCACTTCAGTACACACACACACATACACACGTACATACCTGTTGCTAAAGAGAGGCTGACTCAGCAAGGCTCGTCGATACACCCCACCACACCACTTATACACTCACACATATACATACACGTTATAGATATACATACACACACACATATAATTATATATATATTACTGTAATTGTAACATAGGCAGTGAGGATAGGATTAAAGGATAGATAGATAGAGGAGGATTAAGAGTGTGCTGTTAACAATACCATCATCGTCATCACCTCATCTCACTCACTCATTCACTCATTCACTCTCACACACACACACTCACTCAATCTTAATCAACTCATCTCATTTCGACTCAACTCAGTCAGTCAGTCAATCGACAACAAGAGCAACAACAAGCATCCTACAACCTCCCAAAGGTTGACATCCTATCAACCTTCACAACAATCATCCATCTGTCAATCAATTATCTTAAAGAGGATAACTTTGTACCCTTTATAAATAGACCATATCACATCACTCTCAATCAATCAACATAATCATACATATCATATATAATATCTTTTAAATACATATATATATATACATACTGTACTATCAACCATATCATTATAATGAGTTGTGCAATTGAACAACAGAATGTATTGTTGGCAACAGACTTAAACAAACAGCATATGGATGATGATCAAGAGCAGCAAGAACAACAGCAGCAACAGCAACAGCAACAGATTCGAATGGCACAACATCATCATCATCTACATCATTCTGCACCCTCATTGTCAATACCTCTGGAGGATTCCAATCACGATGTCAACAATGTCAATTCATCTTCAACAAATCTAATCGATGAGAACAACACTGAAGTGTCGGCCACGGCCAGATCATCGGACATTGTTCACGAGAATGTACATCAAAGTGACGACGCTCGAGAGGAAGAGGAGGAGGCCAATGTCGAGGAGGATGTTCACCAAGACACAATGGTTCATACAGTTCAAGAAGTGGATGAACAACAAGAGTTGGAGGAGGATGATGACGGGCAGCACTATGAGTCGGAGTCCGAGTCAGAGGAGAATGAGGAAGAACCATCGACTTGCGATGCATCAACAACAATAGAGGATGAAGGTAGTGAACAGCTTCCAACAACATCTTTGGAGCCACCACCACCAATAGCAAGTGGGGATCTTGTCAAAGATGATGACGGCAAACCTGCCACAGAGGAGAGCAAGGAGATAATGCTGGAATGTGAATGGGTGTTCTATTACGACGAAGGTGCTCCCAAGGGATCAACATGCGAGAACTACCAATCCTATGTAAAGAACTTAGGTTCCTTTAACTCTGTTCAGGTATGTTTATCCACGCAGTTGCGTGTGGACAAGTCTGGCCGGCGCCTCATACTTATAGTCAATCAATCAATCAATCAATAATAGGGATTCTGGAGATATTGGAACAACTTACTTGATGTATCACTACTGCCGCAGAATGCCAATCTTCGTCTGTTTAAGAGTGGAGTCGATCCAACATGGGAGGACCCAGCCAATCAGAACGGTGGCAAGTGGACACTCATGTGTTCACCTGATCAAGCAAGTAACATTGTCATGCGTACAATTCTGACGTTGATAGGAGAGCAACTGGAATATAGTACAGATATTGTAAGTACAGTGATTGATTGATTGAATGAATGATGATGGGTCGACTTACTAACAATATGTCCATCAATGCGCGCCATTCTTTAGTGTGGATTCGTCCTGTCCGTGCGTCCAAACAGACATGTAGTCAATATTTGGAACAAGACTGGCGATAACCAGGAGATTATCGATAGGACTTCATCAGAGTTGTCAAGCTTTATACTGGGCAAGTCGTTTAAGTATCAGGCGCACAAGTATGCAATGTCGCCACAGACACCCAAGCGAGAGTTGTCTTCGCCAAAGTTATATCTAGAGGATGGTGCCACGCCGGCCACTCCAACCAGGACCGACTCACCACCTTCACCATTGGTGGGCCAGTCGCCATCCGTCCGTCACAAGCCCAAGGACTACTCCATCCACAAGAAGAGTCAATCAACGCCTTCACTACAATTTGTATCACTAAAGACATCGACAAACAGCATCACCAGCAACAACAACAGCCACCACTTCAAGTCAACTCCACAACTCAAGTACTCAAACTCCTCTTTGGTCAACTCGTCAGCAGCAGACCTTATCCCATCGCCCAGTCCCAGTCGTCACAACAACAGCAATGGATACGCCGGCAATGGTAATGGCAGCAGTAATCATCGAACATATGATCGCAATCAGTCTACACAGCAACAACAGCATCCATCGACGCCTGGCTCAGGATACAAACGAAAGGAGTATCCTAGGTCGCTCAGTGGTAGCTTCAATAGATCAACAGAGCCCAGTGGAGATAATCTACATCAAATGTTACTGCAACAGCAAAGGCCAAAGCAGCAACAGCAGCAGCAACAATCACCACCAATGGCAGAGGCCACAACTCCGTCCCCTTCCCCATTATCATCATCTCAATCAACCACCGATCAACAACAACAACAGCTTCAGGAACAACAGGCTTCAAGTAGCATTGTGGTCCATCGAGAAGCTGACAAGAATGTCGTTGAGCAGGTAGCAAAGGATGTTCAGGTTCAGCCAGACGTACAGCATGTAAARGGAGCAACAAAAAGTACTTCAGCARGGACAAGGAGCAACAGCAGCAAGAGGAGGTTGGTGGATTGAGGACCTTCTTAAAGGACTCTGTCGAGGAGTTGGAGTCATCGCCCAGTACAATGGCCGAGGACTCATTGGAGAACACAACAAGCGAGACAGACTCACACCAAGACGAGTCCCAACAGTCAGACTATGGCAGCAACATGTCCACTGATCAGGCACTTGGCGTATCACTCTTGGGCAAGCAGTCATCCTCCTCGCTGATGACCAACAGGAAGAAGAAGAGCAGCAAGTCAGTGCCAGGATCTGCCTCGTCGTCCAAGGGCAAGTCGGCTCGCAGCCAACAGCACAACCACCACAAGAACAACCAACACTCCCGATACTCCGCGTCCGTCTCGGTCACCAAAGAGAAGAGCACCTCTCTCCTCGTCCTGTGTAAAGAGCATTTCATCATCATATCGATGTTATTGGCCATTCCAATTATCACAATCATCCTTCAAAGGAACTACTAGTTAGTTAGTTGGTCATTGGTCAAGATAGTTGGTGCTCATTGACTGGTTGAGCAGTACCTCATCCATCTCGTCACCAACTCTATCATCCCAACTCTCTCCCCATTCCCAACCCTTACCCTATGTTCATTAAACTGTCAACATCAGCCTCCCCTCCTTAGCAGTATCGTAGTTATTATAATACATTCTTTATTCCTCTTGGTCGTCATCCTCCAAGTAAGCATCACCATCATCATCAACATCATCTTCATCTTCATCATCACCATCCTCACCAGGGTATACGTAATCATTCTCGATATGAGAAGCCTTTCGCTTGGTGCAGGCAGCAACAGCAGTGTTGAATGCCGACCTCCTTGGCTTGCCAGAAGGTGGGGCAGTAGTTTGATTGGCTTGGTGTTTCTTGTCCTCTATCTTCTTCCTAAGTATGAATGGCGTGGTCTTCTTTGTTGGTGGACGTATCACCTCTTCTTCTTCTTCAACCTCCTCCGCCCCATCATCCTCTTCCTCAAGCTCATTACGAGCTGATGATCTGTTATTTTTTATCGCCACCATCCTCTTTGCATCTATATTGTTGTAATGTTAGTAATGATCGGTGGACAACAACAGTCCCTCCTTCCATTCATTCATTCATTCATACATACTCGGTAGATAAGTGATCAAGTATGAAATGAATCCATATCTGATCAAACTTCGGTACAGGTCTAGATGGCAGAAGGAGCAGAAGTAGAGGTATGGAACTTTGTCTGGATCAACGGTGCTCCAATTGGGAACAATGCCTTTGATCCGAAAGTATCCAGTCGGGACAACCCTGCATCCTTCAATGTGGCAACCAGGAGCGCCTATCTTTGGCTTGGATGGTTTCCAGGCTGGATCCTCGAGTGGCCCAACGCCATTCAGTTGTAGTAGCTGTTTGAATGTGTCGTCCTCTCTAAAGTGTGTCTTGCGACAAAGGAAGTACTCGTAGTCACCGAAGCAAATGTAAAGGTTGTCCGCAAAGTGGAAGCTTTGCCTGGCACAGAGCTTTTTGTGATGGTTGACGATGTGTGACACTATGCACTTTGTCGTCCTGAGGTTCTCAACCTTGGATATGATAGGCATTTGCGCTTCTGCTAGACCAGACACTTCATTGATTGGTGGAACTACCATTTGTGGTTGCCGTTGTGGTTGTGGTTGTGGAGGAGGAGGAGAAGGAGGAGGAGGAGGTATTGGGTTGTTGACAAGGACTGGTATTGATGATTGTATCGATGATGCAGGTGCAGCTGGCACTGGCTGAACAGATGATGATGGTGATGGCTTGCCATTATGGCCAACTGCTTTGGATAGCCTCTTGACAAGCTTGTGGCAATTGGGAGGAATGTAGATGACACCCTCCTCGCGGTTGTCTAGACGAGTGGTGAACTCTAGGTCGCAGGACATGTTCTTCATTTGTTTCAAATGAATGAAGAAGCATTGTAGTATATGACTGCTCTCTGTATATAAGTTTATAACTTGTTCACAAAAGGAACATATTCCACTTGGATTCCTTGACAACCTATCCTTTATCTTTGCTTCAACAATATCCATATCTCACTCTCTTTCTCTCTTACTGCCTAGTTGTATAATACTGTAAATGAACATTATCACATTCGGTCAATCAAATAACCTTCACAATGAACGAAAGTGATCAAAAATATCTGGTTTCGTTGTCGTTATCATCTTCACTTCAATTGCAATCAACCTCTAGGTAAATATAATACATTCAACTTCATTCTCATTCAATCACTCTGTCTAGTTATCATCATCATCACTTTCGCTTGGCTCATAGTCTTCATCGTCGTCATCGTCTTCTGAGGATTCATCATCAGTGTAATCTGGATGAGAATAGCCTTTCGCTTCCGACATGATGAAGCAAGCTGTAGCAACAGAGTTGGAAAACCTCCTTGACTTGGCAGCAGCTAAAGACGAAACAGTAGTTTGTTTGGCCAGTTGTTGTTGTTGTTGTTGTTGTTCTACTGGTCGCTTGTCCTCAATCCTCCTCTTCCTATGTATGAATGGACGTACCACTACCTTCAGGTCCTCAACCACTTCCTCTTCCACCTCCTCTTCCACCTCCTCCTCCTCAGCCTCGGTCGAACGAACACCTCTTCTTCTTATCACCTTTTCCCTGCAGTTGTTGTTGGACGATGTGCTTCTAAGGTAGGGTGCACCATCGGTGGCAGAGGAGTAGAGGGCGCAGGGTTGACCGTGACCAATGATGAGTTAGACAGTTCAACTGATGATGGCTTGACATACTGTCCCACAGCTTTGTATTGCCTCTTGACAAGCTTGTGGCACCCTCCTCACGGTTGTCTAGACGGGTGGTGAACTCCAAGTTGTATGATATATTCCTCATCTGTTTCAAATGAATAAAGAAACATTGTAATATATGATTGCTATCAATATACAAGTTTATAACTTGTTCACAATATGGACATATTCCATTTGGATTCTTTGTCAGTCTCTCCTTTATCTTTGATTCTATAATTTCCATCTCTTTACTTTCTCTCTATCTCTATCTCTCTATCTTTGAATAAATATATGAATTAAAGGATGAATGGATGAATGGATGAGTTAATGGATGAGAATCAATAACGAGAACCACTATCTCTTTACAATCATTATTGTTCTGTCAATCAATCAATCCAGTTTGCAAAAAAGGTGAAAGACACAACTCATCTCACTCGCTCATTTTTAAACATTGTTGTGCATATTTATTCATACTTCTCATCTCATCGATCAATCAATCAGTCAATCACTCTATCACTCAATGACTACTTGACTCTATTAGTAGTCAACATCATCTTCATCACTTGGAATATAGTCAATGTCGTCATCAATATCCTCATATTCTGAGGTGTCATCGTCATCATCATCATCATACTCTTCATCATCAGTGTTATCACCATCGGAATCAATGAGAATAGACTTTCTCTTCCTACAGTTATCAATAGCATTGTTGAATGCATTCCTCCTTGTCTTGCCTGCAGCCACAGATGAAACTGTTGTGTGTTGGGCCTTTTGTTGTTGTTGTTGTTGTTGTTGTTGTAGTAGTGCCTGCCTACTCACAAACACTATTCTGGACTTCTTTGTAGGTGGATGTACAACTTGATCAGCTATATCCTCTTCAACCTCTGGCTGAACTGCGGGTAGAGTTCTTCTACCTTTGCCGGCAACTCTATTCTTTGCGTCTTTATAATTGGTTGATAAATCAGTTAGAATATGATGTTAAACAGCAGTAGTATCATCCATTTCATACATACTCGGGAGATATGTCATCAAGTAGGTCATAAATCCATATCGTATCATGCTGCGATAGAGGTTTAGATGGGAGAAGGAGCAGAAGTAGAGGTATGGAACTTTGTCTGGTTCAACGTTGCTCCATTTGGGAACTACGCCTTTGATTCGATAGTATCCCGACGGTCCAACTGCACATCCTTCAATGTGGCAACCATGATTGCCCACCTTCTCCTTGGATGGTTTCCATCCCGGGTCCTCCTGGGTGCACCCAATCACCTTTACTAGCTGTTGGAAGACGTTGTCCAGGACAAAGTGTGACTTCTTACAGAGGAAGTACTCATTGGGACCAAAGCAAAGGTAAAGGTTGCTCTGGAAATCGTAGCAATTGGATTTACAAAGTTGATGAGGGTTGTAAATGTGAGACACTTCGCACCTTTTCACTTTGCTCTCAACCTTGGGGACAGACACTGGTGCTACTGGACCTGGTAGTTCAATGGTTTTGGCTTCCTTTGTTGGTGGAAGAGGTGGTAGTTGGTTGGCCACTAGTTCAACCTTTGGAGGATTGACATCCTGGTTGACGGCTTTGGATAGACTCTTGATTAGTTTGTGACAGTTGGGCGGGATGTAGATGACATTGTCTTGGCGGTTGTCTAGACGGGTGGTGAACTCCAAGTTGTAGGACATATTCTTCATTTGTTTCAAATGAATGAAGAAGCATTGCAATATATGATTGCTATCAATATACAAGTTTATAACTTGTTCACAATAAGGACATATTCCATTTGGATTCTTTGTCAACCTCTCCTTTATCTTTACTTCAACTATCTCCATATCTTATTCTCTCTCTCTCTTTCTATCTTGTCTTTCTATCTCTTTATATAAATATTTGTAGTTGTTGTTGTTTTAACAATTGTTTATGTTGTTGTTGATGTATATTTATAATGCTAATGCCAAGTGCAATTTCATGCATGATGTATGTGGATACCAATTCAGTCATTGTGTCAATCAATCTGTCAATCATCCTCTCCAGTCAATCATTCTGTCAATCATTCAATCCAGTGGCTGCCACCCCCACATTTATGGTGAACAGACTTTGCATCATTAATGAAAAAGATCTGAAGTTCTGTCTTTTGATTCATGAATGAATCCAAGAAAATAGATTGAATGAGTGAAGATGAGGCACCAATTAATCATCCTTTCATTAGTTAGTTACATAATACTATTATTATTATTATTATTTATATACAAATACAGATAACTTATATCAATCAATCAAAATAAGAATGACTGATACAGAGAAATACGATCGTCAACTTAGACTCTGGGGAGAGGAAGGTCAAGCTACACTTGAGAAGTCACACATCTGTCTAATCAATGGCACTGCAACAGGCACAGAGACTCTGAAGAACCTGGTCCTCCCAGGTATGTCATCGTTATCAACATCATCACCAACTCAACAACTAACTCATGATCATGAATGAATGAATAGGAATTGGAGCATTCACAGTAGTAGATGGACAGAAGGTCACTGCCTCTGATCTGGGCAACAACTTCTTTTTGGATCAATCTTGCATTGGTCAACCAAGAGCACAAAAGGTGACAGAGTTTCTTAGAGAGTTGAACGATCGTGTCAAGGGATTCTCTTGTGACGAAGATCCCATCCAGCTTATCAACGAGAAGATCAGCTTCTTCAAGGACTTTGACTTGGTCATTGCCAACCGTCTACCAGAGTCAGCTCTCCTCACCCTGGCACAATACCTCTGGGGTCTCAACATCCCCCTCGTCGTAGTCTCTGCCTATGGATACATTGGTTACCTTAGATTGGCTGCTCCAGAGCATGCAAGTGAGTAGTCCTCAAGATAAGTGTGTAGTCTCGCCACCTTACTAACTCAATACTTACCAAACATAACCATAGTTATCGAGTCCAAGCCAGATACACCATTGGATGACTTGAGAATCTACAATCCATTCAAGGAGGTGGAGGTGTTGGCTGATGAGTTGAAGTTGGAAGGTCTCAACTCACACGAGCACGGACATGTGCCATACATCTTGTTGATGATCTACTTCTTGAAGAGGTGGAGAAACGAGAAGTCCAACGGCAAGATGCCAGAGACCAGAGCCGAGAAGGAGGAGTTCAAGCAGTTCTTCATCTCGCACTCGAGAAACTACCACGACGAGCTGAACTTTAGAGAGGGAGTGCAGGGACTCTGGAAGGCTTTGCAGCCACCATCAATCTCGTCCGACATCAAGGACATTCTGAACGACGCCAACGCTGCCAACATCACCGAGACCTCCACCGACTTTTGGGTGTTGGTCGCTGCCCTCAAGAAGTTTGTCGAGGTGCACGGTGTGATGCCCCTCCAAGGCAACATCCCAGACATCACCGCCGACACGGTCAGCTATGTCAACCTGCAACAGATCTATCACGACAAGGCACTTGCCGACCTCGATGAGTTCACCGCCAAGGTGTCAGCGATCGTTTCAGCCGCAGGCCGCTCATCGGTCCCAGCCGAGCTGATCAAGAAGTTCTGCAAGAACTCCAGGTTCTTGTGTCTGATCAGATACAGGTCGTTGGCTGAGGAGCACGCGTCGCCCAAGTCGGCCACGCTCGTGTCGGACCTGGAGCAGCCAGATTCCAACCTTGTATTCTATATCCTGTTGCGTGGCGTCGAGCGATTCTACCAGACCTACAACAGATACCCTGGATTCAACGATGAGGACGTCGAGGGTGACATTGCGCTGCTAAAGAACAGTCTCTCCACGCTGCTCACCGAGCTCTCGGTGCCATCCCAGCTGATCAAGGATGAGTACATCACTGAAATCACTCGCTATGGCAGCTGTGAGCTGCACAACATTGCCTCGCTGATGGGTGGCGTCGCTTCACAGGAGATCATCAAGCTGATCACTCACCAGTACGTCCCCTTGAACAACTCTTTCATCTTTAATGGAATCAACAGCACTGCCAACAACTACTCATTGTAAACAACTCTCAATCCTTTCATTCATTCAATGCAATCCACATGACATACCAATCCAACGAGTGGCAGTATCATTCAAATAAATCATTCCCATGAAGGTTGTCTATTACGTAATGGTAATGGTAAGGGCAAGGGCAAGGGCAAGGGTTAGGGCAGGGGTTAGGGTATATTTACAAGTAAGAATCTAGAAAGTGATGACTCATCTTTTCCAGTCACATGATCATCCTATCAGTGTAATCATTTTACATCTTTTGTCCAACAATCATATATTCAATCAATCAAACTGGAACTATTCCAATCAATCACTCTCACTCACTCTATCACTCAACCAATCAATCCCTCCTCATTCAACCAATGCCATCATTCAAAATTGATCTGATCAACATTATATTATTGAGTCTCTTGGCATTCACATGGTTCCTTTATATTTGGTTGGTACCAAGTAACTTTGATACAATGCCAGCTATATATAAGATGATCAGTATTGGTATAAAAAACGATACCAAAGGATACTATTATGAGACATATGGATTAATTCTATACCTATTCTTCCTATTCTGTTACATGGTATTGTTCCCAATCACTCTATACCATTCATTCCATCTCACTGTACAACCTGGCGGTGTACTATTCAACAATAACATACATGGAAGAAATATGATGGCACCTTTAATAACATTATACAGACAAGGCTCTGTATACAAGGTGTTTGGAGTCAAGTTCAATCGATCACAACTTATACAGAACTATCAATCTGTAGTCAGACTTCATATTTTGTCATTTATAATGACATACCATTCGTACTACCTCCTTAGAACATACTCGACAACTCCCTATCCACTATCAATGTTCAATCCATTGCCATTCCTCCTCTACTTCTTCAACAAAATGATACTCAAAGCCAATCATTCTCAAGGTCACATGAAGGAGTTTCCTACACTACCTTCATCATCATATAAGAAGTAAAGTTAACAACATGATCGATCCTTTGATCCTTTATGGTATATTTAATGTACAAACACTTGTTGTTATCACTTGGGGACAACAGTGGGCATTGATGGCTTGGCATTCTCCAAGGACAGCATGTCAATGGGATGGATAACACCACCATTGTGGACATAGTTGAACCAGATGCTTGGCTCTTTGCCTCGTAGTTGTAGAGTGGATAGATCGTCAGCAGACACGTAGGCAGCACCAAGTGATTCGTAGTCTGGTACAGTCTTGGGCAGCTGATCATCGTCCACAGGCTCGCCATAGAAGATCAGACGTAGTCGCGAGTATCCTCGATGTGGCGAGTACTCAAAGCGAAGTATACCCTTGATCTCCACGTCGATACCGGCTTCCTCTTTGGTCTCGCGAACTGCCGCCGTTTGGAGTGATTCGCCAATGTTGACGCGGCCTCCTGGTAGCCACCAGCCCATCTTTGCCACCTCGTGCACAAGAAGGAATCTTCCATCACGTCGTCGTCGCACCACTACAAGACAGAAAGGGTAGACAGTGCTGAGTGACATCTCCTTCTCATTGTGCGCGCCAGGTGGCGCATGATCATTGAACAGATGGAAACCAATGCGTGCTGGTTGTTCCTTGCATATTGGACACTTTGGAATCTTCTTGGCGATCTCGTTGAAGTCCTCTGAAGGGTGGAATAGGAATATATGCTCCTTGATGTCCTCACTATCCAGTTGAGTGGCCAGACCACCCTCCCTACACATTGGACACGAGTACTTGCCACTTACACGCATAGTCGTTCTCATTGCGCCCATTACATGAAGGATATCATGTACACTGAGGGAGTGATAGAGGGAAGTCAGTCAAAGTCAGCATTACGTTGTATAGTAGCAACTCCGACCCAAACTTACTTGTTGGTGGCCATTGATGCGCCAGCAGTTAGGAGACGCGACGACTCTTGTGAGAAGCGAATGTCACCGCCGGCACGCTGGGATGGGTCGAGATAGACGAGGACAAACGATGGCATTTTACGTTTGGTCCTAATGTCGCTGAGACATTCCAACGTGGAATCAATCTGATCGGTTGTACAATGAATGACGATCATTACAATTGGATAGTCTGCATCATATTGATTGAGTGCCTGAGGTATATCAACCAATGTATTCACACTGAGTATAGTATGTCTACCATTCTCACATATCTCTTTAACAATAGTCTGTTCGTCTTGTTTGAATAGTAATGCACCACCAGTTGTACTTTGTATTAGAATCGTACTCTTTGTGAACTCCATGTTATCTTTGTTTGTTCTTGTTGTCACAGATAATAAGCTATTATTAATTAATCAACAAGTTGATCGAAGAGACACTTTTGAAGTTGTTGTGATGGGAAGGGGTTGTGTCATTGTGTTCCTCGACCTCTGGATCTGAATAGTTTCCGAGATAATCTTGTGGGATCACACAACATTGTGAATATGATTGATTGATTGTTTGAATGATTGAGTAGATATATTCTTTGATACAGATAAGGTTGATATTTGTTAAAGTGGAACTACAATTATAGAGTCGTGAGGTGACAGGTCCTTCAAAGTCAACACACACTTGACCACTTCACAATGAAAGGGTTCTTGAGTGCAATGTTTGCCATAAACAGTGTGTGTTGGTCATTTTGGTCTGCAAGATAGATAGTTTGACAATCTGCGATCTTCGTACAAATACATAATATATAGAGATAGATATACATATATAAATTAATAAAGAAACAAAGACAACATATATATATATATAAGGTGACCGACTCAACCCAATTGTTGTGTCATTCAATCAATCATTCAATCATTGAGGAACAATAACAACAATATATAATGAATAGAAGTACCAATAGCTTAAATAGTAGTAGCAATGGCACAATGAAACGTACAGAGAGTGATGTGGACCTATTCTCAATCACATCAAACTTGAACACTCTTTCATCAGTGTCTCAGTTGTTGTCAGCCCGTAAGGGTAACAAACACTCCTACTTCAATGAGATTACGCCTGAGCAGGTATGTAGTCCAGTCCAGACATACACATCTGTATCTTCCATCAATCACTGACACACAATATGTATATATAGGTCGAGAAGATCAATCGAACGATAGACAGGATTGACCCTGAGTACTTTAAGGAGGACTTTAACATTGGATACCTATTGGATCAGGTCGACAAAGACTCAACCATTGACGGCATCGACCAGCTGTCTGTAAAGATATATGGCTTCTATGAAGCAATCGACTCCAAGTTCAATGGACTTATCATGAAGAGTTATAACAGTTTTGGTATGATTGATCATTGATTGATTGGTGCACCATAATCATCATCAGCTGACACAAACAAACGATACAACCATACAGTTGAAGGCATGTCACAGGTATATGAGATCGAGAAGGACCTGGCACACTCGGCTGTCATGTGCAAGTCTGGCAAACACTACCTGAACGAGGTACAGAAGGACTTGACAGCATTTGGATTCATCTTGCTGCAGAAGTATCGTAAGAAGCAGATATATCAATACCTACATCAAGAGATCGAGAAGATTAGAGACATCAACAATGCAACAAAGAAGGTCGATCGACTTCTAGAGATTCACGACTTCCCCAACGCCATCCTCTACAGCCAGACCTCAAACAAAACCATTCTCTCCTCTGCCCACTACACCTGTATATCAAACATCACTTCAAGCTTCCAGGTATGTCATCGTCGTCACATTTTGATTGACGGCTCGATTGAATGACTGACACAGCTCCCTCACTCAGTCGAACCAAATGGGCATCATCGACAAGATTGACTCGACATTCACAGAGATATGTCACAACTTCAATGAGAACACGTTTGAGAAGATCATGCGTGGCTATCTCTATTTGCAACAGAAACAACATCTAAAGGATAGGGTACACCAGAACTTCATCCTAAACATCGAGGATCACACCAGGAAGATACTAAGGTCACACCTTTATAACAATTATACTCGACCCGAGGAGCTCAACTCGTAAGTCACATTGATTGATTGAAGTGACACCATGTGTCCTCGTATCTCTAACCCTCTCCATTCATCCAGGATGAAGTTTGTAGATATATGTGGAGTGCTGAAGGAGGACCATTATGTGATATCATTGTTGGCCATTCTGGAGCATCTTTCAGACTTGATGTGCGCTCACTATCGAATGAGAATCACCATACTAAAGATGATCAAGTACGTTTGAAACATGGACAGCAGGGGCTCATCATCTGGACTAACATCATCAATCACTTCTGGAACAACATAGGAATGCAGAGGAGAATGAAGAGAAGGAGTTTTATATAGAGATATTGAAGCTACTGAGTAATAACAAGAAGCAGATGTGGAACTCGATTCAGAACCAAGTGAAGCACTTGCTCAGTGCATGTAAGACTACATTCAAGGTATGTTTGTTCGATCAATCAATCGAGACAAGTCACAATCATACTCACACTCAACCAAACAGATTGAAGAGTTCATCAAGGTACTACAATCAATCAATCAGTTCATTGAAGTTGGACATGAGTTCTCAAGCTCGACAGAGGAATCGAATATCCTGCGGACGGCAATGAAGGAGAAGTCGCTGGGCTACTTTGAGAACTTCCACAAGAACACAATCGAGAACCTCAAGGTCATGCTGGAGAATGAGATGTGGCAAAAGATATTGCTGCCAAACAACTATACTGTGTTGGACATTCAAGAGTTTGGCGCTGTTATCTCTGCATCCACTGTGCCAGGAGGCGCAAACTCCTCGGCCACATCGACAGCTACCTCCACACCCATGCTACTGCTCTCACCATACCTGGCCTTGAACGCTGCGGCAGACAAACACATCAGTTTGGAATTGGACGACCATCGCAGCGAATTCTTTGAGCAGTTCATCAAGGATGGCAACCCATTCCTCATCAAGGAGGGCAGGAAGACCCTGTCCGAGGCCGCTGGCGATCGTATATCAAGCAGCAGCAATGGTGGCAACGCACTCAATGGACACGGCGAGAGCAGCAGCGACTCGTCTTCGGGCAGCACCACAACTAGCTCGCCCAACATCTCGGCCATCACAGTCAACGTCATTCGTCTGATTGGAAAGTACTTGCAGATGATGAAGATCCTTCGCCAGCTCTCTTATCTCATCTTCACGGCCATCTCCCATCTTCTCGAATACTATGTATACACAGTGTTTGTATTCTTTGGCGAGTGCAACAATCCCAACCTCTTTGAGCAGGACACATTTGCCAATGTCAGTCCAGTGCTCAAGAAGACCATGCAGCGCTTGAAGCTCAAGTTTGTCGGACAGACACCTCCACAGACCTCGATGTTGAACACCACCCATCTGTTCCAATCGAAGCTCTCATCTTCGCCAATATCACTTCGTGGCTCTTCCGATCACTCCAAGTCACCGCCTACACTCTCATCACTGGGTGCCACTGGCAGTTCAGGCAACAATGCAAGTGGCAACAGCATCACTGACGACTCAATCTCAATCCAATGGTCGATGCCCAAGCTATCACCAGAGATCGACCTTGCTCAACCTCGTTCACTCGAATGTCGTGTCGTTGGTCTAGAATCAATGATGTTCTTGGTTGAGGCAATCATGGAAGCACAGCCATTAGTATTGGTATGTTTAGTCATTATCCATCAATCAATCATTCTCTTGTAGACTAACATGTCCTTATCCAACATCAGAGTCTGGTACCAGCTGAGAAGGCAGAGTCTATACATCTATTCTATTCCGAGACAGTCAGTGTCATCAGTGCACTAAGGAATCTATGCTACAAGAACATTGCTATCAAGTCACTAAAGGTAACCTTCCAAGAGTGTCCACGCTACAATTCCATGCATTCACTAACTCAATCAATCAATCAATCAACAAACTAGATGGACCCGAACAACTTGATCAATATTGTAGCCAATGATACACGTTGGGAACTCAAGGACGCACCACCCAATCCAAGCCCTTATGTCAATATGATATTCAAGCTACTGCACTTCTTCAATGGAATGTTGGACGAGGTGGAGAAGAAGAGTGGCGTGCTGACACAGAAGGTCAAGAATGTGCTGTGGGAGAACGCTGTGATCTATGTGATGGAGACATTGATCGACTCATACTCCAAGATCAAGAAGTGCAACAATCATGGTAGAACTCTGATGACGATGGATCTGAAGGAGCTTCAGTCCAGTCTGGAGATCGTGTCGGCCATCAAGCCAATCCCCCATCTACAACACGTTGACAAGTATATCAAGGCGTACTTCCTGCCCGACAGCGACATCTTTAACCTGGCACGTGACTCTGAGTTCAGTGTACGACAGGTGATTGGAGTGGTCAACGTTGCCAATCATCTCAAGAAGCAACAGAAGCAGAAGCTGATATCCGACCTCGAGGAGCTTGAGAAGCAGAGGAAGTCTGACGCATTCAGATAGTTATCAAGTTAGTTGGATGGATGGATTACAACAAACAGGTTGTTAGTTTGTTGAATAGATAGAATAAATCTATTTATTGGCAACAATGATATGTCCATAGATTGGAGCATGGCTTTGGAACCCATCAATCAATCCATCGCCTCGCTCACTCACATCCACTTCAAAGTGCCAACACTTTGTAACCAACACTACACAAAGTTAAAGATAGAGATAGAGATAAAGGGAATGGTATTGAGTATAGAGCTATACAGAGGAGTGTTCAGAAGTATATACCTACGTAATAAGGTATTCCAACATGTTGTTAATATACATAGACTGTTATGTGGAGGTCAAGACTCTTCTCAATCCCATTCTCAATCACATCAACAACGTCGTCGTAGAACATTACAATACAATCAGATTGATAGTGCACAATGGATGATACATAATGGATATATAGAACTACTCATTGATAAGATAATGAATACAAGACATCGTGTATACTTCTCAACAAACTCAATAAGATGGCTACTCAAGAATCATCATACTCTTTCGACAACAACACTCATTCAATCATTGTATCAATGTAATAGTTGGCTGTTTAGTACGCAACAGATTGATGTAGCAGAGAGTATATGTGCAGGTGGCTCACTAGAGCTACTGCGCTTCTTTGTCGAACAACATCGCTATCCGATCTCATCATCAAGTCTTGAAATGGCTGCATCAAACGGTCATCTGAACATCATTCAACACCTAGTCAACCAACACACAACAGTTAGATGTACACCATACTGCTACGAAGCTGCTGCGGCACGCGGCCACCTGGACATCATCAAGCTGCTACACTCCAAAAGCAACATCAAGCCATCAACTCAATCATTGGATGTTGCCGCACAGAATGGTCATCTCGATGTGGTTCGCTACCTCTTGCTTCACGCACATGTCACCCCAACATCACGTGCCACAGACTTGGCGGTTGCCAATGGTCATCTTGAAACGGCACGCTTCCTCCTGAACAATGTCAACCTGTTCTCAAGTATGCTGCCTGTATACGCTTGCCAGAGTGGCTCGATGGACTTGGTCAAAGACTGCAACAACCTGGGCAATCGAGTCAAGTTCACCACTGCGTGCATGGATGTAGCACCCTCACTCGAGATCATTCGTTATCTACATCACAATCGCCCTGAAGGGTGCACCTTTGTTTGTTTCGACAATGCCGTCAGCAGGGCTGACATTGACAGTGTCGTCTTCCTCTTTGAGCGCTACGACAACCTGTTGACATTGCCACTGATCAACAAACTGCTCTTCCGTGCTGGCACTAAAGGTCTGGTCGACATCATGGCGTACATTCACCAAAAGGCAATAAGTAAGGGCGATCTCAATGGCATGGTCGTGCCATGGACATCCTTGTTGATGGAGAATCAATCGTTGGCAGTCATCGAGCTGCTGCACAACCTCTCGATCCCAGGCTGCAGGGACACTACAATGGCCGAGGCTGCACTACATGGCTCATTGGACATTGTCCAATTCTTGAATGAGAAACGAACAGAGAGCACAAACATCAGTGCGATTAACAACGCAGCCAAGAATGGCCATCTCCATATCGTCGATTACCTCCATCGCAATCGAACTGAACAATGTAGCGAGAGGGCATTGCACGACGCCGCTGCCAATGGTCACCTGCGCGTCGTTGAGTACCTTTTGGCCAACAACATGGTGCATCCCAATCAGAAATCATTAGAGGCTGCCATACGAGGAGGCGACATTGGCATTGTAGAAAAGATAATGGAACACAATCAGAACATTCGACTCACGATCAAGATTGTCGAGAGCTGTCTGCTGCATGTACTGCAGCACGCAAATGTACCAATGTTCAAGTGGTTGCTGGATCGCACTGGTTTTGAGGTGTTGAACCAGCCCCTGTTCAATCAATTCATCGCGACGATATTGGAACTGGGATTGGAAGAAGAGACAATTCAATATCTCTACAAGTTCAATGAGCAGTTCCAAGACATTGACGTGGCCTCATTGGTGGTCTCTGAGCGAACATTCCTGTCCACAGTAGAGTACCTCTATCAACATTTCACAGTGACTACCTCTCGATCCAATCCAATTGAATCATTACGCAATACACTAAAGAAGAGAGTGGGGCAATTTACATGAATAATCATTGATTGATAGGTGACTTTATTATTAATTAGTGCACTGCTTGAGACAATGAGTCAAACGGTTTTGGCAAACTGGTGGTTTGATTATGCATTCTTTAAAAGCATTTTGGCAATCCTAATAAAAGAAATAATGTTAATATTATTAATAATTATTATTATCCTTGGATTGATTGATTAATATACATACATCCAAACAAGAATTTGTTATTCCTACAACAAAGGTGGAACATAATCCAAGTACAACAAGTACAATGAATATGAATTTAAAGGTATTCATGATTGTGATTAATTAATTAAAGATAGTTTGTTTGATATATTATTATTATCCTATTCCAAATGTATCCATTTATAATCATTCTACGTCATGATAGTCAGATTGATTTCCAAATTGAATGGAATTGTTAATGATTTGCAAATCCAAGTTAGTTCAACCCCCAAGTGGTAAACAAAAGTTATTAATTGAGGTGAAGTGAAGGATGAGTGAGAGACAGAGATAAGGAGAGAGAGAGAAGTAGGTCGTGTACATGAGTAAGTACTTGTTCATTTATTTATCACTCTAACAAAAGAAATGGAATAAAATCGTTGACTTGTTGGGGTGTATATATTTTGTTGTTGTTGTTTGTAATATAGATATATAAATATATATAGTGTATTATTTGTATGTATGTTTTTGTATCTCAAAGGATGATCAAAGAAAAGAGAGAGTTTACTGTCCCTTGGCCTTGATGTCGCTCAAGAGGGAGGCTCTGTTGTTCTCCTTAATGTGGACACTTGCTATAATATTTAAAGGAATTGGAATAATAATTCATGTTAGTTATCCAGTCAATATAATCAATCATTGATCTGATTGGTTTTGGGATTACGTACAATCAATGACTGGGGCGGACTTGTCAACGGTCTCAGCGTGGGCGAGCTTGTGGTCGGCAGAGATCTCGTTGAGGAGGGCTCCGTGCTGGTTCTGCTTGATGGTGACGCCTGCTGTAGTGAGGTAAAAGAATGGGAAAAAGAAGAAAAGGAAGAGATATGTTTGAGTGAGTGATTGAGCGAGGATCTTCCCAACTATATTGATGACATGATGTGACTTACGCTCGACGAGTGGGGCGGACTTGTCAACGGTGTCGGTGTGCTTCAATGGGGCACCCTTCTGGACTTCGGCAAACAATTGAGTGGACATTATGTTATATTAGGTTAAGTTATAAAGGTAAAGAGAGAATAAGAGTTATCTGTATCTGTATATTATTATTTGGTGTTTATCGAAATGGCTTGTTGAGCAGAGTTGAGTGCACTGGTTGGACTTGTCTAAGCCCCTAAAAAGGAGCACTCTCTCACTCTCCTCCGTTCACTTCAGCCAGTGGCAGTCTCTTAGACACCAAACAACAAGAGTTAAATTGAGCTAAGAGTCAACTTCAAATTAAATTTACAATTAAATGGTTTGATATTGTTGGGCTATGGGATGTTCGATCCAAGATTGGATTAGAATAATCACACATCACAACAAAGATGGCCCCGCAACAGGTAGGTGATCCAAAGCACATTATCTGAACGCGTCACTCCGATTAAAAATTATTATTTTTGGCTATGGGCGTGTTTGATTGGTTGGGCCACGCCTGATTTGTGTTTGATGGTGTTACCCAACAAATTCAATTCTGTGCGAGGTGGGGATTCAGTTTATATGAGCGAGGTCCATCCCACGCACAAGTGCACAATAAATAAAATGAGTGTTTGGCATCTCAAAAGAGACATTTTGACTCAAAGTCAACAAAACTGTATGTATATTTTGAGATATTGATTGATCAATTAATAAATAATTATGGTTTGGTCGTATAATAATACAAATGATTGTTATGGATATAGATCTTGATGTAGATTATTGTGGTATTTATTATTTATTTAATTTATAATTTTGGAGTACATTGGACAAATATTTCTTAGATATCACCGACAGCGGTGTGTTGGCTTGGATGGAAGCGAACTCAGAGTCGTATATAGTGATGGTGGACTCTGCCAACTGGTTGTACCATGTCCTTGGAGATTGTTTTGAGGCATCGTTGGACTTGGCCCTCTTCAATGGTTGAATGGTTGGACGATCACCCTCTATGGTTGCACTGATCGCGTCTATGTTTGGTACCATTCCTCCCGACAGGTACGAGTCTATCAACAATGATTGCATAAACTCTGGAGTGAAGCGATGATTGGATCCATCCACGATCTCTTTGACGACCTTGTGTCTATTCTCTAGGCCAAAGTTTGCTAGGCGATCCAACGACCCATACTTATGTAAGAATGCTCCAACGTGTAGAACCTGTGCATGGATATAGGAGGTAACAACTTTTCCAAACAAGTTGACATAGTTATTACCAAATGGGATGGAGTAGGACAGGTATAGGTCCTCAGTGATTCTGTATTGATTGGTCTGTGCCATAAACACCAAGAAAGTGTATTGTTTCCACAACACATTGAGCTGTAACTGAAGGTTAGCGCAGTGTAACAATGAAATGGTAGAGTGACTGTGTATACTAACCTTCTGGACCTCTAGATTGGCGACACTGTAGGGTAGACCCTCAATCCTCTTCCTCAAATCTTGTGACT